TCAAATCCCCCCTCCCTCCCTCGCCACCACAACCCTCGACCCCGGCTCCCTCCTCATCATCGTATACTCACACACCCAAACCCCCCTCCCATCCGACGCCACCACCGCATCACCCGTCACATCACCCGCCGCCCGCGCCTCATCCCGCACCTCCTCGACGCCCCCAGCCCCGTGCCGCTCGTACAGCCGCCGCCCCGCCGCCGTCGCCTCCACCCACAGCGGCACGAGCAGCCCGTCTGCCAGCGCCGCGCCCCAGCGCATCTGCAGCGAGCCCGCCCCGCGGCGCTGGTGGGCGGGGTGGGTGAAGAGGAGGGCGAGGACTGTTTTTTCGTTAGTTTTATTGTTATTGTTGTTGTTATTGGTGTTCGGGGGGTTGAGGGTGGTGGTTGGTGGTTGGTGGGGGAGGGGAGGGGAGGGGAGAGGGATGGGGTTGGTGGTTTGAGGGTGCTGCTACTTACGGACGTGCGGCTCGCCGTACATGTGGCGCGCGCGCCGGGCGAGGAAGGAGGACATGAGGGCTTCGCCCATGGCGCGGTCCGTGGGGCCGGATGAGGAGAGGAAGGGGAGGGTGACGGACGCGGCGGCGGCGGAGGGGGTGAGGGCCGGGTTGGGGGTCCAGTGGGGGTATATCTGTTTGGGTGGTTGGCCGCTGCGGTTAGCAAAGCTGGTTCGGTGGGTGGGTGGGTGGGTTGTGTGGTTCGTTTGTTTCTTTCTTGCTTCTGTTTTTGTTTTTGTATGTGCGTGGCGTTCTTTTGGGATGGGGTTTGATATCGTTTTCGGCTTCTCGGTGTGCTCTTGTGAACGGGAAAGGAGGTGTATATATTCAGGGAAGGACCACAAAATGGGACTGACCATCCACCAACTCCCACCCACGATCCGGCCCGTCTCTTTCTCCTCGACCTTGAGCCAGACATTGTGGTTTCCCTCACGCATCCATTCCGCGATACGGGTTTTAGTGCTTGCTCGGTGGGCTGGATTGTCGTGGCCGAAGAACATGGTGCGGATGTCGTTGCCCTCGAACGCGGCATATATTGGGTCGAGGAACGCATCGATGTCTGCCTCGGTGGCGCGGGAGAGCTGGAGAGTTGGTGCCATTGTATTGAAGAATGTTTTTTTGTTTTTGTTTTTAGGAAAGGTGGTTGGTAGGGTGTTCTCTGCTCTTTTTTCTGCGGCGTAGTCCCCAATTCTCACGTCTATGTGCTGTACGGTTCTCCGGCGGGACAACAAGGTCGGTCTTTTGGATCGGAAAAATGACGCTACCCCAACTCAGACCCCGCACATAGAGCAGAACAGAGGATGTACAAGTCACAAGATGTGGTTGCTTTAGATGAAATATCTCGTATCATACGAAAACAAGGGTCCTTGCAGAAAACGGCGTCCCGTGTCGTTGGGCACAAAGGATCTGCTACCTCGTGCACTGTGGAGAAATAGCGGAGAGTATGCCGCCCTGAAGCGACTCGACCGAGGCCGGGGCCGAGTCGAGCGGCATTTTCTGTTTCGCCTGACGGCAGGTTCGGAACGATTCCAAGTGTATGTATATACGCCAAGTGTTTTAGACGACACGGTGTGGATCGAAGCAACGTGCTGAATGAGCAAAACTCCCAAAGCCAAGGTACGTTGTATTTAGATAGCTACCTAGGTGAGTGTAAAAAGTGCTCGCTCCAGGCGGTGAGCCATGACTTAGCCCTCGTCAAAAACTGTCGGAATAAAGTTTGCCATTACCTCATCGCGCCCAATGGCATGTCCAGGAAGAAAGCTATTGCATAGGACCCTTCTTCACTGCTGTGCCACATCACTGCCAACGCATTGGCTGACACAGGCTTTGAGCGGGATGCAGAGGTGGTCTGAGCGAGGAGACAGGGTCCACTACGCTGAACACCATTGTCCTCGATCGCACCGGATGCTGTTTGAAAACAGGCCTGATGCCTTTCGTAAAGTGTCGGTATGGAGCGAAAGAAAGTCATATCGTTGATGTTGGGCTTACTGTAAGCCGTACTATTTGGGTATCTCAGTTCAGCCGTCCGTCCCGGCTCAAGACCGCCGTCCCCGTTTTTCCACCCTCCCATTGGACCCCTGATACCGCCTCCTTGATTCCCAGACGAAACGCACACAAGCCCCTCATCCATCGTCCCCGACAACTTTGGCGTGTCTAAAGTACTTCATGCCCACCCAAGCAACCACGACCCAAACCCACGCCATGACCGCCGTAAGCACCATCAAGGCAGGGTAATAGCCAACGATTGGCAGTGTAGGGTCGTCTTCCAGCTCCGGCGGGGCATACGGCGTCTCGCCGACGTCCCAGGCCCAGCTCCACACCTCGAGGCAGCTGCCCATGCCGATGACGAAGACGATCCAGGTGACAATCAACACGACCCAGCCCCACCACTCGGTCTCGCTGTAGTCCCATTCGTCGACGAGGTCGAAGGTGGTGGTGGCGGGCGGCAGCGACAGCGGCGACGAATGGCGCGTGGTCGAGGAATTGGTCTTGACGGCGGTGCGGCGGCGCTGCTGGAGGAGGCTGCTGCTGCTCAGCGCCTGCATGGGGAAGTAGCTCGGCGACAGGTGGCCATTGTGGCCATTGGCGCCGCTGCCGGGGCCGCCGGGGGACGAGGGGCGGCGGAAGGTGAGCGAGTCGTTGTCGTCGTCGGTGGTGCTGGCGTAGGGGTTCGCGACGGGGCTGGAGACGGGGCTGGAGATGGGCGAGGCCAGCACGGCGGAGCGCGGCGTCGTCGTCGTCTCGTGCAGGGAAGTGGGCTTGGCGGGCGGCATGCCGCTCCAGCCGCTCTCGGACGACGAGGCGGCCGAGGGGTTGGCGTAGGTGAAGGGGCGCGGGGCGAGGGTCGCTGGACGTTGCTCGGGCGAGGTCGGGCTGGTGGCGATGGGGTCCATCTTGTGGAGGGCGGACTCGCTCGAGCGCTGGCGCGTGCCGAGAATGGCAGTCTTGCGCAGGGAGCCGCGCCGTCTCCGGCCGGCGGTGGTGGTGTTGGCGGCGCTCTGTCGCACGGCGTGGGCGAGGGCCATGGACGCGCCGCTGCGCTTCGCTCCCAGGCTCAGCGGACCGTCGTCACGGGCGCGCGGGTCCTCCTTGCCGGCGAGGGCGACATGCGCGGCAGCCGGCAGATCGCCGCCCGGGTTGCGCAGGAATGGCAGCTTCGACAGGATGCTGGCCGACACGCTCCGCTTGTGGGCGCTGGACGGGCGGCGGGCGGGCGAGCGAGGCGGCGGGCTCGGTGCGGCGGGCTCGTCGGCGACGATGGGCTTGCGCTTGTGCTCGTGGTGGAGCGGGCCGCCGGGGGTGGGCGATGCTCCCGCATTGTGGGCCATCTCCCATGCTCTTCTTTCAGGCTCGGCACGCGGCGCGGGGGCGCATGTTGGCAGTGGGCGAGCTCTGGGGGTTGCATTGACTGCTGGGAGAGTCAGAGTGCGGAGATGGCGCGCAGGATGCGGCTGCTTGTCTCTGGGTCAGTTGGGCCTGCCGCGCCGGGGCGGATCGCCGCGCCCGGGGCGACGAGCGGCGAGTCAGGCCCAGGGGTCGAGCCATCTCCAGGTCGAGGTGCTCCTCCACCACCGTCTTCTCCACCACCTACGCCGCCGCCTCACCGCTCTGCTAGTCGTCAATGGCGTCCACCATGCCGATCCCAGTCCCGCCGCGGACGCCCACGCCGCCTCCTGAGGATCCATGCAAGCCCGTTGGCCTGGGACTGCCCGACGCCCAGCTCGAGCGCGATGCACTGTCGCCCATGTCTGCCACTTTCCCGTCGCAGAGCTTCGGTGCTCTGAGTCCGTCGTCGGCCAACCTCAGCCCGCGCACCCCCGCCTCTGCATACTACACGCCGCAGATGACGGCCGCCTCGGAAGCGTCGACGCCGCAGACGGCGCCGTCGGATACGCCCAAGAACCCGTTCAACTTCCAGCCGCAGCAGTATGTCGTGGGAAAGCCGTCCCCGAAGCCGTCGGTATGTCGAAGCAGCCAAGCTGCCGTTGGACGGGCTAACGCGCTCCGCAGGACATTGGCCGCCGTCGTGGCCACAAGTACAAGCACAGCAGCGTCTCGCACCAGATCTTCCTCGAGCCCGCGCCCCGCGCCCCTCTACAAGTCCCCGCATCGCTACCGCTGCCCAATTGGTCCGAGATCCGAAGCAGCATGACGCCGGAGCAAAAGATGCGCGCCGTGTGGTGCGTCTGCCACTTGCTGGTTGGCGGTTACGTCAAATATAGCGCGCAGGGTTCAACCGCCATGACGGCCCTGTCGCATCTCATGTTCTACGATTTCGTTGGCGCAACCGTGTGCTGCATCGCCGACATTGGGAGCAACTTTGAGTGCTGGAGACGGACAAGTCTGAAACGACCGTTTGGGTATGCATGGCCATGTGCCCCGGTTGGGTCGGTGTGGCTGACGTTGTGCGTGTAGATTTGAGCGTTTTGAAGTGCTGACCGGCCTTGCCATGGCCGTGATACTTATTTTTACAGGCTTCGATCTGGTCAGCCACAATCTGCAGCACGCGCTGGAGAACAGCGGTGGGCATGAGGCGCATCACCCGCACGTCCACGAGCGTGTGTCGGCAGGCAGCGTGGATACGGCGGCGCTGGCGGCCATCGTTGCCACGCTGATCTCGGCCATTGGGCTGAAGAACCACGAGCGCATCAGCAAGGTGATGCGCTTCGCCTACCTAGAGTCGCTCCCGTCGGTGCTCAGTAACCCGTCGCATTTCCTCACCTTGTCGTGCTCTAGCTTGCTTTTGCTGCTGCCCCTCCTGTCGATTGACATGTACATCTGGCTGGACCGGTCCATCACCGCCTTCATTGCCATTTCCATGATGCTGTTGGGCTGGCGCCTCGGCTGGTCCCTGGGCCGCATATTGATGATGTCCTACTCCGGGCCGGGGCTGGAGAGCCTGCTGCGGGTCATCGAAGCCGATCCCGCAGTGTCGTCGGTCGAGGAAGCGAAGGTGTGGCAGGTGCACTATGGGCTGTGCCAGGCCAACTTCAAGCTGCGCGTACGCAGCCTCGACGACATGGCCAAGCTGCGGGACCGCATCCAGAGCCTCGTGCGCAACAAGCTCGCCGGCGGCTACGGCCGTGGAGGCGAGAAGTGGGAGGTTAGCACGCAGCTCACCCTGGACAAGGATTGAAGCGGCGTTGTGTTGTTATGCGATAAATGTATCATCCATGTTGAGTACACACGAGGCCACCCCAGGCTAAGGCTGAAACGCGGCAGCCCACATCCGGCTTGCCGTGTCCCCAGATTCTCCGCATCGTAAGCGCGAGCAACCTGACCCTGTGCGTGCTTGTTCCTGCCCCTGCCACCATCGTCACTCACGACAGACCCCTCCCTTCCCGCTTCCTTGGCATCTCTACTGCCAATCAACATCGCGCGCCTGCCCGCCCGCTTACGTACTCTCGCGGCCGCGCGGAAGCGTGCAGTCTGCTTTCTAGCCACCTTCGAAAGCCAAGATGATACTTGTGTGCTTGGCCGGGCGTAGTCGTGGCGCCAACCACTCACGGAACATCCGATACACCCGCGATGGTGTGGCTCTCACTTCACCCTCCCAGCTGGACCAGTCCAAGCCGTCATGACACCAAGAGCCTTTAGCTGATGGCCATGCGTCGACGAGCAGAAACGCGGGCTGGGCATCGAACGGTATTGCCTATGCCCAGCCATTTGCTGCTTGCCAATGGCGAGCGCTGTTGGTCAGTCGACCCAGACACGTTGCGTTATGATGCCGCCAAATGGCGGAGGATTACGACGGCCTTCGGGACGAGGTCACCTCTTTGTTTCCTTGGTCGATTTGCCCTTTCCAAGTTTAACTCCATGAAGGTGGAGTCGTAAGCCTGGAGTGTCGGCCCTTAAATAGCTGGGCATCCACTCGACCCGTCCTCTGCCCGTCCACAGCATTTGAACCATCACTTCTCGGATTGAAGATGCTCAGGCACATGGCCCTTGCGGCATTGGCCTCTACGGCCTTTGCCCAGACGACGCAAGATCTCAATGCCACGCTCAGCGGTATTCCCGAGCTGTCCAACCTGACGACGTACTTGGGCGCGCTCCCAGACGTCTTGAGCTCGCTATCGGGCGCCAGCAATATCACCATTCTGGCTCCGAACAACGATGCCTTCGACCAATTGATGAACACCTCCCTCGGCGCGGCGTTGACGCAGGACCCCGGCCTGATCCAGGCTGTACTCACCTACCACGTACTTGACGGCACGTACAGTTCCAGCCAGATCACTGAGGATAGTCGATTCATCCCCACGCTTCTGACGGACACTGCGTATGCCAATGTCACCGGCGGTCAGCGGGTTGAGGTCGAGGAAGAGGACGACAATGTTGTCTTCTACTCGGGTCTGCGGCAGAACGCGACTGTAACACGGGCTGTACGTGCTTCCCCCTCCTCTTTTTCTCCAAATCGTGGGTTACGAAGACGTCAGCCTTTTCAATGGCAAGAATTTCCCACTCCCTATATCTTTCCATCGCCTTCTCTACCCATACTTTCCACCCACAAACCCAGAAACTAACGGACCCCCCAACGCCAGAACGTAAACTTCACCGGCGGTACCATCCACATCATCGACAGCCTCCTCACACTGCCCGCAAACGTCAGCTCCACGGCGCTGGCGGCCAACCTCACGGCCTTCGTGGGCGCGCTGACCAACGCCAGCCTGGTCGACACAGTCGACACGACGCCCGACGTGACCGTCTTCGCGCCCGTCAACCAGGCCTTCGCGGCCATCGGCCCCGTGCTGGCCAACGCGTCGACGGACGATCTGGCCAACGTGCTCAGCTACCACGTCGTCAGCGGCACCGTCGCGTATCCGGACGTGATCCGGTCGGAAACTAACGGCAGCAACCAGACGGGCGGCGGCGCTGTCCTCACGGCGCTCAACGGCGCCGAGCTGACCGTCCGCGTGCTGGACGACGGCGACGTCTTCGTCAACGGCGCGAGGGTGGTTGTTGCGGATTTGCTGGTGGCGAATGGCGTGGTGCATGTTGTTGACAAGTAAGCCTGCAGTCTCTTCTCTCCTCTCGCTTCTCGCTTCTCGCTTCTCACTTCTCACTTCTCTCTTCTCCCTTCTCTCTTCTCTCTTCTCTCTTCTCTCTTCTCTCTTCTCTCTTCTCCCTTCTCCCTTCTCCCTTCTCCCTTCTCCCTTCTCCCTTCTCCCTTGCACCATTGCTCCATTGCCCCCCCCTATTTCTCTTCCCTACAATCACCACCACCACAACCACAACAACAACAACCACTAACACCAACCCACCCCCACCCCCAGCGTCCTCAACCCCTCCAACTCCACCGCCACACCACCATCCAGCAACGACAACGACAACGACGACGACGACGACGACGACGACGACGACGACGACGACGACAGCGGAGCCGTCCAATTCTCCGCCTCTGCAACCGCCACCGACGCCGCCGTCCCGTTCACGTCTGACGCGCCCACGCCGACTACGACCATCGACGCTGTTGCTACTGCTGCTACTACTGCTGCTACTACCAGTGGTGATGGATCGGGTGGTGCTGACAGTACTACCGGGGCGAGTGCGAGCGCGACTGGTGCGGCAGGTACTGTCGGTGTGGGTGCGGTGGCGGTCGGATTGGGATTGGGGCTGGGTGGGGTTTTTGTGGTGGTTTTGTGAGGGGTGGTGGAGTAGTTTTGGGAGGGAAGGGGTCGATTGGGTGAGGGGGTCGGAGAGAGGATGGAGGAGAAACGGAGCGGAGCGGAGCGGAGCAGGGGTCTTGGGCTTTGATGTATGCATGTATGCTTCCTGGTTCTGTGATGCGATGGGATGGGATGGAACGTGTTTGGTCGTATAGTTCGTTGCGTTTTGCTTGTTTCCGTATTTTCAAGCTAACCACGTTTTCATGTACAAGGTAGTGTTGTGCCGGCAATACATGTCTGGCTCCGACGTTTGTGCAACATGCTGGGCTACTACGGCTTGTGTTGCCCTTTTTAAGGTTTCTTGCCTTGCGTGTAGTGAGTGACGACCGTTTTGCCCTAGTTCGACGTGGCAAGCAATGGGAAACAATGAATATATAGCACCGTCTCTAGACCACGAAGACCAAGACCGGGTTGTTGGTCCAGCGATAATACAGTGGTCATGCTCTAAGCCGTCTATAAAAATCTCGCTCCTACCATGCGGTCGTTCTTTTTTCAAAAAGCACATCGTTCATCAGTTCATGTGTCACGCATGTTTTCCCACCTCCTGCATCAACCGCTACTTCTGAACAGACAAGCTATTCTCCGTAAGCGTGGACCGCTTCTCCCCATCACTCTCCGCATTTATTCTCACGATGCCATCATCATCGTCGACGCCACCGTTTCCTCCGTCTCTTGACCAGGCCCTCCCCGTTCGATCTCCTCCCACTTCAATCTCTTCCAACACCCTCTCCTCACCCCCCTTCTCCTCATCATCATCATCACCACCCCCAGGGCTCCTCCCTGTCACGCCCCCGCTCCCTTGCTGCTGCACCTCCCCCCCCTCCTCCTTCGGCCGCCTGAGCGCCCACCCCCCACCCCACCCCACCCACCCCGTCTCCCACGGGCCCCTGACGGCACAAAAGCACAAGCTGACGCCTACCAAGCCCACGCTCACGCTCCCGCTCGCGACCCAACCGTGCCTCTGATAGACGGCGCTGCCCACGGCGGTGCCCATCAGCTGGCCGCAGAAAGTGAAGACCATGAAGACGGTGTTGACCCTGTTGCGGGCGTGCGGGGCGATGGCGTAGATGGCCTTGCGGTTGGCGACCTGGGCGCTCTGGAAGCCGAGGTCGAACAGGAAGGCCTGCAGGACGGGGGCGGCGAGGGTGTGGGTGCCGGCGTAGGTGCCGATGAGGATGCCGGCGAGGGCGAGGAGCTCGCCGAGGAGGACGGCGAGCCAGGGGACGAAGGCGTCGGTGATGAGGCGGGCGTAGAGCGGCCCGAAGAGCATGGCGCCGATGCCGATGAGGGCGAAGAGGCCGATGGAGAGCGGGGAGAGGTGGTAGGGGGCGCCGGCGAGGAGGAAGGTGAGGGTGGTCCAGAAGACGGTGAAGGTGGCCGAGGTGAAGATGGAGATGAGGCAGGCTTGGAGGAGGGCGGGTTCGCGGAAGAGGAGGACGGGGATGGAGCGGAGGAGGGGGAGGTAGGCGAGTTTGGTGTCGCTGCCGGTGGGGTTGGTCGAGGGGTAGTCGGGCATGAAGGCCCAGAGGAGGAGGGAGACGAGGTATTGGAGCCCGAGAGCCATCCAATAGACGGAGCGCCAGCTGGCGTACTGGGTGATGGTGCCGGAGAGGAGGCGGGCGATTAGGATGCCGAGCATCAGGCCGGAGGTGACGATGGAGAGCGAGACGCCCTTCTTGTGGGGTGGTGCTAGCTCGCCGACGAGGGGGAGCATGAGCTGCGGGGTTACGGTGGTGGCGCCGACGACGAAAGAGAGCACGGAGAAGACGGTGAGGGAATGTGTCACGCATAAGCCGATCCTGGTGGTTGGGCGAGTTAGTGTTTTGGTTTACGTCGGCCAATGGCGGAAGACGGGAGACGACACACCATACGGTTGCAGTGAAAAACATCAGTCCGGTCACGAACGGCCGTCTCTTCACCATGTCTGCCATGGGACACAGAAACAGCAGCCCCGCGGCGTAGCCGGCCTGCATTACCGTCGGGATCTGCGCCACGCGTTCGTACGTGACATTGAAGTCATCTGCCAAGATGTTCAAGATGGGATGGTTGTAGTCTGCAAGGAGATGTCAGTTTTTTTTATTTTCCTGATCGGACAGTCTCATGATGGGTACACAAGTTGGCAACGGTAAAGGCTCCGGCAAATGCGAAGAGGAAATTCAACGACATGGAGAAGCCGGGCGGATTGTCAGGATCCCAGCGACAGTTGGGCGGCACCCAGAAGACGATGTCGCAGACACGTCGCCATATCGAGGGCCTGGTCGTGTTCGTGGGGGTAAAAGCTTCATCACGACTCGAGGCTGGGGTTGTTGGGGTGGAGGACTGGCCCTCGGCTTTTGGCGAGTTCTCTTGCGTCATCGAAGGTATGAGACGCGTGCCTGGGAGTGAGACAAGCGTGATGGAAGCAATTTTCGTGGCTTCAGTCTCACGGCATGTTTGAGAGGAGAAGCGCGCAGCGGTTCTGGTGAGGCAGAAAGCACATATCGACCGGCTCCCCTCATGACGAGTCGCGGCTGCAAAGTCCTAAGTCCGGGGGAGAGCGCCATCGGCCATAATGCCGCCTTTCCGGCCAATCAGTAGTGATCAGCGGGCGCTGCAACAGGGGTGCTGGACTCTGGACATCTCTGGGCGGGCATGCAGTGTGGTTTCTCGTGCGGCTGATGAGTGATGCAGCTTTTGCAACAGTCGCGGATCGGCTGCTGTTTTCCCGTGGATTTCTGCTGCAGTCCTGGACAGGTTCATCAAGATCGGGTCCCAGGCAGGTAGAGCAGCATAGTGCCCCGACTCATGACCTCGCTAGTCTCCAAGCGGTCAACAGTGAGCCAGGCATCTGCGGTGAAGGTGACAGTGAGTTTGACAGCCATGGCAGACTCGTGGACCCACGTGCAGAAGCTTTGCGGAAATGGTGTGCACCCCACCGACTCGGCCTTCGAGCAATAACCACTACTCGGGGTGCTGCACGGTTGAAGCCGGTGGCGGCGTCTTTTGGCTGTGAGGCTGATGATCTAAGCTGGGCGGGGTGTGAAAGAGAGACGTCATGACACAAGAGCGGACGGGAAAGGCGTTCGGCAGTGGAGCTTCGCACCTGCCACCCGACGATCTCCAGAAACGTATTATTGCTGAGAAAGACTGCTGGTCTGGCCAGCCAAACTCCATCAACACAGAACATGCCACCTCGACGCACCCGTGGCCGCCGCTCCCGTGTCATTCCAACGTCACCGCCCGGTCGGACCCCATCCGTCCTCCTGCATCCCGAATTCGCACCCTCCGATCTTGACATCTGAACAAGGCACCGAAGTCGCCTATCTCCCGATGCGGCCCCGACTCCGCAATCCTTCCCGTTTGGACATGGTTGGCCATTGGGTCCCGCTGCACCTGGCTCGCTCTGCACCGTGCCATGTCTGCACAGCTTCGCTGCTCCGACCAACGGCTGTCTAGTGCATGCTTCTCGGTCCTCTAGTTCCTGTTCGAGCCGGTGGTGAAGTCAGAGCACCACTCACCTTTGCATCCGCAGCGACATGCAATGCCATCATCCTGCAGTAATATCGAGCTGCACTCCGCTCCGCTGCCGCGTGGCACTCGACATGGAAGCTATAAAACCATTCTGCCCCAGCCCGTGGCTGTCGGATACATACCATCACCTCCCGCTCCCACCATGTTCTCCAAGACGGTCCTCCCAGGCGCTGTCCTGGCCTGTCTGGCCGCAGCTGCCCCGGCTCCCAGGCCTGACGTGCCTGGTTACACCGATGCTGATGCTCCGTACGCCACTGACACTCCCGACCCTGTCTCCGACCTGGCCACCTCTTTTGGTCCCGACTCCCAGATCTCGGCCACCTTCACCACCGCCACCTTGATTCCTCCCCGGCGCTCCAGTGTCTTGACTGGCCATACGAGCCATGGCCCTTTCTCTGGCACCCCCACCACTACTGGTGCTGTCATGGCACCCACCACCGAGGCTGCCTCCGTGGCCCCTCTCCCGCCCAACCCCACCGCCACCTACTACAACTCGGATGGAGAGCTCCACGAGCCTGCCCCCGCCCCTTACACCCCCGCCGGCGGTCTTGGTACCAACGGCACCGAGCCGCGGTACATGGTGAACTCGGACTTTGACTACGAGTCCATCCAGCTCGGCTTGTATCAGGAGTGGATCGAGCTTGACCTCTTCAACAACGGTCTGGCCACCTTCTCCGACGAGGACTTCCTCGCCGCCGGCCTGACGGCCGAGGACCGCGCTCTGATCAGTTTCATGGCCCAGCAAGAGACGGGCCACGCCACGCTGCTCTCCAACATGCTGGGCGAGACAGCCGCCCCGCAGTGCACCTACAACTATCCCTACACCACCGTGCGCGAGTACATCGACTTCAACCAGAAGCTGACGCGCTGGGGCGAGTCGGGCGTCTGGGGCTTCATCAACCACCTCGACTCCCGCGAGGTCGGCCAGCTGCTCTCGCAGTCCATCGCAACCGAGGCCCGCCAGCAAATGTCATTCCGCCAGATGCTCGGCCTGCACCCCTACCCGGTGTGGTTCGAGACGGGCATCCCCCAGTCGTGGGCCTGGACCTACCTGGCGCCCTACATATCCTCGTGCCCCGAAAACACCACCCGGCTGGCGTGGCAGAACTTCCCCCCGCTGCGCTTCGTCAACCAGCCCAACCCCAACCGCTTCTCGCCCAACGACACGGCCGACAACGAGGTCGTCGGCCGCCGCGTCGCCGACCCGTCCGACTCGAAGATCCCGTCCGACCAGAGCTGCGTCAACCTCAACGTCACGGGCTACGGCTGCGGGCCCGCCATCGCGCGCAACCGCAGCGAGCCCCTCAGCTTCCCCGGCCGCCAGGTGCGCCTCGCGTGGGACGACGCCGGCGCGCCCGTCGGCCCCAACAACAGCTACGTCACGTCGACGGCGGCCGCCGCCCCGGCCTTCGTCGCCTGGGTCAGCCAGCTCAACCTCACCTACACCCCGCTCACCCTCACCGGCCCGAACGAGGGCTACACCTTCCAGCCCGCCGGCTACGTCTACGAGGGCGACCCCGCCGTCAACGGCACCATGTTCGTCGCCCTGACCGACGACGACCTCTACCTTACCCCCTTCAACCTGTCCATGATCAACCCGCACGTCCGTGCTCTGGGCATCTATCAGGCTGGCTAGAGAATGGTGAACCGTGTAGATGTGTTGCTCAAACGTTTGAGACGGCATGGCTGGATATAGTTTTGGAGTGAGACGAAAAACCATAGTTAATGTATGTGCGTAATGTCACGGTGTATAACGCTATCCTATATTTTGCGTTGCCCAACTCAGCCGTCTAGAAGAAGGAGTAAAACCACTAAGCACGTGATCTCTTCCAGTGACAGTCGATTGCAAGGAAAGATTTAATCCATCTTTTATGTGTTGCGAAGAAACACTACTTTGTCCGCGTGTGCAGCCACGGCAAACCGCTTAACATTATTGTCATCGCAGATAGAAAATAATACGGTCATTTGTCTTGACTTATCTCTTTTCTAGCGAAGAGGGAAAGAGAGAAAACAGAAGGACAATCTCGAGGAATAGAGAAAGAGTAGTCAACCCATTTCGAAGACCTAAAGAGCGCAGAGAACAGGAGGGCAATATATAACCCTCTATTAAGGTAAAAGTTCCAACATGCTTAAGGGCGGAAAAAAAGAAAGAAAAAAATTAAAAAGAAAAAAGAGCGTAGAGCCAGCCCATTCGCACGTCAAAAGAGCAAGGTGTCAAAACATAAAAACCAAACAAAAAACCTCTTATACTTAGAAAAGCCCCACCAACAACGCAAGACAGCGCATAGAAAGGACTACTAATCAAACCCTTACAAAAAAAAAAAAAAGGCTTAAGCCCCGCCTCCACCGCCGCCTTAACTCTCCATCTACGGCACATTAGGAAGAAGGAGTAGAGAACATCGCCTCTAAGCCCCAAAATATTATTCCCCAACGACCAGTTTAGCATAACTCGACTCATCACTTCCAACCGCTACGCCACTTACATCTATTACCTCACCAAGTTCCTTTCAATTCGGACGAGTAGAAAAGGGAAGGATAAGTAAAAGTATAAGAGAGAGAGAGAGAGAGAGAGAGAGAGAGAGAAAGAAAAACACGTTCTATATTTCGGTATATGTTGAACTTATCCCCGAACACATACACACATTCTCCTTTCTCCAGCCAATCCGTTAAGAGGTGGCAGGTGGTAGGGCAGTAGAAGAAAAGGTAAAAAACTAGGTAAGTAGTATAGTAGTAGTAGTAGTACTAGTCATGTGGTTACCGTTGACCAATGGCGGGAGGTAGGGTTGGGCGGAAGCGTGGAGCGCGCGGAGCGGAGCGCGGAGCGGAGCGCGGGCTGATAGAATGCGGTGCAAGGGAGTAGAAGTAGGGGGGTAGATCTAGGTAGAAAGAGCGATAGAGAGAGGGAAGAAAGTAATTGTGCATGCACTTTTTTGTTTGTTTTTTTGCCACCGCCTATTCCAAACCACTCTCCCCCCTCGGCCTCCCCTGCGTCTTCACCCTTTTTCCCTTCCGCGCCCCCCCCGCCACGCCACGCCACCCCTGCTTCTACTTCCCATACCTCCCCATTCGCCTCCCCCCTATTCTTCCCGCCTCCAGCCCTCCTCTCGCAATCCTTTCCACGTCATTCACTCGCTTCCTTGCTTAACTGCAACGACAAAAAAGTATCATGCATACGAATGCACGTACGCACGCACATTCTCTCTCGCTCGCTCGCTCTTAGCCATCCCGCCTCCAAGCCCCCTGCAATGTCATGACTACCTCTTCCATCGTCGTCAGGAAAAGAAATTCCTTACGTCCTTCTTGCTCCCCTCCTAACCACATCGGGCGTCAATAAACTGGAGACGTTCTCGCATAACAACATATTTCCCTCCCTCTGAGTGATCCCGTTAATTTAAAAGAGTAAGAGATGAGAGAAGAAAAATAAGGGAAAAAAAAGGGAAGAGGGAAAAGAAAACCAAGCAAACTTGTAAACCATCAAAAGAGAAACACAAAACAAGCAGAGGTTTCATGATCTAACAGCACTTGCCGCCCATGCCCGCGTTGGCGCCCGAATCGTTGACGTTGACGCCGCTGCTGCCCTGGCCGGGCGTCGGGTCGCTGCGCGCCGTGTCGATGATGCGCTTCTTGATGTCGGCCGCCAGAGAGTAAAACGCCTTGTCCACGTTGATGTTGCTCTTGGCCGACACCTCGAGGAAGGGGATGCCCAGCTCGTCGGCGAGCGCCTGCCCTTGCTCCGTCGACACCGCGCGCTTCTCCTCCCAGTCGCACTTGTTGCCGATCAGGATCTTGTTCACGCCCTCCGTCGCGTGCTGCTCCACGTTCGAGAACCAAGTCCGGATGTCTGTTTGCGCCGACGCCGGTCCCTCGAGCGCCGCACGCCCCCCCGGAGGGAGGAGTGCGCGAGGGGCCGCGTGTCATTAGCCTTCGTCGTTCCTGTCTTGCCGAGATGCCATGGGAGGGATGGGGAGGGGGAGGGGGATCTCCTTCTCTGTGGCTTGACCAGCTCCGCCGAAGCTCTCCCGTGGGCCGCACCGCCGCAATCGGCGACGTGCTTGTGGAGTGTGGGGCGGAGGCGAGCCAGGAAGCTCCGGGCAAGTGGCCAGATATTGGAAACGAAGCATATACGTGCGTACGAGCGGGGAGGGGAGGCGAGGGGAGGCGAGGGGGAGGGCAAGGAGAGTAGACGTACTGTTGAAGGAACGCTCATCGGTGACATCGTAGACCAGCAGGATGCCCATGGCACCGCGGTAGTAGGCGGTGGTGATGGTGCGGAAGCGCTCCTGCCCTGCGGTATCCCAGATCTGCAGCTTCACCCGCTTGCCGTCGAGCTCGATGGTCCGGATCTTGAAGTCGATGCCGATGGTGGTGATGAAGGACGGCGTGAACGAGTCCTCGCTGAAGCGCAGCAAGCAGCACGACTTGCCCACGCCCGAGTCGCCGATCAGCAGGAGCTTGATCTGTACGAGGAAGCGTGAATGTCAGCATGCGTGTATCGAGCGTGGCGGCCGAGCGACGGCAGCCTCGCGGCGGCGGTGCGTTGTCACGATGACGGCGCGGCGGGGGAGGTCAAGCAGGAGGGCGGAGGGGCAGGGGAGGCTGTGCGTGGTGGGTGTGGGAGACGGACGAGGAAGTCATAGTTTCGTGTGCCGGCCATGGTTGCGGAGTCGTGGCGGGCTGCGGAGCTGGGCAGGTGCTGGAGGGAGCGTGGAGAGCGGCGGGTGCGTCGTCGTCGGCTTGATGGTCGGTGAGGAAGCTCGGGGGCTTTGTCTCGCGGGCTGGGTCGGGCGGGTGGGAGCGGGCGGGATTGCGGGAGGCTCTCGCGGTCGCAGTCTGGTGGTGAGTGCGGTGGTTGGCGGGGGTCGTTCGTCAGCGGTTTGGAGGTTCTCGCGGGTTGTTCACTCCTGGGTGGCTTTACCCAGAGCCAGATAGCGGCATGGGGAAGGACCACCACCCACACGGACCCGGACCTGCATCCACACACCGCCCGCCAAGACACCTGCCCAAGCGCCGCCGCCGCCTGCCTGCCTGCTTGCCTGCGCCCACCCTCGCCAAACTGCTTGCTGCTCGTGCTCAGCGCGCTGATCCGCCGTCTTCGCCTCCGCGCCGAACAAACGCTGCAGCTGGCGGGCGGGCGCACAAATCCCGGCTGGCTGCGCAGGCAGATCATACGTAAACAGGGTCTCTGGGCCACGAGCCCTCAGGCCTCTTCCCTGCACCACCCCCATGCTCGTACGTCTTGTGCATGCTCAATTGCTACATCACGTCTTTTATTCATACACGCCCGCATTCCTGCATCGTTATGCGTGAAGTCGTTCCCCGTCTCGTCAGGAAAAAATCCAATGAAAAAACCAGGCGACGGCTCAGCCTCAGCTTGCTCGTGCCGGCCTACCTACGTCATGGAGGAACCTATGTCCAGACCGGTCCGGTCCATGCACTACTATCCACAGAGATTGCGCCTGCTCCGTCTTCACAGCCACTTTGCGTACGCCCACCGCATGCGCTTCACCACCTTGCGCTGCTTTGCCACGCCCGTGCGGATATCCACCAGATCCTCTAGCTCCTCGAGGAAATCATGGAACGCGCGTCCAGGCATCACCCTGCTTGCGAGTTGCCGCAGGACGTGCACCTCACAAAGAAGCAATCCGTGGTCCTTGTAGAAGAGCTCGCCGTACTTGGTCGGCTGCGCGTTTGTTAAGATGCGGTCGATGTTCCTGACGCACTTGGTCAGCCCCCCGAGACAACAACCCGTCTTGCGCGCTTCTAGATTGCTGCTTGACTTACCTGAACACACGCACGATGTGGCTGGACACCTGCGACTTCCGCAATCCCTTGCGGCTGCCAAACGTGCTCTGAAGATACCTCGTGATGCCGATGCACACCATGACGCCAGGCGTAAGGCCAATGAAGCTGTTTGTCGTCGTCAGCTACACCCTCAGCGCCGTTACCGAAACGAGCGTCAACTTACCCAAAGAGCAGCTCCTGGCTCTTGAGGATCGAGTCGATGCCAGACATGGCCACCTCCACGTCCACCTTTGTCTTCTGGATCTGAATGAGCAGCGTCCGAATGAGGTTGCCCGAGATGGCGCCAACAATGGGCTTCTGCATGTCCTTCTCGTATGCCTTCAGCACCGGTGTCAGATCGCCTTCCCGGACGTGCTGCCGGATCTCCGCGATCTGCGGCTCGCTGAGACTCCCGTTCTCCGGGTTCTGAACGGCGAAGTCGACCACCATGCGTTCCAGACTGGCCCTGTCGCCCTCCAGACTGCGCTTGCTCATGATCGAGACCTCGCTGTCTTCGTCGTGGCGGATGGTGCCAACGATCTTCTTTGACGGCTCTATTATCCAGTTGTTGAAGAAGTCTATGGTCGTGCGGCCGAGATCGCGGATCGATGCGAGGATTTCATTACGGTTGCCCATCACAATGCGGTAGATAGTAGTCGACGAGACCTGAGACAATGAATCAGCTCGGCCCAGCGCATCCTGTTGGACAGTGAACTTACCAGCAGAACAGTCGCAGGCAGCCAGTAGCGGATGATCCCAGACGGCCTCCCGTGCTCTCTCGTCCTGCTCCGCAACTCGGTCTCATAGCTGCTCAAATGCGTGTCCAGGATCGTCGTCAGGCGCTCGGCCACCATGGTCGGATTCAAGCTCAGGGCGCTGTACTCCGATTCTTCCAGGATCTGATAATACCGGTCTTGGTCCGTCCTCGCCGCGACCGCGTCGTCGAAGTCGTCGACCGCCACGTGCGGATCCGCGACCTCCTGCAACACAATGTCCATCAGGGCAATCGACCGCGTCACCGCGCTCTTCCACCGGTGCCGCGCCGCATCCTCGCCGTGGCCATGCGGCTGCTGCGCCGCCGCCCCCGCCGCCGTCGTCGGCGTGCGGAAGCCCTCGTCGTGCGAGCTCTGGTTGCTCAGGCCCTCGCCCAGCAGCACGCCCAGCGCGTTGGCGTTGACCAGGCGCAGGCGCTTGAGCGCGCCCTGCTTCGCGCGCGCCTCGTTGCGCACCAGCGCCAGCGGGCTCAGCACCTTGCGCTGCACCTGCGCCAGGCTGCGGTCGCGCACCGCCTCGCGCACCAGGCCGTAGAACTGGGCCCAGCCCTCGCGGCCGCCGCCCATGACGCGCTCGACGCCGCCGCGGCGCCGCACGTCCTGGCACACGGCCTTGGACCACGCCCACACGCGCAGCGGGCTCGTCTGCACCGAGTAGACGGACGCGTGCCGCGCCGAGCCCAGGATGTCGTCCCAGTACCAGATGTCGTCCGACAGCGGCAGCGTCTGCTCGAGGATGGCGTTGAGCACCAGGCCGTAGGTGTGGGCCGTCGCCTTGCTCAGCAGCAGCCACTCCAGCTCGTGCTCGTAGCTGGGCTCCACCGTGTCCGTGACCGAGTACCGCCGCTCCTCCTCCCAGTGCCGGTGGAGGAGCTCCCCCTCGTCCTCCTCCTCTTCTCCATCATCGCCATGGGTGTGCTTGTGGGCCACGAAGTGTTGCTGGCATGTGGGGCAGTCCTCGGCGATGCCGGCCTGCTGGAGCACTACGCGGAGGCGGTCGCGCGAGAGCAGAGATTTCTTGTTTTGCGATGTCGACAGCGACTTGATCAGGCTCTGGAGGTGCGAGATGCGCGCCTGGTTCGCATGCACGACGCCCGTGTCCGGTGGCGCGCCGGCTTCTGCTGTTGCTGCGGCGGCCGACACGGACACACCGGCCGTTAGCGGCAGGCGGTCGAGTTGGCTGTCGATTCGCTGGACCTGACTGTAAGAGCAGATTGTCAGACACAGAAAACCCCAATGACCATGCGGGGTAGACCTCTTACTCGGCCACGAATGACATGTTGGCGGCGCGGGGCAGACGACAGTGGTCGGAGCGGCAGGATGGCCGAGGTTGACGATGAAATGGATTGAAGGCAGCAAACGACAACGAGCAACAGAAGCTTCAGCCCGCCGCGTGCATGTTTCACAAGATTTTTGCAGGGCCTGTCGCGTGCGTGTGCTCAGGTGGGATCTCGTCTGCGCTGTTCGTCTTCTCCACTTTCCTCTCCCAGCCACCGACCCTAGCAGCAAGCAACCGCTTGAGGTGAGGTAGTCGGCGCGGGTGGCATGACGTCGGGCCGGCCCAGAGGAAAAAAGAGCGACGCTGACACAGCCACTCAGAAGGGCCAGAACCGCGGGCGGCTGCCCGGCCCCCAACCCCCGGACTGCGGCCCGCCCACACGCCCGTCTCCAGTCTGCAACATCTGCCCTGCTTCCGTGCATATGCACAAGCACGTACCCGCCTGATTCTGCTGCACAAACGATAAGATTGGAGCTTGCTCGTGCTCACCCTAGCAAGCCCTGCTGTTCCCTCTGAGGCCCCTCCATCTTGCACTATGTACAGCGGCTTTTCGGTAGTCGACGGCACGACTCATGGCATTCATCATCTCAACGCGCGTCGTCATTCGTGCAGTGGCCTTTTGCTCTATTTATCAATACGCTTCGTGTAGACAGGCGCCATCTAACTGGCCAGCTCCCTATAGTTAGAGCGTCTTCAGAGTTGACATCATATGGTAGAGAAGAAGCGAAATGAAGGCATTCTTTGGCGTATTACTTCGATTCCTATTGACCAGACAAGAAAGAAAAAGGATGGCGTCTGATCTCGTGTTCGGTATCTTTCTTACTTAGTATCGTAGGAGGAGCTTTGAGCATATCGCTACTAAGTGCCTCAATCGTAGTGTGTAGCGAGCCAAACACCCGGTTCTCTGCCACGGGGGGCCAGAAGAGAGCCGAGCCCTCCCTGAAACTTGAGCGAGGTGCTCAGTTCGTATACCAGTGTGCATATATATGTGCACTCTTAAACGTTGCATACACGCCGCCGGGAGTTGGACTCCAACCGCTCACATCGTGAGGTACAGAAAACATATGTACCTATATACGTACCTCAACTGTCCGCGTCAGAAGACTCAGAAACCCCACATTTGCGTCCAGGCATTCACTCCAACTGCCTGCGTAAGAGGGGCTCAACCTGCAGCCCGCTATAATACTGAAGAAACGTTAAGATGAGCAAGAGGGGGCTTTTACTACCAGGCCTCACTCCTATATGTCGATCTCCATTCGGTTCCTCGCTGCATGTTCCAAAACGTTGCTCGCGACACCATGCTTCCTAGTCTCAAACAGCATTTGTTTCGCAGCGCCAAGGGTCCAAGCGCGGGTAAAGTTTCCCATTCTGTTCGCGCTTGACAATCAATCAATAGCACTGAGTCCACGTCATACGTCGTATGTTCAAAGATGGGGGGGTATATGCGTATCCATAGATTTGTTGCGTAGCTACCGTTCTCTGGGCGTCATGTTGGAAAAAGTTTGTCCCGAATTCCGCTCTTTCTCTTGCTCTTTCCCGAAACAGGCAAACGCCTTGTTGCCCTTATCTCTCTGATGGCAACTAATAGTCAAAACCCCATAGCACCAGAATATCTACTTTTTCAGAAGCTGCCTTGATAAAGGCTAAGTGTCGTAAAGGAAACAAGGAAGGTTGAGAAGAGTAAATGAAGAGAAGAAACAAATGGGGATATCAAGGAGTGACTAAACACTAAAACGTCCAAGGAGCGAGGTAGAATCGAAAAAGGAGGGTATGTAGAAGCATACAAACAGCACGATCCAGAAGGCCGTAAAGTGCCGAAAAGAAAGAATTCCCACAAGAACACCAGCCCAAATGCTTGTATGTGGCTTCCCAGAAGTAAAAGCATAAGGAAAAGAGAATAGAGATACAAAGTAAACGCTCCGGCGAACTCCGAAATACTTTTTTATGTGCATGGCAATGGTTGCCCTACGGTTGGTCGGTACGGGCTCTGCGCTTAGCCTTGAAGCGCTTACTGGCCGCTCTGCGGACTCCTGTCTTCGACCGCATAGATTGCCCGTCAATCTCCTTCTTGCCGAACTTGGCGGCCCAGTTGCCACTGATGCGGGCAATGTCTTGCTGATGCGCACGACGGCGCTCAACGCGGCGTGCGTCAATCGTCTCCTGCTTGACGTGTCCGAAACCGTTGCGACGGCGGAAACACGCGTCCATGAGAGAATTGGGGTCGATGAGACGACGAGGAAGCGTCTGGATGATCTGGAAGACCTCCATGGGATCCGAGATGGCCCGGATCTCGGCCTCGCCAATCTTCAAAATGGCCAGCGCAATGCGGAACAACGTCTTGGAGCCTTCGTAAAAGAACGAATCCCACACACGCAGCACTGTCTCGATCGGGAAGTTACCGACGAAAAGAGACATGAACCACGAGGTCATGGCGAGCGAGACGGTGGGGAGGCGTGCGGACGTGGTAGTGACATTCGGCTCGAATTCCTTGGTATCGTCGATCTTGTTCCAGATGGCCGGCATGGACTCGCGGATGCAGTGCATGAGAACACCAATGTCGATGTTGGCTTCCAGCACGCGACCATGAGTGCCAGGAAGGTGGATGCTGGTGATGATGTCAAGCATGATGAATGCCTTTTCCTCGTCTTCATCCAAGAAGATGAGCAGAAGACCGGCCAAGAAGTTGAGCGATTGGCAGTAACCGATTCCGGGGTTGTGGACGGCAAAGGCTTGAAGCACGCGACGCAACGCGCGTAGGATCGGTGTTTCACAATCCGGCGTCAGGTCGGTGGATTTCGTGTCAAGCAGATGGGCCGCGTTCATGGATGCTCTCGACTCAGGCCTGAACCTGACATTGTCCGGGAAGGTGCGGTTGAGGTCGCGCTCGATATGCTCGCGATCTTGCTCGCTCAGCTGACCATCGCTGACCTGCTCGACCAATTCCCAGTACAGGCCAGGGTTGGCGGCCTGCCTGGCGGGGCCTCCGCCGTAGTAGAACCAGGCCGCACCCCTCCATTCCGGGGGAATACCTTTGCGGATGAACCTCTTCACCTTCTCACTCCTCGGCGGGAAACGGGTAGGCTTGTTGATAGGAAGTCCATGTTGCCTCATGAGGTTCTGCCACTTCTTGCGTCGACGCTCGGTGTATTCCCTGTAAGGCGCGTTCCACGCGTCGTACTGCTCCACCGTAATATATTGCGTGGCTTTCTTGAAACCATATTGGTCACGAGGGATCGAGGACCCGGCTTTCAGTTCCACCTTCTTTTCCATTGTCGACATCCTCGGGGCGAGCATTTGCGAGAACGTCTTGTCTGCCACCATGTTGATGGAGCCCTTGGACTTGTTCGTTTTGCCCGATGCGGCTGAGCGGGCGGAGCGGGCGGAACGGGCGGACCTGGCTGAATGCGGCGCGGGGAGTTGGGCGGCGACCTCTTGTTCGGCCATGATCTTGGACACTCGATCGTTGCGAGATGGGGTAACATAAGGGATTTCGTGGTCTGCAGGGGCGTCGGGGCCAAGAGCCGAGTCACGGAGACTGCTTGTCGAGTGTCGTCGCACCCTTGGCGGTGTCTGAGCTTCTTCCGGGGTGGTGTTTGTGGGAACCTGAGACGCATAACCCTCGTCCGACCCCTCAGGAACGTCTGCCGGATCATCCTCGAATCCCATCTCATACATATCAATCGCGTCCTCGACCGTCATCAACTCCTGCTCAGCATCGGTCTGCTCGAAATCCGTCTTCTCCACATCTGTGTTTTCATAATCGGTTGTGTAAGGAGTGGTGCTCATCCCGCTCCTTTCGGAGATGATGCTGCTGCGCTCCGTGCCGCTCGCGTCGACAAAGCCGGAGGAAGAGTTGGTGACATTCGAACGATAGCTCGACCGCATTTCCTCTCCAAGGACGAGCGGCCTGCCCGGGGGTTCCCGACGGAGCATCGAGAGGTAACTGTCGCGGACAGTGCTCCTCCTCTCCCTTCTGTGTCCCTGGGCTGAGACCACTTCCCTCGCACGCAGCTGGGCCAGGTTCGGGATCGACGTCGACGTCCTAAGCGCGCGCTGCGGCTTGCTGATCGTGTGGGAAGACGCACGCGGGCGAAGGCGGTACGAATCGGGAAGCGGATCCACGACGTCCTCGTCCTGGTCATCGGCATCCGTACGGGTCGAGATGGGCGAACCGAGCGGCGACGGCTGGAGGCTGGACAAGGGCTCGTCGGTATAAGGCTTGGAGGCGGTGCTCGTCTGGCGCGAGGAGCGGGTGGAGCGGGTGGAACGAGTGGGGGAGGGGTGGTCCGCGGCGGAACGAGGGATCCGGGACTCGTTGAGAGGGGAGGACAAGAGAGGGGATGCGGCTCTTTGGCGCAAGCGCTGCGAGGACCTCTTGCGCAGCGGAAGATGCGGGAGCGGCGGCGCGACGGGAGGCGGCCGCTCTGATCCTTCACCCGCGCTGGCAAGCGAGTCTCTCGAGCTGAGGGATTCCCGGGAGGGGGTGCCATCCAGGCCGACTGGGGGCCCGGAAAGGATATTAACTGGGTGCATCTTCAGGCCGTTCAGAAGCGAGTGGCTCGGGGACTGCGGCGCGCTTGTCGGCGCCGTAGGGGGCGGCGACCTAATGGAACGCAGGTCCTCGGGGCGGCGCTTAGGCTCCCTCTTCTTGTGGTGGAGGTGAAACAGCCCCGAATGGCCGCCATCGCTTGCAGGCGATTCCAGCTGCAGCGGTCCCATTGTCATCTGCGGCATGGGCGAATCTCTGAGGCCGAAGCCTGCCTGTCCCACAGATTCCACGCAGCCTGGCGTTCGGCAATGCTCTGCATTCCCTGGGGCACGGGTCGTCTCGGGGCGGCGCGCTGAGTCGTCTGTTTGGCTGCTCCGAATGGGCGCGGCTGACGGGGGACCGGGGAATGCTGCGCAATTACTGCAGGCCGAAGGTGGTCAAACGAGCGGCGGTGGGTAAAGAATGGACGGCCAGTTGCACGCAACGGCGGCTGTGGGGCATGACAGATCGTGGCTCTGGGGACGGCAGCGGCGGCAGCGCAGCTTGTAGCGGCGAGCGACCAGCGGTGTTCGGGGAAGTTAAGCAGCAGCGCGCACTGGGCGTGAGAAAGAACGCTGGCGTTTGAGCGTCGCCAAGGCGGAGGAGCGTGCATGAACGGAGGCCATCATTTCGCTCCGCTCGAGCGCAGGGCCAGGGGCGGAACGCATCGCGCGTGATGAGGGAGCAAGGTCATTGCTGCACGCGCTAAGTCTGAACCTCCGGAATTGCGTCGAGATGCTGTGCGGCCCTGGCTGCGGGCTGCCGGCCGCCGTGACAGCCCGCGCGGCCAGCCTGATCAGTGAGCAGCGCCCTGCCGCAGCTGTGAGGGCGCGACGCGTTACAGCAGCAAGCGGTGCGGTCGCCAACGGGCGGGAGCTAGCCGCATGCATTATGCCAGCAGCGATGCGCCCGCGCTGGTTGGCCAGCCGCACGCAGGAGGCGATCCGTCGGCTGCGCATCTATGTAAGCCTCCGACTCGCGGGCCAAGAGCCGCGTCGGCGTCGCTCAGCTTGCCGCGCCCCAGGCTGCGGCATCGTCGCCATGCCCCATGCCGGACAGCCAACAACCAAGGCCGATCCGGGATCTGCCCCTCAGCGCCAGCCGACGAGGGAAGCACGTCCGCAGCTCGCTCCGAACGCGTCTCTGCCCTACAGTTGGCATCCCGGTCGCCGTTGAAACGCTTACCAAAAACCGGGCAGCCGGCGCTCCTGCTGACAGCATCCGGCCGGCGGCTTCTGGGGGGCAGGCTCACGGCTCGCCCAGCTTGTTAATGTCGCTTTCGCTCCCCGTGTCCACCACGAGGCCCGTCCTGCCGCGTGCTGGTGCACGCATCCCGTCAAAACGTCAGCGGCGTGCCTTGAACGTGGATGACACCCATGTCGTCCCGAGCTTGGCTGCTTTGTTTGCGAGCTTCGCACCCAGCATCTGCGGCCGGATCAGCGCCAGCCGTGCGATCAGCGCCGGGCGGGAGCATCTGCTGCCACATGGTTTTTGCCGACGATGCCGACACAAGAGCACAGTACGAGCGACTCTTTTTCTGCACGCCGTGCATAAAATCACACGGAGTACGTTCTGGATCCAAGCCGATTATTAGTTAGCTTCACGACAAATGTCCGCAGGATTCCCGAGCGGTGAGGCTGAAGGTTGTTCCTTAAAGAGTATTAAGGCCATGCGCTGTCCTAAGCACAGCCTCTACAGTGAAATGAACCGGCCCTTCCGGGCGTACTACGTAGGCTTTGTGCTGCGCAAGGCTGCGATGCATGGGATGCATGGCAGCCCGACGATGGTTGGCAGCAAGCGTCATGACCTCTGTTCCATGCCGGCCAACGGCCAACGTTCGAGGCCACCTTGTGCACGTGTACGCTGCTGGTGTGAAGCCCGTCCCATTCGTCCTGCACGTACCGATGCCCGCAAAACTCCGGCGAAATGCAACCGCAGAAGCTCCCAACATACACATCCCAGGCCTGCCTAGTTCTTGCCCGAGGCATACCGCTTGACCCAGTCCTTGGCCGTCTTCTCGAACTCCTTCTTGTCCCGCTTGTAGACTTCGGCAATGGCGGGCTCGACGGGGTCGCCGACGTCCGGCTCGATCATCAGGTTGTGGACCATGTTGAGCACCGCGTTGAGCTTGTTGGGCGGCTTCCACTGGTCCGCGCGCAGCATTCCCAGGCACATGAGTCCCTTGTCATCGTTGCTGACATTTGGGTGGTAGATCTTCGTGTGGAAGTTGAGCACCGGCGGCTTGAAGGGGTAGTCCTTGGGAAGGGTGATGAGGAGACGGAACTGGCCGCCCTGCAAGGTCCACAGCGTGAGAATTTTCTCGTAAAGCAAAAAAGAGATCAACAGGAGTACTCACGGCGTAAACGGACTGCTCGGGACCCTCGATCAGGACCTCCCACAAATGCACGTCGGACTCGTCGACGAGCTGCACCTTCATGCTCGGCGGCGGGTCGCTTGTCACCTCCGTCAGCTCCTGCGGCGGGCGTCAGTTCCCGTGGCACTCTGCGACGGCAAGATGCGGGCGGGGCTGTACCCTTGTGATACGTTTCTGCGAAGCCATGGTGTCGGGGCGCTGTCGTCGTTTGGCGCTGGGGCGAGGCAGACGACCGTGGAGGCTGGCTAGCTTTGGAAGTCGACGAGCGGAGTCGCAGGGTCCAGAAGGCTTCAGGTGCCTTGGCTGGGCTGGCAGTCAAACTTGCGCTCTGCAGGGCGTGCACGTCAGGAAAGAGTGTCGTGGGGTGCTAGCTTTGAGCACCGCGATGCAGGAGAAGTCATCGTCGCGGTGCGCAGTGGCGGGGTATGCGTAGCTAGGTAAACTACCACGCGTCAGACCAGCTTGTTCGACGTGGTTGCGCCTTTCTTCCCACGCACCAGCACAGCTGCCAGCGCCGTATGCAAACGGCCGGTCAACGCTCGCCTCTTCACCCGCCCGCATGCCTTGCGCTCCACAAACCCCCGTGCTGTCTGAGCGCCCGAGGCTGCAGCCCTCGCAATGTTGCTTGAAGCTTTGCGATAGATCGATAAGCCCCACCTGACTCGCGACGCCTCCCTGAGACTCATCGCGTCCTGCTCCTGAAACCAGCCTCATCTTCGCAACATGATTGCCAATATCCTCCACGCTCACAGCCATCTTCCTACGCACGGCAGACTTACGAATCGCCGCTGCTTTCGGGGCGCTGCAGGCCGATCTGCCAGCCGCCGTTTTGCCACTTGCGGACAGCAATGCGGCGAGAAAAGGAGGATCGCTCCTAGGCTGACTTGCGCGTCTGAGCGCGACTGATTCCAGAACGACGACGAATTTCTAGCGTCGCAGGTCTGTCGGGAATGAGTTCTTCCTTTTCCCAAATTGATTATGATAGACGGGTAATATTGGAGGCAGTCTGTGTCCTTACCATGCCTCGTCCCGGAGCCGCATACCATGGCCTCGGGAGCCGCGCCGATGAAGCGAGATGGCCATGTTCCATCGGATCTCGTCCGCAATCTTCAAACTCGTGGCCAAGTGTTGGTTGGGCTCGAGGAGCGTCAGGCTGCCTGCCATGGGTATAATAAGCATCCCCCACAGACCCTGAGCCAGGACACCACGCCGTTGCGCCGCCAAGAATTCTGAGGTCAGCCGGTCATGCACTTCCGCGATGCATCTCAACGATACAGCCAGTGGTTGGTGTGCAGAACATGAAGCTACTTATGGGGCTTACTAAGCCGATATACATGTTGGCGGACTGGCCTCGATGCTCCCCGGCGCCGGCGGTCAGACCGGCTTTGGGGTTACACATCTGAGTGCTAGGATTCCTTTCATATTCCTTCGTTGAAGATAGTCGATAGCACCGGCGTCGCACCTTGCCGTACACCACGTCGGCTCGGCTCGTTAGGTTGCACAGGGGCTGCGGAACAAAGGCCGATATGTCCGCGTTCTCTAGGGGAGCAGCCGCCAAACCAAGCTTTTGAGCGCTCCCGAGGTGCGAAGAGTCCTATCCAGGTCAGCTGTCACCTGGCAGTGGCGCGCTTGGATAAAGGCACCCCAAGAACGGCGGGCTACAAATTACTACGGCGTAAGCGCGTGTAGCGAGAGGGACCGGCACGCTTGTCGTCCGTCTGCCATTGATGTCAAGCATAGAAGCGGGCACATCTGCCGTAGACCTGTCACGGCAATGGCATGTGAACCATCTGAGACGTATTCCCACGAATGGCCGGTGTCGGCCGGCGCACCACGGCGCTGGGGGGCGGAGTCACCACGGCGGACAGCTTGTCTAGGCAGTCTGTTTCGAAGGACGAGCGGTCTTGTGGTGGTGTTTCAGACGGAACGAGCTGGCGTCTCCTGTGCTGCACGGAGCGGCTGCACGATGGCGCAAACGGCGGCAGGAGAGTTTGGAGCAGCTGCGACGCATGCGCTCATGGGCGGCGCGCGCGCAGGAGAAGGGCCCTCGGGCAGGCGCAGAGCTGCATGAACCAGCGCAGGCGATCTGAGGCGGTCTGCGTGGGTGCTCGCTGCAGGGCATCTGTCATAGGGGAGAGAGCTGGTAGTGAGGGGCAGACGAGCTGCGTGCTGGCCTGCCGAGAAGCAAGCCCCCACTTCAAGTTTCCGTGCGCGCGCCCAAGTCAACACTTACTTGAACCCTATTGTCCCGCCAGCGCTCCCACCGGCCCCCCAGCATCTCTTCTTTTGACACACCCGTCGCAATCTCGCCCATCCTCACGCACACCACCGCCCTCGCGCCCATCCCCCGCACAACCGTCCCTAGAAGCAACCATGTCTTGGCAAGGTGCGCCGTTGCCCCTCCGCCGCCTCGCAATGTCATGCACTGACTGACGCCCTGAGCAGCATACGTTGACACCAGGTACCGCCCGCCTACGCTCCCCGGGCACTTTCGAGCCGCCTGCTGACCGCAGAACCACAGCCTCGTCGGCACCGGCAACGTCGACAAGGCCGCCATCTTCAACTCCGAGGGCAACAGCGTCTGGGCCGCCTCCGCCGGCTTCACCGTATGTTCATCGCATCCCGAGCCATTCCCATGCCGCCGCCGCCCGCGCTTCCGCCGCTGCCACTGACTTGTGCACGCCCGATGTGGTGCGCGCGGGGTTCCTCGATGTCGCAATCGACGGCACGGCCGGACGGGAAAAAGGATGGCATGAGACACGGGGCTAACCATGATGCGTGCAACACAGGTTGCCCCCAACGAGATGGCCGAGATCGTGACCGCGTACAAGGACAAGGGCGATGCCAACGGCATCAAGGCCGTCCAGAGCAGCGGTCTCCACGTCGCCGGCGAGAAGTTCATCGTCCTGAAGGCTGACGAGCGGAGTCTCTACGGCAAGAAGGTTAGCGCGTCTCCTCGATCCTCACTCACCACGCATGCTGAGACAAATGATTCTAGGGCAAGGAGGGTCTCGTCATTGTCAAGACCACCCAGGCCATCCTCGTCACCCACTACCCCGAGACGGTCCAGCCGGGTGCCGCGGCCAACACCGTCGAGCAGCTTGCCGACTACCTGATCGGCGTCGGATACTAAGGAAGCATTGGCAAAGGAAACGGGGTGAGAAAGAAATCCTGCTCGGCATATGGCTTTCACGGACGATGACGCTGTTGATGTTGTAAACCTTTTAACTCGCATACTCCCCCTTGCTTGCGAGGGGTTCAGGAGCCGGCTCATAGAAGAAGCTAAAGTGTAGTGGATGTTGGAGGCATCATACCGCCCTCGTCTCGGGACGTCGGGTGGTGGTTGGAAGTAGCAATAAGCAGCAATTCTTTCCTCTCCAAGTTCTCGACAGCGGTAGTCCGACAAAAATGGCAGTCCATCAATCAACCAGTGTCCTGAGAGCAGTCACCACCATGTTTTGGAATGAAGCCTACACTCACCGGTGGAGGCCCTGGTATCAGTCCGACTACAACATGGCACGCTCCTCTACTAGTGCCCTCGAGGTTATACGTGTGTCGATATCAGATTGAAGGTGCAGAAATCTATATGTTCTACTGAGGAGCTAACTATGGAACAGGATCAAGTCACGGTACGCTCACTACTTGCTGACAAGATATGGACCCGCGCATAGAGTGCCGTCGGCAACCCAAGTTCACGCCCCTTACTTAGATCTTCACCTCAGCCAGCTTCTCCACGACGTGATTATAAAACCCCGCCTGTAGCTGGACTGCCTGAGCTGGGTCCTTCTCGTCGAATTCACGGCCTTCAAACCTGTCGACTAGCGCTGCTTCACCCATCAGGCACGCTCGAATCGCCTGCTCTAGCACAACGCCCGCATTTGACCTTACATAGGCCAAATGCTTGCGCTCGCTGAGAAGCCGATTGCGTACCCTCAGTGTCGTAGATGGACGAGCTTTGGGTATATGGACATCAAGTATCCGGTCGATCGGTTGCCAGTACACGATCTCGAGGAGGATGATGCCCAGAGCATAGATATCGAACGTCTTCTGGAAGCTGGCGGCATTGTCTCCCTCAACCCGGCTACCTTGGACGAGTGGATGGCGGTAAAGATCGTACGCCGCGTTCTCCGGCGGCTGTTCCGTCAAGTCTTCGTTCTGGGCCGGGCGTGCATAATCGAATCCTGACAAGTACGGCGTCGAGAGGCTTCCTTCACACGGCAGCGGCTCTTGCTGTTCGGCACCACCGTCCAACACAAGATCGTCCGGGTCAAGCAAATTGTCGAAAAACAGGATGTTCTCGCTTCGCAGCCCTTTATGAAGCCAATTGACGGCGTGCAGTTCCTCCAAAGCTTTCGCGACCACTTTGGCCAGCTTTGCTCGCTCGGTCAGACTCGGCATCTCCACCGTACCTCGCTCCGTCGCACGTAGCAAGTCCAGCAGGCTGATGGGCTTGGTAGATGGCGGCACCGACGAGGGCTTCTCGAACACAACACCGAAACGGCATCGATCTTCCAAAGTATCTGTGTCAATATCACGGAAGTATCCGAGGCATTTGGGGGCGTGGAACTGGCACGATTTGCTGTTTGCCTTGAGCAAGACGACGAGGGCAATAATCCGCTCCACGACCTTGTCGTCCGGTTCGCCGTCGAAGACACGCGGTTCGTACGTCTTCCATTCGATCCATACATGCTTGCCCCTGAAGCTCGCCTCAGCCCGTCGATTCTCGTCGTTGTCCTCGTCCGATAGCAGGTAGATTTCCTCGGGGCTTAGCTCGACATCGGTGACTCCGCTCGCAGGTCCTAGCTGAAGTGCGAATGCCCGGTCGTCCGTGAGAGAGTACCCGCTGATAGCCGTCTCAAGAGCTTTGAACTGAGCCAACTGCGTGAGGCTCCGGTTACGCCAACCCCCCTCTTGCGCTTCTTCCCTTGTGTACTCCATCGATTCCACTCGAGACAGGGGCACCAGAGGCAGGTCTTGCAGCACTTCCTTCGCCCGCAATGCCAAGTTCATCCGGCCTACACTGTGAGCTGAAGAAGATGCATGTGCGTTAGATTTCCCGCGGGTCAGGTCCGACCATTCACAGCCGGCCTTGAAAATCTCGACCAGCTGATCCATCTTGTTGTTCAACTGGATGATCTGGTAGGAGGTCCGCTCGTGCCGCATGTTCAGGTGGGTCAGCTGCTGCGTGGTGAGCAGCTCTCTGAGGAAGTCGTTGAGCGACGACAGGCGGAGCAGCAGCGTCTCCATCTTCTCCTTGTCGAAGGCCGCCCAGCGCAGGCGTTTCGGAAAGGCGCGCGCGCCCTTGGCCCAGTTCAGCGCCTTCTTCAGCAGCTCCTCGCCTTCCGGGAAGCGCGTCTCGAAGTCCGTGTCGGCGGCTCGCAACAGGAACGGGTGGGCTGACGGCGAGGCCTCTACCGCCACCGCCGCCGCCACTTGGTCGTCGACGTCGACTTCTTCGACGACGATCAGCGGCTTCTTCAGCCGCTCGAGCGGGCCCTTCTTGTAGCGCGCCTCGTAGCGGCCGAATTCCAGCAGGAGGCTCTGCTGCTGCTCGAGCACGTCGTGCAGCAGGCCCTTGTCCGAGCTGCTGATGACGAGCTCGTCGTCGCGCACGCCCACCCCAGCCACATGGCCCCAATCGAGGAGCCGGTGCTGTTCTTTCTTCAGCTGGATCCGCATGTACTTGTGCTCGGCCTCCATATCTCGAGCTTCGGTCAGGAGTTGATAGCCTAAAAGGGAAGGTTCGTGTCAATATCATGAAGTACACGCAAGGCTGAGTTTTGCCGGGAGGACGTTACCTTTGATGCATCCTGAGAAGACCTGGAATGTCAGAGACACTGCTCCTATTCCAAGATCCATGATGTGTAGCTCAGGTACGGTCTTTTCCTTCACAAATTCAGAAACGAGGCAATCACCCCGAGCGAGAGACACGATGAACTCGGCGGAATCGACGAATCACAGAGTAAGGAGTAACCAATTGCGAGCACAGGAAGAAGTTGCCGGCAGCTCACTTTACCATTGACTCCGAAATTTCCGAGGGCAAGAGAGAGATAGAAAAGGGACAACGCGGACGCGGCTCGAGGCAAGGCTGCGGCTACACGATTCACCACCGCACAGGCTGTACATACACAGCCCCCGCAGGCCAATCCACCAAAACCTTCGCAAAGGCACACACAAGGCTCTCCCCCATCACACATATGCCTCTCACTTCTGCCATCCGCCTCGCCGAGGCTGGATAGCGTCTCTTTTCTTTTTTTTTCTCGTTTGCTTACCCCTTTGGCGTTGTCTTCCCTGCAAAAGGTTCCCGAATAGTGCACATGCACCACCCTGTCGTCCAGCTCCCCCCACATGCGCCACCCAGCTCCGCCTTCTCAGCCGCAACGCCCCGCTCCCTCTCTCTCTCTCTCTCTCCTTCTCATCAGTCATCTTTCAACAAGGTATGTAATGCCGCCTCGTTTAGCCACCCACTCATGTCCCACAAACACCCTCAGCCCCTGCACCTCGATCGTTCCATCATCTAGTCCCTCCCCACCCATCGCTAGCCCCGAGGCTGAGTGAGCCCTGCTTCGATCATCATCATCAAAGAATGGTACAATTCGTACATATGTACATGCAGTGGCGGTGGCACGGGCAGTCGGCCCCCACGGCACGAACATGCGCTGCTACTGCTGCAGCTGCAGGGTGCCTCGCCTCGCCTCGCGTGCGAAAGCCAAAAAAGGAACAGAAAAAGAAGTGTCTGCCCTAGCTAGCCCCCAACGTCCCAAAGAGTTAGTAGGGGAAAAAGCAGTTACGCAGAATAAGCAAAAAAAAAAAATGGTTGCCTGCGGAGCGGCTGATCGTCAAAGACACACATACATACACAAGCCACGCATGTAAGAAGTGCGGAGAAGAAAACGGAGAGAAGAGAGCCGGGGAACGCGAAGTAAGCGAACGAAGCATCAGTAGGTAGCGTAGCGATCGATGATCGGCGTGCAAAGGGAGTGAGTGCCATGGCTCATTCCATCATCTTCTGGAATACTGCAGTGTTTCTGCAGGGCTGAGAAAAAAAAAAGCAAAGAAAAAGAAACTGGTGACAGTCACTCCACCGGCTATGTACCTACTCTCTCCTGCGTCGCATAGATATGCAATGCAGGACATGGGATGATCGGGTTACCCAAAAAGTTGCGCAACGCGCTCCGCTCCCCTTCCACATTCTCTCTCTCTCTCTCTCTCTCTCTCTCTCTCTCTCTCTCTCCTCGCCTCCTCGCCTCTCCCACCACCTGCAGCAAAGCCAGGATTACGAGAGAGGAATGTGATTGACGCATGCACAGCAGATAGAAAGAGAGGACGAAACGCGAGACTGACTTATGGCAGATTTTAGTAGCTGAGGGCAAAGCGTTCGTTCGTCCGTTCGACGCTGGTGTAACAAAAGCTTACTGTGTGTGTGTGTATGCTGCTGTAGCTCGGCCGTGGGGCAGAACCAGGGCGTACAAGGGCAAGGAAGGCACCGCATTACCGGATTAGGCAATGTGGCGGCTTTTTCCTGCTTTTCCTACCTACCTACATGACGCCGCGGGCGCGGGGTCGGGGTGTTGATCATGAGAGCAGCAACCTACCTACACGTCCGACGAGTCGTGCTAGTTCGCATCACGACTCAGACTCTTTTTATTTCGTCAGCTTGCTTTTTGCTGCGTACTATGTACCCAGTCGATAAGACACCGGCAAGAAAAAGCAAGAAAAACTTGATACGTTTCCCGTTTGATGATGAGGAGGAAAGAAACGTGACGTCTGAAGATTTCTGCCCTGCCGCGCCTAGACCCACGTCCATCGTCGGACCGGACCCCGCACGGTTTCAGCCTCAAAGAACAGAAAGAGGCGGCGGCTTCGAGTCAAGTCCACACCATATGACGACGGAGACGGGCTGTGTGTGGGCTCATCACTCATCCAGTGTTCCAAGGCATCTGCCGCAAATCGTGGTACGAGAAAAAACTTTTCCTCTAACAAACGACGCAGAGACGGGAGAATCATACGAGTCATATACACGGGACGCCGTTACCGCGGTTCCCTCTCAAGCCCTGCTTCACAACCATGGAAAAGAGACGACGCGCTTTGTTGGAGTCTTCGAAAACGCCCGCCCCACCACCACCATCATGACGACGAGCTACGCCTTTACAAGACGTTGTCGCCGAAGCCGTTTGTTTCATCGCATCCAGCCATGTACATACATACTTACAACTTGCTCTTCCCCTCCTGCACGACCTTCACCACCGCCCTGCCGTTGCTCAAGACCACCTTGCCGCTCTGCTCGACCCTCGTCACAAACCTAATCTGGTCCCAGCCGGCGGGGTGGCCCTCAGCGGGGCCGACGCGCCACATGTCAGTGACGAGCGTATCGCCGGGGCGGACGGGGCTGGCGAAGCGGGCGGCGAACTCCTTGATGTTTCTGGGGTCGGAGCCGCCGAAGCGCTTGAGCACCCCGTGCGCCGTCGAGTTCCACGAGTACAGGCCGTGCATGATGACGCCGCCGAAGCCCATCTGCTGGCCCGGCTCGGGAGTCGCGTGGAGCGGGTTGTAGTCGCCGTTGAGGCTGTGGTAGCGCGTGTGTCAGATGGCCGTGTAGTCTGCAGTGCTGCTATTAAGGGAGAAAGAACTTACCGATACAGGTGCGCCGTCTCGGCGTTCGTCTTCTGGACAAAGGTCGCGTCGGGCTCCTTGCCCTCGGGAGGCGGGTAGTTGATCGTCTTGGGACCTGTTTGGTGGGGGCGTCACACACACATGGTCAGCCATCTGTCACAGAAGAATAACAACAACAAAGCAATCTCACCCTTCGGACCACCCCAACCCCCCTGGCCAACCATAAACCCGCTCCCGATAACCCTGCTGTACACCTCGCCGGACCCCTTCTCCACCAAGACCGTCTCCGTCTCGATCACGGTCCCCGGCTTCCCCTTGTCATAGACACCCAGCACCTTCTGGCGGATCTCAAACACACGACCCTGTGACGTCACGGGCAGCGGCTTGAGCACCTCGATCTTGCGCTCGCCATCGACGCCGCGCTTCTGGTCGAAGTTGGGGACGCCCGGGATGGGGATGGCCGAGGAGCGGGCGAGGAAGTCGACGACTTCCTGATCGGCATGCTTGAAGGGGAGGATGAGCGGGTAGGTTGGGAAGGCGGCGAAGGAAGGGTGGAGCTCCTGTCAGGCCCATTGGTCAGCCACCTATGGCCAGCGATTGGGGTCGGGTGGTTGAGCAGCGGGAAATCTAGATTGCAGCAGAAGACGTCGACGGGACTTCTTCGCGGCAGCAGCAGCAGCATCATCCATGGCGCAATGCATGCGAGCACGGATGCAATGCCGAGGGTGTGCTGTGCGCGAAGCTTGGACGGAAGGGAAGGTGTGGAGTAGATAATGCACGGAACAGGCAAGCAGGCTAAAGCCAGAAGCTGCTGCGGCTGACAGCAGGCGGGGTGAGGCGAGCGAGAGATAAGAGCCAACAAGTCAGGACGGAACGAGGCTTGCTTACGTAGAGGAAGTGGAGCTCGTCGACGGTGACGCCGATGCTGTTGGCGAACAGCAGCAGGTCGCGCTTCAGCCATGCCACCTCGATCGGAGGGTACTCGAATCCGACGCCGGGGCCGCTCATGGTGGGATGTGTGATGGTGAAGGCGGAAGGGGCGGACAGTGCAGGCAGTGCGGACAGTACGGACGGGGCGGACGTGAAGAGGGGACGCGTATAACTGCGGGGAAGAGCAATGGCGCCAGACGCTGCGCTGATGAGGATGGAGAGAGAGCTCCCCAGCTGTATAGCCGGTATCGCTTCGCTGCGTGTCGCTCTGCAGCCGCCGAGCCGCCGAGGCTGCCGAGGTCCCCGTCACTGGGCTGTACGGCATCAGCAGGCACGACGCAGCAGCAGGGCAATCACGCAGTCGCGCAGTCGCGCAGTCGCGCCGTCGAGCAGTCGAGCAGTCGCGCAAGCAAAAGCAGCCAAGCACGCACCGCCGCCGCGACGTGCCAGCAGCACCAGCACCCGCACCAGCCACGCATCTCTCTTCGTCCGAGGTTGATGACTAAGCGCCACAGCCGCTGCCAACATCGATCAGCGGCCGATTTAGCTCGACGTGCTAGCACCGCCGTCAGGCCGCACGCTAGCACGCCGGCCTTGCTGGCGCGTGGCTGCTGCTCTGCCGGCGGGTGGCCGCATCCTTCTCGAAGGCCAGACTGAAAGGAAAAAAAAGAAAAAAATCCCGGCGAAGGAGCCAGCCGTCCGGCCGGCCGTCGTGTTCCGCTGCATGACAAACGAACGAACGAACGGCGCGGCGGCGGACTCGGCACTACTAACTAAAACCACGCCGCCGGCAGCCAGCGTGCCAGCCCCAGCAGAGAGAGAGAGTGCCGCCCGAAGAAAAGAAAGAAAGAGGAAAAAACCCTGAGCCCCGCCCCGTTCTTTTCTTCCTTAATAAGAACGCGCTCCCGAAAACCAGAAACGAGGCTAGTAGGTAGCCATCGACCACCCATGTCATCGCCCGCAAGTCCCGCAAACTTAAGCCCGCAAACGCTGTGACGCCCAATCAGGGCCCCGGCCCGCCCTCGAAGGACCCCGAAAAACCCCTCCCTTCCCCCGTAGTAGTCACCGCGTCCGAAATTTTCACCCACCACTACTACGTACTACCACACTAGCACTACCACCTACTGACACAGGGAACCCGCTCTACATCATCCTGCACGAAATTTGTGGAAATCACATCACAGGGGCCTAATTTTGACGTTGCCAACCGGTAATCTGCTGCTTCCGAACCCGAATCATGTTGTTGTTCATCTGTGTGTGCGTTGCCCGTGGGCTTGCTAATGCCTTTGTCCGCGTCCCCCCCCCCAACTACGAATGATGTATGTACACGATGTGTCCCTCGACGCTGTCCCTTTGTTTTCTTCTTGTCGTAAAAGCAAAAAGAAAGAACGCAAAAAAAAAAGGATACACTAGACCAAAAACTTCGGCGAACCATACGACAGAAAAACATGCTATGATGCTCCGTCCCATGCATGCAAACGACGCGTGAAAGTGAAAGTGAAAGATAAAAATAATCGGGACTGCGAGGGGCCGACGCGTAAGTGAAAGAAGACGAAAAGAAAGCAATTAACTCCAGCATGCTCCCAAGAGCCATGAGATTGCGCACACAACCCGAGAGTGTACATGCGCCTGCCCAGCAATGGCGCACCGGCGGCTCCCGGACACTTGCGGTGAAGGACGACCAGCGTGCAGACGTGTCTATTAGTTGCAGCCGGCCCGACCTCGCTGTGAGCATTTGCGATCCCCCTCCCAGCCCGCACTCGCTGAAGATAAACGAGCGCCAGGGCATCGCAAAAGGCCAGAAGCCACCCGTCAAGCGAGTGCTCGTGCTGTCATTTCCTCGAGTATCCCCGTGTCCACGTCGAAACAACTTTTAAAAAGTGACCCAAACCCCGTGAGACCCGACATGTCGACAATCAATAACGCTCGTCGCGCCCGCGACGCCATGAGCTTCAACGGGCCAAACTGCGCACCAAGTTCGCTCCGATTTCACCCGGCTTGACATGATCGGCACGGCTAGCGTGCCTTGCGTACCGCCAGATCAGCATCAAACCTCGAACCCGGCGCCGTTGTGGTTGTTGAAGATGGAATCATCGTGCTCGCCGCTCGGCACCACGCCGCTCATGCGTTCCGTCCGTGTCGGCGGGTTCGCCTTCTCCCATTCAGGGTCCCGCAGTTGCTCGTCTTCCTCCATCTCGAACTCGCGACCGCCAAAGTGCTCGTCCATGTGGTTGTCGTCCACGAACGTGAACCCCTTGAAGTTGGCCTGCATCGTGGGCGAAAGAGGCGTCGACGCAGGATTCATTCCCGCAGCAAGCGCCGCAGCCCGTGCGTTCAGCGACGTTGCCTGGTTCAGCGCATTCGTGAATTCGGGGTCAAAGTTGGACGTGTCCAGCTCCGACTTCAACTTCGGCTTGAACGGTGGGACAAGGTTCTTCTTGGCCAGGGCATCCCAGTCAATGTCTCCGAAGAAGGGGTGCGCCTTAAGTTCCTCGGCGTCGCGGTTGGCGCCGAGACGGTGCTTGGGGTTCCGGTTGAGCAGGCCCTTGACAAAGTTCCGGCCCTCGGTGCTCAGCGCATCGCGAGGGAAACGCACCTTGCCGAAAGCGATGTTCTTGTACATTTGTTGGGTGTCCTCGGCATAGAAGGGGCTCCAGCCGCAGCACATCTCAAACACGAGAACACCGAGCGACCAGAAGTCGACCATCTTCGTGTAGCCATGCTCGTCCAGCAGGACTTCGGGTGCCAGATACTCGGTCGTACCGCAGAAGGTGTTGGTCGTGTCGTTCTCCGTCAGGTTGGCCTTCGACAAGCCGAAATCGCAGAGCGCGATGTGTCCATTGGCGTCGAGGAGAATGTTCTCCGGCTTGAGATCTCTGTAGACGATGTCGTGCTCGTGGAGATGCTGCAGCGCCAGGATGAGCTCGGCAATGTAGAACTTGGCGCGTGCTTCGTTGAAACGCCCTTCCTTTTGCAAGTGCCAGAAAAGCTCGCCGCCAGACATGTAGTCGGTGACAAGGTAGAGATCCGTCGGTGTTTGGAAAGAAAACTTCAATCCGACAATGAAAGCCGAATCGGCCATGGCCGTGCGGACCAAGATGTTGCGCTCGCCAAGCGTGTGTGCGACCTCCTTCTTCTGCACGATCACCTTCTTCGATAGGACCTTCATGGCGTAGATCCGGCCAGTATCTTTCTTGCGGACCTGGAAGACTTGACCGAAAGTACCCTTTCCGATAAGCTTCAAAATCTGGAAATCCTCCGGGCCATAGTGCTTCTTCTCGACCTTCTGGAAGTTGACCCGCAGGTGAATCTCTCCGGTCACAAAGTCCTGCTCGCCTTCCCGAGGTTCCAGGTGGAACCAGGCGTCAAGAGGCTTCTCGTACTCGACCAGGTTGGGGCAGAAACGAACGTGACCCAAAAAGGCCTCATTGTTCGATTTGTCGTAGACGGAAACGTCAATCTCAGCGTGGTCGCCGACGACGTCACTACCAAAGACATTAGTGGAATTTCAGTGGGGGATGAGCGGAGCCGGCGCTTACAAAACGGCATTGTGGTCCCACTTGGGATCGCTGATCTCATTACGGTCCCTGGCCTCCTGAGGGTTCCATCCGTGGTTGCTGCTTTGCCTGCTCCTCATTGGAATCGCCATGGCTCTCCCGGAGTCGCTGTCGGTGCGCATCATGGCCATCGGTCCTTTCGGCGGCTCCTCTCCCTTCTTGGGGCCGTCTGAAATGTCCTCGGCCCATTGGAACTGGCAGACCACATAGGGATCGGTGCTGGGTCGCAAACCGCGACCTTCGGTGATGACGACAGAGAGCTTGCCCTTGGGCGCGATGACACCGGTGTTGGAGCCTCCAGTCGAACCGCTGCTACGGGCAGACTGCGGAGCAGGAGGTGGTTGGGGGTTTGAGGTAACCTTTCCTTCCTGAGACTGAGTCCTTGGCGTTTGCGGCGGAGTATTCTGAGCACGCGCCACGTTTTCAGTTAGCGTCTTGCCCTCCTCATTCGGCGATGACTCTGCAGAACACCGGGAAGCGGAGGGGGTTGCAACGTCAGAGTGAGAAAGGGTGGTCGGCGGGTTGCTGGGGACAGTGCTCGAAGGAGTCGAGAAGTGTGCAGCAGGAACAGCAGTCGTGGTGGTGACGCTAGACACGGGGTTGGAGATCGCAGAAGTCTGCCTTCGTGGGGTAGACGCTGAAGAGCCATCGTTCCTGTCCTCGGCAGACTGTGACAGCGAAGGGGAAGAAGGGCCGCTCGTGGACGTGCTATTCTCGCCCTTGCTCACTCTGTGCAGGGAAGATGCAGAAGAGGCTGGAGGCGTGGGGTAAGAGAAAGAGGCATCGCTCTGCGGCGCTGATAAGCGCTCATGCGGCAGCAACGGGGGAGAGTCTTCCTCGCCGCCCGAGTGCTTGCTCGGCGAGCTCGGCGCAGTGGGCAGGGCGGCAGCGCCCACTGGCGGCTCGGGAGCAGGCCCTCTCTCCGCACCTTCATCGCGTTGCGCACCGCTGCTATCTGAGGGCTCTTGGGGCTCTGAGGGCTGGGCAGAGGCAGAGGGGCCGGACAGCGACGTGCGGGGACGGAAGACCGAGGGAATCGAGGGGAGAGAGGAACGAACCTGGCCAAAATAGCTGAGGATGCCGGGCTGTCGCTTGTCCGTCGGGTCCGGACGTGGTGTTTCGATGCCCGGGGGCGTGGAGTTGTTGGAGCCGATGTGGTCGTGATCGTCATCGCCGACTCTGCTGGAGGCAACCAGGCGGTTAGCGAAGCGCATTGCGAGGAGCGGCATGCGGAAAGCAGAGAGCGCGGGAGGCTGGCGCGGAGAGCGTTGCTGAGCGTTGCTGGGCGTTGCTGAGCGTGATCTCGCGGTGACGGCGACGCGCAGTCTATTTCAAGAAAACCGCGTGTAACGCTATTGGCGGGCGAGAGCTGTCGAAAATCGAACGACCCTCGTCCTCTGCCGCCGCCAGCTCGGCCCGATCGGTGCTGGTGCGAAGGGCTGGCAAGCGAGCGGCCCAAGAGCAGCGCCCGGCTTGGGGTGTGCGACTCACCTCTGCATCATGGCCTGGCGCAGCAGGTCGGTGGCCGCGCTGGGAGCATGGTCGTGCGTCGCCATGGTGGTCCAATGCCGCGGCGGGCGAGGGCGGAGGGCTGGGGGCGCTGGGGGTGGTGCTGCTGCTGGGTCCGGCGAGATGGCGTCGTCGATCGACAGCGTCGGTACAGCGCTCAGCGACTTGGAGCTCTGCAGATGGCGACCCGGGCGGCGGTGGGGGAAGGCACTCAGTCGTCGGGATAGCGGGCGTGGTAGGCGAAGTGGAAGGTTTTCTGCGCTCGCTGCTGATGCTTGTGCGGCCGGACGCTCATTTGCAGTGTGCGGCGGGTGGGAGGGCGGTTTCGAGGAAAACGCGGGCGGCGTCGAGGCTTTGAGAGGTACTAATGACAGCGTCATCCTCCTCGCGTGGCCCAGGAGGCGCCAGTGCGCAGCAAATGTCCGGCCGAGAGAAAACGACCGATGCCTTGTCCCAAAGCCTATTGGGCGCTAGGTCAGAGGGCCTCCGTCGGTGGGGCTGATGAAGGCAGCCTGGCGAGGGCAAGTGCGCGCCGTGCTCTCCACCAAAGCGATAAACCCAGGAGCGCGAGACGTAAGAACTCGGCGCCTGAACCACCACCCTCCACCGTTTAATGCAGGGTGAGGCCCACCCATTACACCGCCAGACCGCTTCCCCTGGCGTGCATCCGGCGCCGCCCCCAGTGACTTCACGCGCCACCCGCACACCCGCTTCGGGCGGCCATGCCAGTGTGCAGCAGACGGTCGCAACTCGCAACCACCGCCGTGGGCTGCGCTGACCGGCGCTGACATCGTCACGGCGCGCAAATCAAGGAGCGCTGCTGTCACGCCATGAATTGTTGCACAGCTACGGCGATCGTCAAGCATCGCTCGTCCTCGTACAATCGCCTGCAGCTAGCCCAGCCGCGCACCAGCCTGCACATCCGCCAGCCAGCCAGCCTGCCTGCCTGCCCGCTGCGCCGCCAGACTCGCATTACGCCGCCGCGCCCGCAGCCAGCTGCTCCGGGCGGCTGCAGAAGCACCCGCAGAGCTTCCCGCCCGCGACTCGGCCTGCGTGTTTGTCGAGCAGCTCTCCTGCAGGATGCGTGCAGCCTCTGGCCGGCCTATGACGCAGTGCAAATCCACAAACATGTGATTCCTGGGATTGCGACTCAGGCATCGTGAACCGCCCTGGTGGCGCTTGCCGGTGGCGGCGCGTCCGAGCCCCGACCCAGCATCGGATAAGATAAGATCCACCGCCCGCATCCGGCCTAGCGCATCGCGCGTGTGGCCCGCCCGGCTGCGGCTGCGAGTTGCTGGCCGGCCGCGTCTTAAGCTTGACCAGCATCGCGCGCGCGAGCAGGAGAACGCACTCCATCGCGAGCACCCGCGCCCCGTCCCTCGCCCGCAAGTCCAGTCTCGCACGCTGCAATGCCTCCTCGGCGGTCGCGCGCAGCCGCCGCTGCCTCAACTCCCATCAGTGCGCCCGACGCCACAGTCCTTCATCTTTTCACCCAACTGACCGTGCCCCCAGGAACGCCCACGCCCGCTGTCGCCGAGTCGGATCCAGACGCACAGGAGTCGCAGGACGAGACCCCCGCCGAGCAGGACGCGGATGATGATGTTGCCACGCCCGCGCAGGACCTCGATGACGAGGTCGAGGCTGAGGCTGAGGCCGAGCCCGATCCTCCCTCAGAACGCTCATCGCCCGTGGTCCAGCAGTTTCCGCGCAAACGCCGCCTGGGACGCCCGCCGAAGAACCGCCCGCCAGACTGGGACAATGCTGACTCCAACAATGACAACGACTCGCAAAGAGGCACTCCGGCCAAACGCCGCCGCGGCCGCCCATCCACAGGCGGCTTCAGAGGACGACCCAGAGGAGGCCCGTCTCATGTGACGCGTGTCCCCATTGACAAAGAGGGGAATCTCATGGACGTTGTTGACGATGAGGTTGCACTGCCCGAGGATCCTGAGGGAGAGCAGAAGGTCGACAAGATGGGCAACTTGAAGGGTGGCAGAGACTACCGCGTGCGCGTCTTCACCATCACTGGTCGCGGGGACAAACTATACATGCTGTCCACTGAGCCGGCGAGATGCTGCGGCTTCAGGGACAGTTATCTGTTTTTCACCAAGCATATGCAGCTGTACAAGATCATCGTCAACGAGGATGAGAAGCGCGACCTGATCGACCGCGAGATCATCCCGCACTCGTACAAAGGCCGTGCAATCGGTGTGGTCACTGCCCGCTCGGTGTTCAGAGAGTTTGGAGCACGAATCATCATTGGCGGAAGGCGAGTCATAGATGACTACTATGTGAAGGCAGCGCGGGAGAAAGGCCATATTGAGGGTGAAGTCGCGGATCCCAACGACAGACTGCCCCCTCCTGGCGAACCGTACAACAAAAATCAGTATGTCGCCTGGCATGGTGCTAGTGCGGTCTACCATACGGGCGGCCCAAGCGTCCCGATGCCCAATGGCAAAGTCGTCCCAGGAAAGCGAAGGATCAATATCACGTCTGCCAACTGGCAGTTTGAACACGCACGGGCTGCGAGGTAAGACCGCCTTACGCCTTTGTTTTGGGCTGAAACCCAACGCTAACAACGCGTAGCCGCTTCAATTCGGCCCTTGTGGCTGCTCGGCGCACTAACGTCGAGGGCGTATACGACCCACATACGAACCAGCTGCACTACCCAAAGATTATGCAGCCAACTCACGCCCGCTGGGAAGAGCTTGAGGTCGCAGGTGGCGAAGACGACACATCACTTACGCAGCCACCACTTGTGAATGGTACTTCAGGTCTCACCAATGGCACTTACACCAACGGTGCCACTAACGGGACTGTGATTGCGAAACGGTCCGGCAAGACTGCTTTCGAGCCGGTCCCTGGCGTCATTGCACGCAATTTCCTCATTGTCGACACCTATTTCGAGTCTGCACCAATCACTGGAGCTGGCGTGCCGGGTCCCGACGGTGACTTTTACGACGTAGGCGTGAACGGACTTCCAAATGTCAACGATGAGATTCTTGCAGAGTTGCCTCCCGAATGCCGGAAGGCACTGGATGAAGCGAAAGAGAAGGAGCAAGAATGGAAGAGTAGGTGGCACGGCGAGACTGCCGATGGCTGCAGGAAAGAACTCAAGATTGGCTTCACTGGCGTGCCGGTCTGATCATGTCACGATGCTGCAAGCTTCGCATTTTTAGGGATCGAGTGTTTGGGTGCGGACGGATTCAATACGGCGTTCTGATACCTTCTGGGCGACGGGGAAAGCAAAACGTCCTTTCCTTTTCTGCTAATGATTAACGGGCATTCAATATTCCCATATCGACGAGTGGTGTACTATATTCAAGCTTTCTGGTTTGCTATCGTGGGGAGGACAATGGGAGAAGAAGATCCCCATCAGGAAGTTTGTCATTGATGATGCTTGAACGAGTTACATCAATACATTTTGCTGATAGACTCGTTAGGCATGTGAAGCCGAAGACAGAGAACTGTTCTTACCACATCTTCTAAGATCGTGCGATTCCATCTTTACAAAAGTGTTAAAATGAGCAAAAGGCATTATTGTTGATGAATGTGGAGCCATCTGCACAAAGCCAAGAAAGGGCATTGCTCAAAGAATCAGTCAAGGGACATGGTGTACCTCCCTCTATGCCAGTCACGCTACGTGCTTGGCCCTATTATTGAATCCCGAACCATGCCAACATAACATCCTTGCTCTTCGTACCTTGACCGGACATGCACGTTCATGATTACCAAGCTAGATCTATCGCCAGAACAACAGCCACCTCCTCACAGCCTTGAAAACCGCGCTCCATCTCACTGGGCCCGTCTTTAGAATCCAGCCAAGGAGCCACAACTTACCAGAGTTTCCCAATTGCCCAACTTCCCGCGGCCTAGCTAGTCACGCATCGCACGTCAAGAGCGGGTGTCCTTCCTCACAGATCAGGCATTCCGCGTGCCGAAAAAAAAAATGCATGGCAGCTGGGGTGGACTTGGCAAAAGACATGGCATCGAACACCTTCGTGGACAAAGGAGCGAGAAGAAGAAGAAGCACTGCATTCGGCAGACAAAGATGCAACGACACTCACAAAGGTCACCATCATGTTTAACGGTCACTAACTGACCTTTTCGCCCCCCCACTCTCCTTCTTCCAGCATATGCAACAGCTCAATATTTGAAGTCCCTTAACGGCGGGAAAGAAAGACTGAGAGGGCTAGAGGGAGAGAGAGAGAGAGAGAGAGCGCGCGCGCGCAGGCAGAGGACAAAACAAACGGTCGTAGTTGCTCCAGCTAAAGGAGCAGCACCCACTGGTTTATAATGGCTTTACCCAACTACACGATGTGCCCGCCACCATTCATTTCCGACGCGGACTTCATGGGAGGAGGAGGATGTAGGTGTTGCCAATCCTCTTGAATCATTTCCACTCTACCACCAGCATCGTAAAAAAAAAAAAAAAGAGGGAGAAGGACGAAGACATATACGAGACCCGCACACCCAAAGAAAGCAAAAAAAAAAAAAAGGAAACTGACCGAGATCTTTTCACTCCCCACCCGCAGACATCGAAGGCCGATTCTGCGGCATCAACCCGAGCGCGCCCCGAGGCCAACGATGCTGCCTGCCGTGCCCGGTGCAAGACTGGGTGTACCCGGCCGACTACGTGCGCACGCTCAAGGTGGCCAACTACGTGGGCATCGGCTCCGTCGCGCTGTGCGGCGTGCTGCTGGCGTCCTTCCTCGCGCTGCCGCCCGAGCGCAGCAGCCGGCACTACCTCAACATCGGCGTCACGCTCGCCATCACCTTCTTCTCCGTGCCCTTCGTCGTCCCGCTCGCGACCGAGCCGGCCATGTGCCACGACCGCATCACGCCCAACGGGCAGGGGTCCGACGCGTCGTGCGCCTGGACCGGCGCGCTGCTGCTGCTCGGCGCCATGGGGTCCGCGCTGTGGAGTGAGTGGTATATGCATGTGCATATACATACATACATGCATACAAAGCAGATCCCTTACCTTCTTCGCATCGCTTCGTCAATTACGCCCCCTCCTCTCCAATACAATCTGCTGCTATTCATGTCTCCAACCCCTCCCCCACGTGCGTACGTCTGCAGGTCCACTAACGAGGAGATATATCCACACCAGTCCTTTTCCGCGCCCTCTGGCTCCACCTGCGCGTCTGCTGGGAGATCGAGCCGGGGCGCCCCTTCATGGGGCTCTGCATCGTGGCCGGCATCGTCGTCCCCGTCGCCTTCACCGCCGCCAGCATGACCGTGACGGGCGTCTCGTACCGCACCGGCCTCGTCTGCCTGCCCAACCACCACAAGGCCATCGTCACCTTCTGGGCGTGGCAAGTCGGCTTCGCGGGCGCCGCGCTGCTGGCCCAAGGCATCACGACGGGATACTGCCAGTGGGTGTTCCTGCGAGTGTTGGTTCGGGGGAAGAGGAAGGGAGGAACAACAGGCGGTGGCCGTGAGCCAATGACGCCGGCAAGCGGTGGTTCTGAGCGCTCAAACTTCGCGAGCGACGGATCGGGGCCGTCGGCGGAGCGGCCGCGGAAGACGTGGCGGCAGGTCAGGCGGATTTTGCAGCTGCAATGGCGCCACATAGCATTGACCATCGTGATGGCGGTCGAGTCGCTGTTCTACATCATCGTCTTCGTGGCGCAAGACACGCGATTTGGCGAAGTGGCGGCCAACGTCAACGAGCCGGAAGCGAAAACGTGGAGCGCGTGTTTGGTGTTGTCGGGTGGGAATAGGGAGGAGTGTCTGAAATATGCGGGAAAGTTGGCCATCTCGCAGGATTTGGTGCTGGGGTCGCTACTTCTGGGATCGGTGAGTACTCTTGCGGCCATCATCCTTCATCATACCCAACCAAGTCACGGCGTGAACCCACACTAACCTACCTCTCCCAGCTCATCGGCACTCAGAACTTCTTCCTCCTAGCCAAACCAAGCATCCTCATCGGATGGTGGGAGCTGCTCTGCCACCCCTTCAAGCGTCTCCCTCTGTTTGACCGACGGCGCGGCTCCGATCTTCCTTTGACCTCTCTCAAGCCAGAAAGGCATTCCTCTGCTCCCGGCACTGCCAAACTTAGCACTACCGGCGCTCAAGACCACGCCGTCAATGGCACCACACCCCTCATAACGACAGCCAGCACATCCGGCCCCTCCAGACAGTCCACTCTTTTCGGCTACCGCCGTCCGCGCTCCCGCTCTTCCCGCCGCTCCTCATCCACCTCCTCCTCGAGCAGCTTCCATGGCGCCACCGTCGACATGCCTCCGGTCACGGTACGGAACCCGTACGAACTCTTCCTCCCCTCCGAACGCGCCGCCTCGGTCAAGGACCCGGTCGAGCGCGCCCGTTTGGCCCGTGTTGGCGACATAGTTGACCTGCATAATCTCTACGCCACCGACGTCCGTGAGGACAGAGCAGCCTTCAACGCCGCGAGGCCTTCAACGCCGCCGCCCCCACCGCTACCACTCAATGTCGTCAAGTCTCCTCCAAGCAAACCACCAACGACCACAGCGACGACGACGAGAGGAGGCCGCAACAGCAGCAGTCCAAGTCCACGAACAACCGCCATCCACCTTCCCATGGCCACCTCGGCCGCCTCGCTCTCCCTTCCCTCCCCCTCCCCCACTCCCTCCTCTTCCTCCTCCACCACCTCCCACGCCATTCCCACAGCAGCAGCAGCAGCAACAGGTCGAGAAAGCCCCACACCCACCCATCCAGCCCCCCTCCAAGCCCGCGCATCACCATCACCATCCTCGTCCTCGTTAGCACCACCACCACCTCCCCCTCCCCCTCCCCCCACCCTCCCCACCCGCAGCGCAACCATCCACCACACCTCCTCCTCACCCACCCCCACCCCGCCCCAGCCTAATTCATCCCAGCACACCCCCCAGCACCTCCGCCCCAGCCGCAGCATCGACAACATGATGGCCAACGGCCGACACGTCGTCGGCCTTCCGTCCTGGGCCGCGCTCGGTGGCGGGGGCAGAGGTGGTAATGGTGGCAATGGTTCGTCGGCATCGACGGTGGCGGACCTGCGTGGGGCGATGAGGGGCGGGTTGGCGATGCATCCGGTGGGGGCGGCGGCGGCGGCGGACGAGTTTGTTGGTGGTGGTGGTGGTGGTGGTGGTGGTGGGGGAGGAGGAGGAAGCGGCGGCGGCAGGGGAGACGAGGCTGCTGCTGGGATGGGCGCCGGTGCTGATCGGGCGGTCGGTGGGACGAGCGGCGGTGAATATGCGGAGAGGAGGGGGGGCGGCTTTTCGGGTGGTGGTGGGAGCGGAGGGGCAGCAGGAGGGGGAGAGGCGAGAGGAGGAGGAGGAGGAGGAGGGAGAGGAGGTGTCGTGACGTTGGCGGAGATGTTGGATCAAGGACCTCCACCTGCACCTAACGGTGCTGGGTAGGGTGGTGGTGGGGGAGGGAGGGATGCCGACGACGAAGGAGACATGGTGAGTTGGAAATGGTCAGCTCCGCGTGTCTATCGTCGTCCGCTCGTGAGACTCGTGTTGGATGGAACACATGAGAGCGAGAATGGGAAGGTGTGGAGAGGAGAAGGAGCAAGCGTGTGGAGAGAGTGGTTGATGCGTGCGGGGAAAGAGTACGTACCCACCAGTGTCCGCTCATACCTTCCGTTCTTGGACGAGACCGGGAAACAGCAGCAGGCGCTCAATTTTTTTTCCATTTGCTGGTAGAGACATCATCGAATGCAATCGCAAGCTTCCTTCCCCTTCTCCTGAAAACGTCAACCGCGCTGGTCTTCGTCAAGACAGCGCTCGACGCTGCATCTTGGCATCATACAAGCCGCCATGCATGGTGGTCGTCCGCGCAAGGGTGTTGTACCAACGTCAGCCAATCCATCATCCGTCCAGACGCGGCTGACCAAAAAAGTAGTAGCAGCGAGCACAAGCAACGCCTTCTTCCACCATCCACATCGAACGCAAAACGGCGATCCTCTTTAGCCTGACGGGAAGGGAAAAAACAGCCACACCCGCCGCACTTCTGCCCGAAGCCCGGCGGCCACAGGATGCAGCACACTACTGCAGCCAGAGGCAGCAGCGAGCGGACAAAACCGCTCCGCAAAAAAAAAGGCGAAAAACTCCGCTTGTCCCGCCCGCGCTGCTCGCCGGCGCGCCGCCGCCATCGTCGTCACATCACCATGCAGCCGAGCTATTTTCGCCATTGGGGGGGAATCAGAACGACGACGACGACCGACATGACGCCTCCCCCACGGCTTTGCGCCCGGCCCCATTATTTTGTCAACCACGGACCGACCATACATGTGGGCAGCGAGCCGCAACGGCAGCCAGCAGACCTACGCACGGGGCGGGCGGAGCGCCGACCGGTTAGGGCGTGGTGGGTGAGAAATAATGTTCGGGGGCGTCTCCTCTCTCTCCCCGGCCGTCCGTTCGACAAGGGACGACGAGTACGAAGAACCTACGTACCCCCAGGGCGAGGCGCAGTACGTAGTGACTCCGGACGTTCAAACCTTCGCATGGGCATGGCAGGGGCACGCGGGGGGCACGGATGACGGTACAATATTAAAAAAATAAAATAAGAATAATTACCAGCGAGCGGGCAAGGATGCTGCCGGCGATGGCATTCGCACGGAGGGTTGCGAACGAGGCTTAGCACAGCCATGCACACTCACTTCTCACACACGCACTCATACACATACCAAAATTACACAGCTCAGCCCGGCTCAGCCCAGTCGGCCGAGACGAGACGAGACGAGACGAGACGAGGCGAGACGATGCAAGACGCGTATCCAGGCCTTGCCATGCCATGCCATGCCATGCCGTGCCATGCCCGCATCCCGCACGCGAGATGGGAAGCAGGATTGATTGATTCTCATCATCCGCCCGCGATCGACGTTCGTTGGGCTGAGACACGAACCGATCATCACCGCTCCTGGCTGCTGCTCCCCCTCGGTTCGACCGGTGGTCGAGAAACTTCCCCTCAGACGCACAAACCCTCGCCTTCTTCCTCGCGACCGAAGCTGCCTCGCAGTCGCTGCCTTGGTCCGGAGATGAGTGGAAGGGTGATTGTTGTTGGCGTCCAATGTCGATGAAACACCATCATCTCATCCCTTATACCTTCGTCTCGTCTACATCGCCATACCCAGACCGGGAAACACGGGTTGGCGACGGCAAGTTCCAGCCAGAAACGAGGCTTTGCAACGTCGGAATACCACCCATCACATGCAACAGTCAATCATGACCATGGAGAAAGCCGAAGTTTTTGTGGTGTGCCTTCGGCCGCTCAAGGCGGCCGAAAGCTCAATGTGTTGTTTTGTATTTCTCAAGTGTAGAGAAGCAATCTGTCTTTCGCTATGGCTTTTTTGTGGTTTTTTCTTTTTTTCCTTTCAGTGAAGTCGGTGAAAAAGAACCCAAATCCCTGCCCCAAGCATTTGCTGTAATGCCGTCACCGTCTTGATATGTTCCTGAATTAATTCCAAACCAAAGAAATAAAAGAGAAAGAAGCCGAAAAAAACAAGTGGGCTCTGTGGTTTGGGTATTTGCAACGTGCAGTAGTCTGTAGGATGAAAGCCCCCCTCTCCTCCGGCAACCATCGAATGCCATTAATTACAAGCAAAGCAGAACGAATCAAACCTCCCAGCCATGCAAAATCTCGGAATCGCCTCCGTAGGTCCGCGGAATGAAGCTGCTCGAAGCGAACAAGTAAAGTCGTAAACGTTTAGAAGGGTGTAAAGGCTGAAGATCGGAGGGTCGCCCAGGGTCGAAGGAATGGAGGCGGTCCCACTGCCTGTCGCGGGGCCGGCGACCGTCCGCGAGGGAGAAGAAAAGCCAGAGCCCCGCTAATGCGCCTAAGCCAGAGCCCAGACCCAAAACCGGAGCCCCAGCGAACAACAGATTTTTAAGGGCGCAAGAATGATGCCGAGAAGGCCCCGAAAGCAGAAAAAAACAAGCAAAGATCCCAGCCAACACCCCTTCCGGTAATGCCTTCCACCAGCCAAGTCCGTAGTCTAGTCGCTGAAAAGAATTCAACGAGAATGAAAATGAAAAGAAAAAAAAAGAATGCTGCAGCAATGGATGCAGCCCGCAAGAAAATGAGAACCTCGTCAAGGAAATCTATACAAGCCAGAAGCCGGACGCGATTTCGGGGCGGATGCGTGCTTTCGTGAAAAACCAATGGGGGGGGAAGCGTGTGCCGGAAGTGCAACAGGAAATCTGAAGTGTAGATCCGCATCCGCTGGAGCGTGTCTTCGTAGGGGAAACGGGCGGAGGGTCTCCCCAATATGAACAGTAAGAAAAGACTAAGAAGGGGGGAATCAGGAAATGCGCAAGTGCTTTTGTGTGTCGATCCCCGAGAAACTTTTCCATGCCAAATCGGTGCAAGCCAGTTAAAGAACAAAATGTGTGTCGCGGCCGTTGGACAAATTCCGGGTGCCTGACAAAACGGAGCCCAAGGATCGTCCGGTGGGGTGCTGATCACGGCGGTGTTTACGCCGTAACCGACTGAGGACCGAAACCGGGGGCCATGAAGTACGAAGGGTGCTGGCGGGCGCAGTACAGGCAGTTGCAGCCGGCACCGTGGCCACCCCACATGTGCTGTCCGTAGTGGGCGTACGCCTGAGGGAACATGGGCGCCTGCTCCTGAGGACTGGGCAGCTGGTGGAATGGAGGGAACCCAAACACGCTGCGACGGGCGTAGCCATCCGGGGGCGCCCAGGTGCCGGGGCCGCCATAGTACTCCGGCGTGTGCGGAGGGGAACGCTCGTTCGCGGAACGCGAGACGTGCCAAGGATCGAACTGGGTGTAACCAGGCGTGCCCTGCTGAGAGAAGGATTCGCACGAGGACAGCGACTTGCCGTACGTGCTCTGGTTGGACACCGGTGAAGGCAACTTGGGCATCGAGCGCAAGCGGTTGAGGTTGCCCTGAACCCTGGTGTTAATGGGAGCCAACTTGGTCGTGTTAGCGGCGCGAGCGGCAACACGGGCCTCGTACTCCTTCCAGTGGTCGAGCCAAGAGTTGAACCCGCGCGACTCGGTCGGCTCGCGGTGGAGGTTGTAGCCAAGGGCCACAAGCCAGTCCCTCTCGAGCTGGTTCAATTCCGTCACGGGGATGCCACTGACTTCAGACCACGATCGGTTGATGAAAGTGTTGTCGTCGAGGAACTTGCTTCCCAGCATCAGGGCAGTGGTCAGGAACCTGTAGACCTGCGAGTCGCTGCTCTTGAAGGGCGTGCCAGTCGAGAGCATGTCCATGCGGATCGACAGGTAGTTCATGCTGAGCAAAATCGTCGCGGAAGGAAGGCGCGTCGCGCAGAGGACTTGGTGGACCCACTTCCGGAACGACGGAGGAGAAGGACGACCTGGTTGGATGCTTCGCATGAGGTCAATATCTGCTAGGCAGATCGGGGACGAAAAGAGAGCATACATTCCCTGTGCCATTTCAGACACGAAATCCGTCATCGTCTCCATGTCGTAGTCAAGCTTGGCAGAGACACCGCCAACGGGCTTCTCTTCCTTCATGTGCGAATCAACGCGCTGCTGCTCTTGCTGGATCTGACGGTGCATCTCCATCTCGGGCATCGGAAGAGGAAGGATGGAAGCGCCGACGGAATCGTAGTAGTGAGGCTGCTGAAGGCCGGACGCGTTGGTGTTCTGGTAGGCGCCATGCTGGGGGTACATGATTGACGGGGGAGCCATGCCGGAATTGTGGCCGTAGCGCTCTGTGAAGTCGTAGCGAGGTTCTTCGTGGCCTGCGACGCCGTGCTGGGCAGCGTAGGGGTTCTGCTGGTAGTGCATACCTCCACAGCCGTTGCTGTTGTAGCTAGGGATGAACTCGGGCGGCGAGAGAGGCAGCTGCCGAGGCATCGGCGGGCGGTAGAAAGAAGGCATGCTGGACTTCGCAGTCGCAAAGAAATAAAAGAGTCGGTGCGAATTCGCCCTGCTGAAGGTGTCAGTGGCGCGTCGATGGGCGTGCGGGCTGAGGGAAAACTGACCGCCTCTTTTATTTCCGACCGAAGGGGATTCGAGCAAATGCTCTGAAAGCGAACCTGACCAGAGGATCTAGTAGCTGGCTCTCATGCGCGGTGACTTGTCGCTGAGCTGGCCGGATGGGAGAAGGTGCTGGGCAGACTAAACGCTGTGGCTTTGACGGGACGGACGCGCAACACCGATGAGCGTGTCAGTGGCGGTGGTTGGGCGTGATGCAGCCGAGCAGCAAGTCTGGCGTGTTTGGAGAGGGACGGTGACGAATCGAGCTGGAAGGAAGAGCTGCGAACGCGTCTAGGCGGCGACGGTGAGTCGGCGGAGGGATTTGAAACAGAGTTCGGGCGCCGGGAAGGAGGCGAATCCGTCGGCCGGGACGAATCTAAGTGAATAGCTCGTCGCGGTAGGGTGGTTGATCGAGCGGTCGGTCGCGGCCTGGTGGGCTACGAGCGACGATGTGGACCGCGGAACGCTCAGAGCAATAAGGGCGAGATGCGAAGAGGAAACGCAAGGGAATAAAGCAGCGGTTTGCAATGCGGATAGCAAGCTCCTAGAATGGCGGCAAGCGGACGGGGCCGGTGGTAAGCAATCCAGATGTGGACGGCGTCGACGCGGACACGGCAGCGGAAAGGCGTGAGGAGCGTCGCGGTTTCCTTACGGCGGCCCAGACGCAAGGCAGGAGGCGGCAGGAGGCGGGAATTCGGCGATGGGCGGTCTCGCTCGATGACAGCCGCGATGCACGGAGCAGAACGTCTCGACAGGCGGGTTTTCAGGCGCTGTGCAGGGTGGCGGGCGCAGTGCGGCAGCGGCAAGCCAGACGGAAGTGCTCGGGCAGACGACGCGTCGGGGGCGAGCGAAGGGTGAAGAGAGGGAGCGCTTCGCCGGGCGCGGAGTGGGATGGGGAGGCGGAAAGGGAAGATGGACGACGAAGAGAAATGGGCGGAGAGGTGACAGTATTCAGGGCCGCGGCCAGGGCGCGGCGCACGCACGCTAGCTCGCTCTGACGGGCTCGGGGCGTGAGAGCGGTCGCTTGGGGCTGCTCTTGGGTTCGTCAGTCCGTCACCGGGCTGCTCCACAGCGGACACCCCTTACGAGCGGATCCTCTGGCCAACCACGAGATCGGAGCCCAGCCTGCAGCGCCGCCGCTGGTCTCTGCCACGTCGGCTTCTCGTGCCCGCCTCTCCAGCCCGAGCCCGGCCCCCGTTCATTTCTCTCGCTGCGTACAATACCTGCCTTTGTGCACCTGCATTACGGGGCTGCCCCCGCGCCCTTCATTATTCAGCGCCCCTAGCAGCCCCAGTCGGTCCGGCGCGTCCAGCAACAAGTCGCTGGCCGTCCTTGCAATTTTTTCGCTGCCTCGCCGCGGTGCCTCGCCCTCCACGCCCGCAATCACACGCGCCGCGGCGGCAAGGAGCACGCTACACGCGTCGCAAGTCAGTCGGCGGTGGCTGCGTGAGCGACGGTTGGTGGCCTGCGCCGGGCCCGCCGCGAGCGTGACTGCCACTGCCTCCCATTATGACTGCCTCTGCACAGCGCCGGGCCGAGAGGCGGCGTGGAAGGCTTGTTCCGTCAGGCGCGAGGGCGATGCAGAGGCGCACCACACGCGCGCCGGCGATCAGAAGCTGCCCGGCCGCTGCTGCAACCGCAGCCAGCGTCATCCGCCGGACCAAGGCCTGCTCGGTGGTGGCAACGGCTGCGAATCACATCACCACTCGACCCGCGCAGGCCGGTCGCTTCCGCATCGTCATATCTCGATGCACCACCTGTTTTTGCGGCCAAGCCACGTTGGGCCAGGCAGTCTGGCCCTGAGCGACTCCACCGGTGTTTCATTGGCCCGGCGCGCGCCCGCGGTCCGTAGAGATTCGTTGGGAGCCTGCCGTGGACCCTCGTGGCTGGGACGTGTATATTGAAATTTTATCCGCGATCCCCGGGCCTGAGCGTGAGGCCCTCACGGCCCTTCATAACGCCCGACGCAGCACCCTCACCACCCGCCGCTAGCACCGCGCAGCCGGCGCGCAAATGCCAGCCGCGCAGCCGCAACCAGCAGCAGATTGGCTCCAGATTGTTGCAAATTGCACCTCCAACCCCGGCGGGAACAGCGCCATGGTGATCTGTGAGCAGCGTGGTCTCGCCCAGCACGCAGAGGAACAGGGCGGCGGCTGCCATCGAAGGCACGCATAAACACGCATCCGGGCAAGATCTTCAGCCTGACGTCTTGCTGGAGTGCGGCGGTCACAGCGGCTACAGGACGGAACCTGCGTCTGGCCGCGCTTCGTAGTCAGCGTCGCATTCCTGGCACGCCGGTCACCCAATGGCGCTGGAGGCCGTGTCCGGTCATCTCCCATCTGTCCAGTGTCGACCCGCCTCGTCGACCCGCCCATGGCTGCAGGTCGGACGACCAGCACGAGCACGAGCACGCCGCCGGCCAGCGGGCAGGAGACGCGGTCGAGACGGTGGACGCAGCGTGGCAGCGCAAGCCGCTTGGCCGTCGCCAGCTGCGAACCCCGTTTTTCTCACTCGTTCGGTCAGATACGACTTCTGGAAAAGGCCGCGACCGCCGACCGCTCTCTCGGGACCCGCGGTGCCTGCGCCTGACCTCGTCGCTCTCCGCTGTTTTAGAAGATCGGTCAACCGGGGAGGGCGGGAGGACGGCCTAACGGGCCAGCGACGAGTAGAATCCGTGCTGGCTTCGGAGCGGTCGCTACCGCGCGGCATTCTCGAACAGATTGGATTGTTAGATGAAGGGTGTGCAGTAATAACGGCAGTCATCGAGCATTCCGCGGCCGCCTGCTGGCCTCGTCCCTAGCGCGCGCCCGGCGTGGACCCTGTGGTGATGGGCTTCTCCGCGTGCGCCAGCCCCCAGCACCATGCCCTGCGGGTGGAAGCCTTCTCGAAGATCAATGTCAGCACCAGCACCCTCACCCTCCTCCCGAGCGCCATGGCATGCCGGCAGCCATCATCATGCCTTGCATATGTGAGATGGACGTGATGCGAGCCGTGCGAAACCGCCCGCGAGCTGCCGAGCCTAAGCGTGGGCGTGGGCGAGGGCCGTCCAAGGCTCAGCGTCCCTTCTGCCTCACCCCTCGTGCGGCCCGGCACACGCCAGCAGGTAGCCGTCGCCAGGCCGGCACAGTCACGAGGGGCCGCAGAGCGTCGGTCCGCCGCAAGAGGCTTCTCGGCCACCGGTCAAGTGTGAACCGCATTGAGCATCCAGCAACCAGACCCAAAGGACCCAGGCAGACCCAGCGCTCTCACGGCAACAGCTGACCACCCCGTCCCAACCCTCCCGCTCGGAGCCCACGAATGAAGCCTTCGTATCCTTACGGCCGGCGCGCGGCCAATCGCAAACACGACCACCGGCGCTCCAACACCATGACTCCGCGCCTCAAGCAGGAAAAATGCCATCACAACCGTCATGTCGCACCCGGCGCTCCTGCCATTAACGTCCTGCGCATTTCGTAAGCGGCGCCATGCCGCATCTCGCTTGCAGCCGCCTTCATTCGAGGAATTGAAAACGGAACGTTCCAAAGCCTCCCCAGACCCGTGTTGCTAAATTCTGCACCACGACGCATCCCCGCGCACTCATCATCCCCCCCCAACCTCCTTACGGACGCGCCCGCACTAAGCCGCTCGCGCCATCCCACGCCGCGCTGCATCTCAGCGCATTCTATCACGTACTGTGTAGGTATGTACGTACTCCAGCGGCGGAGCTCCAACTGCGCGGCGGGACTCACAGGCGGCAAGCGGGGCGGAGCAAGTCTGACCCCCCCAGTCACCTATTTTTTTTTTTTGGCTGTTGCTTCCCACCTCCTGCCTTTCCCAGCCACGAGCCCAAGCCCGGCCCCAACCGTGATGTGAGACATTTCCCACGCCAAAGTAAATTTCTAGCTGCTTTCTGGTGGCGAACGACGGGCCGCAGCACGAACACGCAACAGCACGCGGCTGCTGGGTAGAAGTACGCGCCAGCGGGGTTCGACCGTTGCCTGCGCCTGCCGCAATCGGAGCAAAGACTCATCATTATTAGTAGGTACTCGGAGCCTAGCAGTGGCGCGAAGCGGCAGCGGCAGCGGCTAGGGCAAGCAGCAGCGCGCGCGGATCGAAAGGAAAAAAAAAAAAAAAGCAACGAGCTAAAAGTTGGCAGCGTCATCGTGCTGCTGGTTGTGTAATAAGCTGATCGAGGCGCGGCGGCCGCGGTCGCTGCCCGACGACCACCAGGGCGCTAGGTAGATGGTGGATGGCAAAATCCAGACCCTGGTGAATTCATCATGAGATGATGCTCCCTTTAGGTGCTTAGCCGACGGAAAGTGGGGAGCGGGCAAAGTGGGAAAGCGGGCGGAAGTGGATCCCCAACCGAGGATCGGGTGGTGATGAGGGAAAAACGAGGTGGTGGTACAGGGCGGAGGCTCCATGAGGAAAGGGACGTGGGGAGGGGAGGCGTGGAGCTAAGGTGCCGAGTAGTGGTTGCCGGCTCGACTATACGGTCGTGGTCGTCATGGCGGCCAGCAGGGACTTCTTCTTTCGGTTTCTCATTGTTGCTGACCTCAGGGCGACGCAGCCCAGCTATTCCTCGCTCCCCCGTAAGCTGAGTCTGTCCAGGGTCGCGGCGCAACACGAGGGAGGCGCTCCCAGCGCAGACTTGCTTTTAGAGACGGGCGTGATCAGCGTCGTCGAGGGGCAAGGAGTCCGAAAGAGTCATGTTGATGTCCGGCAGGCCACCGCTTTCCTTGCAACCTCACACAACCCCAGCTCGGACTTCCGTGTAAGCACAACACGGGGCGAAACGTCGACGCCCTTGTGAAACTCCAGCCTAATGCGGTCGATCGTTGCACGAGAAACGCCGCAACACGAGCCTCGAAATGTTATCGTTTTTTCCCACCCCAGCAACCGCGGAACCCTCCAATCTACCTACCGCCAAGTAGCTGGTGCCTCGGTTCCAAAATAAACCACCTTCCATCAGACAGCTGCGGTGATCAAGGGGCAGTGACCGCTAGTCGCGTGAGGCTACAGGCTTTGCCCCACGGATCGCAACCAACTCCATCCGAACCAGAAACGAAACCAACGCGGCCCCCCACGTGGCAGAGCAGCAAATAGAAACGCGCCTCGGCGCCCCATACCTCGCTCCCTCAACTACCGCAGCCAAGTTGGAGAATGAGGCGTTCGGCCTCTGCATGCGTTCTGGCTGCCGACAAGATGTAAGGCGTCACCCCAGAACTTGCAGAAACAGGCAGCTACTACGTGTACGTATCACCGCCCACATCCGGATCCCCCTGCGTAAAGCTTGTTAGCCGACGTGTCGTCTTCCCAACTACCTTCACTGGTGGACGAGCTGAAGCATTGGACGATGGCGTCCTACGCATGGCGAAGAGCCTGACCAACAGTATATTCTACTGAGACTTTAGACACTTCCCCCAGGCCTTGTAGCACAACGTGAAGCATCCTCGAAAGAAGGTGCGAATTTCCCTTACACCGATAACGAATTACTTGCCGGTGCAAGCAGGACGTACTGAGCGTTCTGAAACATGGGCTCCGAAGCTCACTCTGCCGTGAAGCCATGCGAAATATGGACGGCCGGCAGCCTTCCCTCTCCAAATGCCAAAGACTCGGGAATAAGGAGAGCTCTCAAACTGCCCGCCGGTGCCCCCAGACAGCACGCGGTGAGGCAAACTGTGGAAGCCGTTCGACTATCACGTAACACAAGCCCTGCATAAACAAAAGCCGGCGAGTCACCAGCCTGCGTTCAAAAAAAAAAAAAACCGGGGTCTTCCATACATTTTTTCCCTTGTGGACAGTCAGTCACACGTCACACGGACACATTCGTCTACTTCCATTTACAAACGCTTCTGCTTTCCTTTTTGCAAATGCCATCTTACTACCTTGTACGAGTTGCCTCTGTTTCAAAAGGTGGCGCTCTCTCGAACGGACGGCCCGGTCCTTGAGACAAGGGGGACGGTTTCCATTGTGAGTCCACGCGAGGAGGCAAACGAGGAAGAACAAAGAGAAAGAATGGGTAAAAGTATGTGTGGTACAAGGGGGCGGTGTTCTCTAAACGTCTCGTGGCGTGGCATTCCCACCAACAAAAAAAGATTGCTATCACCTAGCCCCTTCATCTTACAGACTTGTGAAGGTGTGTGTGCGCGTATGAAGGAACATTCCGTGCCGGCTTCAGCTCTCACCCGCTCACCGAAAGAATTGTGGCGAGAGAGAGATAGAGAGGGCAGCGACTAACTATCACCAGATCGCACAGCTTCCATTCGGAGGAATGGGGTGAAAAAAAATTCATACATATATACGCCTACCATTCCGGTTGGAGGAAAGAAAAAAAGAAAAAAAAACCAACAGTGGCGTGTAGCATGGTGCGGATGTGGTGTGGACTCTCATCACCCACCTCATCAAGCGCTCTGACCATCCCAAGAACTTGACTTCTTTTTTTTCTTTGCTATGCAGTAATTGCAGATGCCGACCTTGCCCCTGTCCTGTCCTGATCGCCCCTGGCTAGACCGCCCGTTGACACGAGGGTGGGTTGAGGCCAAGCCGCGCCGTCCCTTGCGTGAAACCGCGGGAAGAGGGGGACCAAGAAGAGACGGGAGAATGCGTCTTAACATAACTACCTACGCGAGATGGACGCGTATAGTGCGCGCGCCATGAACGCGCGTGAATGGGAAGGGGAGGGGAAGGGAAAGGGACATGACGTCGGATATGAGGTGAGCTTGCTTGATTGCACCCGGCGCACGCCGGAGGACACGGAGAGCCCACGTCTCATGTGCGTGAGGATGGAAGGCAGAAGCGAACGGGACGCCTCACGCGTTAGGCGTCGAGTTCGTGTCCTTGTGAGACACTCTCGGGCACGGACATAGGCATACACATGTAGGCAGGGATGGTTGTTGCAAGAAGCATTGGAAGTAGTGAACCACTCAATTCGCGGTTACGCCAAAACGCCATAACGTAAAGGATGAGCGGCTGTGCGGCTCCCATGGTATTTCAGCCAGCTACCTACGTTACAGAGACGCCATGCCCGTCATAAACCCATCCAGATGAAGAAACTTTTTGAGAACCACCGACGACCATCCCAGCAGCACAGAGCAGAGCAACAGCCCGCTTAGTTCATCTGCCTGATGAGGGCGTTGATGTGGTCCTCACGGTTGCCAAGATCACCACCCTCGATGAAGTGCTTGAACTTCCTGGTGTGGAAGCCACCGGTGGGGTTGGACAGCTTGAAGGGCCAGAGGAAGTTGCAGACCTGCTTGAAGTTGGGGCCAACGGTGTAGATCTCGTGGATCAGGTCCTCGATGCAGACAACGCCGAACTGGCCGAGGTTCTCCTCGATGATGGCGTTGTCAGTGAGCGGGATGCGCTGCTTGTTGATCTTGCCGTAGCCGCGCTTGTAGACGAGCTCACGGACGGACTTGAGGTTGGGGTAACCGTAGGCGATGTACGGCTCAACGATCTTCAACATCTCAGAGGTGGCCTTGGTGATCTTGACGAAGCAGCCGTTGTTGATCTGAAGAAGACGGAGGAGCTGCAGGGTCTTGCGCTTCTTGGGGTCAATCTTGTTGATACCCTTGATGCGGACAACGAAGGCGAGCTTGGGCTCAGCAGGGACGTAGAAAGAACCATCCTGCTTGGCAACGCGCTGAAGGCGGACCTTCTCGCGCTCTGCGTCACGGTACTCCTTGACGTAGGACTCGGCGCGCTTGAAGATGACCTCGCGCTTCTTCTTGTTGGCCTGTGTGGAACACCGTTAGCTTGATGAACCAAGGTGATCGAGACCCGAAATATTTCGGAGAAGTAGGTGTAGTCAGTCCCGAAAGATGGTTAACGTAGAGACAGCATCGACCCGAAGGTCTAGTCATCTCGGTTGGTATTGTCATCACCCCAGCCTATTTCTCCAAAATATCCAGGTAATCAACAGAGGAATGTCCTTACATCACGCTTCTTCTGGAGCTCGGCAGCACGGGTCTCGTGGTCCTTCTGCTGAGTCTTGCGCTTCTTGAGCAGGGTCTCAGGGACCAGGACCTGGTCCTTGGTGGGAACGGTACTACAACCACCCAAGAGAGAATGTCAGCAGTCTGGTGGAAAGTGGTGGTGAGCAGCGCAAGGCTTGCTCCCAGACGAGAACTGCAGCAAGTGCGGCATTCCCGACTGAAGATTGGACTCGAAAGGAAAAAGTTTTTTGATCGATGAGCAGTCCGGCGCTGCTAGGCGCAATGGACCGTAATATCTCAATCGACAAGACCCCGAGCGCAATGCTCGAGAGGTGATATGCGCGTACTTTGTGCAAGCGTGGAACCACCCAGCGCTGCCCCATTGCGTACGGCAAAATTGATTCAAGGGAGAAGACGGTTCATCTTCAACCCCAAAACCCCAGCCTCGCATTCTCAAGTGCCGGGCGCGAGTGTGCACACGACCAAATGAGGACCGAGGACCGGGAGGGAGAGTGTATCGAGCTGGAAGGTGCCAAACGGGGCAGCCTTCTCCAGCGAGGAAATAACCACAACCAGCTGCATTCTCGTCCTTGGGTGCTCAGCCGAGCGGGCGGCGAAGGGAAACGTACGACTTGACAACGGCCATTGCGAGAACTTTTCCGGCGGTGCTGCTGGATGTTAGTGGTGGACGGAGGTGATCGTGGACGTCTGGTTCTTTTTCAAAAGAGGCGCGCGAAGAAAATTGGAGGTGCGGCCTCGCTTGCGAGCGGCCCGTGCAACTGACCCGTGCACATCACCGATGCCAAGACGCTTCCACCGCCCACCACCACCGCCAACAGCTCCACCGCAACCCCTCCAGTCCAATCTTCCAACGAAGCCGCGACAGGCATCTGACAACCCGCGTCCGATTAGTATCCAGCCCTTCTCCCTCGAACCCCCCCCGCCATGTCCTCCAGCCGCCGCGGCGTCGGCCTCTCGGCCTTCGACCAGCACCGCATCACGCAGGCCCAATACGCCTCGCACGGCAGCAACCTGCGCACGCAGCAGGCGCGCTCGCTCGAGACGCAGCTCTCCGTCTTCCAGTCGCTGCTGCACCAGTTCAGCATCACGCACGCCAAGGACATCCGCTCCAACCCCACCTTCCGCGCCGAGTTCGCCCGCATGTGCAACGCCATCGGCGTCGACCCGCTGGCCTCGTCCAACCGCAAAGGCGGCGGCGGCGACGCCAAGAGCGGGGGCGGCAGCGTCTGGGCGCAGATGCTGGGCAGCAGCGTCAACGACTTCTACTTCGAGCTGGCGGTGAGGGTCGTCGAGGTGTGTCGGGAGACGCGGGCGGAGAATGGGGGCATGATCGCGCTGAATGAGGTCAGGCAGCGCGTGCAGAAGGGCCGGGGCTTTGGAGGTGGCATGGAGGCGTCAGAGTATGCAGGCCCCTTGCCGCTCGTCTGTATCAATTTATTCGTTGATTCTGAAATGCTCATTTGTGTGTCTGCCCATTATAGTGACGACGTCTTGCGAGCTGTAAAGTCGCTCGAGCCGCTCGGGTCGGGCTTCACCATCATGAGGCTCGGCCACAAGCAAATGATTCGGTCGGTTCCAAAGGAGCTCAACACAGACCAGTCGGCCGTGCTAGAAGCTATACAGGTGTTGGGCTACGTCACGGTATCCATGCTGCAGATCAATCTGGGTTGGGAGCGCGCAAGAGCAGTGGCTGCCATCGAAGATCTCCTGGCAGACTCGCTGGTTTGGGTGGATAAGCAGACAGAAGAGACTGAGTATTGGTCCCCGACGTTCATCACGGATGCGGCAGCGAGCGAAGGAGACTGAGGGTTATGTTGTTGACGACTTTTGATTCCTCTCTACCCGAAGTGTCTGATGATACCCATGAAGCGTCTGACGCGTTTTGCATCTCACATGAGCCATTAGAAAAGCAACATAAAACCCCCTAATGCCAAATCAAAGAAAACCCATTCTTGCACTTTTATGCCTGAATTGCCCGTCCCAGGGCACCACCAGTGAACTGCTGGCCACGAGGCACGCCGCTCGATCCGCCCCGGCCGCGACCACGGCCACCACCGCGTCCACCACGGCCGCCACGGCCCGAGCCTCCTTGCCTCTCGAAAGCGTTGGCCATACCTTGTGTCCGCTGCTCCAAGGTCTTCTCGTTGGCCTCGATGAGGCCGCTGGCCTTGTCGCTGAGAGTAAGGGCGAGGCTCTGCAGGCGAGAGAGCTCGACACCCTTGCGGAAGATGATGGCATTGTTGACCTGGTCAAGCGCCGCAGCGAGCTCCTCGTGAGAGATCATCTTGCTGACGACAGCAGAGACCTTGCGATCGGGGAGCTCGAACATGGAGGCCAAAGTAGCAATGGAGAGAGTGTCGTAGAAGGGCGCGTAGGTGAAGAGGTAAGTCCTGAGACCCTCCTCTTGGATCTGCTCAGAGAGCATGACCTTGATCTTCTCCGACTGCGCCATGAGTTCCCAGATCTTGATCGAGTTGATGAAGTCCGCAGACTTCTTCCACTCACCCGCAGCAAGCGCCTTCGAGGCTTGCATGACGTGGTCGCGGGTGTTCTCAGGGGGACCGGTGAAGATCTGGCGCTCATGGTACTCTAACAGCCTGCGGTAGGTCTTGCTGATGACCCGCTTCCTGATGTCAGGCGAAGAGCCAACTTGGGCGAGCAGAGGGATCTCGAGCAGCATAGAGCAGGTCAGGTAGACACACTCCAGCAGCTCTAGGTTGATGTGCATGTGGAATGGCAGTTGGCGCTGTCTCTCCAGACGTTCCTGTTCAGGAGAAATCTGAGAGTAGCGCTGCATCTGGAGACCCTGCGCAAGAAGCTCCTTCTGCCTGTTGCTACCACAGATCTCCTGCAGAGAAGTCTGCGCCTCATAAACAAGACCGGCCCTGAAAGCGCAGAGACCAACCTGCACAAGTGTCCGGTTGAAAAGGATCTGGGTGTTGACATCGAAGTTCGAGATGCCTTCTTGCAAGTGAGACATGAGCATCATGTCACGAGCCTTGTAGTAGTGGTCATGCAGCGCCAGGTGGTAGATTTCGCAAAGCATAGCGCGTGCCCTGATGATACCCTCACTGTGCTTGAACAAGTACGTGCAGAGGGTCGCGATAAGGTCGGTGGGATCTGTGGAACCATCACGGGGGGTGACAGTAGAATTGATGCCGGTGGGGATGGCCTTCCACGAGTTCTCCTCCAGAATCTTGATGACCAGCGAGGGCTTGAAGTACAGGTGCTCAAGGCGGCGCATGACGACGCGGTTCGAGCTGTCCTGAGTGCCACCGTGCTTCTCAACCAGCCACTCGATGTACACCTGGGTCCGGGAGATGCTGGTGTACAGCGTCGTCTCATCCGTGAGCCTCTCGACGTAATCAGCGGTGTGGGGGTCGATGTGCTGGAGGGCGCGGGTAAGCTCATCGTCGAGGCGCTCGATGAAGGAGGTGATGCTGCCGGGGACCTTGAAGGTTTCGCCCTCGGTCAGCACAGGCTGCTTGTCGTCATCTTCCCACTCCTCAGCACCCTCGATGACGATGATGTCACGGTTGTTCTCGAGAACCTCGAGCAGCCGGCGGAATTCATTCTCGGCCAGCTTCCACTGCTCCTGAGTCATCTGGTTGGTGGTACCGGTGGTGAGGTCGAAGCGGGTGGAGATCAGAGTCAGAAGCACGCGGATCTTCTGATAATCGGTGTTGGCGACATCGTACAGCTTCTCCATGGTGCGAATCTGCTCCAAACGGTCGGTGTTCTTACGGCCACGGGCCTCGACGATAGTGCGGAGATGCTTGAGTATGCTCTCGGGGGTGTAGACCATAGCCTTGCCGGCACGGTCGACCGTGATGAAGCCGTCATCGCCGCCCTCCTCGGTCTCGGCGCCCAGAGAGGGCACCGCCTTTTTGGTCTTCTTGGGGGTGGGAACAACCTCCTCAACCACATCGTCCGCCATGAACTTCTCTGGGTCGTCCTTGAACTTCTTGATCTCGGCAGCGTAGTCCTGCTTAAGCTTGCGCATGCGCTGGCGGACAGCGTTCAGGCCGCGCGTGTTGGTGGCGTTCATCTTCTTGGGCGAGACCTTCTGCTTTTCGAGCGTCTCGATCATGGTGGTCTCCAGCTCGGAAATGGCCCTGATGTACGGCTTGGGCGACTTGCCATTATTCTGCCTGACGAGCGCGGGTATTTGACGGTTCATCTTGTCGAACTCTACGTTGTAACGTTAGCAGGCCATGGCTAAGCCGCCACGCACAGATGTGAGCTTACCTGAGGCGATGACAGCCCAGTCGTTGATCTTCTCGGCGTTCTCAATCGCCTTGATGGTGGCCTCGAGTTCCTCGAACCGCTTGTCCTTCGCGCTCTTGACGACGGTGACGCGCTCCTCGTCGTCGCTGTCGCTTTCATCGGACACGTCCCTCAAGAAGCGTCCAGCGCCAGTCTTTCCTTCATCGTCGTCATCGCTGGAACCCTCCTCCGACTCGTCCTCCGATGAGCTTTCCTCTTCCGACTTTTCTTCTTCCTCCTCCTCAGAGTAGAGCTCCTCCTCGTCGGAGCTGCTCTCGCTGGAGCTATCGGCGGCGGTGAAGAAACGGGACATCGTGGAGGCTGATCCGGGGCCTGCGGGGTCGGTGTCGCGTGGAGGTTGAGGTTGTGGAGCGCGTAGACGTCGCGATAATATTTGCCGTTGGAGGGGCCGGCTGCATTTCGCGGTTGAAGCGAACGCACCGCATTTTGATGCGTCCGTGCGCTGTGTGTCACGTGATAGATGTGCTGCTTCTAGCCATAAGTCGTTGCCTTGCAATACATTTGACTCATGATCTCCAGCTCCTGATTCATCCTCACTCATAGTCGGTCACATATCAAGAGTCACATCTAGGTTGCAGTAGTCATACACTCCATCGTTGTACAGTTCTGTGCAGATGATCTTTTGCCACCGTCAGCAGAAGCGACAAGCAGCATCAGGACAAAGATGAAAGAATCTAAAGCTAAACTCGGGATATGCTACGCCGTCTACGCCAAACTTTTGGATTTCCTAAATGCGAGCTGCCATATCAGCCCTCCTCGTGGTCCATGTCATCGCGGCCCCTCTTTCCGCCACCCCTTCTTCCGCGGAGCACACTGCCCTTCTTGCCTCTGTTCTCATGCAGATCTTTCATCTCCCTGACTGCAGCTCTCTGTGCCTCACCCACACGCTCAGCGAGGATCATGACCTCCTCCTTCTCAACCGACTCTTCGGTCAACTTCTTACCCAGTGCGGTCTCAATGCGCAGCCAGATCTCCACGTCGTACTGCGTGACCAGAGAAAGAGCTTTACCAGACTTTCCAGCGCGGGCCGTACGTCCAACACGATGGACGTACGTCTTCGAATCCGGAGGCAAATCGTAGTTGATAACATATGAGACACTTGGAATGTCGAGACCACGAGCAGCAACATCGGTAGCGACAAGAATGTCTCGCGACTTTGCCTTGAACTTCCCCAGCGCGCCCAATCTTGCAGATTGGGAAAGTTGGCCATGGAGAGGGATGGCGCCAAAGCCCAAAGCCCGGAGCAAGATTGCGATCCTTTGCGTCTCGTTGACGGTGCGCGTGAAAATGATGGTTGGATGGCCGATCATGTCGTTGAGCAGATGGATGAGATAGAGATCCTTGTGCTTGTGGGGAACGAACAAGTAGTGTTGGATAAGGGTCGAGACTGTCTGATGGGAGGAGCTTGAAATGGACACGCGGAGAGGATTGCTCAGACTGGCTCTTTGAAGGCTCTCGATCTTTGAGCTCATAGTGGCCGAGAATAGATAGGTTCGTCTGCCCTCTTTGGGCAAAACCTTGAGGATCTTGTCGATGATGGGACCGAAGTCGAGATCCAGCAGCCTATCTGCTTCGTCCATGACCAAGTACTTCAGCTGCTTTAGAGAGAAACCTTTGGTGTTCTCGAGATGGTCGAGCAGACGACCGGGGGTGGCGACGATGATATGTGGATTCTTTCCCAAGGCAATCTGCTGGGGCGTCATATCCATACCACCAACCAGGACCGCGCACTTGACTCCGATCAGGCTGCCCAGTGCCTCGAATTGTTGTGAAATTTGGTAGGCCAGTTCGCGGGTTGGTGCCATGATCAAGCCGAAAAGTTTCTGCTGTCTCTCCATGAGGTCCTGAAGGATGGGCAGCGCAAACGCTGCCGTTTTTCCTGAACCAGTCTCGGCCAGACCGATCAGGTCCCGTCCTTGGAGAGCCAACGGGATGGATTCGGTCTGAATGGGAGTCGGGTTCTTGAATCCCAGAGCTTCACAGCTGTTGCAGAGCTCCTCCATGATACCGAGATCCCTGAAACTCTTCCGTGCCTGTTCACCCTCTGTCGCTTGTGCTTCCTCGGTGGAAGCGTCTTCGGCATCGCTTTGCGCATCGTCAGAGGTGGGCTCGGCAGGCTTCGTAGGCTCGGCCTTCTGCGTCTTGGAGGGAGCGTCGCGGGCAGAGGCAGCAGCCGCCCTGGGCTTCGCAGCAGCGGGCTCGCCGCTGATCTTGCGCTTCTTGAGGGCGGGCATCTTTGGTGGAGTCGGGAAGTGGTGCAGATGCTGGCGTCGGTTGCTGGGAAAAATCGCGACCTAATCGATAAGCGCGCCTTCCCGGGATTTTTCTCGCAACCCTCCGCCGCAAGCTCGCATCCCAAACAACTTCCTCACATCCCACATCACCACACACCATGGCAAAACGGAGAGTCAAGAAGCGCACGCACGTCGGCGCCACCCTGCCCAAGAACACAGTAAAAGCCAATGATGGCGCGCCGAGGAGCATGGTCATTCGCGTCGGAGCCGGAGAGGTCGGCTCCAGCGTGTCGCAGCTGGTCAAGGACATGAGGTCGGTCATGGAGCCTGGCACAGCGACGAGGCTGAAAGTACTGTTCCCCTAGCATACCACTTCTTGCATCCGCTGACCATTCTTGCAGGAGAGGAAATCCAACAAACTGCGCGACTACACGACAATGGCTGGTCCTCTCGGTGTCACACACCTTATGCTTTTCTCCAAATCCTCCTCCGGAAACACAAACCTGCGCATCGCAAAGACTCCTCGCGGACCCACAATGCACTTCCGCGTCGAGAAATACTCTTTGTGCAAGGATATCCAGCGCGCCCAAAAGCACCCCAGAACCGGAGGCCATGAGTACCACATGCCCCCTCTCGTACGTACATGCCAACGTCAGTCCGTCTCAAACCCTCTCTAACAGTGGCTTTCGAACAGCTTGTCATGAACAACTTTACGAGCTCCCAGACCTCGACCAGCGCGGAGAACCCCATCCCGAAGCATCTTGAAAGCCTCACGACAACCATGTTCCAATCGCTTTTCCCGCCCATCTCCCCCCAAGCCACGCCATTGACCTCGATCCGCCGCGTGCTACTCCTGAACCGCGAGCCCTCCCCCGACGACTCGAACTCTTACGTCCTCAACCTGCGACACTACGCAATCACGACCAAAACCGTGACAAAGGACATGCCCAAGAGCCTGCGCCGGCTGAACAACTCGGTCAAGGACAAGAAGAAGCGGGGGCTGCCGAACCTGGGCAAGCTCGAGGACGCCGCCGACTACCTGCTGGACCCGGACGCGGGCGGCGGCTACACCAGCGCGAGCGACAGCGAGGTCGAGACGGACGCCGAGGTCGAGGTCCTGGAGACGACGCGGAAAGTGCTCAACCGCAAAGACAAGCAGCGCGCGGCCGCGGAACGGCAAGGCGGCGGTGCTGGCGGCTCGGCCGGCGCGCGCGGCAACGTCGAGCGGAAGGCGGTGAAGCTGGTGGAGCTCGGCCCGCGCATGAAGTTGCGCCTGCAGAAGGTCGAGGAGGGCCTCTGTGGCGGAAAGGTCATGTGGCACGAGCACATCACCAAGACTGCTGAAGAGGTCCGGGCGATGGACAAGAAGTGGGACCAGCGGAGACAAGAGAAGGAGGAGCGGAGGCGCATCCAGAAGGAGAATGTGGAGAAGAAGAAGAAGGAGAAGAAGGCGCGGGGCGAAGATGTCGACGAGGACGATGAGGAGGAAGACTACGACGAGGATATGTCCGACGCCTGGGATAGCGAAGGCCTTGATGACGAGGGTGCTGGTGATGTAGAAGAGGACGAAGATGAGGATATGGAAGACGACGAATGAGCGAATGCTCTCATATGATCGTTTTTTAAATGTCTATATACCCGGCCTTTTGAAACTCTCCATCCAGGTACCGCGAGGTCGACTCATCGTGTATCGCGGCATGGTCATGGCGTCAACTTTGGGTGAACAAGGTTCGATTACTTACGTACACGGGCGCAGGGTTTAGTAACTTCCATTGGGGCAAGTAGATACAAAAGTTTGCATAAAAATTGGGTTTATCAACAGCGTCACAGGTGTAAACGGTAGCACAGCAATCACATGTGAGATGTCATGTAATAAAATTCGTTCATCATCCCATCATCTCACTATCTTACAAACGCCCTAAAGAACGTCCTAGCTATCCAAACACTCAGAGCAACTCCACCAGCCGCCTCCGCTTAATTACTTGCGAACGACACTCGTCCCGTCATCGGGGCCAGGCAGACCCTCGTCGTCGCCAGGCTCCGCATAAGCACCAGCCTTCTTGGCAGCACCGCGCGTCCGGTCGGACAGGATGTTATCCTCATCGATAGCCTCCTTGTCATCGCGAGCTTTTCGTAAGAGAATCGGCGTTAGATGAACACAAAGAGGTTACATTTCAGCTTTGGGAGGGAATGGTGGCGGCGGTGGATCATGAGACTCACCCAACTGCTCGTCGGTGTCGGCGGTGGCGGGGTCGATGGGGTCGTCGACGGGCGCCTCGTCCTTTTGGACGCGGATCTCGGACTGCCCGGTGCGGCTGACGTAGTCGTTGTCGCGGGCGATGCCGGCGGGGACGTCTTGGGTCTCGTAGGTGGACATGGCTACGGGATGCTGGTAGGTGGCTGTTGTTGTTGTTGTTGGAGGAAGAGGAGGAGGAAAAGGTTGGAGCTGAGCTGTGCTGTGCGGACGTCGAGTCGATTGCTGGGGTTGTGGAGTTTGAAATGGGAGAGAGGGTGGTTTTTTATGTACGGTTTGACCGTTTAGGTCGGACGTGGTTGTCAGGCCTTGGACGTCACCGCCGTCCGATGCTGATGTCACTCACAACATACGTGATAGATGACAAGTCCTGCAGTTTGGGCGGTAAGCAGAAGCAGATCCTTGGTCCAGAGCGGCCGTGCCGAATCATGGCTGGCAACAACTATGCCGCAGTCGGCGTGGTCTACATCAATCGCACGTGTGGGGGGAGGGGGGCCATGGCAGAATCATGACTGCATAGGAATTAGGAACCCCAGGAAAAGAACGGGCCGCCAGAAGGAAGCGATGGAAGAGTGGAAAGTGACAGTCCGTATAGTAGCAGACGTCAACACTCGGTCCTTTCAGGTTAGCGTCAGGAACGGTCCCGGCGCCTATTGGATCTGCAAGCCACCAGATCTCGCCAATCTGGAACTGACGGGGGAATCGACAATGTTGGTCGATACGGTGACGATGCGAAACAGGAAGTCCTAATGAGTGCAGCTGATCTTGTCTTCTCCATTGCTCATCACATCCCCGACGCATCAGGACAGCTGGTCGCCAGGTGATGGAGGTGTATCGAGTCTAGCTACTGAGCAAGGAAACACCATGTCGGGAATCATTCGGCCTCCGTTGTCACCGTACAGGCCGCGATGCAGCACCCGACGAAGCGCCTTCTCTTTTACTTTCCGCCCATCTCACTAGAGAGACCGCTCACACCACCGTCACGCTGCCTCGGAGCACATAGGCCGTTGTCCTACAGTGCCACCATGCTGTTATTATGAAAATCGACCGAAAGTCGAAGCAGTTTGAAAATGCAATATCTACGTCGCCAACAGTATCCCGTGTCTATAGTCTAGATATAAGCACAGGAACGAACAAAACACAAGCACACATGATCGTCATCTACAAGTATTTACAGCAGTACAAAACGTGGTACATATCGGGAATCACTGGCCCTTCTCTTTCCCCTCAGCCCTCCGCGTCAGTTCTGCTTTCACAGAACCATCGCTGGCCTTGTTTGCTCGCTTTGCTACTCTGGCCTTCCTGTTTGAAGGTCTTTTTCTTTTCCTGTGTTCCGTTTTCGCCCGGTCCCACAGCTCAAAGCCCCTCGTGATTCCATCCAACTCGTACCAAATCTCTTTCGTGGTCAGACCCATGGCTCTCAGACCGGTAAGAGCCCAGCTCAAAACCGATCGAACACGTTGTTTCTCCCACGCAAGCGTGGGGTTTTCCTTGATTTGCCTCAACGCAGCCCGATACACTGTACGCATGAGAGGAAGCGTGGGTGACAGGCGCCTGCCACGAAGAATGAGCTCGGACCCATCTTTTCCCTCTACAATGATTTCCTCGACTCTCAATTCCCAACGCACTTCTCGCTCGGCGTTCTGCATGTAGTGTTTTCTCTCGAGGTGCGGGGCCACCGACACGTCCTCACACCACTTGGCCATCAGTTCCATGCCATTGTGGGCACCGCGGGTCTCTGTGACGCCTTGCAGCAATTGCGCAAAGTCCTCCTCCTTGACACATCTCTCCAGCGACTTCGTGCCGCGGTAGACGAATAGGCGGGAACAGAATTCGTGCCACTCAGGCCCAATCGTGGACAGGACACACAGAATGCCGTGGAAGCGGTGATAGCGTTCCTTGTCGCCTGAGCCGAACCTAGCTTTGATGAGCCTGCGAAAGATAGATGCAGCCTTGGCGAGAGGATGTGTCTCGGTCACTCGCTCGTCTTGCTTGAGCACTCTGTCTTGGAGAATGAGGAGCTGCCTTGCTATGAGTGCACCGACGTTCGCCACCCTTGCTTCTCTATGGTGCATGGCCAGATTGTGAACTACGTTTTCAACAGTATCCCACTGTTGCCGTTGCATTTGGATCTCGAGAATTGCCCAAGAGGTCTGGGGGGCGATGCCACCTCTCTCGGATTGAAGAGATGTGACGCGAACGAGCAGATCTGCATCGTCCACAGCATAAGCGTACTTCGTGATCGCCGCGGCAATGTCGCTATGCTCGTACAGTTCCAGAGGAATCAAGGGTCCGTCGATATCGTCCGAGTACAGCAAACGTGTGGCAACGTCATATGCTCGAGTTTGAGTTGCCAGATCCAAAATGCCGGCCAGAAGGGTGGGTGGTATCTGTGGGAAGTAGGTTGGATAGTCCCTCGGGTGAATATTGCTGGAGAAGGGTTTGGGCGCAGAGCCACCCTCAGATGGGCTGTTAAGCTTTTCAAAGAACTTTTGAATCGATCTTCTCTTGTTCTGATCCGTGACCGATTGAAGTTGCGACACCACTCTGAGGGCGCCCGTGAGATTGCCGTTCGTGATGTTGATACGCAGAGCTTGATGTAGCACGCCCAAAGAAATTGACGAGGGATCTAAGATATAAGATGGCGAGCCTGGGCTGTCTTCGTACTCCCGAGCAGCATTCTGATAGTCGAGCTCCTGGTCGAAGCTGCTGCTGAAGGACGACAGCCTCTCCAGCCAACGAGCTTCAATGTCCGGGTCGATGCCACCGCTTTCCATGAAACGTGCAATGGTTGACTCCCACGTAGCAGTCCCGAGGCCAAGATTGTCGCGATCGAGCAGAGCTTTGAAAGTAGTGATATCTCTGAAAATGTCGGCAACAGGAACTCCAGCATCAACAACGCCCGCCATGATTCTGTTGAGCAGACCGTCTATGTAGGCCGCAACAACCTCGCTGCTGATGGTTCTGTCAACCATAAACCGTTCGGGGGACCTCGCCTGCGTTCCGCGGGCCCTAGCAAAGGACCACAGGTCCGTCCAAGTCATGGTGCGAAACGACGATCCGGAGCGGTCATGCAAGACGTTTTTCCAGTGAAGAACTGACCATCTCAAGTCGTCCTTGTAGCCTGTGAGCTTTTTTAGAATAGCAGCGCCGTCAACCGTCCATTTCCCATGAAGGCACGACCAAAGCACAAGCTCCAGCCAGACCTCTGGACCAAGTTCTGGTGTACGGATCTTGTATCTTGAGCCAGGTATTTCTTGGCCAAAAATGGTGTACTGTGCTTGTGTTTTGTTCTCTGATGCCGCTGCCAACTCATGCGCTCTCCAAGCCGCGTCTGACAGCGCCGATAGGATTTTGGAGGAAAGAAGGTAGAGAGTGGGTGGTTGCTGAAGAGAGTATTTGTCTTTTGGAGGGTCGTAATGATACACCGACTCGGGGATTATGTCAGCGTGATGAAGGTAGGCAAGAAGCTCGAGAACATGGCCCAAGATTTCGTCCTTCTCTTGAGGCCGGTCTCCAACAGCAATCAGAATCATGTTGCCCAAACTCCTCCATATTTGACCAAGCGCACCGTTTCGGTAAGACGATCCGCCTTCGCCGAACTTCTTCGGGTTCGTCAATTGATCTAGATTTTGCGTGAAAGGCTGGGTAGAGGCAACTCTTCGCAGAGCCAAGGGTCTCTGGGTGGCAAGCTCTAGCGAACCGTGGATGCCATCCCAAACTCTAGCGGCTGACAGAGGGATATCCTCGACGCGTTTTTCCTCCGGAATTGGTATCTCGATGACCGTTTTCAGGAGCCACATGACAGCGTCCCATCGCCCCTGCTGTATGGCCAAGTAGCTGAGAATGTCCACACCGTCATGTTTCCTCGAGAGCGCCAGACATAGAGCGATGGCTTTCGCAGACTCGAGCCTCTCTGCACCTATGTTCGGAGGTTCGGGCGTGCCAGAGGAAGCTCTGCTAAGATGCGGCGGGAGGAGAGGCTCGAGGCAGTCGACCCAGGCTTCGACGGCCTCGGCGCTGGGGTGTTGGGGAAAGCGGGGTCTCCGAGACGGCGGGCAGACGGACTGAGCAGCGTCTGGGGGGTCACGGTGGGGGTCGGGCGGGTGAGCGCATCTCTGGCGGGTGCGAGAAAAATGTCGGCGCTGGGGATGGCGGGCATCAGCAGCGGCAGCTGGGACCAGCCATGCTGCCACGGTGAAGTATCCTGCGGGAGCGGGGCCAGGCTGTCGAAAGGTTCGACTGAGCACATTCTTGAAGCTCGTGTGCATCGATTGGGGAGCAGCTGCGAGGGAGTCGTGGGGGCATTGGAGCGCGGGCGGCGCGCGGCGAGTCAAAGGAAAAAGGCGGCCATGACGTCTCGACTCGCGATGGCTTCCTGGCGTCACTCTTTAGTCGTGGCCGCCGGCCGTTTCCAGCGCATCCGGGCTGCCTCTCGAGCTCCCAAGACATGGTTTTCTCATAGCAGCTAGTACAGAGTGCATTGGCTTGTTCTCTCCGACGGCGTTCTTCCGGGCGCTTGTTGGTCGTGCAGAGCATCAGCCCATGCTGGCCCTCGGCGCAGTCCAGTCCCGGTGCCTGTCTGACAATGCAGAACATGCGGTGTTGATTGCAGGCAAATCTTTGGTCCGATGAGACCTTGTGCTCGAACTGGTCCTGCTTGAAACGGCCCACGTGCAGGCAGAAGCCGGGCGCGGGCGGACAGCAGCCAGCGGGCAGCGGCCAGGACTAACGCGCCCGGTCGCGTCTGCCAGGCAAGGAAGCCTAGAGCCCGCGCAAACAACATGAACTTCACCCGCCCTCCTCATCCAACTTCTTCCACTATCTTCTCTTCGTCTTCCAGCTCGTGACAGGCCTCGTCCCTCGGCTATAAGTCGCCGTCCTTCTGCAAGACCTTCGTTCAATTCCACCCTCCCTGCTTCACGTTCCGCCGCGCACCTCGCAGTTCGCCCGCCGTTATCATAATCACGCCAGCGCCGGCTCTTCTTGGACAAGTATCAACGACCCCGCTAGACCGCCATTCCGCCGCCAAAATGCCTACTGGATATCGCGTCGGTAAGCTTGTTTCTTGCTTCCCCTGCCATGCTACGCTCGTTTCTTTGTCGCACAATCGCTGCGCAACCTCATCTGCGAACAACCACGCCACGGAGCCGGCACCTTTCAATGGTCGTTGCTTCCATCGCCCTTGTCGCGCTTTTTTCTCAACCTCATTTGCTTTGCGACACCCCCCTTGGGCGCTCTGCGCCACTCAAGGCTTCCAATCCCGTTCTTGGCACCTCCACATGGTCACTGTCAGCTAACATACGCATAGAAATCTCGCCTAACAAGCGAGCCACCTGTAAGAACACTGAGTGTAAGAAAGCCGGTGTCAAGATCGATAAGGGTGAGCTTCGCTTCGCCACCATGGTCACCGTCATGGAAAACACTTCCTGGGCCTACAAGCATTGGTAAGTGTTGCTTGAGCCGTTTTCAGACCTTCAATACTAACGTTTGTTTCTCAAGGGGATGCGTAACCCCCAAGGTCATCGGAAACCTCAAGGACTTTCTTGACGGCGACATGAGCATGCTCGATGGTTTTGAAGAGCTGCCCGATGATGCCCAAGAGAAGATCCAGAAGGCCATTGACGAGGGCCATGTCGATGATGAGGACTGGAAGGGCGTGAGTTCTCCGAGTACCTCAAGCACCGCGTGCACCCATGCGGAGCTTTAGCACCAAAGCCTGTGGACTGACGCGAGATCAGGATGTTGAAAAGAACCGTGAAGGCCAGAACGGATTCCGTCTGACCAAGGCCGATAAGAAGAAGCTGGGCATTGATGAGGTAGAATTCCCTCGACAGGCTCTTCATGACATGATAAACTAATGAGCAAAGGACGACGACGACACCGAGAAGAAGTCGAAGAAGCGTGCCCGTAAGGATGACGGGGAAGAGGAACCTGCCCCGAAGAAGGCTAGAGGCAAGAAGGCCGTCAAAGCCAAGGAGGAAGCTGATGAGCAGGACGAGGAGGAAGAGGCTCCTGCCCCGAAGAAGGCTAGGGGCAGGAAGAGTGCCAAAGCCAAGGCCGAGGAACAGGAACCGGAACAGGAACAGATCCAGGAAGAGGAAGAGGAGGCGCCTGCTCCCAAGAAGGCTAGAGGCAAGAAGGCCGTCAAGGCCAAGGAGGAAGATCCCAAGCAAGAAGCGGATAAAGAGGCGCCTGCCCCCAAGAAGGCTAGGGGCAAGAAGGCTGTCAAAGCCAAGGAAGCTGATGAGCAGGACGAGGAAGAAGAGGCCCCTGCCCCGAAGAAGAGGGGCAGGAAAGCTAAGGCTGCCAAGGTTGAAGAGGTTGACGTCAAGGAGAACGACAACTCTGCAGATGAAGACGGCGAGGAGCCGGTTTCCATGCCTCAGGCCAAGGCTTCCCGTGCCAAGAAGGCCGTCGCGGAAGACAACGAGGAGCCTGCGGTAGCTCCCAACCAGAAGAAGTCCAGGGCCAAGGCCAAGAAGGTCGTTGAGGAGGACAAGGTTGAGGAAGAGGCCCCCGAGGAGGTCCCCGAGGAGGCCCCTGAGGAAGCCCCGAAGGCGAAGCGATCTGCTCCGGCGAAGCGGTGAGTCTGATTCATCGGAGTGTGAGACCAAGACAGACCACTGACCTTTTTAACAGCGGCAGGAAGGCGAAGGCCTAAATGGGCCTTGCTATCCACGTTCTCGAGCGGGATTTCCTTGCGATAACTTCCATACCTTCCAGCTCGGCCTTTGATCGAGGTTCACTTTGCAACAGACACCTCGGCATATGGAAGTTTCTGCTGAATTTTCGGTTCCGGATGTAATCAATGTGCGGGATGACTTTTCTTTTGCTTTGGCATGGCTATTGGCTATGACACATAGGATACCCGGCATGGCTGTTTGCAAAATTACCGTGGCTGCTTTATCGGGTTTCTGGATTCTTTTCTTTCTGCAAGTAGCGGGTTCACTCGTACGGCATGGACGGTGATGCAGTTTAATCGAGCAATCTTAGCTTCCTTTCTCCTTGAGGGACAAAGTTAATAGAATTGTCCTTCTACATACTCTACGCAACAGTGATGCATGAGCGCCTCCCTTCCCATCAATAGCATCAACCAAGCACATAACTTTGCAACTCCCTCAGATCCCGCAACACCCTCACCTCCTTCTCCCCATGCCCTCCCACGTCACGCCTCGTCACCACACCCCCAGCAGCGTCGCCAAGCAGCCCCTCCCGATCCACCAAAAACGCCGGCGCCCACCCAGCATTCTCAGCCCCCACAACATCCTTATCCACCTCATCGCCCACATACACGGCCTCCCACTCGCCAAACCCATCATCACCACCCCCACTACCATCCTCCGCCTCCGCCTCCGCCTCCTCCTCCCCCACCACCACTCTGCCAGCACGATCACGCCCACGCCCACGATCAGCACCATACCGCGCCACCGCCAGCCGCCTCGCCGCATCAAACATGGCCCGATGCGGCTTCTCGTACCCGCAGTCGTATGACGTGAGCACGAAGTCGATGTCGTTGTCGCTGTCGCCATCGCCCAACGATTCTTCTCCTCCTTCTTCTCTTCCTTCTTTTCCTTCTTCCACGTTCTTCTCCTTCTCCTCCTTCTTCCCTCCGAGCGGCGCCTCCATCACCGGGGCTTCGGCACGACCAGCCGCCGCACCGACGACGACCATCATCCGCTCGACGGTCTTGGGGTCGGTGTGGCCGACGCGCAGGCCGAAGGAGCGGAGGATGCCGGCGACGCGGTCGTCGGAGTTTGTGAGGACGGCGGTGACGATTTTTCTGCGGGGGCGGCGGGTGGCGGCGGCGGCGGCGGCGGCGGTGGTGGTGGTGGTGGTGTTGGTGTTGTTGCGGGCGGCGCGGAGCGTGGTGAAGAGGGGGACCACGTCGTCGTAGAGGGTGTAGCCGTCGCGGCTGGCGAAGCGGGTGAGGAGGTCGGGGATGAGGCGGTGGGGGAGGGCTGGGGGAACGGTCGTGGTCGTGGCGGAGGGGAGGAAGGGGGTGAAGGTTTCGGTTATGAGCTGCGGGAGTTTTGGGTATTGGCGTTAGCTTGGGAGAGGAGGAGGAAGAGGAGGAGGAAGAGGAGGAATATTTTCTCCTTTCCTGCTTTCTTTGTTTGTTGTTGGTTGTATAGGAAACATGTTCAAACTGTGGATAAGCAGATGAAGTTGAAAAGCGTAAGGAGATATTCCATCAGGAATTGGCAAGCAGGTTGGCCTGCATGGCTGACTGTGTCGAAATTTTGGATATAGGAATATGTTGGATCAGAACAGAAAAGGAAAGTCTTGGGTTTCCCACAGTGACGGGCAAAAAGAGTGTGAATATCAAGCCAAAGAGATAGTCGACATACGCTGCTCCACCAGGCGGTGGGGTCCATGCCCACTTCCTTTCCAAAATTTGGTCTTGCTGTGGCATTGTGCTTGTAGGCTGCATTGCGATTCAATTCTATCGTCAGCCTCATGCGTCCATCATGTTACTTTTGGGACTGGAAACAAGCTTCGGTCCACCGAGCACTCAAGCCAATGTGCACAATGTAACGACATTCGGAAAAAGGAATTAACGGTCGGAAAAGCATGCAAAAAGTGCCGTCTACTCGACTGACCTTTCTTGAAGCTACGCATGATCTCTTCGTCCGAAACATCGCTGCAGATACCATGCTTGCGCGCAATTTCGCCGTACAATGCACCGATCGGGGCGCGTGGCGTGAAGAGCGTGCCGAAGGCGTCAAAGGCTATGAGCAGGTTCTTTCGCGAGGGTTTCGGATTCGGCATTGGAGCTCGGCGTTGAGAGAGATGATGCAAGTGTTCGTTGATTGGAAACCGACTGGAAGTATCTGCTGATGAGCACCGTGACTACTTACGGGGGCAGGTGCGACGACGCTACGAGACTGACACCCCGTTCGGATCGGCAAGAGCGGGTCACGTGGAACAGATTGGTGCTAGGATTGTTGAACTGACGCACTACTCCGGCAGCTGTCAAACTGCCGTCGTATTGCAGAGGACATTCAACGTCATGCTTGCGCAAAGTGGCAGTCTGGTTGTATCTCTCGTCTATTTTAGTGTCGTATCATATTGTTGCAATAATGGCACACACATCATCATAATTGTTCATGCTACTGGATAATATTCCTACACGAGCCTGCAGTCCCCTTTTTCCGTACGCTTGTTGCTCCAGTATCCCGTCTTAGTCAAAGAGATTCAGACCTCCCGAAAAACCCCCAGGTCATCCCCGCTCTAAGAACCAGTCCAAGAGAGGGGTGGACGAGTAGTCGTCGTTGGTATCGCAAACTGAAGAGAGAGAAAGAGAGAAAAAGCGCCTTGGAGCACCAGAACCAACATCCCGAGTGTCGCTGAGAAGAACAGGGAGAAACTGAGACTTCGGCCCAGGAAACGGAAGCCATTACGCAAAGTAAAGAACGATATGGAGACGACAAATGAAGGAGGAAACTAGACATTAAGCGGTACCCGCCTTCCAACCAAGTTAATGCTGCATCACCAAACCCGTCTGCTCCAACTCTGTATCCCAAGAGCAGGGCGCAGCAAGGCATATGGTCCCATGCCACATCGTACATTGCATTACTCGTTGGAAGGTCTGTTCCGTCTCCTGAGAACTGAAGAGTTGAACTTTTAAGAAATGATCCGAAGCAACGTCCTAGTTTCGAACAAGTCCTGAGGCCGTGACGTCGTAAAAGCCGTGGCTACGGGATGTACACCAGAAATTCGATGAACATGCGTGACCCATCAACTGACATTTATTCGACGATATCATGTGCAAGAGACTGTTGGACGCACACATCTGATTGCGGTTTGACAACAGGTTGCCTTAAGGCCGGCGAGGAGTGAAGGCGCCAGCAATTGGACCAGACTTCTTGGCAAGAGGGCTGGCACGCGCGACGCCCACGTTGCTCGCTTTCTTTTTCTTGCGCATCGGAGTGATGATGGCATCGGCCGAGGCTCCAGTACGCACCGGTCTTGAGGCTTGCGCGCGGGCCGTTGGATCATCAGGGAGCCGAGCCACGTCGCGGTAACGGTTCTGGTTCCTTCTGAACGAATTGATGTTGGTGCGGTCGAAATGTTGAAGCATTCTCTGGCTCATTTCATGGGCGGCAGAAAGGCCATTCCTGGCAGGGGTATGCCCCGCATGAACCTTGGTGGGAGAATTGGTTGCGGTGGGTACGTCGGTCTCATCAGCCTCATCAGAGTCGCTCAGGTTGCCGAAGTCGATGAAGTCGTTGACATCGAGCATTTCTTCGATTTCGTCGTCGTCCTCGTCATCGAAGTCCATCGTGCCATCCGCATCGATGCCAACGAATGGATAGAAGGCTTCAGGAGGTCCAACCGGATAATCGAGGCCACCAGCTGCTCCATAGATGCCACTCAACATGATGTCTGTGAAGTTTGTGTTTCCATCACTGAAGTCGCTGTCATCGCCGTTCAGGTTCTGCAGCTCGCTGCGTGGGCTGTTGTTCGCAGTGCTGCTAGTGGTGCTAGCAGTCCAGAACTGGTTATCCGAAACACGCGCAGGCCTGAGAACCATGCGCTTTCCACTGCTGTCCAGAATCGCAATGGCCCTTTTTGGATCGAGGGTGAAGAAACCCTTGATTGGGCCCTTCCGCTTTGATGATTTAGCCGGCGGCTGTCTCTTAGATCGCGGGAACGGCTTCGGGGTGGAGGAGCCGGCCGAGGATAATGAGTCACGATGGACACGTGATGGCTTGTTAATGGTGGGTGGCGGAGGTAGGTCCTCATCGGTAGTGTCACCTTCGTCCGCTACGTGTTGTCAGCATTCACATGAAAATCAAGACAAGTCAAGTGAGCCATACTCTCATAGCCGCTGGAGCCTGCCTCTGAGTCTGAGTCAGACTCTGTGTGGACATCGTGCTCTCGGTCACTCGAATTACTGGACAGCTCCTTCTCATCACGGAAGTCCCAGTATGACTTCTCGCTATCGCTGGCCGTCGATTCGTCGAAATAATCGATATCGTCCAGATCTTGGCTACCCCGGAAGCTCGAGAGCATCTGACTGTCCTTGTGGAACAGGTCGGGGAAGAAACTGTTAAGGTCTTCGGAAGAGGTCTCGTCGTCGTCGCTGTCGACATCGGAAACAGCGTGCACGTTGTCGTCAAAGCGCACACGCCTCGTGGAGGTGTTTGATTGGACGGGGGTGATCTCCTCCATGTCAGCCCATTGTTCGCCAGAAAGTCCGAAGATCTGATCGTCGCCCATGTCAAGGAGGCTGCCTTCCAGATAACCGCTGTCGAGCAGCATTGAGACGTCAGGGCCGTCGCCGAATTCGCTCTCGTTGTCGGACGTGTTGAACGCATCCCGCAGGGCTCTCTCCTCCAGGTTTTCATCGATGTACTCGTCGTTCTCGGATTCGTCAATGTCGTCGATGGCGTTGTAGATTTCGTCATCATCGGATGAGTCAATGGCGTTCTCTGATACAATGGAGGGACCGTCCTCAGATGCGATGCTGCCCTTGCGAAAGCCCTCATAGGCGAGGAGGCCGTTGGGATTGTTACTCAACTTCCTGTCCAGCTTTTTGCGGGGGTACGCCATAGCTGTCTCTTTCTCATTCCCATTCGCTGCATCATCGCGGAACGCAGCAAATATGCCAGTGTTGCTGAAAGTACGCTTTTTGGATAGAGGGGTGAGGAGACCCCCTTGATCAAGCCCCGTCCCGCGGTCGTCACTCCTTTCTGCATCGGCGGGCTCGATGTGGATAGCAGGCTGCTTGCCTCTGCCACAGGACGGGGCATCATCGTTTGGATCGTCGTCGTCCTCTTTATCTGCTTCGTCCGCGCTGGTGTCTTCCTCGTTGCCGAGTGACTCATCGGAAGCTACGCCCAAGCTGCGTTTCACTCCCTTGCCAGAGATATTCTTGCGGGCCGGCGCCTTTGAGTTGGCAGCCTTTACTGCTCCGCTAGGACTTCTGAGCTCCGGCGAGCAAGTGTCGTTGGTCATGAGACCGTTGTTCTTGTTGGTTTGGATGGTTGCCATTTCTCTCAATTGCTTGGACTTTTGGTCTCACTTGTATTGTTGAAGTTTTTGGTTCTAGGATAGAGTCGATGGAGGTGGACTAAGGTGTGGGAGAAGAGAAGGGAGGTGGAGGATTCGGGGGTGAAGATGGGGTGATGGCTGGCTGAAGAGTTGGACAAGTCGCCTGCGGACGATCTGGGGGGGGTTCTTTGGTGGACTTCGAGACTTGGAGGGCCGTGGGGCCAGATCCAAGCTGGGTGTTCGTCGAGTCCTGACGGACAGACAACGGTGCCGCTGTGGTGAACTCTGCGGGTACTCCGGTAGAGTCTGGTCTTTGGTCTACACTTCAAGCAAGAGCTTGCTCGAAGCGGTCGAGGGCGAAGTATCGTCGTAGAGTGTTGGAATTCTCGGTGGGCTGCCGGACTGGAGGGCGCGCAGGACACACGCCCCCCAGTGGGGGATTTACAGCTCAGCGACAGCCTGCGGCATGTTTCTCGACGAAATAGGGTGGCGGCGGTGGGTGTGTCCTGTAGGGTGGATTTGGGCGACTTCGTTGTCTGGCGGGATGCTGGGCTGGAGGAAGAGAAGCGGAGGGTGCAGGTGGTAGAAGGAACATTTTGAGGCCCCGGCGGCGCTAGCGCAATGGCGCGGCCACACGGCCCAGCTCGACGTGGGTTCCGTTGATCTGCCCGCAAGGATTGCAGAGCGTGCAGCAGAGCCGGCTGCTGCATCGTGCTGCGGCCTGCCGAGTGGACAGCCCCGGCCTGCTGCTCGTCCCGACGCTGCCGCCGCGGCTGCACTGCTGCCCTGATGGCGCGCAGCGGTTGCGGTCCTGTGTACGCTGCGGCGGCCCCACGACACGGCGCGGCGGAGCTGCCCGGCTCGCGCGTGGCCGCCGTTGGACTCGACGGCAGAGAAACCTCGTCCGTCCCCCTCTGCGGCGTGCAGCAGCAGCAGCCCACGAGCGGGCGCCGGAGCGGGCCACGGGGCGAGCCCAGCGCTCATTTCTATTGGACCCTGTCTGCGCGCAAACCGGGCCTTCTGGGTGGGCAGTGGGCAGTGGGCACAGAACGATGACTCCTGCGCCGCCTGCCGGATGTTCAATGCACCACCGTCAGCCCGCACATGAGGCAGCGGCCAGCGCTGATACGCAGCCATTGGCGGCAGCACACGCGCTGAAACTCTGTCTGGAGATGGCCATGCCGCCCAATGGCCGCCCGCGCTACGCATCGCGCCCCACCTGCGCAATTCCGCAGCGGACTGAGCTGACGATGAGGCTGTTCGCGTTCGCGGGTGCGTGCGCGCCTGGCCGCATTGCCATTGCCGTCGCCGGCTGGACAGGCGTCCTCCGTCCCCGACTGAGAAAGTGGCAACGTGAGGCCCTGACGACCAGCCTCGCTTTTCCCTTACGCGAGCCTTTCGCCGAGCAGCATCCCAGCATCCCAGCGACGGCCGCCGCGGCCCTTGGCTGCAGACGTTCGAACAGGCGGTGTGAGGCTCCCTGCATCTGCGCTGTCTGGCGACCTCACCTCTGACACCACGGCCTGTCGCAACTTGGCCGCCTGCATACGCGCGCCGCCAAAGCTGCTGCCCCCGCCGCTCGCAGAGGCATGTGCAGCCTTCCGCCGTTGACCCACAACCGGCGTGATCTTTGCGCTCCTTGCCTCGTCGAGCAAGAGCCAGGTGAGCCAGCCCGCTGCACTAGTTATTACCGCCGAATCGAAAACTTTCGCGTCCAATCAGCTTCCGTCCAGACTAAGTGAGCACGCAAGTGGCTGTCTCTCCCCCTCGCTCGGCTTTTTAAAGGTAATAAGATTTCTGGCCTAGACGCTTCGGCCACTGTGCAATGCGGTCACTGCCCCCGCAAGATCGCCGTCCCTTGAGATCAGATTTTGCCAACGTCTTCACATCCATGCGAGCCCTCGTGAACAGTCTGACCTTTTCTTCAGAGACGATATCGGACCTTGACCAATGGCACTAGTGGGCGCTTTTTCTGTGGTTTTCTTTTCTCTGGCTCGGCTAATAAATCAGCCAATATTGCAAAACTGTTGTTGATCAACGGACGTAGTCCCACCAGTTTGTCCTTGTTAGCTTCGAGCAGTGACGTAGTATTAACTGAGTTTCTCCTCAAGCGAAGTCAAAGATTGTGATCGATTGTTCCTGGAGCTCACCAATCCATCCCAAGGGCGATGATGCATCAGCTGATCGCATTGATTGTACGGTACGAAATCGAACGCGCAAGGGATCGTAAAAAAAAAAAAAATCAGAGCATAGAGTGATCGGCTCTGTGCAATGACAAACCCAGGCGGAGCTACCTCCTCAAATCAAGAATTGCTCCCAGTTTGACCTGGTTCTTCTCGCCCCAGCCTGCGGCCCCTGTTGCAACATCGGGACGGATTGCAACGTACCAGCCCCACGTTCTCCTATCGAGCTCGTGCCCATCCAGCGTGGCGGCCCAGGATGCGTATAGCAGGTCCAGCGCGCCTAGTAGCATTCCGAGGTTGCGAGTTTTCTCCCCTTGCTTCGCCCCCCCGCTTTGCTTCTTTGCAGGCCTATTCTCTTCCTCACGTGCGATGGAGTCAAATGACCTCAAGAGATACGAGCGAGCGGATTGTGCCGTGTAGATTGGCATTCCGCCGGTGGTCGACTGGGCGTGGTGTGAGGTACCATTTTTCTTCTTCAGCGCCTCCAGATCAAGGCCCCACAGCGGTGGTTGGTGCTCATGTGGGGGCTCTGCATCGCCCTGCAGCGTCTGCTGAGAGTCTGGTTCCGACGTTTCCTCCTTGACTTTGTCTTGACCCTTCCATTCGTATCCCCATCGCGTCATAACCTTGACTTCTCTACCCATTATTCTCACCGTCGGCTGACCTTCGCCCCACCCTTCTTCATCCGCGCTCTTTCCACTTTCAAGCCCAACGCTGACTGCCTTGCTGCGGCTGTTCGCACTTACCACTGCTTGGGCCAAGCTAAGCCGACTTGACAAAGGTTGTTCCGGCATAGTGTATTTAAGCAATTGAACCGCGAACGCGAGCACTAATGGCGCTCGGTTGGTGATGATGGCAGTTTCACGAATCAGGCCCTCGTCGTGGCATGGCTCTGGCAGCTCCAGTGATGCTTCAAATGCGGCTGGTGTTCCGGGCTCACTGACTGCCGGCTTGAGTCTTTTTGCCGTTGGAGAGCTGGTTGCCTGATCTGAAGCGGTGGATGTTCGTTTCTTGCTGACGCGCTTCGCCGCGTTGAACACTTGTTTTGCCAGCTTCTCATCCGGGAAGACTTTGTTCACGTCTTGTAGCTTGGCCTTTGAGATGTGTTCGGGACTTTTTGATTGTTAGCATCGGTATGAGGTACTTGACAGCTAGCAAACACAATGTGGTTCCGCCGCAGGGACTCTTGCCATTACATAGCCAGAACGCGAAATCAACACACAACACCTGTGCCGTCGAGGTATTCTAGAGTAATCAGATTACGTCATACCTTCTAAGATTGGCTTGCTGAAGGTCCTTTATTTTGCCCAGGGCTGTAGCAAGGGGAAGTTTGGCATCTTTCGAGAGGAAACGCAGCAGCGCCTCGACTTCGGTCGCAGACGACATGGTGGCGGGCTGGAGATGGTGTTGGGTCACCAAGCAATGAAGACGGATGGGTGCGGATCAGCCAGCAGCGACGCGGACTCGCGTTCGCACGTGCCTACTTTTAGTGGGTAGTGGTCTGTGCACAGGGTTGGAGCTTGGCCTTGTCGCAGCTCCTACGCGGCACTCGGACAAACATCCACCAGCCTCGATCTTGCGACGTTCGCTGCTTCCGACCTTCATCGCTGGACCACTAGGCACACATCGCCGTCTGCGCATGGTGATGCGCTTCTGTGCTCATCTTCAGCTCTACCAATCATTCGGTATGGTAGGCGCAAGCATATCGCGCCTCTGGCGCTCTGCTCACTCGACATTGCTAATCTTCCCTGGAAGCTTGTTGTGTCCACCTTTTAGCTTGCGCATATCGCCTGGATACATGAGCTCGCTACAAATGCGTCACACTTGCCGGAGCTGGACACCACTGAGACTTTCCGACTAATCATCCCCTTGAGCGTCCGCGTTGCCCACCATGGACAAGTCTTCTGGAGCCAAGGACTTCTTCGACATCTCGGACAAACTGAGCGCTCCTGCTAAGAAATCGCTGCGCGAGAGACAAAAGGAAGAAGCGGAAGCAAAGCGCAAGCGTGAGGAGGAAGAGGCTAAGATAGCTCTCCGAGACTTCCAAAAGTCTCTGGGAGTGGACGAGGATGACGACGACGATGCGAGACCGACCGATTCAGGCCCTCTGCGGATTGGCGCTGGCAGACATTTTACACCGAGAGGTCCCAGGGGCAACAGTGGACCTGGGAGTCTTGGGCCTCCGCCGCCTCTGTCCAGGAAGAGAGCAATTGATGGCTCCCACAAGGATAGAGACCATGGTCTACTTGCCTACAGCAACTCTGGACCTCTCGATGCTGCAACCGCTTTTCGCGATTCAGATGATGAGGAGGACCGTCCCACAAGCTCAAAAGCAGCAGAGAAGGCAGTCCCAAAACCCACCATGCGACTGTCCTCGCTACCGCCTGGCATCACAGCCGCAGAGATCAAAGCAATGATACCTTCAACGCTTACCGTGGAAGCTGTCAACATCAGCAAGAACTCCGACTCCAGATCCAGTGACCGGAAGTCGGCGACGGCTATAGTTACGCTCGCGCAGAATACCCCGGCAAAAGACATTGACTCCGTCGTGAACGCATTGGAGAAGCGCTATCTAGGGTTCGGCTTCAATTTGTCCATCTCACGGCATCTATCCTCAGTGTCGCTGGACGTGCCTGCGTCAGGACTCGGTAATGCGGTCCCCTCATCTCTGCCTTTTGGTGCAAGGTCCATCCCCGGGGCCGCAGGTCAATCAATGAGCCGTGCCCCTCCTCCGCCTTCGCTACGTGGTGTTCAGCAATTTTACCCACCCTACGGTTCCTCTCAATCTCATTTCGGCAGGGCTTCGCTGCCGACGCAGATCACAGTCAAGCCGCCTTCGGATATAAAGCAGCTCAAGCTCATCAACAAAACCATTGAGTCTCTACTGAACAATGGACCCGAGTTCGAGGCACTACTCATGAGTCGGCCAGAGGTCCAAAGAGATCAGAAGTGGGAGTGGCTGTGGAATGCGCGGTCCCCACCTGGTGTCTGGTATCGCTGGAAGCTTTGGCAAACCATCACCGGTGAGGAAGCGACGTCGAATGTGCGTAGTCGCTTCAAGGTTCTGGAGCAAAGAGTCTTCTATGATAGTGCTCCTTGGATGGCACCAGAGCAGCCATTGCCATTCGAATTCGTCACGAAGTTCGAAGAGTTCGTATCAGACCCTGAGTACGATTCTTCGGATGAAGAAGCGTCAGATGATGAAGGACCTCGACGTCAGCAACACGTCTCTGGCGGCCCACCTGAGGCTGGCATTGATACCGATGATGCCCTGAAGTCTTACCTGAGCCCGTTAAAGAAGTCTAAGCTTACCCACTTGTTAGCACGCTTACCAGCAACAACAGCCCGGCTTCGGAGGGGCGATGTTGCTCGGGTCTCAGCTTTTGCCATCAGTCATGCTGATAAGGGTGCCGATGAAATCGTCAATATGCTTGTGGCGAACATTCAAAAGCCTTTCTTATTGACCAGTGCAAACCCGGATCGTCAGAAACAGGAGGATGAGGCAGAGCAAGAAGAAAACGGGGAGAAAAAAGCTGAGAGGGAGGACCCATCATCAGCAAAACTAATCGGTCTATTTATCATTTCGGACATCTTCGCATCCTGCGGCACTTCCGGAGTCCGTCAAGCCTGGCGCTACAGGGAATGGTTCGAAGCAGCGTTCAAGAAGCGTAAGCTATTCGAGCATCTGGGTCGACTAGAGAAGGACCTGCAGTGGGGACGGTTGCGAGCAGAAAAGTGGAAGCGGAGCATTAACAACATCCTGTCTATGTGGGATGGTGGCAACGTCTTCTCACCTGCAGCACAGGCACACTTCATGGAGGTATTCAACAATCCACCGATGACAAAAGCAGAATTGCAAGCGGCCGAGATGGCAGAGCGCGAGGCTACCAAAGCTGCGACGAAATCAAAATGGAAGCCGGTCGAGGTTCAGGCAGAAGTCAGGCAGGAAGAGCACAAGGATTCGCTGGCTCCTGCGGAAGTGGAAAGCAAACAGGACGATGTGGATGGCGAACCTATGGCGGAAGAGGTTGACGGAGAGCCGATGGGCAATGGGGACGTCGATGGCGAGCTCATGGACGAAGACGTGGACGGTGAGCCGATGGAGGGCATCACAAGCGACAAGGCTGACGATGACGTGGACGGTGAGCCTATGAAGGAGGTAACGCCGGCGGACACTTCAGGTCAGGCGCCCGTGGGTGAAGCAATAGTCACTTACGACGGAGCCGGTGAGACGGAGGCGGCAAAGGCTCGCAGGCGGCGTCCGAAGGCCGAAGACATGTTTGCGGACTCGGAAGACGAATAGGCAAATTTGCAATCGTGGGAAGTAGTGATACAACAATCATGATGATCATCTGCAGCTGCCTGCATGGTGGAATTAAGCGCCGCCTTCTTTTGGTGATCTCTCGCAGCTGGTGCAGGCCGGACTTTGTGCGACTGCAGTGCCTAAGCCGACCGCAACCGCAAAAGCTAATACACGCAGTCACTTAAAAAGCCATTTCTGCAGAAGCCGGGGGCATCAGCACGCGCTCTGAATCGCTGGTTGCCATCTACTCCGTCGGCGGATCCTCGGCTAAACGCGCGCGGGCGCGGGCATGGGCGCGCGGGACGGTGAAGCTGCCCGAACCAAAGGTCACCTCGATTGCCAGACGTCGCTACTCATCCGCCCCGCTGTGAGACCTCACCTTTGAACTTCTGCCGGCGTCCTCTCCACACCGACCCCTTCCTTCGCCCTCCTCGCATGGCAGCTGCTGCCCTCGCTCCGCATCACTGAACGGCCCGTCGGCCCCGTCAACATGGCGCAAGCTTCGCCGGAGACCGTCGACCGGCTGTTCAACGAGTTGAAGTCAAGGTACCTGCGCGCCTCACTCACTCCTAGAGCTCCATGCTGACACCAACAGGAACACCGACGTCAGAGAGAATGCTGCCAAGGCGCTCCGTCAGAGCCTCGAGGCGGCTCATCGAGGTCAGTCGTCGCGAGAGCTAACGCCGCCGCCCGCCGAAGACCGCGCTCACACCCTTCACAGAGTTGCCTCCGGGCCAGTTCGCGAACTACTACGACCGCGTTTGCAACCGCATAAATGCCCTTGTCGTCCAGGGCAACGAGACGAACGAGCGCCTAGGAGGAATCCAAGCATTAGACCAGCTCATCGACTTCAAGGGCGACGATGCCGGCCAGAAGACCACCCGGTTCGCAAGCTACCTGCGCGCCATATCGCAGGGTAACGACAATGCTGCCATCGACGCCGCGTCGCACGCTCTGGGAAGGTTGGCCAAGCCTGGTGGCACTCTCACTGCAGAGCTGGTCGAAGCCGAGGTGAAGAGTGCGTTGGAGTGGCTCCAGATGGATCGCCAGGAGAATCGTCGCTTCGCCGCTGTCTCAAACCTGAGAGAACTCGCGAAGAACTCACCCACCCTTATGTACCAGTGGGTACCACAAATTTTCGAGGTCATCTGGTATGCGCTGCGGGACCCGAAGGTGCGCATTCGCCAGGCCGCCGCGGAGGCAATTAGCTCTTGCTTGGAGATTATCTCTGCGCGCGACCAGCAGATGCGCAATCATTTCTTCGGTAAGGTCTACGAGCAAGTCCTGACCGGATTCACGGTGAATACTGTGGAGTCAATACACGGAGCAATTCTTGCTATGAAGGAGCTTCTTCGACGAGGTGCAATGTTCATGCACGGTTCCAGGTATATCGAAGCCTGTAATAATGTGCTGCGCTACAAGGATCACCGGGACCCGCTCATCAGACAGGAAGTCATCGTCACAATACCGTTGTTGGCTGCGTACTCTCCTAACGACTTCTCTCAACATTACCTCCACACTTGCATGCTCCACCTGCAGGGGCTTCTCAGAGAAGAGAACAAGGACCGCAGCGCAGCATTCATCGTCGTGGGAAAGATTGCCGGAGCAGTCGGCAGCCACTTTGGAAAATACATTGATGGCACCCTTACGGTCATTAAGAACACACTCATCCGTAAGACGCGCTATCGGGCGCAGGAAGAGCCAGCTATCTTCGAGTGCCTCAGCATGCTCTCAATAGCTGTTGAGCAGGCCCTCAGTAAACACGTGGACTCACTCCTCGACCCAATGTTCTCCTGCGGACTGAGCGATCCTCTCACCCAATGTCTCGTCGACATGGCCCATTACGTTCCTTCTAGCAGAGCAGCTATCCAAGAGCGCCTACTAGACCTTCTCAGCCAAGTTCTGTGTGGTCGGTCGTTCATCTCTATGGGTAGTCCCCAACACCACGCGTCTTCACCACCACAAATATGGACTCGCGATCATAAGCCACCAGAGATCATCAGGCAGAAAGAGGGTGAGATCGCTCTGGCACTTAAGACTCTCGGCGAGTTCAATTTCTCGGGGCACGTGCTGAACGAATTCGTTCGGGATGTCGCCATAAAATACGTCGAAGCAGACAACAGGGAAATTCGAAAAGCGGCTGCACTTACTGCGTGCCAGCTCTTTATCGGCGACCCCATAGTCACTCAGACGAGTCAGCACGCGATACAGGTTGTGGGAGATGTCATCGAGAAGCTACTCACTTGCGGCGTTGCCGATGTGGATCCAGACATTCGTCACACTGTCCTCAGGGCACTCGACTACCGATTTGACCGCCATTTGGGCAAGGCAGAGAACGTGCGCAGCTTGTTCTTGGCTTTGAATGACGAAGTCTTCGAAATTCGAAGAGCGGCTATCTCGATCATTGGCCGCTTGACATCCGTCAATCCAGCTTACGTTTTCCCGTCCCTACGCAAGGTCCTCGTTCAGCTCTTGACCGAGATCGAGTACTCAAACAGTGCTCGGGATAAGGAGGAAAGCGCAAGATTGATCAGCAACTTGGTCGGTGCCTCGCCAAAGTTGATCAAACCTTATGTCGACCCCATGATCACCGTCCTTCTACCTAAAGCACGGGACAGCAACTCCGAAGTTGCGTCATCCACCCTTAAGGCTATCGGCGATCTTGCGACCGTGGGTGGTGACGATATGAAGCAGTACATCCCCGAACTGATGGACATCATCATCGAGAACCTCCAAGATCTCAGCTCGGAATCGAAACGGATGGCTGCTCTGATTGCGCTCAGCCAACTGGCTTCTAATGCCGGCTATGTCATAGAGCCTTACAAAGAGCACTCGGAGCTTCTCACGATTCTCATCAACATTGTGAGGACGGAGCCAGCAAACACCTTGCGTAAGGAAACCGTAAAGCTCATGGGTGTTCTCGGAGCATTGGATCCTGATGAGTACCAGAAGATCGTCGAGAAATCTCCAGAGCACAACTTGCAAGCAGAAGCACAAGCTGTCACCGACGTCTCTCTGATCATGAGCGGCATTACACCGTCAAACGAGGAATTCTATCCCACGGTCGTCATTAACACTCTTATGGGGCTTCTCAAAGACACATCCCTCGCACAGTACCACTCGGCTGTCGTGGACGCAGTGATGAACATCTACGCCACAATGGGCCTAAAGTGCGTGCCATTTCTACCACAGGTTGTGCCAGGGTTCCTAGGCGTCATTCGTGGGGCACCAGCAGGACGTGTGGAAGGCTACTTCAACCAATTGAGCCAACTTGTGAGGATTGTACGCCAACATATCAGGCCCTTCCTGCCTTCCATCCTCGAGACTGTTAAGGAGTTCTGGAGCGGTGGCATTCAGTTGCAAGCTACTATTCTCTCTCTCATCGAGGCAATCGCACGCTCTCTCGAGGGAGAATTCAAGATTTACCTCGCCAATGTTCTGCCGTTGATGCTGGGTGTCCTGGATCAAGACACATCCGTCAAGCGGTTACCATCAGAACGCGTCCTCCATGCTTTCCTGATCTTCGGATCCAGCGCGGAGGAGTACATGCACTTGATCATTCCCGTCATCGTTCGCATGTTCGACAAGCCTGGGCAGCCGCATGGCCTCCGGAAGTCAGCCATTGAGACAATAGGCCGCCTTTCAAGGCAGGTTAATATCTCAGAGTTCGCCGCCATGATCATCCATCCGCTCTCAAGAGTGCTTGCGGGCAGCGATATCGCTCTTAAGCAGACAGCGCTTGACACATTGTCCGCCTTGATCTTCCAGCTGGGCCCTGACTACATCCATTTTATTCCCACGATCAACAAAATTCTTGTCACGCACAAGGTTCCTCATTCCAATTATGCCCTTATCGTCTCCAAGCTACAAAGAGGCGAGCCCCTTCCCCAGGATCTGAGTCCAGATGAGCGGTACGGCGATGATGACGAAGATCTTAATGCCACAGAGATTTCGACAAAGAAACTGGCAGTCAACCAACAACATCTCAAGAGCGCTTGGGACGCCACTCAGAAGACCACTCGTGAGGATTGGATTGAGTGGATGAGAAGATTCAGTGTCGAACTACTGCGGGAGTCTCCTCAACAGGCTCTTCGTGCCTGCACGCCCTTAGCAAGCGTCTACAATCCCATCGCCAAGAGTCTGTTCAACTCGGCTTTCGTATCCTGCTGGACTGAACTTTACGATCAGTACCAAGAAGAGCTTGTGCGCTCCATTGAAATCGCACTTGCGTCGCCCAACATTCCACCCGAAATTCTCCAGATCCTCCTCAACCTCGCTGAGTTCATGGAACATGATGACAAGGCGCTTCCAATTGACGTCCGGACTCTCGGAATGTACGCTGCCAGATGCCATGCATACGCAAAGGCTTTGCATTACAAGGAGCTTGAGTTTAACGCGGAGCAAAATGCTCGTGCTGTTGAGGCCCTCATCAGTATCAACAACCAGCTGCAGCAGACTGACGCTGCATTTGGTATTCTGAGGAAGGCTCAGAACTATCAGGACGTCGAGCTCAAGGAGACCTGGTTTGAGAAACTCGAGAAATGGGAGGAGGCCCTCAAGTCCTATCAAAGGCGTGAGAAGGATGAACCCGACTCTTTCGAGATCACTATGGGTAAGATGAAGTGTCTGCACGCGTTGGGCGAGTGGGATGTTCTGTCGACGTTGGCCCAGGACAAGTGGATTCACGCTCCGCAGGAATACCGGAGATCGATCGCTCCTCTAGCTGCCGCTGCTGCCTGGGGCCTTGGACAGTGGGAGCTTATGGATCAGTATCTGTCGGTGATGAAATCGTCATCCCCAGACTGGTCTTACTATGGTGCCATTCTTGCTATCCACCGCAACCAGTTCGAGGAGGCCCAGAAACACATTACCAAAACGCGCGACGGTCTCGACACCCAGCTCAGCGCTGTCTTTGGCGAATCCTACCAGCGAGCCTATCTTCCGCTGGTGCGTGTGCAGATGCTTGCTGAGCTCGAGGAGATCATCACCTACAAGCAGAACAGCAGCAACCCCGAGAAGCAAGCAAGCATGCGTTCTACTTGGATGAAGCGCCTGCTCGGCTGCCAGCCCAATCCTGAAATTTGGCAGAGAATGCTCAAGGTTCGTGCCTTGGTCATTTCGCCGAGGGACAACATGCAAATGTGGATCAAGTTCACCAATCTCTGCCGTAAGAACCAAAGGGTGGGCCTCGCTGAGAAGTCGTTGCGTTCCTTGCTTGGTGGTACCCATGAAGACATCTTCGGCTACGTTCGGAATCACGCCCACGAGATACCGCATCCTATCTCCTACGCCGTTTTCAAATTCATGTGGTCGTCGGATCGTAATGAGGAGGCGCTGGACCTACTCAAAGACTTCACTGCTCGCGTTGCGGATGACCTTCAGATCAGATCCAAGGATGCCATGGGACAGAATGGCAACATGCCGAACGGAATCAACGGCCACCATGGTGTCAACGGCGTTCATGGCTTCACCGGTCTTGTAAATGGCATGCACGGCCTGAACATGAACGGCTCTGGTATGGTGAATGGCACTAATCAGCCGCCTGGCGCAAATAACTTCGACTTGGCGGAAACGCAGAAACTCCTTGCCAAATGCTACCTTAAGCAGGGCGAGTGGCAGACACATCTGCACAATGGCGACTGGACGCACGAGCATGTGCACGAGGTTTTGTCTGCTTACGCTGCAGCCACACGATATAACCAGAATTGGTACAAGGCATGGCACGCATGGGCATTGGCTAACTTTGAGGTCGTCAACGCCATGTCGCCACAGGCCGACAGGTCTACGCCGGATCTTCCCGCGAGTGCCGTGCATGAGCACATCGTCCCTGCGATCCACGGTTTCTTCAAGTCCATCTCGCTCTCTTCGGCCAGTTCCCTCCAGGATACCCTCCGTCTTCTCACCCTCTGGTTCGCTCACGGAGGCCATCCTGAGGTCAACACCGCCGTCACAGAGGGTGTGGGTACTGTCAGTATCGACACATGGCTTGAAGTTATTCCGCAACTCTTGGCGCGTATCAACCAGCCAAATGTCAGAGTCCGCCAGTCGATTCATAACCTCCTGTCTGACGTCGGACGCGCTCACCCTCAAGCATTGGTGTTCCCTCTTACGGTCTCGATGAAGTCAGATGTCACTCGTCGGTTACGCTCGGCAACAGCTCTTATGGACGCCATGCGACAACACTCTCCTCGACTTGTCGACCAAGCTGATTCGGTCAGCCACGAACTTATCCGTATCGCTGTTCTTTGGCACGAGCAGTGGCACGAGGGTCTGGAAGAGGCTTCAAGACTGTACTTTGGCGACCGCAATATCGAAGGCATGTTCGCGACTCTCGCACCACTTCATGCTATGCTCGACAAGGGCCCGGAGACTCTTCGCGAAATCTCGTTCATCCAGTCATTCGGCCGCGAGCTTCAGGAGGCACGCGACTGGTGCCAGACCTTCAGGAATTCTGGCGAAGAGGGTGACTTGAACCAAGCTTGGGACCTTTACTACCAAGTCTTCCGAAAGATCGCTCGTCAGCTACCCTCCTTGATGACTCTCGAACTTCAATACGTCTCACCCAAACTGAAGGCTGTACATGACTTGGACTTGGCTGTACCTGGCACATACCAGAGTGGAAAGCCCATCACTAGGATCCAGTCATTCGATCCTGTTTCCACGGTCATTCAATCCAAGCAGAGGCCTAGAAGGCTGATGATCAAGGGAAGTGATGGCGTCAACTACATGTTCGTTCTCAAAGGTCACGAAGATATTCGTCAAGATGAGCGTGTTATGCAACTCTTTGGTCTGGTCAACACGCTTCTTGACCATGACGCTGAATGTCGGAAGCGGCATCTCAACATCCAACGGTATCCCGCAATCCCTCTGTCCACCCAATCCGGTCTCCTGGGATGGGTCCCGAACAGCGACACCCTCCACGTGCTCATCCGCGAATACCGTGAGAGCCGTAAGATTCTTCTCAACATTGAGCACCGTATCATGTTGCAGATGGCTCCAGATTACGACTGCTTGACGTTGATGCAGAAGGTTGAGGTCTTTGGTTACGCTCTCGATAACACCACCGGCCAAGATCTCTACCGTGTGCTCTGGCTCAAGAGTAAGAGCTCTGAGGCATGGCTTGACCGCCGTACCAACTACACTCGGTCCTTGGCTGTCATGTCTATGACCGGTTATATCCTGGGTCTTGGCGATCGCCACCCCTCCAACTTGATGCTCGACAAAGTCACGGGCAAGATCATCCACATCGATTTCGGTGACTGCTTCGAGGTGGCAATGCACCGCGAGAAATACCCTGAACGCGTGCCGTTCCGTTTAACGAGGATGTTGACGTACGCCATGGAAGTCAGCAACATCGAAGGCAGCTATCGCACGACCTGCGAACATGTCATGCGTGTGTTGCGGAGCAACAAGGAGTCTGTCATGGCTGTGCTTGAAGCTGTATGTTTTTTCTCTTGGCCTTCAAATCAATGCTCACGATGCTAATACGATTTCTTCAATGTAGTTCATCCACGATCCTCTCCTCAACTGGCGCCTCGGTACCCGCGAATCACCTCTGGAGCCCTCATTCACTTCGCAACGCCGCGCTTCCATCATGGGTGACGTGGCCGTGCCGGGTGAGCGTCCCGAGTCGTCTTTCCGCCCGCGTCATCGGTCCAGCATTGTGCCACCCGGCGTAGGTGGTCCTAATGAGCCGGAGGCCAGGGAGGAACAGAACGCCCGTGCGCTACAGGTTCTGTCCCGCGTCAAGCAGAAGTTGACTGGCCGCGACTTCAAGCCTCAGGAGGAGCTGAACGTCAACAACCAAGTGGACCGGCTCATTCGGGAGGCGACCAATTTGGAGAACTTGTGCCAGCATTACATTGGTTGGTGCAGTTTCTGGTAGAGAGCTGGATGGTGGTGCTGTCTTCTTCTCTTGTCCCTTTTTCTGATTCAAACGGTTGCTTGCGTGCATTTGTGTTTCCAATTTCTCAGTGCTGGCTGGCATCACGTAGAGGGCGGCGTCGGAAAACATCCCTCTCACGGCCTAAACCTCCAATTCTTATATTGTGGATTGCGAATACCTTTTTTTTCTTCTTTCTTTCTTCCGTGCGTTTAACGGTAGCCTGGGTAATGATGGGTTTTTGCCTGGTTTTCTGATTTCCCATTGGAGGGTGCAAGCATGGGATCCTGGCTGGCATGATATGGGCGTTCTTTTCAGTCTTCATTTTTTTTCTACTATGGACAGAAAGGTTCTCTTCTTGCTCACCTTCACCTTCTTGACTGTATGAATTATCAAGATCGGTACCTCCGGATAGCAAGGGGGACATGAATTCGTGCTTGAAGAGATGAGGGATCCATGAATCATCCTAACTCTCACACTTTTGACAGTGAACATCGCGATGGCTTACCATCCTTACTTCTCTGATGCTCCTCCTCACCCTTGCTCTGTGAGTCTGGCATATACTTCCAAGAAACTAGCCTCTCGTCATCACCCTCTTCCCTCCGTATGTGCTTACTTTTCGCAGTGCATCCGCTCACTTGACTTTGACCGTCGCTAAACTCCCTCCCCCCCTCCCCTCCCCTCCCCCTCCTCCCCCATGGAAAAAAAATATCAAGAGCAGAAAAAAATCATCACTCCGCCATCGCCTCCCCCTCATCAAACACCAACTCGTCCTCGTCCTCGTCCTCGTCCTCCTCGAGCACCAGCCCCCGCAACCCCTCGTCGGCCGCCCAGTCCACCCCGCTGCCCGCGACCACGCCGGCCACGACCCCCTTGACGCCGCGCCACCGGCGGCGCGCGCGCGCGGCGTCGCGCTCCGCTTCGAGCAGCTGGTCGCGGAGCTTGGGGTCGAGGTCGGGGTCGAGGCCGAGGCCGTCAGCACCGACGGCGGATGAAGAAGAAGAAGGATGGTGGTGGTGATCGGCGGTCAGGGAGAGGAGGGTGGCGGCCAGGGCGGCGTTTTTGGCGTTGGCGGCGGAGAGGGCTTTGGCGGCGGTGGCGAGGGCGGTGGCGGTGGTGGTGAGGGCGTGGGTTTGGTGCGAGAGGTGCATGGAGAGGGCGTCGCGGGGGGTGAGGAGGGGGGCGAGGCGTCTGGTTTTTTGTTGGTGTTGTTAGTGGTGGCTGTTTTTGGTCTTGGTGGTTGTGTTGCGTTTATTTTCTTTTCTTTTCTTTTCTTGTCTTGTTTTTTTTTAGGTTAGGGATGGAATGGAGGGGGTCTTCTGCTACCTTTCTTCGAAGGAGGTAGTCGAGCCGCCGTGCACGGCCTTGATTACGGGATCCATGGTGAGGACTTGGTCGGTGATTTTGTTGCGGATCATGTACGATGCGCGTGCCTCCATGGCTGCACGCTCGGCGGCGATCAGCTGCTGGGCGACTTCGTCATCTGAAAGGTGCTCGTCCGACGGGGCCGACGTGGTGTCTGTCTTGGGGTTAGTGTGACGTAGCAGTAAGATTTAGTGCAGCAGGTATTGTTTGGGATTCTTTGACGTTGGGTTTGAGGGAGTGACAGCTGTCCGTGTTTGCCAGCAAAGACAGAAGAAGTTCCCGGTTTGGAAGCGGCTTACACGGACAGCTGGCGGAAGACGTGGAACAGGGCTAATGGTACCATTCTGCTGGGCCTGAAGCAGGCTGGACTCCAGCTCGAGTTCGCGCACTTGATGGTAGAGCTGCAGCACGAGCTTCTCTCTGTCGCTGAGAACCACGGCAGCGGCGTCGGCAGCTAATGCATCCAAGGTCTCGTCATCGGGCTCTTGTGAGGCTGGCGCTAGTGGCGCGTGATTCCCGCCGTCATCCATGATCATCGATAGCCACGCGTGACATGGGCGTCGAGGAACCGAGGGCGCGTGTTGGTGTTGTCTCGGAAGACGCGCCGCGAATCAAGGCACCCAGGCTCCCAGGCACCCAGGCACCCAGGCTCTCAGGCTCTCAGGCTCCCGCGCCGCACGGCCACACTGGCTCCCGCCGCCCGTGGGATTTCGTTGCCGCTAGTCCACCGCCCTTGACACACACAACCCTGCCCAACGCCAAAATCGCTGGTTTGCGGTGAGCCAGCTGGAGGACGCCCACTGCAGGCTCCAGCCGTAGCCTGCCGTAGCGCGTTGAGCTGTACTTTTCCGGTCGGGCAGGGTTGGCATCTTCCGGCGCTGCCTTACAAGTGTGTGTGTGGCTGGAGCTAGGGCTCCACTGGTCATTTGAGCTGCGCACGACCGGACCATCATCATCATCACCGCCTACCGCCGTGCTCGCCCGAGAGCATGTCGCGACAACCTCACCTCTCCCCTCCACCACCCGCATAGACCGCCGGCGACAGGCGCATGTCGCTGTCAGTCTTTGTCGCCCATTCGGGCAAGCGGCTCGACGCCGATCCCGTCGTCTTCAGCTCCTTGGACGCCCTCAAGGCCTGGCTTAACAATGCGACCAAGGTTCCGCCCCAGGACCAGATCCTGCTCACCCCGCGCGGCAAGCACGTCAAGTTGCAGACTCTCCTGACCGAGGTAAGCTGCACCCCACTCCCCTCTGGCAAGCGCCGAAAGGTAACCTGAAGCAGAAGGAGATTTTCCTGTACGACCGCGACCTCTTCGCTCTCCCGGCCCCCGAGAATCTCGACCACCTCGTTCCACCTGAAGCGCTTCCTCAGGACTTCCAGCCGGCGAAGCCGCCCGACACCCTCTCCAACCAGAACGACATCGCATCATGGCAGAACCTGTTCAAGGCGCGTCGCGACTGGGCGGTGGACCTGCGCGAGCAATGCCGCTCCATGGCTCAGGCCGCCGCCGAGTGCGTTGGCGAACAGGCCGTCGTCGAGCGCGGCGTGCGCGTCGCAACCAGTAACCACGAGACGCATATCCGGAGCCTGGAGCAGAAGCAGCTGGAGGCGCGCGCCTGGTTCGACGCCGTCGCCAAGGAGCAGGACGAGTGCGTGCAGTCGTGGGAGGCCGATCTCGCCCGCCTCAGCTCCATTCCCGCCATCCAGCAGTTCCGCCGCTTCATCTCCTCCCTCGGCGACGACACCCCGCGCAAGCCATCCAGGAAGAACAGTGACGCCCGGACCACATTGGATACTTTTGTGAACGCGGACAAGGCCCGGAAGGCAGCGTCGGTCAGCAACACGGTTCTGGATGAGCTGGAGGGTCGCATCGTGGACATGGATGGCCAGCTCGACAAGATTAGGGCCGAGTACAACGAGCTGCAGAACGCTGTGGACCAGAGCCAGATGCATTCCTCGTACAACTACCATGACGAGCCGATGCGCTTGTTTGATGAGATCGACGTTCTGGTCAAGAAGGTTGATTCGGACTACGGCCATGTTCTCAGCCTCCCACCCAAGGCGATTGCACAGGCCTCAAAAATGGCGTTACTTCACACCCGCAATTACCTTCCATCTCTCAGAGACTACAGCGCCGAGATGAGTGATTTGCTCAAGCACTCTGTGGAGCGGAAGAATTCGGCGGTTCGGCTCGCTGTTGAACATCTACAGACGATCGCTGGGATAGAATCAACTCTCGCCGGTGCTAATGCTTCAATCGCCTCGATCGAGATCGCTCCCGAGAGCCAAGATGCGCTTGAGGCCTTATCGGTCATTTCCAAGATGCCGTATATCTACGGCGTTCTCCTGATCGAAGCTGTGCGAAGGCAAGAATGGGCGGAGAAGCTGAAAAGAGACTCGTCCTCCTTGGCAGAGGAGATAGCTGGCTATCGGGAAGAAGAAGAGAAAAGAAGGAAGAGGTGGCTGAAAAGCAACGGCGACGTCATTAATCTAGAAGCCGCTCACGACAACGCTGTAGGAATTGACATCAACGTCACGGGCCAGGATGTCGGTTGGCCTCCAGTGACGCGCCAGGACTTCCAAGATTATCTGAATCTTCTGAACAGCATCGGCGGACTCGAGGACAGCATGGACCTACTCGCTCAGGCATTCAAGGATATCGATCGCCCGACTCGACAACAGATCAAGCATGCGAAGGGCTTCAAGACAGGAAGCGTGCATGATGGGCTTGGCAAGGGTTCACTTCTCCTGCGTGGAGAAGACGAGACACGCGTCCTTAAAGAGTCAATGTCCAAGCTGGACGAAGAGCTGAAGAGTTCCAAGAGCAGGGTTCGCAAACTTGAGGATCTGCTTCACCGTCAAAGCCACATCAGCCGTCTGTCCATCGGAAGTGGAGTTGCCCCGCCGACCTCCCAGCTGCCTGATACCCCTACGGAGCAATATCCGCCCGTTGCTTCCCCACGGCTGCAGGACAACTCGTCCGTCACATCCCGGAGGTATTCTTCCAACAAAAGTGCCGAGGAAAAGGCCCTGGCCCAGCGTATCGTACAGCTTGAGAACGACCTCAGGGCGGAGAAGGAGGCTAGGACCAACCTTGAGAAAGAACACTCGGCACGCGCTAATGCTGTCGACGACCTTCAGAAACACGTCGAGGAACGTAGGTCTACGAACAAGGACCTCATGGAGAATATGGAATCGATGCAGAAGGACTGGTCCGACGAACGCCGATCCCTTGAAGACGAAATCAAGAAGCTCCGTTACAGAAACGAAGAACTCGAAGAAGAGCTCGATAGGAACCTGGGCAGCCGTGACAACGAGAGGGCGGGCTATGACGAGAGAAGACAGGCGCTGGAGGCCGAACTCGACCAAGTACGCAGGGATGCGGATGAGGAAGTGCAACGAGAAAAGGAACGAGCTGATGCTGCTGAACACGCCATCCAAGAGGCTGAGGCTACTCAGTCTGAGCGAAGGATTACCTTACAGACCGCGTTCTCCTCACTAGCCAAGGACGAGTCCCTCCCGGAAAACAGCACCCTGTTGGCTTCGGAGCTCGAGAGGCTTGCACAGAGATCTAAGGACTACGCTCGCGAGCTTGCTGAAGCTGTGGATAAGGCCAAGTCGGAGAACGAGGCTCTCACCACTGCTGCTGCGAAGCAGCGGAACGAGTTTGAAGCTCAGATCAGAACACATGAAGCGGAGATTGCGGAGAAGAGCGAAGAGCTTGCGGCCGAGAGCGCCAAGGTCAAGGCTTTGTCTGAAGAGCTAAAGGATGGACATGGGCATCTAGAAGACCTGCGACTGAAGTTCGCCGAGGGCGAGACAGGAGCTGACGCCTTGCGTCAACGCGTCACGGAAGAGGAAGCCAAAGTTGAGCGCCTTTCTACGGAACTTGCAGGAGCAAAGGCCCATGTCACAACCCTCGAAAAGTCTCTGGCCGAATTACACGAGAAGTACAACGCGCTCCAAGCCAACTCGACCAACGGCGAATCCAGATCTGAACAGCAGGCGAAGCGCGCCAGGGATATTTCCGAGAGGCTGCTTGCAAACAATGATCGGTTGCACAGGCTCTTGGAAACGCTTGGATTTGCCGTCACGCACCAAGACAATCAGATGGTGATCCAGCGTGCTTCAAAGGTCGCGGGACAGAGTTCCGTTCTCCCTGGAGACGCCTCTGTGGCAATGAACCGCAGCGTGTCGTCTCCGCCGTCATCACGGAAACCGCTTGAGAGCTCTCAAATCCTGGAAGCCCTCAAATGGACGGAGCAGGAAAACCCTGGTGCCGAAGAATTCAGGTTCATAGAGTTCATGGCTGCCGTCAAGCGCTTCGACATCGACACTTTCAGCGAAGCCATCACGAAGCGGATGAGGGACATGGAGCATACCGCACGCAAGTGGCAGCGTGAAGCTCGCACTTACCGCGACAAATCTCACAGGTATCAGAGTGAAGCGCACGAGAAGATTGCCATCCGCGGTTTCAAAGAGGGAGACCTCGCTCTCTTCCTTCCCACTCGCAACCAAGCCACTCGTCCGTGGGCAGCATTCAATGTCGGTGCGCCGCACTACTTCCTTCGCGAACAAGAGTCGCACCGCCTGCACAGCAAAGAGTGGCTTGTAGCGCGCATCACGAAGGTCGAGGAGCGTGTCGTCGATCTCTCGAAGTCGATGGATGGCACCCGCGGTAGCGATGGCCGCTCCATCACCAGCGAACGCAGCGGTATCTCATACGAAGACGACAATCCGTTCGAGCTGTCTGATGGTCTGCGTTGGCACCTGGTCGAGGCCGCGGAGGAGAAGGTCGGCGCACCACTTACACCAGGCCTCGGCAAGAGCACAGTCGACAGTACCAAGGTGGACGCGAGGGGCAGCATCCGCATGAAGAAGAGCCTGATTGGAAACGACGCGAGCAAGACGCTGAACAAGAGCCTGGATAGCCGTCGCAGCAGCGCGGGGAGTAAGCGCAGCGTGACGGTCGGCAACAACAACAACAGTGGCAACAGTGGCAGGCCTACGGCGGGCCTCTCCGGACTAGACCAGCAGAACAGTGGCGAGGCTGTCGGAGGATCAACGGGCGAAGAGGTCAGAGCACCCGTCCAGTCATAGAGATTGGGGGAATAGAGGAAAGAAAAAAGCAGAAATGGTATATCAGCACCCGCCATCTTCTGTTTTTCCTCGCCCCTTCGTGCTATTGTTTTTTTGCTTATCCATCCTTCTTCGTCTGCTGACATTTGCAATTCTTCGATCGCCGACTATACAGGCTTTCCCGAACAATAATCATCATCATCATCATCATCATCACGTCGCAAGGGCGTCGCTCTCTTCCCCTGTCGCATTCAGCCCGCCCGAAGGCCAGAGCAGCGAAAGCGTCGTTGCATACAGGCCGGCGTCATCGGCCAGCAAGGCTGCCTCGGCTCTCGCGGCGGCCGCCGCTGCGAGGGGCGGTGGTGATGCTGCGGCCACTGCCGGCTCTTCTTCATCCGCAGCTGCTCCAGGGGCGAGGGACGGCGGGGCGACGACAACTGCTGGGCCGTCGAAGCCGCAGCATTCGAGGAAGCTAGGGTTTTTTGATTCCTTGTGGCAATTGGATATCAGTTATGAAAGGGGAAAGGCCAAGGAGTGATGGTGGTGAGGAACGGAGTGCCGAGAGTCCACTTCTTTTTTTTTTCTCCTTCTTTGCTTTGGATACAGTCTTCCATTGCTTTTTGCTTCACGATACCATTTCGCTGTTAGGGTGTGAGATCTTGTCTCAGTGAAGGTGCTGCTTTGGAGAGATGAGGCGGTCAGAGTACACGGGAAGAACGGGAGTATCACTTATTCGAACATGAAAATATGCAGAAATGAACAAGGGAGGGGATTTTTCCAAAGCTTTTCCGAAGGCTTTCGCGCATACACAGCCTCATTTGTCTACGAGAAGATGGAGAAACAACAACAATAATATGTCCAGACCGGTGCTTCGATGCCGGTATCCATTCAACATGCCCCTTCGCGAGCACGTCCTGCAGCGTGACAGAAACGTCCGGACAATGAGTTGACATCAGATCTGTGCCACCGGTGGACCTCTCCAATTGGCTGCTCCACCAGCCGTCGGGCGGCAAGGAAGTATGGCGAAGGACAGTTCGCCATGCATCTCACCGGCCATGCGTCACTCCGGGCGGGATAGAGTCCGGAAAGGCTGCTGACCGGAGTGCCATTGTGGACGTGGCTGGCTGCTGTTCATGTGATGTGTCGTTCCGCTGTTTTCTCTGCCACGCTGCCTTTCCTATAAGGTGTCTGCACATGCAGTGGGCAGGCTCATTGGTCCTTGGCTTTGCGCCATTCCAACGTGGTAGCTGCTCATTCGTAGGTCGATCTACCAATAGAGCGCAAACTTTGGATAAACGAACAGGAACCCATCGGTACCTACTGAGGGAAAAACGGAAGCCATGCGGGAAAAGTGGAAGCCATGTGGGAAGAATGAAAGCCATGCGGGAATAAGAGATGGGGGTGTTGGAAGGTGGAAGCCTTGTAAGATTGCGCCTTGTTTTCGCCAAAAAAACAAAACAAAGAAACACCTTTTAAATTTATCCTTAGACACGCCGTCTGAATTAATGTGTGAGTTTAAGGCTTCGTCCTAATTTGTACCTCTTTATGTAGTCTTAAATGTGATGGGCAACATGTTCACGGAATAGTGCACACTGACTACCGGAAGTTTGAGTATACCTGAAGAGCATGTATAGAGACCAACACGTTCTTTTGTACAAAACGACTATGCTGATGATGATATTGTTGAGTTACTCCTACACGGAGCCTCTTTGTATGCGACCGCTTCCGGTCCAATATCTTGTTCCCTCCTTCACTCTTCTCTCAACAGACTAGGTTTGCAGGCACACCACCCTTCATTCGAGAGTCGTTCTTCTAATGAAGAGTCAATGTCAAATTCAGAATAAGGCTCTTTTGGCGAAGAGTGATTTACCTCTCTGCACGTTTGTAATGAACCGGCGAGGCCGCAGGCACTGACGGTTCTTTCACCGATGGTGGCATCGTAGGGGAAGTTCGCTCCCTCGACAACCTCGAACCTTGTGAAATACGTTCGTGTGGCGCTCTCAGGCGCCCACTCGAAGACAATGAACCCTCTGGTGTAGATCTTCCATCCCTGAAAATACACTTCCTCCGGGCCGTGTTCCTCGCCATACACCTCAAGCCCAAGTCTTGCAAGCAAAGCCTGCGAAGCGAGGTTGATGCCATCTTCGACCTCCACTATCGACAGATGTGCGAATCGTATGTTCTTTGTTGTCGAGTGGGTTTGGGCGTTTGGGACGAAAACGGTTACCGGGACGGGTTTGGGTGATGATCGAGATTTTATTGGCCACGACGCGCTCTGTATTGCGTGAGATACTTGAAGCTCGGTAGCTCATATGGCCGGAAGGCGCAACATGTCTTTTGGAGGTTGGCCAAATGTTGAACAAAATGCGCAGGCTGGCCTGAGTGTGGGAAAGACATACCTTCTTCGAGAGCCTTCTTCTGTGTAAAACCCCCCAGCACTTGTGCATCTTTTGTAGACTAAAATCGGGATTGTCAAATAGCACTAGGTGAGGTATAGGCCGGGGGGGGCGAGGGAGGTACTATAAAATTTAGAATACTAAGTGTGTAATTCCGCCTTAAAGATGTGAGAAAAGGCCGAGGGGGCAAGGAAGGCGCTGTAGAATCCGAAATGCCAAGTGTATAATTCCGCCTTAGGGATGCGGGAAAAGGCTGGTGGGGCGAGGGAGGTGCTATGGGATTCGGAATGCCAAGTGTGTGACTCCGCCTCAAGGCTTCGCATATGGGAAATAAAAGTTTCGCACCTGTGGGAAAAGGCCGCACCTGTGGGAAAAAGCGGCTGTTGTGGGGAAAGTGGCTGTTGGGAAAAGAAGGCTTTGTGGGAAAAAGTGGCTGTTGCGGGAAAAATTGGAAACGGCCACTCTCTTAAGCCTGTGCAGGTTCCAACAGTTGGCACGAAAACCAAGCACAGCTGAATCCCAACCGTCCAATCAAAGCTCTCTTTGAACTGCAGTCATCATATCTACCGTCCAATCAAAGCTCCCTCTGAACTGCAGTCTACCTCGGAACGTTGAAACAGGGATCGTAGCATGCATGATACAGAGTACTGTAAGCGTCTGAAAAAAAAAAAAAAACAGGGAACCAATCATGGTCGTGGACGTAGCAACTGCATAAGCCTATCAGCACCGTGTCGGACTAAAGGCCTTCATGACGTGTCAGACTTGATGCAGCCCGTCCGAAACCGCGCGGAAGGGCGAATTAGTGCACAGTATGGAGAAGCCAAAACATAGAAGCATGTGTGAGAAGAGCCGGTCGAGTAAGAAGACTACCAGACGAGGGAGAGCGCAGAAGGGTGATAGAAAGAGGGTGCAGAAGGGCGGCAGCCGACATGTCATATCATGTGGTGCTTACGGCTGCGCAATAAGTAAGGGCTTTGCGCCCGAGGCGAAGGCAAGGCATATTGGCCGGGCTCGCTGCAGAAGCGGGGGTGCCCCGCTTGCCACTTTCTCATAGAATACGTTTGGTTTGGACAAAGTCGGCCAAGGGTTGCAAACAATCTGCTACAAGCTAGTAGCGGCGACTTTCCTTCACACCTACTCTGCCACACTTGCCCACAAACGATCGAATGGTGGCCAAAGGCCTACCATCGATGCCGCAAAGCATACGTTTGAGCTCTCGACCAGTTGCGATCCGCTCTTTTCCGAAGAAATGCTACACAAAGGCGTGGTATCTCGACATCTGCGACTGGTCTCCGATGCAACCTGCAAGAAGTGCGCCTTGTCTGCCCTACATGCGGGTGAGCATAGCCTAGAGAAAGCGAGGCTGTGAGAAGCCGCATGGCTTAAATCGCCGACCTGGTCATGGTGGCAGCTACAATCCAAACCCCCTTCTTCAAGAGCTCATCTGAAAAAGTGGCCAGCGCCATTCATTCCATCATGCCCATTGACCAAACGAACACTGCATCCGTTGGCCAGGGAACTGCGGTCGGACAAGGCGGAGATGCCATGCCGGAGCTGCCGCCGGACACTCCTCCAGCGTCAACGCTCTCAAGAGCAGCCTTCTCTCAAAATGACCCCTTGCCCGAAGGATATCCGTCCATCTCGTTGGAGATGAGCGTCTATCCCGAACTCGGCGTATTCCGTCGATTTGGGAAACTCAATGCGCAAAGCCTCTTGTACATGCAAGCCGAGATCCAAAAGATGGAGAAAGAACTGAACGAGATCCAAGTCATGAACTGCTACGGAAGCCAGGAACAGAAATGGTCGCTCAGGAACTGGTCGTGGTTGGGCGCTGCCGATGATTCGAGCAGAGAAGTGCAGCTGATCAACGGCATTCGCGATAGGCTTAAGGAGTACAGTAAGCATTCATGTGCCTGCAGCATTGCCCTTGCTCTACTGATCCAATTCCAGACAATGCCCTGATCCGACAGCAAAAGATCCTTCGCATGCCGCCGCCCGGGAAAAGGGATCTCAGTTGGCTCCAGGACTTCCTCCTCCAGCAGCAGATGACCGGGGACGATTCCAGCATCTGGGGGGACTCTCAGCGACCCGACAAAGGCGCGAAAGACCTGGTGACGTTGCTGGCTCGCCCCGACGGGGATCCACTATCCACTTGGGTCTCGGAAAAAGCCGTCGACCACCTTGTCCGATTCAAGTGGCTTCGCTCTCGAGAGCTTCAGGAAGCTTGGGGCCGAGAGGGGTGCAAGGAGGAAACTCTCCGGAAGCTGACTGCGACAGTGACCAGCGTCGTTGCATCCACCCTACCCATCGTTTCCATCGTCGTTCTTTACTTTGTCCAACCTCTTGGGGCGCGCTTGGGTATAATTGGAGCGTTCAATGTCGTGCTGGCCGTTTCCCTGGCTGTGTTCACAAAGGCCAAGCGAGCCGAGGTCTTTGCTGTGACTGCAGCCTTCTCAGCCATTCAAGTCGTGTTCGTACAGGTTGGCAGCAAAGGACCATAAGGAAGGATACTGACCGCATTGTGGGTGAAGGGATTATAGTGGGCAGTGAAAAAATATGCTGTTCGGATCAGTGATGAGCTATATCTTCCGCTGGACAAGGGGTTCGATGATGCTCTCGAAGCCGCCTCCAAGGTAATGCTCCAAATTAAGATGCAATGGAATGCCCAGAACTCTGTGCAATGCAGCAATGCAGGGTGAGACAAAGGGACATGCCCAAATCAAAATGTTGCCGTGCAATAAAATGAAAATCGTGAAAACATCAATCCTCCCCATATGAGCCCATCACAGGAGAAGCCAAACGGAAACATAATACAGAAGACGCAGTCCATGCCTGGAAACATGCTCCTATCCGCATGCGGAAAGTGTACGTGGCAATGCTGGGAATCGAAAACAACCGAGACGGATGCCGATGGCCGGGACTGTTGACAGCTGACAACAATCAAGCTCGTCATGGCCTTCCTGGCCTTCCTGGCCTCGGGTGACTTGAGCGTGCAGCTTGGCTCTCTCTCTGACGTCTCGCTTCCTCCTGCATGGCCCTCTCCCTCTTGCGAGCCTCCTCTGCTGCCTGTCGTTCCTGCGCTGTGAACATGTCAGCAGATGGCAATGTATTGGTGTCAGGCAACGGCATACCGCTCAAAGAGATGCGACACGGTATATGACCGCCCTGGGTTGTCTGCGTGTAGCAGAACCATTCCTTCTGGAAGAGCCTTTCTGTTTGGATGGTCTCCTGGCCAATAATCATGTCGAATCCCTCCCCAGGCTCCACCACCCGGAACTCATTCCAGATGGTCCTCGGTTTCAAATGGACTTGTTGATTCTTGTAGGACCTGTCTTCGCCATACCAAGCCATGCTTACTCTGCCCACCAGGTCGTTGCTGCCCTCAAGCCGGCTGATCCGCTCGGGGCCATCGGGTATGCGGTCCAACCTCCTTGGCTCGATATTGTTTGCTCGCAGCCAGCGGGCAGAGACGAGGTTGGTGCTGCACTGCGTATCGAACCGGGCAATGGCGAACCGCCTGCGCTCGCTGCCATCGATCCGGCAATACACTTCGACACTCCTGTTGTAATGTTCGGGCGGTATCTATCCAGGTCAGCCAGGGCCCCCTTTCGACTCTGAATTTCTCGTGGCTTACCCTGCCGTGTTCATCATCCAGACGGGAACAAGGCCAGAGCAAGGAGAAGGCTTTGTTCCGTCTTCTTCCCCTGCAAGCGACAACTTCACCCCGCATCTGCGCCGACTCCGCCCTACCGCCTGCATCATGCTCTGCGACGCTCGAAATCTCTACAATGAGGTCAAGCTCGCTCACTCCAGGAGTCCCACTTGACGGCTGTACCATATCGTTGTGTAGCCACCTCCACAGCGGCGACGGTGACCCGCGTTGGCCTCGGTACTACCAGGCACTATTTTGATGGCCGGGCAATGTTGGCTTGTAGGGGTCCCCGACCAGCAGAGACCCAGACTTGTCTCGTCGCAAGTCTGATCTAAAAAGGCTTCTGACAGCTGAGCTGTTGACGGTGGTTGCGGGGGACGAGCTCAGGGGGGATGGTATGTTGAGAAGACGAACCTCTGGAGCACACGGTGGATGCGCCGTCGGGGATCTGTTGGGACGATGGCTGTTGCTGACTGCTACCCCCCTTCCCTGAGCCGTCGTCGATGCCGCGTTGCGACGAAGGGCGTCAACTGTAAAGGTTGCTGCAGTCGATGGGAGCCGGTTGGCAGCTGGGCGGCTTTCATGCACCACGCTCCCGCAGCAGCTATATGGCCTGGCATGTGAGAAGCTTGAAAATAGTGTAGGGATCTGGGGCTGATGTCACCACCCTGATCCCCCCAAGGGGAAAGGCGGCGCGCGCGCACGTTCGGAACGGCCTCTGGAGTCGGAACCCCAACTCCGCTCCGCCGCCTCATCGCCTTGTCTGACACACGGCGGATTCAAATGTCTGGGTTCTTCAGCGTTTTCAATCAACTTCCAACTGTTCAATTGAGTCTGCCCATGTGCAAAAAAAGGAGAAGAATGCGCTCACTGGATGATATCCAACTGGCAGCACATAGGATCCGTGGCTAACTTGGCCGACCAATTGATGAGTCACATGACTACCAGATGAAATGGGACTCTGTTGCTAGTGTCCTTCGATGTACGCGTAATGTTCAGGTGAAGCGCGAGGCGGATGCTACGGGGTTGCCGGCCGTAGGGTGGCGCTGCGCTGTTGTCTCATATCGAAGGCCTTCTTCACGCAAACAACGAACAGTGCGGCAGCCGTGGCGACTATGGCTTCGTAGACTGCGGCTTGCATCGCGCAGTTGCCACCGCACGCGCTGGCGAGAGACTGGAGAGCCACGTGGCGAGCACTCATACGCCAGCCTTGCTTGCCGCATCGTGCCGTACTTTCGCATACTCGGCCGAGGATCCGCGTAGCCGCTCGAAAGCTCTGTACTGCAAACGGCCGAAGCATTGATGGGTACCTACTTCGCGAGAAAGGCGGAAGTGTCGTGGTTCGGCGCATGCACAGGAGGAGGGACGTCGCGCCATCGAACTGCCAGGGGCCCCGGTGCTAGTGGCGGCAGCTACGGCTGCAGCAAGTGACATCCCACTACAGTACATATTATCCCTCGCTTACACGCACGAGCGAAAACGTGGGGGAGGGGCGGCACCAAGGTCCCAAGACTTAGTAAATGCTTCTTCCCAGATCTTCCTTTTGCTCCAGCAGATTCCATCAGACGATGCGAATTCAACTCCTCATCCCCATCCGAACCACAGCAGCCATCACCCCAATGACTGAACCAGTTCCCAAAGCATTGGCCAACAGCAGGATTCGTATGAGCTGTGGGGAACGGGGATGAAGAGAGACGTGAGAGAAGAAGGTGGTGGCGGTTGTAGACGTGGAAGATGATACGGTTTGACAGAATGAGAGCGATTGCGATGTAGGCGAGGAAGAGGCCGGTGCCGATGTAGATTGTTGGCCCCCTATATTGTCTAGGTCGCACTGAGATCACTTATTTTGCCAGCAGCACATTGTCTACTTCGCTCTACCCATCGGGCCCCAATTCGCCCTCGGGTTCATTTGGTACCGCACCACCTTCTTACCCTCCTTTTCCTTCCCCAGCTTCTCATCGAACACGACTTCGAGTTTATGCAACTTCTCCATGCCGTGGCCGGGAGCCCATTGCTTCTCGAACTTCTCTTCAACCACTTGAATCTCAGCATCCGGACTTCCGCTTTCCTCTTCCGCGCCCTGTCCCTCTTTCTCGCTCTTCTCCTCTCCACGCGCCTCGCTCTCCTCTCCCTCCTTCGCTTCATCCGCCATTTCCACGTCTCCGACCCGCCGCCTCTTCTCCCACACGCCCCGACCCGGCGTGTTGACCTTGAACTTGTCGTCCTTGACCGGACTCTTCTGGCGCACCCATTCCCTCATCACCTCCCAGACAACCTCCCACGGTGCATCCGTCTTGACCGTGCCCGGCTTGCAGTGGCTCCTCGTGGTCCTGTAACCCAGCTTCCTCAGGGCACCCTTGAACGCCGCGTCGGGGAGCGCCTGGCAGTGCATGATCCTGGAGAGCTGAGACACGTTGAAGAAGAAGGGGTGGTGGTCGACGATGACGGGGTCCATCTTGGGGATCTCGTCTTGGGCGGGGGTCGAGGGCTCGGCCGACTTGGAGGTGCTGGCGTAGGGGGAGGCGGTGTCGAAGAGGAGTTCTTCGTGCGCGGTGCGGAGCATGCCCTCGATGCGTTCGGTGGTTCCGTACGTGGTCTTGTCGACGGTCGGGAGGTAGCTGAGGATCTTTTCGATGAAGGCGGGGTTGTGGAGGGGACCGCCCCACATGGGCCCGGAGAGCTGGGGGCTGTTAATATCAGGGGAGCTCTGCAGCGAAACACTGCGTGGGGACTAGGTCTTACATGGGTCTTGAAGCCGCAGTGAGGGCAGTGCGGTGGTGCTGAAGGGCCTTGCGCAAAACTGTATTTCCAGTATTCCGTACCCTTCTTGCTGACCTCGAGGTGATTTCTTGCTAGGAATTGGGTCGACCATGCGCCGCAGCCCGCGTCACAGTTGTACACCAGCATCTGCTTGCCAGCGAGGAACTTCACCTCCGCTGGACTTTTCCGTACTCTGACGAAAACACGCGCGTAGTAGTCAATAGACAAGCTGAGGAGCGGTTCAATGCTTATGCCGTATTTGGCTGCTGTAGTGGCAATGGCATGCAGGATCAACCGCAGACCACCTTCGTGAGAGTGATGCCCCTTCATGGGAAGTCCGCCGTATTGGCTGTAGGCCTTCTCGGGATAACCGTTGGAGTTGAACACTCCAGCGTCGGTGCAAGTGACACACAGGAGGCCGCCATCAGTGACAGCTTGTACTGCGCCGTCGAGAAATGGCACGGCTGTACCGTAAGGGTCCAAGTCAATCACGTCGTATTTGTGTCCCGGACCGCCGATGCCCTCTTGACCGACAAACTGGTACATATGTGCAACAGCATTGCCAATGACGGGCGTGATCTTGTGTTCCAGCCCGTTGTGCTTGATGTTGAGCTTCATGACTTCGACGGCAGAGGGAGAGAGGTCGTTGCCGGTGACGGAGGTCGCGAAGGGGATCTCGTGGGCGTAACGGAGAGCGCGAAGGCCGGTTGCAGAGAGGGCATCGAGGATGCGGAACTGAGGGCCTTTGGAGGAGCCATTGGGCTGAGGGTTCTGCCGCGCTTCGCCTGAGGCTTGATCTGGCTGCTCATTGGGATTCGCAGCTTCCTCAGTAGGCGCAGCATCATCCTTCTCTGCTGCACCAGTCTCAGCCTCATCGTTGACCTTCGCTCTTTTGTTGTCATTACCCTCGGCAGCGCCCTCGTTCTCAGAGCGAGCCTTCCTCTTCCGCTCGCTTTTCCTCTTCTCCCTCAACCTCTCCTGATTGTATTTCCGCGCCTTGGTGGCAATTGCGTCTTCACCGTAGGCGCGAATAGCAAGCACACTCAGATCGCGGTTGAACTCCTGGATCGGATTGTAGAAAACAGACTGTTTCTGCTCGTCGTCGTCGCTCTTGGCTTGTTTCTTGGGGTCAACAAGGGTGGTGGCATTCGGTGGAACGAGAATATAAGCCAGGCCCTCTTTCACAGTCTTGTATTCCTTGCCGTCGTGGAGGACGTGCTGGCCAGCGCGGGGCGGATCGGCGAGCGACGTGGTAGAGGATTCGGCCATGGCGGGTCTCGCGGAGTGGAATTGTCGGGCGGAAAGGCTAGTGGAAACGCGCCATGCAGGAGCCACAGCAGCACGGGAGAGGCGCGAGAGCTGGCGGAGGAGGGGTTGGCTGAAAGCGAGTCGCATCAAGGATCCACGGCGCTTCGCGGCGACTGGAGTGACGCATTGGTGGCTCGGAAAATATTGGCCTGCGCCGGGGGATCCTCGGGATTTGCGGTGTACGAGCCAGCGCTTGTTTCTAGCGGCAGACCGTGAGACCCTTCGCGTCACCCGCTGGTTGACTCGCCTCTCCCGCTCCCGTCGCGCCAACTTCTCACCACCACATCTCCTCACAAACCCCCGCATGGATGCTGTATAGCCGACTGAACCATCCCAAGCTCACTGGTGCTGGCGCCTGGCGAACACTGAAACCGCGTTTCGCGTGATATTTTTAGGCCCACTCCCCTGCATCAGGATCCAGCCGGCTTGGTCTAGCTCTTGGTAGGCGTCGTTGCCGCCTAAACTAACGCTCCAAGCACTCGCTTGCCACCAACTTAAATACAGCCTTCCGTTGTTGTCTCACCCGTTCGTTCCCTTTCGTCAAGCTGCTCGTGACCCTCGTTCCGACCCCGGCTCCTTTCCGCATCTTGATCAACCATGGGCAAACCAACTCCCGCCCCTGCTTATCGCGATGACGCCGACGCTGTGTCAATGCACACCACCCGTGGCGACTATGAGTACGACGATGTCCCCCAAATTGCCGACCAGCCGCCCACCTACACCGACAGTGTGAGCGGCGAGGGCTCGGCCGCTGCTACTCCCAAGGCCTTCCCCACGCCCGGCAGCAACGTCCCCAATGTTGCAGACGACTACGCCGTCATCGAGCGTAACGGCCGTGCCTATGCGTTCGGCAAGCCCATCAACCAGCACGCCGTAACCATCCGTATGGACGAGCGCCTCACCGACCCCGACAACTTGTACAAGTACGTCACCGACTACCTGCGCCTGCTGCCGCCGCGGCCCGTGGTGCAGATCCACGGCTACCACACCCAGACGGTGCGCCGGGGCGACAAGCGTGAGAAGAAGCAGGTCGTCGACTTTGACATCCTGCTCAATCTGCAGCACTTCCTCGGCAAGCCGCTTGATCCCACCTGGTGGGAGGCCCGCACTGTCGAGAATGGTGAACCCGCCCTGCGTGGAGGCTTCCGCAAGACGCGTGCCAAGGGCTACCAGCGTGAGCTCGAGGTCGGCGAGACGAAGCCGGACCTGTACGAGTGGTGCAAGGAGTACTGTGCCTCTCCAGCCAAGCTGAAAATGTAAGTTTCCGGCTCCAATCCCTGCCGCCGCACGACAAGCCAGCCTCCTAACCCTGAACCAGCTTCCGTGTCGAACGCACCATCTCGGGTTTCGACGAGGCCCTGGTCCGTCAACGCATCGAGGCTCTGATCCGCTCGACGAACTACCGCGGGCACATTCTGATCTCGTTCCCGCTCGAGGACCGCGCCGTCGACATCTACTCACCACATGCCATCAACCGCTGGCGCACCACGACTTGGATCCGCTGGGTGTTCTACCTCAGCTTCCTCTGGATCTTCACCTGGCCGCTGCTGTACTTGCTCACCCGCTGCTGGTCCGTCTACAAGGTCAACTGGGCCTTCTCCCTCGGTGCCGCGCCCAACGATCCTCAAGGCCGCAAGCGCTACGCCACCCTTAGCGAGGAGCAGTGGTTCGCCAAGCATCGTCGCGTCATCAGGAGGCTGGTCATGGACGGTCACCAGGGCGACGCGAGCCAGTTCGATCTGGAAGACGAGCTGGAGGATGGCAGGAACGCGAGGTTTGAGTCTAGCAACGCGCATGTGAACCAGGCGGTCGGGTTTGTGCAGGCAGGCCTGGCGGGATGGAATGCGGTGCAGAGGGGCTTGGGCGGCGATCCAGATGGGTGGGGCGGTGATTGCTGAAGTGCAGTAGATCATGTATGTACATACAGCAGCCACGTTCTGTATAAATGGAGCCAATTGTCTGGCTGGTTCGTTTCTTCATTGCGGACATGCTCTCCAACTGACTGGAGGGCAAAGTACCCACTGACGAAAGCGTCGTATTGGGCGACAGCGAAATGGCTTTTGCGACGACTGATCTGCAAGGCTGTGATTGGGCGAAGACTGCAGCCCGTGTTGGTCGTATCGAACGACCGGAGGACGCCAGTCAGGGGCGGTGACGAGACAGGCTCGTCCAAGGAGTACATTACGAACATCGACAAGTTCATGCAGAGCCACCGGTGTGGGTATAGGGGGCATCTCCAGGCTGGCAGGCAGCGACCGGGGTAGTCCCGAACGGGCAAGGAACAGGAACGACAGCAAAATGAACGGAGAGCAGATCTACACGTGACGAATGCTGTGTCCCGGTAACTGAGGCACCCGACGATCGCGGACGCGGGGCAGCCCTACGCACAGTGGGCGGCCCGTCGCCGCGGGAACCACGTCATCGTCGGAACGTGGAACGCGCAGGCATCAACGGCGGCTCCCAGTCAGTGCCGGCGGAGGCAGCGCGGAGGTCACAGTTGTCGGCGTCTGGGGCGCGACGGGGAGAGGCGGCTCAAACAGGGCGGCTAGGCTTGGCTCCCGCGCCGCGAAGCCGCCAGCCGATCCCTGCCCCCGCCCGTCCACAGCCTACAATGAAACTTATTTGCGACCTTGATTTCTGCCACCGTTCTTTTCTCACCCGCAACCCTCACCACCGCCAAACCCACCACCTCCGGATTCGGGCCCGGCTCCGCCACGAGACCTTCGCATCACCCCCGTCCGCCTCGCTCTTGTGCTTAATGGGATCTTCCTGCGACACTTCGACCGACTTCCTCGTTTCGCGCAACACCGCGACTACTCTCCTCCACGCCCCTCCCGCTGCCGCTGCCCCAGGACTCTCCAAGACCGAGGCGAGCTTCGCTTCGCTGCTTTGGCTACAGGCGCTGGGTCCGCCTTGAACGGCGGACGGTAATCGCGGAGAGGTGACGTGAGGGTAAGTGCGCGTGCGAGTGCGAGTGCGTCCGTTTGGTTTCGCAGCTGACACCCTAGCTCGCGTAGCGTATCCCCAGCTGCCCTTCCTGTATGGCAGCTTGATCCCTTCCGGCCTCTCGTACAAACCGCATAACACGCCCGCTACCCACCGCGACCATGGTCTTCGCCTTCGACGAGCACGACCAGCACCTCTCGCAGGAGACGGGCGCTCCCCAGCCGCTCAGCCCGGCCCACCATGTCGCCCCAGTCGCCATGGACGGCGTTTTGAATGGCAGCACTCCCGCCGTCACGGTTGCTGGGCCCGACGACGAGCGCAACGCCGACCCAGTCCTCCGCCTCGCGCGCGACGTCGGCCGCTCTCCGCCGATGAAGGTCATGTCGCAGTCACCCCACCGCCAGCCGAACACCAGCATGCCTGCGCAGGCGCTCGGCGGCGAGAAGCTCAACTTCGAGAAGGCCAAGAGCAATGCCGCGAGGAAGAAGAAGAAGAAGCGCGCGAACAAGGTCACTCCGGCCCCGACCGCCGTGCACACCATTCGCGGGTTCCAGACTCCCGTCACCTCGGAGTGCGAGTCGACCGACATCTCGGCGTCAAGCACCCCAATGCTTGGGCCCGTCAAGTCGCGCGACCTTCCCAGCGTCACCAGCAGCCCTGCGCTCCGCCCATCGTCTTCCAACGGTGGTATTAGCTCCATGAAGGCCCAACTGGAGAAGCTCAACCTCGGCTCGCCCATTCCCAAGTCGGTTTCAAACCTTGTTGCCTCGAGCAACGTCAGTGTCATCTCTGACCTTTCGAGCAACAGCGACAAGACCGAGCTGGACACCTACCAAGTTGAGCTTGACGAGGACTTTGCCAGCGTCGAAGCTCAGGAGAGCGTGTTCGAGGAGACTACCAGCAACCGCGTCGACTCGCTGACCCGCAAGATGACTGCCGACGACTTCGAGCCACTGCGCTGTCTCGGCAAAGGTTCTTACGGCACGGTACTCCTCGTCAAGCACAAGGCCACCGGGCGCCTCTTCGCGCAGAAGCAGTTGCGCAAGGCCCACCTCACCGTGCACAAGAAGCTTGTCGAGCAGACCAAGACGGAGCGCGTCATTCTGGAGAACGTCAACCGCCACCCCTTCGTGGTCAAGCTCTACTACGCTTTCCAGGACCACGAGAAGCTCTACCTGATTCTCGAGTATGCCCAGGGCGGAGAGCTGTTCCACCACCTGGCCATGGAGCGCATGTTCACCGAAGAGGTGGCCGCGTTCTACATGGCCGAGATGGTGCTCGCGCTGGAGCACCTCCACCGCAGCGTCGGCGTCGTCTACCGCGACCTCAAGCCCGAGAACTGCCTCCTCGACTCGGAGGGCCACCTGCTCCTCACCGACTTCGGCCTCTCCAAGGTCGCCGTCGACGAAAACGACACGTGCAGCTCGATGCTCGGCACCGCCGAGTACATGGCGCCCGAGGTCATCCAGGGCCGCGAGTACAGCTTCGCGGTCGACTGGTGGTCGCTCGGCGCCCTCGGCTACGACCTGCTCACCGGCTCGCCGCCCTTCACCGCCAACAACAACGCCAAGGTCCAGGAGAAGATCCTCAAGCAGAAGCTGCCGCTCCCGTACTTCCTCTCCCCGGACGCCAAGGACCTCCTCACCCGCCTGCTGCGCAAGGAGCCGTCCAAGCGCCTCGGCGGCAACATGCCAAAGGACCTGCAGACCATCAAGGCCCACCGCTTCTTCCGCCGCGTCGACTGGAAGAAGCTCGCGAAGCGCGAGCTCGAACCTCCGATCCAGCCCCTCATCACCGACCCCGAGCTCGCCGAGAACTTTTCCCCAGAGTTCACCGACCTCTCGCTCAGCCCCGTCATGTCGGCCCGCAGGAGCAACATCCCGATGATGAATGGAGGAGCCGGTTTGGACTTGGATGATGGCGCCGCCAGCCACGCCGAGGCTGAGCTCTTTGGTGGCTTCAGCTTCGTCGCCAGCTCGAGCCTGTTGGAGTGCGGTGATTGGGGTTTTTGACTAGCTAGAAGGGAGGAGGTCTTTTTTCGCGTGATGGGTGCTGCTGCGGTCTTTTGGATGATGATGATGACGATGGTGGTGGTGGTGGTAGTGTACGGGGGTACTTCCTCTGCAGTGTTGTTGTTGTTGTTGTGGGACGACGGTGCGGCTGCGGCGGACATGCTTTCAACAAGTATGCTGCTTGGCGCTGCTCGAGAGGTTCTTAGATATTCTTTTTCGGCTACTGCTCTCGTTATGGCATTGTTGTGTTTTGATTCTCTCTCCTGGCCATGGACTGTGAAGTTGGAGCCTGTCTTTTGTGTGCCAGCTGCGTGTGTTGCTCCACAACTGCAGATGGGTTCTGCATACGATGGGGTGGCTGAGCTAACATGGGTAATTGGATGAGCTGGGAATGCTGGCCGCTTCTGGCTGTCGATTGGGTTTCTGATACCGAGATAAAAGAATGGGAAGATGCAGCGTTGTAGCAATCACGAAGGGGTGACGTCGTAGTGCGTGTGTGTGTGGAGCAATTGTGTCAGCAAGGGCTACAAGCCGGATCAGAAGGCAATGTGCAACGGCTCTACTCTGCTGACGATATCTAGTCGTAAAAGACCTACGTGGATGAACAGCCCTGAACGGTGTTTCCAGGAACGGCCGTGGAATGTCCAGCCCGTCTTGAAGGGGCACTCCCTGCGACTTAGTCGGAAGTCTGCGCTCCCAGCTCACCGGCGCAAGAACAGAAACAACTTTTGTCCGGCGACGAGCCAGGCCATCAGCTCTTTGGAAAAAAAAAAAACCCCCCCTCCACCCGGTAGGTATGACGACATGAGTGGGATTGTGGGGTTCTTATGGGCCTCAAATATATACTTGCCCCGTAGTCTCCTTCCCCTCCTCCGCAAAACAAACCTCCCCCATCTAATATCCACCATCGCAGTAATATCCCAGCCACCACACCACGGTAAATCCCTTCTCGACTACACGCTCCATGCTCCATGCTCTATATTGCTTCATCTTACATCCTTCCTTCCAAAAGCACCGCCGTTCAAACGACCTTTGCCTCACGCGCCCTCGCGGGCCACACTCGGGACGAACCGCCGTGGGATTTTATTGCATGACCGACGACGATGACGATGAATGAATTGGTAAATGAATGAATAAATGAAGCCCCTGAACTCCACAACGTCGCCGTGGCGGCGGTCGGGGCGGCGCGCGGGCGCGGGGCATGCACTCGATCGGGTAAAATAATGGGGTTATAATGTAGTAATCATTGGAGGGAGTGTGTGGCGCGCTCCTCCCCACGTCCACATTACCCGCCCAGTAAGCCACGCGTGGGCGTGGGTACCGGTGCGTGAGAGAGAGAGAGAGAGAGAGAGCACGTGGCAGGTGTGTCGGTTGTGGGGTCTGGGCGTTGGAGCGTGTGGCGTTGCGTTGCGTTGGCGTTGGCGTTGGCGCAAATCCTGCAAGAAACCGAAAAAACAAAACCCTAGGCTGAAACACGATCTTCCTTTAGATCAAAGTATCTTGATGTTCGAGACTTGTGGGATCGTCGTGGGCCAAGAAGCGGTCTCGACCACCAAGGAGCTTGAACCGTTATTTTGTCCTCTTTCTTTTTGGTCATGTTCGGATAGAAGTCCGCTCCGCGGAAAGCAGTCCGAATCATCGCATTCACAGATGGAAAGACATTGTTTTCAGGATGGAAGTCTAGATTGCTAAAGATCTGCTATATCCTTTATCACTTATTATTACTTCAACGATGCTTATAAGCCAATCGCTGCTCAGAGATAGAAAGACTGTCAAGTCATCTCTTCTTCTGCTTTAATTCGCTTTCCGTTTTTCCCACATGCTGACTAAAGGAAATTGATGATGTAAACTATACAGAGTTGGAAAAGGAGATAGGAAATCGCTGATGAGTGTGTTGAGTGCAAAACAAGCGTCTTGGTATTCCAGATACACATTACACATTCAAAACAAAGCACGCTTAGAGCATGAAGATGGCAGCCAGGAAACCAGCGCCAACCATGGAGCCGGCGCTCTTAAGAGAAGAGGCGGCGCCAGTGAAGGCAGGAGGTGTGCTGACGGGGGTGCCAACGGGGGTGCCAGCAGCCGGGGTGCCAGCAGCCGGGGTGGTGACGGCCGGGACGAAGACGGAGCTGAAGGTAGCGTAGCCGCCATCGACCGCGGCAGAAGAAGCCACAACAGCCGAGGAGGTGACAGTGGCAGGGGCCGAGGCGGGGGTGCCCTGGGCAAGGCCGGTCTGAACCGTGGGAACGCCAGAAACGGTGACGGTCTGGGTGGTGAAAGCGACCTGCGGGACGGTAACAGCGGTCGAGATGACGCTGGTCGTCGAGCTGCCGGGGATGGTGGCACCAGCAGACTCGCCCTCGGTGGCGGTGCAGGGAACAGTGACGGTCTGGACGATGGAGATCGTGGTCACGGGCTGGCTGCTCGCAACAGGCGCGGGAGCCGAAGTGACACCCTCGACGCCAGACGAGGCGACGGGAACAGGGGCCGAGCTTCCGGCAGCCGGGGCAGACGGGGCAGGGGTGACACCGGCAGACGCAGGGGCGCTGGGGACGGCCGAAGAAACGGCTCCCTCGACACCGCTGGAGACGGGCGCCGCAGGGACGGTCTGCGTAGCAGTGACCGGGCAGATGGTGGTGCCAACAGAGACGGTCTGGGTGACAACAACCTCCGAGGAGCTGCCGGACTCATCAACAGTGGTGCTCGTAGAGACAGCGGTGCTGACAATGGTCGAGGTCGAGTACGAGGTGACAACGGTGGTCTGGGCAGGGGCGGACGGAGCCGGGCTGGAGACAACACCCTCAGCGCCGGAAGAGGCGGGGGCGGAGCCAGCAGGAGCGGAGCCAGCAGGGGCAGAGCCAGCAGGAGTCTGAGTGGCCGTCACCGGGCAGATGGTGGTACCAACCGACACGGTCTGAGTGACAACCACCTCGGAAGTGGAACCCTGCTCATCGGTGGAAATGGCCGTGCTGATAGCGGTGCTGTAGATGGTCGAAGTCGAGAGGGACGTGGTCGTGATGGGGGTAGGAGCAGGAGCAGACGTAGCACCCTCGACGCCGGAAGAAGCAGGGGCAGAGGCAGCGGGGCTGGAGACAACACCCTCAGCGCCGGAGGAAGCGGGAGCGGAGCCAGCAGGAGCGGAGCCAGCAGGAGCAGAACCAGCAGGAGCGGAACCAGCAGGAGTCTGAGTGGCGGTCACGGGGCAGACAGTGGTAGAAACAGGGACGACAGAAGTGACAACAGCAGGGGTGCCGCTGCTAGCCGGGCAGTTGGTAACCTCGGGGGCGCACGAAGTGATGGTGTGGACCTGGGTAGCGTAGACAGTCGAAGTCGAGTAAGAGACGATGGAGCCGCCGACGGGAGTGCTGGCCTCGCCCGAAACACCGCTAGAGACACCAGGGGTCTGGGTGGGGACACCGAGAGTGATGGTGGTGGGGACGTTGGTGATCAGACCGGGGTTCTCGGGAACGTAAGCAGCGCAAATACCGGTGAGGTAAGACAGAGCCTGGGAGATCTCATCGTCGCTACCGCCGCGGGAGTCAACGCAGTCAATGACCTTCTTGGTGAAGTCGGCCTCCTTGCAGTAGCAGTCGGTGTCGGTGTTGCCCGAGCATCCGACCTTCGTGATCCAGGTGTTCAAGCACTTGGGCAGAACGCCGGGGCAGTCGGCCGAAGGAGCAGCAGAGGTAGCAGAAGAGGCGGGAGAGCTGCCAGTGGGGAAGCCAGCGAAGCCGGGAGTAGAAACACCGGGGAACGAACCAGCAGGGGTCGAGACGAGACCGCTGACACCAGAGCTGACAGGCGCAGACGGCGAAGAGCCGTAGGGCGCAGAACCGAAGGGAGCGGATCCGGCGCCAGTCTCGGTAGCAGTGACAGGGCAGATGGTGGTCGAGATGGCAACAACCGAAGTGACGACGGCGGGGGTGCCAGAGCGGGCCGGGCAGTTGGTGACTTCAGGCGCGCAAGAGGTGACAGTGTAGACCGAGGTAGCATAAACGGTCGACGCGGTGAAGCCGGCGGGGATGGTGCCGTTCTGCGAGAAGGGGACGTTGACGCCGGAGCTGAAGCCGCCGCTGACATCAGAAGAAGCCGGAGCAGCAGGAGTCGTGATAACCGGGACACCAGGCGTGCTGACATCAACACCGGGGATGCTGACGCCAGGGAAGCCAGGAGTAGCGACGCTGGTGGCGACAGAGGGAGAGCCTCCCGAGGGGAAGACGAAGGAGGGAGTGAAGACCTCAGGGGTGCTCACAGCAGGAACACCGACGAGAGTCGACGACAGGCCGAAGGAGAGGCTGCCAAAGCCAAAGCCGCCAGTAGAGGCGCTGAAGGCAGTCGAGACAGTAGCGGTGCTAGACTCGCCGTTGGAGCCGCACTCCCAGCCGATGCTGTGGATGCCGAACTCGCAGTCCTCGTTGTCGCTGTTGTCAGGGAGCTTCCAGGTGACGGAGGTAGCACCACCGCACTGCTCGTTCTTGACGGTGGTACCGCTCGAGCTGCAAGAGGAGGTTTGCTTGCAAGTGGAGCCGTCAGGCATGCCATAGTGGAACTCGACGGGAGTGTCGACGCTGGTCGAGACCTGGAACTCGCCAACGGAGAAGCCCTTCTCCTTCTGGGAGCCGGAGCACTCGATCTTGGGGTTGCTCGCGGTCTTCTTGGTGATGGTGCCGGAGGCGCACTTGCTGCCGAAGGTGCGCTTCGTCAGGGGGTCGCGCTTGCCGAAGTTGTTCTTGCAAGTCAGGCCGGAGACGTCGAAGCCGGAGTACGAGGAGCCGATGCTGGCACCAATGGCAATGCCGTCCCAGTCCCAGCCCTTCTTCTGAGAGTCGGTACACTCATTGTTGGTGTTGGAGGGGGTGCTGAAGCAGTCGCTGCTGCTGCCGCCCCAGATGGAGCTACCGAGAGAGGCAGAACCACCGACTCCGAAGCTAGCGGAGCCGCCAAGACCAAAGGTCTGGAGAGTGTTAGCGAACGGGGATCTTCGAGGTGGGGGAGGAGGAGGAGGAAACGTACAGCCACAGCCTGCTGGGCCGCAATACCACCAATAAGGAGGGAAGTAGCCGTCTTCATGGTGACGGTAGATTCAAATCAGACTAGATAACGATGGTAGGGTGCCGCGACTGGCAGAGTGGGTGCTGTGTGTGTAGTGTATTAAAAAAAAAGAAGGGTTGCTCAAACCAAAGAGAACGAATGACTCTGGCTCGAGAGAAGCTTCACAGTCAACAACGAAAGGAATGAACTGGAAAGACGACTGGGGAGAGAAGCTGGTGATGGCGGCATGGTGGGCATACATATACGCGGGCAGGGCGGGCAGGACGGGGGAGGTCGCCGGGCCTGAAACATGGGCCGCCATGGTTGCAGCCAGTGGGGCCCACGGACGGCAGCACTGTGGGTGGTGAGCAGGGTGGACGGAGGGTGGACGGAGGGTGGAGCGAGAGCCGAAAGGCCCCGGCGCAGGCCGGCTAGGCGCTGAAACGATAGAGCGCTTCGGGGCAGGCCCGGCCAGGCTGCGCTTTCCCTGTCGAGCCGCGCTAATGCAGGTACTGCGCCGACAGGTCTGGCCGCCTCCTTCTCGCTTTGGGCGAGTGCCTGCAGGCCAGCGCCACGCCTGCCGCCGTTGCCGTGTGCAGCCTCAGGCCTCGCGTAGAGCTGGCGGCCCCCGAGCAGCAGCCACCGCGCAGCAGCCACCGAGGAGCAGCCTTCCACAGCCTTCCACTGCTGCTGGCCAACGGTCTGTTTCAGGCGCGCGACTACACACCCGGCCTCCGCCCAACGCCCGCCAATTGCATGCTGCACCCGCCCGCCGCGCGCCCAATTGGCCCGCCGCCTGGAGAAACACCGCCCGCACATAAGCTTATGCAACACGCAGGGGACGGCCGTGTGGAGTGCGGGTCCTGCGCGCATGTGGCTGGCAGAGTGGGAGGCCGACTGCCTGCTCCGGCGCGTGTGCCGGTGTTTCGACACGCTTGACTGGAGGCTCGTGGCTCGGGCCAGCCGGGCGTGATGTCCTGGGGCGTGCTTTCTGGCTCCAATCCATCCACCGCAGGTCCAAGCTCCGCCCTCCCACCCACCACCTGCGCTCTGGAGAGTCGGTCAACTGCCGCCACGCTCGTCATTCGTCAAGCTCACTGTACGCCACTGCAAACGCCCATCTGCCTGTCAGCGCAGCGAGCCGCCATTGACTCGTATTCCTGCCGACATGGACAGCAGCAAGCGCAGGGCCACGCCCGGGGAAGCGCCACCTGCTGTCAGCCAGGCGGGTCAAGGTTCCTGCCGTGGAAGCCGGCTTAAGCTTTTGCTAGGCCCGGCTGGTGCGGTGCGCAATGCAAATGTTTCCATCCTCATGCTCCCCCGGACGCTGGACCTCCATCGGGCTCGAGGGGGTGGCAGTGTTTTCGCCGGGTGATGCGACACAGGGGGCCGAAGGTTTGCATGATGCCAAGCAATCGGTGCTGAAGTCGGTGCTCAAGACGGAGCTTCGCCGGCCGTCAATTGCCGCATTCGGCATGGGTGATCCCCGCCGTCCTTCTGCTCGCACCACCAGCCCGCCCGTTCCGTGCAGTCCCCCGACGCCTTGTTTCGAACTCCTGCTGCCCTGTTTGATCGTCTCTCTAACGAACGCCCTGGCGAACTCACGCAAAAACGTGCCACCAACAGCAACACGCCCGCCAGCGCCGGCCTGCGTGTGGCCATGCGCTTCTCTCCAGGAACGCTATACGGTGGACCACGGCCAGCTCACTCGATGATGATTCTCACGGATCCCGCCGCAGGCGAACCCCAATGTCCGCGCCGGTACTCTCCTCTAGTGCTGTTTTGGCGTGTTCTTCAGAAGCACTGTTCAGGCTCTGCCGCAGCCCGTTGACCCGCGGCACTCGCCTCTGACCACGCGAGCAGATCTGCCCGAAGGTCACGACAGATCCAGTCTGGCCCGAGTCTCTCCCGCAACAATGAATCTCCGCCGCCAGATTCGACGTTCCATGGCCTCGATCCCAGCTCAATAGCGCTCTCGCATAATGCTCCGCACGTGCCTCGGCGCCACTAAACTTAGCAAGCCGGCCAACCGTGGAAATTGCTGCGTGTTAAAGCCGCCGCTTGTGCATTTCATCCGGCCCTCCGCTTGACATCACTGCTTTGCCGCGGTGCCGGATTAGTCCTGCCCTCTGCTGCTATGTTCGGCTCCCGACCATGCTCGTCTGAACACGAGAATAGGAGCACACCAAGGGCACTTCCCGCAAGGGAAAATCAAATCGACGAGATCGCCAGACCTAAGCCTCGGCAGATGGCTCTGCTAGTGCCCGGCTCTGGCCTTAACGACGTGGATCACCTTACCCTCCCTCTAGTGCTGGCTCGCGTGAAAAGTCTGATCGCATGCTCTCCTCATCTGGGACTGGCACGCAGCTCCATCGATCACAGAAACATGGGGCTCTGTAAGAGCAAAGTCGTTTCACGTTGCACAGCCTCCATTCTTCCCCGAAGAAGGAATGCGCAAGGTACCATTATTGACTCGACTGCTCATATTGGGGACCCTGGACCCTTGACAGTCTGCCGATTCCGGAATCCTTCCCTTGCAACGCCTTTAGCTTCCAATCATTGTTGAGCGGCACAATCTCTTGACCTACACACGAACCACTGATCTATGTACCCACACCCTGTAGACTCTTCGAAAAAGTGGATGCCTCGAACTACTCGCTGCCTTGACTGACTGATGGGCTTCCCTAAGTAATGGTAGATCCTTCACCGCGATCGATAACCGAAATGTGTACCTCGGCTGACCTGTTCTTTCTCTAGTCTCGATTCGCGAGACGAGGCGGCCATCCGGTGGCACTACCTACTCGATCTGGTATGGGAGCCCCCCAGGGGGCTGATGTAGGTGCGCAATGGCAAACAGACTCCAACTCTGCATACTACAACAGTTACTCATTTACTACCGTTCTGAACTCATAAATCTCCATACTATCGGGGCGCCTGAGACAAGCATCCCGAGTCAAACACGAAAGGGGTCTCCAGTCACGTGGGTTCCGCTTTTATCATCGCGTTTGGGTTTATCGACGCGTCATCAGCCGACGAATGGTACATGATGCTTTTATAGTGTTTTTACCCTGTTCTATGTTGATACAAGTGCTCTATATCTGTCGACGGTGGCCTTGTATCAATTTCTTGGCTCGCATGCGATATAGGGGAGGCGAGCGTTGCAACCTTTGTCACTGACGAGCCGTCAGGTTTACCACAGCTCTGGTTGTTGGCCAATGGAGCCCAAAATGCACCCTCCTCAACAACCCCTTCTTTCTCCAACCTTGGTTGTCATAATCCTCCTCACCCTCACTCTCTGCCCTCACGAAAACGCCTCCTTGGCCCTTCCCTCCGCTTCTTTTCCCCAACTCTCCACTGCCGGCAATTTCCAGGCTGACCGCACAGACACATCGAAATCCTTCCAATACTTCAGTGCGGCCACCATCCACCGTACTCAATAAATGTAATGAGAGCTCGACGGAGGATGCCACAGACTTCATTACAGCTGCGTATGAGAGGAAAAGCCCTCCAGCCGTACTTCGTGCTTCCAATAAAGCAAGAGTCTGCGTGGCTGATGGAGAGGCTTGGGATGTGGTAGCTGAGGTGCTCGGGCGGAGTGTGTGGCTGCTCTGGAAATTTCCGAGCTTTTCTCAAGATGCTGCAGTTGACAAATTATGATGCGTGCGGCCGCCTCTTACCGTGACGTCGTATCATGGAAAGTAAGACCGTGCTCGGCGCGCGTCGAGGTAAAGTCGGTGGGGGACGAAATGTATATCAGTAGCTCATGCCGCGAAAGCACTGGCGCTGTGCCCCCAGTGCAGCGGCGGTTATTCTATTCGCGATCGTAGGAATGAGCTTCTGGTTGCAAAGGTGGGATATGTTCCTGGTGGGACTAGTTCGAGGGTGCCTCGCGTCGATGTGCCGAGAGATTTGGGCGATGCCGACCATGGCTTTGGAGAATCTCAAAAAGGAGTGCCCAGTTACGGGATCAGGGTTTTTTTTTAAAAAAAAAAATTAGAGCGCCGAATAGACATTGAGAACCTAGTCAGATAGTGAAGTCTTGGGTATCTGTTTGGCGCTCCTGTTTGCTTAGTCCACGGCCTCTAGCATGAGGTTGTTTGCTTGTATGCAGTCAGCCAAGCAACAGTGACGTATACTTCACGCCTAGCAATTTTTCTGTGGATCATCCTGCTGCATTCCTTGGTATCGTCCGAAAGGGCACCTTTACAAAAGCCTCTAGCAGAAATTCCCCCCACTTCGTCACTCACTGGCCCAGGTGGTGATCAGAGCCGAATGTGCAAGTCGATCATACCTACCATACGCCGCTTTCATAGCTCTTAGGTGGAGAGCGGACCTATATGTTGTACTTTGAGTGGTCCTGTGTGGAAAAGTTGTTGAGGGCTTCTCACCTGTCACTCACCTTTGCTCAATCACCGATCACTAGAGCCGTGCTGACAAGTGATGGAATACGCTTGCCCGTGGCCAACTTTACACGTGATCATACCGCTGTCGCTTGCGTTAGGTACACAAACTATGTGTCCGGTGCATATAAAGCACCTCCGTCTCCACTAATGCTTGACACCTCTTCATGCGCGTCACCGACTCACTTCACCCAGTTTTCGTGCCCGTCTCAGCTACATGGTCAACTGACCTCTACTAGCAATTCAGTCAACGAGGAACTTGCTTGCGGCTACGGTAAGAAAGAGCCTGGGGACCTTCAAGAGAAGAACTCGGGCATATGCTAATCTGGACCAGGAAAAAATGGAGTCCGCCGGTACGTACGACGAGCACGCGCCGTACGCTCGACTCATGGGTCTCGTCAAACAACTGCCGCAGAATAGTGGACAAGCCGGAAACGATGAATTCCGTATGGCAGCCTACTTGCCTCACCTTGTGAAAGGTGAGACGAACATGATTCTCCATGGTCCTACTCGTATGTCACCTCAGCAACGATCCTTCTGGTCATCAAAGCTGACCATTACTGCAGCTTCAGGCAAGACCACCACCATGCTTGTTGGCATTGTCGAACGCGTTCAGAAGCACGTCAACAGCCAAGGCCGCTCACTGTCCTCCCATTCCCATCCAAAGGCATTGGTCATCGTACCCTCATGCTACCTATGCCGCAGAACCGCGGATCTAGCTCGCTTTCTGGCCCAGGGTTCCGGTTCCCAGGATATTACGGTCCTCTCCGCTCATGACGATGACGTAGTTCTGAAAGGTGAATGCAAGAATGGCGCCGACATTATTGTCACTACTCCCATGATGCTTACGAGGATCTTCCAATCGGTCAGCATTGACTGGTCCGAGACCTTGATCCTGGGGCTTGATGACGCCGAGCGTTGCATGAGCTACTGGATTGTTCAAGCGTTCGTTTGCTGCGGCAAGCTCTTCCAGACCTGCAAAAACAGGGTCCAAATCATTGCGACTGGCAGGATTGTCGACAGGGGTCTCTTGGAAAAAGCGAACCACGAGCGGTTGTGCAAGGATACGGTAGATGTACAATCGGTCTCACCATCCCTCAACATTCCGCACGGCGTTCACTGCGTCGACTCTTCTCAAGTCAGTGTTCGGGCGGGAAAGGCAGCTGAAATTGTCCAGAGCATCCTGAAGGGAGCCGTGAGCCCCAAGAGGCTTTCACCGCTCATCACCACCGTCTGGGCTACACCTGCCCGTGCCACCACCGCGGCAAATATCTTCAAAGACATAATGCCTCACATGGACACCGACGTCGTGCACTCGTTGGATGAAGATGTCACTCAGTCCGAGGTCACGCTGAGCCGCCGAGAATTCGCAGTCGCAGATGCCACGGGCTTCGGTACGTACGAGGTTCTCCAAGGCAGGCCTACCGACGGCGAGAACGACTCTCGCCCTCCCCTGATCCTGATCATCCATGCGGACATGGCGCATGATACACCGGAGACGTCGTCGTGGCACGCGTGGTTCAAGAACACGTCCCGCATCAGCGGAAACGGGAAGAATGCCGGGTGTCTAACTTTCTTCAATCCTCGGAAACAGTCGGACGTCATCGTTGCGACCAACTTGCGAGACATGCTCCTCCACGAGGAATACCGTCATGTTGTTCCACGTGGGCTTTCGTTCCTCAAAGATGGCCCGAGGCGGGATGCGAAGAAAAGTGACGAGACAAGTGACGATGGAGCTGAAGAGGATGGCGACGGAGAGGATGGCTTCGTCCTAGTCTGAGTGGATATGCGAGGTGGGGAGAATGGCAAAGCGAAACCTCTTGGGGAGGACGGAAAATGGGAAAAGCATTTTGGGCGGTCTTTGCGGTCAGCCGTGCAGGGCTCTTCTGCGGGAGGAAGTGCATCAGTCCAGCCGTGTCGGGAAAGCAAAACTAGCTATTCATCATCAGCAGGAACATAGATGCAAGTTCTGTATGCAGTAGGCTGAGGGAGGTGAGGGTACATGTCGACAGCTTTGTGGCCGGGAAAAACAGCACGGTAGCACTGCCAATTGCGAGGAGACGTTGTCTCGCTTCTTACGACGAGAGTAGAGCTGCACGGTCGCCAGCCGGTCTGAGCAGCAGATGGCGAGAGTCGTGTTGGATGACGTGCCCAGAAGAGCAGCACAGCAGGGTGGCGGCAGAGAAGGCGCGTCTTCGGGGCTGAGCGATTCCCCGCTGAGGGGCTCCAGGCGTCGCTGCTGTTCGGGGGCGCCGTTCCATAGTCCGTGCGCCGGCAGCAACGGCAGCAGCGACGTCATGGCGTGAGCTCATACCTGCACCCATAAGCCCGCCGACGCTGCTCGCCTTAGCTGAACCCCAAACACCCCCCTCTCTGCCTCCCCGACATCCCGCCATCTCCTCTGCTTCGACCGTACAGCTCCCCATTACAGCCGCCACTACTCCCGCCACTACTCCCGCCATGGCACCCACCATCGGAGGTGTCCTCAATGCCGGCAAGGGCTACTTGTCGGGCGCAGCTGGCTACGCCAAGCACATGGCAACCCCCGGCCAACGGACCATCAAGGCTACCTTCTCGCCCATCGTCGGCGCTCCGCTGCCGCGCTCCGCCCACTCCGTCTCTGTCGTCAAGGGCCGTGCCTACGTCTTCGGCGGCGAGGTCACCGCTGGCCAGTTTGCCGACAATGACATGCACGTCGTCATCCTGCCCTCGTCGGGCGTCTCCGAAGCCGACTACTACACCATTTCCCCCAAGGCCGCCAAGGAGGATGGCCCGGTCCCCGCTGCGAGGAGAGGCCATACCGCCGTCGTCGTTGGCGACGACATCTTCATATTCGGAGGCGATGTCGACGGAACAGCCGAAGAAAACGGCAGGATCTGGGTCTTCTCCACCTCGCGCAGCAACTGGACTGCGCTCGACCCTGCCAACGCGGACGCCCCCGTGCCTCCGTCGAGAGCCTTCCACGCTGGAACTGCGAGCGAAGAGCCGACGCCCAAAGAGACCAAGGCTGACCAGGCCATCCTCCCCCAACAGCCTCCGGACCCTTCACAGACTGTGCCGGAACCGCCTGAGCCTGGTACCTGGGGAACCGTTTTCATTTCCGGTGGTAAAGGTGCCGATGGCGAGCTCATCCATGACCTCTGGACGTTCGATATTCGCTCGAGGATCTGGAACAAGCTGGCCTCGCCGCCCGGCCCTGCTAGGGTAGGTGCTAGCCTTGTGTGTGTTGGTTCGCGTCTTTACCTCTTTGGCGGTGTCAACCCCACTGAGCCTGTCCCCAGTGGTGTTTCCCACTTTGATGTCAGTGGCCTGTGGAGGTTCGCCGAGTCAGGCGGCCCTCCTGCTAGGACTCTCTCTGGCGAGTGGGAGACAATCGAGCATGAGGCAGATGCCGGCCCGGCCGCCCGTTCTGGCGCCATGTTGATCGAAGTCACGACGGGCAAGTCCGGACACTACCTCCTGCTTGTCGGCGGGTTGAAGCCGGATGTTCAAGAAGGCGGTCTGTCTTACCTCGATGATATCTGGGCCTTTCAGCTTCCTACCACGGTCGCCGCTACTCCGGCGAAGGGCCCCGCGCAGAGCACGGTGAAGTTGGACACCAAGGACGCAAATTGGACGGAAGTGCACTACCAATACATGAACGAAGATGGAGACATCGTTCCGGACAGGCCGGCAAGCTTGGCTGGAACGAAGGGTATGGACGCACGCATCGGCTTTGCTGCCACCAAGGGCACCGAGGTCGACGGTGCGAGCGTCATTGTTTGGGGTGGCTCGGACGAAACCGGAAAGACCATGGACAGCGGCTGGATGATCACTGTGGACCGGTGAAGAGCATCTGCTTGGGACCGGGTTCCCAAGGTCGGTCCAATGGCCCGGTGAGTGGGAGTGAAATTGAGAAAAGCGGCTCTGCATGTCTAGGAGCCTTGGACTGCTGAAAAGTGGCAGGGAATCTACTGGCGACTTGTTACTTGTTTCATGCTGTGCACACTTATACCGGCGAAACGGCATTGGGGCAGGTAGGAATGGAACTAACCCCATGACATATATTTCATGACATATATTGGATCATTTCACCTGTCAATCATTGCCTTCATGCAGCGTGCTCCTTTCTCCATGTCATCGGTCGTCGACCATGTTTGTGGAGCACATGTCACTACTCTCTGTCGACACGGGTTTAGCGGTCTAATAAGGTCGCACTAATAAGGTATGGGAAGCACAACCGCAAGCCCCTGACCGGATCGGGATGCCGGACCATTCGCTTTATTTACTCGAATAGGAAAGCCACCGACACTCTTGTTTCACCGAAGCATAATCGGTTTGTTACAGCACCACCACCCCCCTTCTGTGCTTTTAACTGGTATCAAACCGTTGGCATTGATGCTTTTGTTCGTTGTCAGGAATCAAGGCAAACAGTATATGTAAACCAAGATGTACAAGCATCAATTACCAAAAAGTAGCTTCTATGGCTCAGTTGGTAGAGCGCGGCACTAGTAATGCCGAGGTCCTGAGTTCAAATCTCAGTGGAAGCAATTCCTTTTGCCAACCAATCATCAAGAGATAGAACCGTTTTGCCAGTGTGGAATACCCGTTTGTTTTTGATCAGCGAAGCCTGATCCGACCTCTATTCCAATTTAGGCACTCGCAGCGTAGTAAGCCATGTCAGGACGGCGGCCGTAAGTGTCAAGCTATCTGTGTATCTATCGTTCGCTTTGTAACTTGTACTTAAGAGAGACTTCAAGCACAAGTCGATTAGCCAACATCTTACTTTCCCTAAAGCTCAAGGAAACGGCGAGCCACAAAGCTGTCGAAGCTTGTTGTGCAACGGGCGGCAAAAATTCTGCAAAGACGGGTAGTTGATTCCATGGGCCGGAGGTAGATGCGAGTGTCGGACGCGGACAAAGGCATCGGATCATTGGATCCATAGCGCCGGGGCGGCATATGTTGTTATAGCAGTCCGTGCTTGCCCAGCTTGCCGACACCTGCGCTCGCCGCCAAGCAAGGAGCCTCCCACAGCTCTTGCTAGGGTCTTGTCTTGTTGAGTAGGATCTGGACCCTGTTCGTCGCCCGGGAGGAATCGGAAGGTACGTCCCAAGTGGTGAAGGTTCTCAACCCCGGGGAGCCATGGTGGTCTGGGCCGGCATGGGTCCAGCAGTGCCGCTTGAAGACTGATTGCCAGTCTGTGGGGCAGAAGGTTGCGGGGCTACGCGGGCAGAGCACGAATCCGCTCGACGGGAATGCATTGGGGCATGTGGTTGGCGCGGGCTGGGGTGGTACTGGGTCAAAAGTGCGTCGCATTAACGATCGGCTAGCTGCCGTTTCCCCGTGGGCAGCGCCCCGCGCTTCTTCTCACGCACGCCCCACCCAAGAAAACCACCACACACCGCATCACGAACCAGCTGCCGTATGCTGCCTGCCTTTGCCGAAACCCCCTGGCGGGCCCGCTGGAAGCCGGAATCCGACGCTGCCGCTGGCTTGGCATGTCGGCAAATTCTGACGGAAAAGACGCCATGCTGCTGCTCCCATGAGCCACGAGACAACGCCACGCCAATGCGATTCATGTCACCCGCACGCCCAAGCATCCTCAACTCTCGGCCACAGCCATCATGACCATAGCCCGTGCTCGCCGCGCCCGACACGGCCTAGCTTCGCGCCCGGTTCAGCCGCAGAACGGCAGCCCTGCTATGTGCGTCGTACGATGGTGGCCATCGCACCACCCCCCGTGTCGCCCCGCCTCTAGCCGCCGTGGAGCCGGGTGGATCAGGGAGGAACAGACGCTGGACACGGCCGCGCCAGGTCGAGGTCGAAGGATTCTGCGGTGACGGCTGCCAAGGACGCGGACAGGGCGGGACATGCGACGGCGGCGGAGAGGCAGTTGGAGATGACACGGCACGCTCGCTGACGGCCTGGTGGTGCTGCGGTCGAATCAAGCTGGACAAGCCTCCCCCGGCGCGCCTGGCAAGCCGTTCCCACTTCTTCCCTCTCTTGGCCCTTGGCCCGGTGCTGCCTGTCAGCCCGCGGCTGATGCCTCATGGCGGAATGCCCATTACGGGCGCTTCACCCGTCCTGACTCTGCTTGCCGAGCCGTCGCTCTCGTGGTGGCGCTCCGCTGGTGCTTGGCGTGATAGCCACCGTCGGCCGTCGCCATCTTCGTCGACCCGCGACAGCTTTTCGTCTCCATAGCGGGGGCTTGGCGCACCGCGGGACAGCGCGGGTCCCCCTCGGTCTTCTACGCGTGCAGGGAAAAGCGCGCGCGGCACAGCAAATCTGGGGTACCTAGCCGATTCCGGGGCCGTGGGGTAAACTGTCCGACCAGTCCCAACAACCCATCTCCTGCTGTTCAGCTGCCCCAGGGAAAGAAGGTAGTACAAACGTATCAGGCGGCCCGCCGCTCCACGCCAACCACGCGTTCCAAGCACGCTTGTTCGAGCGAAGGCGCATGCTGAACGAGTCTTAGCCATTGCTAGCGCATGCAAGGACATGGTATTCGCCACTGCCCGAACTTCGGGTTTTACCGGCCTGGTCCACCCCCACCGTTGTCTTATCCAATATCTTGTCGTTCGACATGCACCCAAATGCCCCGGTCCCCGCTCGTGCCCTCTCCGCCAATCCGCTTAGCGGGCGCAGATGGGCTGTCCTCGTGGAGCGCGGCATCTTGGCCTGCTTGGCTGCGGCACCGCTGCGACCGTAAGCAAGCCATAGTGCTACCCCAGCCGTGCGAGTTTTTGGTGGGGGAGAGGCCCCGCACCACCTGTGTATTGTTCTATATAAGGCTGGCTGGCCAGAACCCGTGTTCCCTTTCCAGCCCAGCCGTCCTTTCGCCCCTCCTGTGCTCAAGACGCATTTCGCTGGTCACTTTGATCCCGCCCTCGCCCCTCCAGCCGCCACCAATCATCCACCATGCCGGCCGAAGGCGAGCCCGCGGAGCCCATGCAAAGGGGCGTTTGGTTTACCGCCAAGCAGGCCTGGGGCGACCTCTTCATCTGGAAGCAGCGCGTCGTCGTCACCAACGAATATGGCGAGGAGCGCACCGAATGGCAGAGCCCTCCCCCGCTGCAGAACCCCTTTACGCTGTTCGCCCAGCTCAGCCTCAAGGACTGGGTCTTCTTCCTGGTTGGCATGATTGCGTGGACCGCCGATGCCTTTGACTTCCACGCCCTGTCCATCCAGACTGTCAAGCTGTCAAAGTACTACGACCAATCGAAGACCAACATCTCCACCGCCATTACCCTCACCCTCCTGCTGCGTTCCATCGGCGCCGCCTTCTTCGGTCTCGCCGGCGACAAGTTTGGCCGCAAGTGGCCCATGGTTTTGAACATGATCATTCTTGGAGTCCTGCAGATCGCCACCATCTACAGCACCACTTTCAACCAGTTCCTGGCCGTCCGTAGTTTGTTTGGTCTGTTCATGGGTGGCGTCTATGGAAACGCCATTGCCATGGCGCTCGAGAACTGCCCGTAAGCATCCCATCACCCCCTCAGCCAGCCCCACGACGCACGTGCTAACCAACACTTCCGCACCAGAGTCAACGCCAGAGGCCTGATGAGCGGTATCTTGCAGCAGGGCTACTCCCTCGGCTATGTCTTGGCGGCGTGCGCCAACCTCGGCGTTGGAGGCGCGACGGACAGCTGGAAGACGGTCTTTTGGATCGCAGCGGGCATCTCCATCGCCGTGGGCATCGTCCGCATCTTCTTTCCGGAGTCACAGCAGTTCATCGAGGCGAAGAAGGCGGGCAAGAAGGCCAAGGCGCCGGGCGCCTTCTGGCACGAGACGAAGGTGATGCTGGCGCAGGAGTGGAAGCTGTGCATCTACTGCGTCATCCTGATGACGTGGTTCAACTACTACAGCCACACGTCACAAGACAGCTACACCACCTTCATGCTCACCCAGAAGGAGCTCGACAACAGCGGCGCCTCGCGCGCCTCCATCCTGATGAAGGTCGGCGCCTGCGTCGGCGGCACCATCGTCGGCTACCTCTCGCAGTTCGTCGGCCGTCGCCGCGCCATCGTCGTGTCCGCCCTCATCTCCACCTGCATGATCCCCGCCTGGATCCTGCCCGAGGGCGAACGCTCCCTGTCCGCGTCCGGCTTCTTCATGCAGTTCTTCGTCCAGGGCGCCTGGGGCGTCATCCCCATCCACCTCAACGAGCTGTCACCCCCTGCGTTCCGCTCCAGTTTCCCTGGTAAGTCTCAACCACTCCAACAACAACAACAGCAGCCCCTTTCCCCAAAACTGACATCGCCCCAACCAGGCATCACCTACCAGCTCGGCAACATGATCTCCTCCCCCTCGGCCCAGATCGTCAACGCCATCGCCGAGAAGACGTTCGTCAAGATCGCCAACGGCGACAGCGTGCCCGCCTACGGGCCCGTCATGGGCATCGCCACGGCCATCATCGCCGTCGGCATCGCCGTCACGACCGCGTTCGGCCCGGAGAAGAGGGGTCGCCACTTCGAGGCTGCGAAGGTGGCGGGGGCTGTTGAGGAGCCGGTCAAGGATGTTGAGGCTGGGTTTGGGAGTTTTGCGGAGCAGGGGGGCGTGGGGACGAAGGAAAGTGGGGCCGAGAAGATCGAGGTGGCGGAATACGCGAAGCCGGTGGGAGACGAGGAGAAGACGAAGGAGGAGGACAACAAGGAGATAAAAGTTTAGATGATGATAAAAAAAAAGAAGGGAAAATGATGGTTCTGTCATACACGGGACCGGAAGATGAGAGACGCTATTGACGCCAACAATATACGATTCGATGATAATGGTACTATCTTTGGCATGACCTGACTGTGAGACCCGAAGCTTTCTTCATGCTCTTTCGCCTTTCTACTCGACGTCCTTTCCGTGTCGGCTTTCCTGTGTTGTGCGACCTTGTGCTACCGCAATAGCGTTTCGAAGAAGCTCTGGACCCATCCGGCGCTTAAGAGGTCGGTGCGAGTAGTGCTGTGGCCTCACTACTACAGGCATGCAGTTCCAACCAGACATCCAGACACATCTTTTGGCAGGCGCGACAATGATAACATCCTGACGGCTTCTTTCACCCTGATGGCTGCTGATAAATTGTTCCACAATACTAATGGAACTGTCCCTGCACTATTGCAGTAGTACCTACCATAGTTCGTTTGCTGTGCGCACCGAAACGAAAGTACTATCCGTCGGAGTCTCTGCCCACGCTGGGCAATGCATGAATTCGATATCCCCTACACTCATATTCGCCCCCTCGGCTCATTAGTAACGAAATCCAAAGCATGGGATTACATCTCTCATCTTTGCATCGACAGAAGGCGGTTGCTAGGAACTCCTTTGGTTCCGTGAGTATCCCATGCTCGCTCGGGGATTTCTCGCCCATCGGTTCCCCGTCCTGCACTCAAACTCGTTTCGCGCCAAAGAGCTGAACACACGTTGCGCAGAAAGTTGCAGAGAACACCACGCGGTTCAGATCGTGTTTACAAAGCATAGTGTCTGATTTGATCGGTCGCCAGACCATTCGTCGGTGTGTGAATGCAGAATTTCGTATCAACAAACAACGTCCAGGCTTGACCATTGATCTTATATTCAAGTTGAGCGCAACCTTGTTCCCTGCACACACATAGTGCGCTAGAGACCTCTATGACCAGTCCACTTTCCCTTCATTGGAGGAAGCCATTCCCAGCCGCTCTGCACACATTTCCTGCCCAAACATGCACCAAAAAGCGGCCTCCATCCACCCCTGATCCAACCCCCGTCCCCGAACGTGCAAACAGCAAAAAGGAATTGCTTCCACTGAGATTTGAACTCAGGACCTCGGCATTACTAGTGCCGCGCTCTACCAACTGAGCCATAGAAGCTGCTGTTTGGTAACGAGGAGGTGAATATTTTGTCTTACATATACTACTACCCTGAATTCCTGATGAGGGACGAGATCAATGCCAATGGTTTGATACCAAGCAAAGGCACAGAAGAGGGGGCAGTGGTGCTGTAACAAACCAATTTTACTCACCCTTGGCCAATTTGCATCGGCGAAACAAGAGTAGCGCCCATCAGAGTAACGCGAGCAGTCTTGTCAATGATATGAACACAGCTGGCTCCTGTTATTCCTATAGCCGTCGGGATGATAGCTTGCCATCAACCGCTGCTATGTGATGAGCCGATCCCTTCATGCGACATGACTGGCTCGTGAACCTTGCCATTTCAGCGTGTCTGGATTGTCAGTTTTGCCCGGAGCACACAAGGGGAGCCATACACGTCGCATCGCTCATTCCTGAGCTGGCTGCAACAGCCTTGGACCACTGGAGCGGGCCAAACCACGAGCAGGCGAGCATTTAGGGTATGCGGGGCTCTAACCGCATTCGGAAGTTCTGGAAGGGGTGTTGTTCCGGCCGCCGACGGACGCCAAGAGGTCGCGCGTGCCGTTCGCGCAGCAACTCGCGCTCCCGCTCAAAGCTTCGAGCTCCAGTCCGGCAGCTCCACCCCTCGACACTCCAGCCTCTCGCACCTGCTTCGCCTACCACACCACCTCCGGCCTCAATCGCGCACCCCCAATGCCGTCGCGCTCGCCTTCCGCGCCGCGCAGCCGCTCGCGCGGTCGCTCCCGTACGCGTTCGCCGACGCCCGCTCAGTCGCACTCTCCACGCCGCTCCATCACGCCGCGTTCCGCATCGCGCTCGCGCTCGCGCACCCCCAGCCGCACCCCGACCCCACGCAGCGACAGGCCCGGCCGGCGCAATGGCCGAGGCCGCAGCTACAGCCGCAGCGTCTCGAGGACCCCGACACCCGACCGGGGCGCCAGGCGGTACAGCAGGCGCAGCTACAGCAGGAGCTTGAGTCGCGACAGCAGAGGCAGCAGAGACAGATCGCCGCCGCGAAGCTCCAAGATCGTCGTCGAGAAGCTCACAAAGAACGTCAACGAAGACCACTTGCGTGAGATCTTCGGCACCTACGGCCGGATACAGGACCTGGACATGCCCATCAACCGCCAGTGTGAGTTCCCGACTGACTCCTGCCACGACGCGAGCGAGCGAGCGAGCGACCAAGCTCTTCCCAACGCCCGTAAAAAAAAAAAACCATTCTAACCGCCCCCGCAGTCATGACCAACCGCGGCACCGCGTACATCATGTTCGCCGACGCCGCCGCCGCCGAGGCCGCCATCGCCCACATGCACGAGGCCCAGCTCGACGGCGCCGTCCTCACCGTCTCCATCGTCCTCCCCCGCCGCCGCTTCTCGCCCGGCCGCTCGCCCCCGCCCGCCCGCCGGCCCCATCCTCCCCCGTCCTACAACGACCGCTTCATCGACGGCCCCCCGCCGCGCGCCCCGCCGCCCGGCGCCGCCGGTGGCAACTACGGTCGCGGCCCCCCTCCCGGAGGCCTTTACCCCGGCGGGCCGTCCGGACGCTATCGCTCGCCGCCTGCGGGTCGTCGCGGGTACGGCGGTGGCGGTGGTCGCGGTGGCGGTGGTGGTGGTCGCGGCGATTACTCGTACAGGCCTAGGTCGTACTCAAGGTCGCGGAGCCCGCGCAGGAGCAGGAGTCGGTCATATTCGTCGCGTTCGCCGTCGAGGACCCCACCACCGCCGAGGAGAGGAGGAGGAGGCGGCGGCGGCGGCGGTGGTGGTGGTGGCAGCGGTATCAGGGGAGGTGGAGGTGGGTCTTATAGGGATAGCCCGCCGCCGCCCAGAGGTGGTGGTGGGGGCGGGAGCGGCTCTGGAGGACGTAGGCGGAGGAGTCCGAGCTATAGTAGCTACAGCAGCTATAGCGAGAGAAGTCGGAGCAGGAGCAGGGGGGGACGGGACAGGCGTTGAGGGAAGGCAATGGCCTCGAGGGTTTGAGGGAGACCCGTCGCTTTAATAGCGGTGTTGTGAGAGCAGGCGTGCGCTCAAAGCTTGTCTCCACTCGCGCGTGCTCGGTGGGTGCGTAGCACGTGGATGAGTACATGACGGGGTGTTGAAAAAAACAGATGGTCAGCTATCTTTTTTGCATGGTGGGATGGAGCATGATTTCCATCTTCTACCATGAGCGTTGGCGCAGCCGGTTCCAGGGAAGGGAAAGAAGAAGAAGGCATCATCTCCTTGATTATTGAAAAGTTTCCGAGATCGTTTGGGGAGAAGAAAACAAAAAAAAAAAGACGGCAACCAAGGGGCATGCAGAGGCAAGAAAGAGTAACCGGTTATTTTTGTACAGTAAGCATTATTATTTCCAAAGATGGAATAAAAGAACCAATCGATTCATCATAGAGGCGCGCGCGCGCACACATGCACACACATACATTTCAGGTACTACTACAACAGCCTCAGTAGAAGGGCCTACCTAGCCCTAGGAGCCGGGGGGGCGACCAGACCACTCGCATGCATGCATGCCTTTTTGCCCCCACCCCTTCCGTCTTTTGCTGCGTTAGCGCCCGCCCGCTCGCCCTTTTTTTTTTCTTTTTCTCCCCGCTCCGAGACCACCAACCAAACTCCCCCCCCCCCCCCCCCCCCTGCAACCCCTCCCCTTGCAATGCAGTCACCCTTTTTTCAGACGTTCGAAGTTGTTTGCCTCCTTGCTTGCCTCATTGGGCGGCGTGCAGGATGGATGGATGGATGGTGGGGGCCGGGCGGGCGGGCGGCGGGAGGTTGAATACCTACCTACTCTGTTTTTTTTGTTTTCGATTTCTTGTTCTTCGGGCTGATTTTGACGTGGGCACTTAACTAGCGGATAGTTGAGGCGCGTTCTACCTAGGGGAGTTTGGTGAGACGATGAGGTTGTGAGGGAGTGGTGTTTTTTGCTGAATTTTTTTTCTATTTTTTCCCAATGAGCGCGAGTGCGTGAGTGAGCGAATAGGATTTCTCAGAGGTTGTATGTAGTAGTAGAAGAGACTGCCTAGGGATCTACTTCAAACGGCTGGTTTTTTTCTCTACGGCCGTGCGGAATAGGTAGGGCGAAGGGTTGGGGTGAGGCGGGCGGTTGCCACGAGTCATCGCCGCTTGAAATGCATACATTTGCATATCTATACTTGTGTACATATAAGGTCTCTGCTCTGCTTACGGCCGTGGCCAGAGCAAAATCGACGCAGTCCTTTCCTTTTTCTCGAGGGAAACGTCGAGCGTCAAACGTCTACAGCGGTACGGCCGTTCGCCCCCCCAAGCAATAGCTCCTACGCACGGGGTAAACAACGTTCCCCGCACTCGAGTGGCTGCCTCATGCACACGCATACTCTGCTTACGGCCGTGGCGGACGGAACGGGGCACAAAGAAGGTTTATTATGGAGGAGAAAAAGTCAAAGGTCGAACGTCTGAAGCCGTACGGCCGTGCTGTGCAACGGAGGAAAGAAAGACTTACCCGTCGAGCGCTCAGCCGGCCGTTCCCCGCACTCGAGTTGACCTGGGGTTCCTATGTTTTCCCACCACGGCGGCCGTCTACAATCGACTACTTCTAGGACACCACGTATAATGCGTACCTATTCCGACACCTCCAGCACCAAACGTCTGCACTGCCTGCGGCCGAGCACTTACTCACAGTGCAGCCGACGATCGGTCGTACCGTATGCGGAGTACCGCGCGGACGGGTTGGGGGCGGGCGGGCGGGCGCTTGTCATGCTTTCGCACGGATTACCTATTGCCAATCAACAGGCGGCGATACTTTCCACGAAAGGCCCAAGAGCTCGTCCAACCTCGAACATAGCATTCCATACGGCCGTCGGCACAAGCGCGCGAAACGGGCAGCGACTCGTGGAGTGGTGCGAGAACATCGTCATCACTGCTGCGACTGGCCGCCTAGGTAGGTGCTCCCTCTTGCCCTACGGCCGAACCGTATTACCGCATCGGGAATCGTCTGTATTGGCGCGGGCGGGCGGGCGCGCGAACTGCACGAGGGAACGGGAGCGCCGGTTTTTTTTTTTTCTCATTAGTATTCGGATTGTCGGTTGGATCGACACTATTGTTACACAGGTCAAGGCCCTGGATTGGGCGGAGTGCTGTCCGACGGTGTGGGGGCCATGGGCAAAGCGTTGAGAGTGTGGTACACAGTAGTAAAGGAGTCATCAGGCGGGCCGCCGGGACAGCCCGAAACCGCCCGAATTACCTATTGCTCCCCGCGAACACCCAGTACATCCCTCACGCACGCACGCTCGCCAACCTTTCATCGCGAAAAGGTCGTGGCCCACACACGCGCGCGCGCTTCACTGCAAAGAGCAACGTGGGCGTTTCAAATGCCGTGCGACCAAGGCGGAAAAGCAAAGCTGCATACTGCTGCGAAATTTTTTGGGGAAATCGGAGCCACGCGACCATTTTCGTAGTCTGCTATTGCTCCAACACCATTGCGGCCCACAGTGAGGCAATTGCACGTGATAATCCGCGCCATGATATATAACCACCAGAAGCCCGAATTGGTCGGGCCGTGTTTCGGCTCACGCGTGGGACGACAGCACGTCTTTTTTTTTTTCGACATTTCATTCTTCTCTCCCCTACGCAACGACTCCATTATGTACGACGCCAGCCATGACCGCCCCCGACCAAAACTATGAACAGCTTGAAAAAAAAAAAAGAGGACGGAACCAATCAAGACTCCCGCGCCCGAAACGTAAAGATGAAGACAACAAAAACCACTACCCAAACGAATGACCAAGCAGAACCCCATGTCATCGCATGCTGCCCAAAAACACTGACAGCTGTATCGCTTTGAACGCTAGAAAGAATGCTTCGACGCTCAACCGCAGAACCCTTTCGTCTAATTTGCCGTCGAGGTATAGGTACCGACTCCGGGAAAAAACAAACAAAAACCTCGACTCCAAAATCCAGACTCCATAAGGATCCCCATTCTACTGCGAGAGTCGAAACTATGAACAGAATTCGAAGCATGAAGGTGGAGCAAAGTATTCATGAAGGCCGTGGAGCATCATTCAAGAAACCGTTTCGTCCCGAACGCCGCCAACTCTCTTTTTCAGTGTCCGCCATTTACCGGGTTTTGGTTGCTTTTTTTTCTTTTTCTTTTTTCACACCCAACGAGTCCACGTTGTCGACTTCGTTCGTTTCAAACTTCCTCTTCGACGGTGATGCGAACAACATCATGCTTCCAGTCCTCATTCTCGGCAGGCATCAAGCGGCACTTCGCAACCGGGTTGACGTGCGTCTCGCGCTTGTGCTCGCGCTTGATGAACGGAATCTGCGCCGCGGCGGCGAGCGCGACCAGCGCGCTGACCCACCAGGGCAGAGCGGTGAAGCCATCGTGAGCGCCCATGCCGTACAGCAGCCCAGCGATCGGAGAGGCGAGCGTGCGGCATGCGGCGCCAGTGCTTGCAGCCAGCCCGTTGATCTTGCCCAGCGTCGAAGGCGACGGCGAAGCTTCCTTGATGAGGATGAGGAGGAGCGGATATGCCACAATCGAGAAGAAGTTGCGCACGGTGAGACAGGCGTAGATGGCCGGGTAGAGCATATCCTCGGGCAGAATGACCAGGTACGGCACGATGAAGTAGGCGATGGGGTGGCCGACCGTGACAACGACAAAAAGACGCCAGACACCCATCCAGGCAGCCATCAGAGGGAAAACGACGGCTTGGATAACCAGGGCGATGATGCCGTTGATGCTGAGGATCAGACCGACTTGTTGAATCGTCATGCCCAGGCCACCGGCAAGCGGCACGGCAAGGTTCTTGATGTGGTGCGCACGATGATCTTGCAGGAAGATGGGAAGGAGGACATCATACGTCATGCTGTGGTAGGTGAAGATACCGAGAGCAATGACGAGCATCATGATGTTCTTGGAGAAGACAGAGAAGGAAGCCGAAACCTCCTTGCCATCGGCCCTGATGGTCCACGTTTCCTCGTGTTGGACATCGACATCGTCGAAAGTGCCGTAGGACTCGGTCGCCAGGTTGGCAGCTGCGTGGGCTGTGGCACCAGCAGTGGGCATGAGAGGCGTCTCTGCATGAGACTCTTGCAGGTCCTCGGCAGTGCTCCAGGGCTGCATGTCCGGGTGGGTCTCCTCCAAGAAAAGATAGCCAGCAAGAATTGATCCGAGCAGCATGAGAGCGCAGATCAGGTTTGGCAGGAGATAAGGGAACCTGTCGAAGAGGGAGCCCGGCGGGAAAAGAGCAGGGAAGTTTTTCGAGGGTTCGGCGAAGTATCCGCCAATGGAGGCTGGGGTCCGTCAGCACGCCATGTTCACACGCGCGACAGGAAGTACTTACGGCCAACGATTGTTCCCACGGACCACACGAAGGGCATGACGGCATATGCGCGCGCTGGACGACATCAGTACTGTCTTCGGCATCGGGGGCAGGTGCACACTCACGCTCGTGTTCCGGCTTATGAACGATCTCACCGACCATGGTCTGGATGACGCCGATGTTGCCGTTGAGGATGCCACCGAGGGCGCGGCCGGCCAATGCGACCCAGAAGCTCTGGGCGAAACCGACGATCAGGAGCGAGAGGAGGGTGCCAGCGCAGCCCAGCAGGAGGACGGGCTTGCGGCCGATGCGGTCACTCAGGCCGCCCCAGTACATGCCGGTGAGGGCCTCGGCCAGGGCGAAGGCCGAGATGAGGATGCCCGAGTAGAAGGCTGCATTGTTCTCGTCGGTGGCCTTGTAGTGCAGGACCAGCTTCCAGGCGTAGGGGAAGATGGAGGTGAGAGCAATGGGCTCGGCAACTCGGCAAAGTGCTGCGACGAGGTCAGCGCAGGCGCGAGGGGAGAGAGGGGAGAGAGAGGAGGGGGCAGGCGGCGTACCAAGCACAAAGAGCTGCGAGGTGGGAAACTTGCTCGGGTCGCGAGGATATCTTCTCTGGGGGGTAAGAAACATGTCTCTTCAACTCAGTTTTGATCTTACGGTTGAGCGGACGCGCAACCTGGCCAGACTCTTCAGCAGATATGCACCGCGGAGTCAGCACGTGTCGACGCGGGACGGGGGAGGCTGCCAAAAGACGACGAATCAACTCTACTCTGTAGGAACGGAAGTGAGAGAGGAGGCAGTTGTGAGGGACGGAAGCGGACGCGTGGTGGCGCTCAAGGTTTTATCTTTCCCTTCGCACCGGCCGAGCCCCGAGATCAGCGCCGTGCAAGTGCGGTGCGACGGACCTGCCTGGCCTGTGCGTGCCATGCGCCAGCCTGCCGGCGCTGGTGCGCCTGTGCGCCTGTGCACCGTAGCCGTAGCGGGAAGCGACTTCCCCCAGCAGCGCCAGAGTCTCCCTTGGTCTCCCTGCCACCGCCGACGCCGAACCTTCACGAATCCGGGGTCAGCAGATCGTGCGCCCGCCAGCCCGCCGCTCTCTCGACCCTCCTCGACCCTCCCGACACCCCCGGATCCCGCAGCCCGCAGCCCGCAGCCCCGAGCTGCACACCCACCGCGGCAGGACATGCTGTGCGCAACGGACGTCGCGGCGCCGGGGCCGTCCTGGCGCCTGGTCTCCAGCCGCCGCGCAACAGCCGAGCGTGGCCTTTGGGCGGCCCATGCCCATGATCTCCCGGTGTCGAGCATCCAACGGCAGGGCCAAGTCGTATGCCGTTAGCGCCGACGAGCATTCACCGCAGCGCGTCGGCTGATAGGGCAATCCGATGTCGGCTGGGGCCTCACCTGCATGGAAGGCCTGCCCGTGGTGCCCGTGCGAGCCCGTGCCCGCTCCGCCCAAGGGCCAAAAAAGACGACACGCCTCGCCGCGGCCACGCGGGGAGCCCGCCCGAGCGCCATTTGCGGCGTTTGCTGTGGTGTTTGCGATGCTGCCCCGCTGGCAGTCATATGCCTCGTGAGGAGGGCGCAAAGGAGCGGTCTGCGTGCCGCTGCTGCTAGCCTGCGGTCGCGCACACTCCACCAAGTCCTCGTCGATTTTTTTTGCCTGCTCCGCCGTTGGTTGGCCGCCTGGCACGGACTGCTCCTGGGCGGGTGCGAGCCTGCAGCCGACAATCGCGCTCGAGCGGCAAATCGACCCGATGTGCACTGCAGAAGCCCCCTCCCGCCGCGGTCTCACCTCACCACAGGCCATGCTTTGCCATGTGCGACCCGGCCCCCTGCCGTGTCGAGATCAGTGCTGCAGTGGGCGGGCGCGCAGAGCCGCTGGCGCATGCAATGCCGCTGCGCCGTTCTCGGCTCGCCCTGTCCTGGCTGCATCCTCCGCACCACCCTGCGCCAGCGTGCCAGCCTTATGGTTCGGCTGACCACGGGTCTTGCTCGGTACAATTGTCCTGCAGGGTGGACGGCTAGCGAGGGCCCAGCCAAGGTCGACTGCTCCGGAAATTGCTCTCAGGGTGTTCTCCCCTAGAGGGGAAGCCCGTCGCCTGCCCTGCGTTGTTTACCCCTCACTCCCGCACCAGCCATCTCGACTTTCCTGTCCGCCTGACATCGGCGATCTTACGGGAGAAAAAGAAAAGAGATGGTTCCAGGCACGCCCCGGTGGTGTGCTGCTCGCGAGTCGCATAGCGCTTGCTCACCGCTGATGACTCCTGTCCCCATATTGACCACGGGTCGAGATAAGAGAAACTGGGGCAGAGTGCGGGCGCCGGCTCGAATTGTCTGGTAAATTACGCTCGTCTCCGTGAATCCGCTTCCCTAGCGTTGGACTAGCAGGTAGCTTCCGGCCACGGCGTCCGGACATCCGCGGGACCCTACTACCTAGCCTCGATCGTTAGCATCGCCTCATCTTTCGCCGCACGCGCAACGTTGAAACGGCCATCCATTCCATCACGCGAGCAGTATCCAATCCGGGGAAGTTGTAGTCCACCTGAAACTCTCCCCGACTTTCCGCATCCGGCAACCATCCGGTGATGCGTCTGTGGTGGTACTCAGCTGCTTCGCGACGATCTTGGAATCCGACTAGTGACCACTGCACGCCTTGTTTTCCCCTGAATACTGAGAGTGCATTTCTGCCAAAGCTCGGCCCACCTATTGTGCTATGTATATGACCATGGTTGCCCAACCCAGATACATCCCGGGTTCTGACGACAAAACTAACTCTTCGCCGTCTGTTCAACAGCCCCGATGCTTGCCCTTCGGCCACTTCAGATTACAGAGGACAGTTCAGGGAAATAGTAGATCCACATCGCTCTGGTGTCGGTCTTGACCCGGATCTTCGTTCAGGACCAGGTCGAATCTTGCCGAAGGTTCTTTCAACAGTAGATACGCTCTTTGCCGGTGAGCGCTATGCTTATGACTGCGGCTGAGGTTCGAAAAATGACACATGCACCGTTTAGCGGTAGAATAATTCATCGATTTCTACTGATCACTTGAGTCCTGATGTACCGAAGACTCTGAGAGACTAAGCATGTTCGTGCCACAGCACATCCTATTTACGACGCTGGTTCAGCTCGCGTTCTCATCGGACATGAATTAAATCCGGCCGTCGGTCAGGTGTGCGGCTTGAATCCTGACAAGAGTCGAGCGAACATGAGCTCCAGCGAAGGCGGACCTCGAGCTTGGAGATTCCAGAAGGTCCGGTCGACTCAGCCACACTCAACGAAAAATTCGGAATCGATGCCGACGGTCGAAAAGCGATCCGAGGCCTGGCGGGACGATGGCACGTCAGGTTTGTGGCTGCGGCCGTGGCGCGACCAGGCAGCCGCGAAAACGGGAACGAGACAGGCTGGCACCTGGGAATCTCGTTTCTCGCATTATTACAGCTCTTTGCGCTAGCGCGGGGTTCTGGAGGCATCGTCACATGCCAGAGGTATTCGTGGCCGCTGCCGGCCGGGTAGCGAAATGGAGGCAGCGGCCATCAAGATTTCGCCACGCCGCACAGCCACACATGACGCAACGGGCCACGACGTCAGATCATTCCCTGGCGCCCGTGCGCCTGCCCCCGCCGCCCCCCAAGCGTGCAAGCACTTTACCCACTCCTGGTACATAAGCCCATCGACGTCAACACCTCTCGCCGCTTCCCATCCACAACTCCTCTGATACCCACACTCTACACACAGACATTTCCACGCTCCACACAACCCACCTGATCTTCACCACTACCGCAACAATGGCCTCCGTCCACGTTGAGAACATTGCCTCTCAGACCACCGAGAAGGAGGTCCGCGACTTCTTCAGCTTCTGGTACGTACAGCTCCCGCCACTCATCCCAGTCAAGCGTTCCCAAAGCTAACGCCTCCCTTCCACAGCGGCAAGATCCAATCGCTTTCCGTGACGCCCCTCAACGAAGGCACCCAGTCCGCAACCGTGACATTCGAGAAGGAGACGGCCGCGAAGACGGCACTGCTGCTCGACAACACCCAGCTGGGCCCGGCGCAGGTCAAGGTCACGTCGGCCAAGTCGTTCGAGGACCTGGCCGGCGGCAAGGGCTCGCCCGACCAGGGCGAGGCAGGCAAGGAGGAGAACCACAACATCCCGCAGGAGGACAAGCCGCGCAGTCGCATCGTAGCCGAGTACTTGGCGCACGGCTACGTCATCAGCGACAACGCCATCGAGCGCGCCCTCGCCCTTGACCAGCAGCACGGCGTCTCGAACCGCTTCACCACCGCCCTCAAGTCGTTCGACGACCGCTACAAGGCGACGGAGAAGGCGGCCGCCGTCGACGCAAAGTACGGCGTCTCGCAAAAGGCCGGCGCCGGCTGGCGCGGCCTCACGTCGTACTTCGACAAGGCCCTCGGCACCCCGACCGGCCAGAAGCTGCGCCAGTTCTACGAGCAGGGCAACAAGCAGGTCATCGACGTGCACAACGAGGCCCGCCACCTCGCGGACCTCAAGAAGCAGCAGCAGGCCCAGGGCGCGCAGTCGTCGGCTGCCGGCGAGACCAAGGTCCCCACCGCCGAGGAGGCCGAGATGGAGGTCGTTCCCGGCACCGACAAGACCAAGTGCAACTGCCACGCCGAGTCCGGCAAGTGCCCTTGCGAGCCCGGCAAGTGCGCCTGCGCCGGCTGCGGCAAGAGCACTGAGGCCGCCGCAGCCTCCGAGAAGACCGCTGCCCATGCTGTGTGAACAAAAATGGAATTGCTTCCCCAATCAAAAGGGAGAGAAAACGGGCATACTGTGATACCCCGAAGTTGTTGAGAATGAAGGAAGCGGGTGGTTTGGTTGGAGGACGATCCGATGAATTTTTTCATTTGCCCCATTGTTTTCCTTTTTGACACGGCTTTGTCTCTGTTCAGAGCCTGAAGAATACCAGCAGGCTTTTGGTTTTCCCCTTTTCATCTCATTGAAGCGGCTGTCATCAATTTCGTAGGCAGGGAGGAACGTGCAATTACTATTTTTTCCCGCTTGGAACCTACGTGCAGTGCGCCATGTGCCCATTGGAGTGAGAGTTGTTCAAGGAGGATTGATTTCTCAATACCGTCTGAGGAAGTCATCGTTGCAACTGCGTATGTGACTATTGACTCGAACGATTGCTTGAGATTCTTCTAAGTTTTACTGTTTGTATTCTAGACGACTTAAGGCCGAACCCTTTCGCCGACTTGACATCTCTAACCCCCCCTTCTTGACGACACTCCAAGCCGTAGAGCTCAAGGGATCGCGATTTCACTTCCAAGTACTATGCGGTGGATTTTGCCGTAAAAAGGGAAATGCTAGGCAGCAACGCCGCCGGCAATACGTGCAGCCAGCACACAGGGCGGTGCGACGAAGGAGGCGCTCTCGACTTCAATACATGCAAGTAGGTAATCGAGCCATGGCGTCCTCCACCATCCGACAGGTAGCACGGAGTGACTACCGATATGATATGCGGTCCCGTAGTGCCACCACATCTCCGCCTCCTAGCAGATATCTTTCGCTTGAACAGGGAATGTTGTGATGATGTTGGATGCTGACAGAATATAACGGCGGGAAACAACACTCTCCATTTCTTTCCCCAGATCCCCAGTTCGACAAGGAAAGACCAAAAGAGAGAAAGGAAGAGAGAAAGGAAGAGAGAAAGGAAGAGAGACAGGAAACCACAAATATGCATACAAGCACGCCGACAACGACAAACCACCATACCCCACCCTACGAGCCGCCCTCCCCCCCAGCAGCAGCAGCGCCACCACCACGACCGCGCCCCCTCCCCCCTCTGCCCCTACCCCTCCCACCCCCTCTCGACCCCGGCCCGCCTCCCCTCGTCTTCTTCGCAGCAGGGGCGGTGTTGTTGGCCGCCGACTTCCTCCTGCCGCTCACCTTCCTCGGCTTCTCTTCCTGTTCTTCTTTCTTCTTCTTCTCCGCCGCCTCCGCCGCCGCCGCCTTCTCCTTCTCCTTCTCCCTCTCCTCCTCTTCTTCCGTTGCCTTCTCCCTCTCCTCTTCCTCTTCTTGTTGTCGTTGCTTCGCCTTCCGCTCTTCCTCCTCCTTCCTCGCAGCGGCGGCGGCGGCAGCCACGGCGGCGGCAGCAGCGGCCGCGGCTTGTTCCGCTGCGCGAGCGCCTTCGGCCATGTCTTCGTCGTCGGAGTCGTCGTTGATTTCAGAGAGCTCACTCTCGTCGTCGGCGGAGTCGTGGATGCTGGCGGGGGCTGTCGATGTGGCGGTGGTGGTGGTGGTCGTGGTGGCGGCGGCTGGAGGGACCGCGAGGGTGTTGGCGGCGGTGGTGTTGACTGTGGGGATGGTGGTGGTACTGGTAGCTTCGGGTTTGGTGGAGGAGGAGTCTTCGTTCGATGATGGTGGAAGCTCGGGGGATGGCGACAGCGGGGTCTTGATGTCGTCGTTTGCTGGTGCTCCGGCGGCCGTGGCCGTGGCCGTGGCGGACGAGTGCTGGCTCCCCGTTGGGAGCGGGACTTCTTCGTTTCCGTCATCGTTTTCGTCGTCTTCTTCCTCTTCCTTGGCGGTGACAAGCGTGTCGTTGTCGTCATCGTCGGCGACGGCGTTTTCCTCAATGTCTTCTGCGTCGGCGGGCCCCGCTTCGTCAGCTGTGCCGTTGCTCTCGTCATACGTGACCGCGCCAGGGTATCCCTCCGGGCCTTCGTCCTCTTCATTCATGTCCTCGATCTCCTCAATTTCCTCTTCGCTCTCGCTCTTGTTGTCGCCTTCTCCTTCGCCTTCTCCTTCGCCTTCTCCTTCGCCTTCTCGTTCTCCACCGGCGTCCGCCCCGGCATCCGCCGCATCCACGTCCATCGCATCACTCTTGACTCCAGCTTCCGCGTCATCTGCATCCGCACCCACACCCGCCGCGGCCGGACCATTCGCTCCAACGCCCGCATTCTCTGCATCGCCCACCAGCGGCAGCGCAGGAGGCGCGAAAGCCCCTGCCATGCCCGCACCCTCGGCAATGCTCGGTCTCGCCGGGCTCGCGCGGATCGGCATGTTCGTGACCGGTGTCGTAGGTGCAACGACGGGCCTGGTGACCGCCGCGTCGGCCTTGCGCATGAGTTCGCGACGGCCGACGCCCTTTGCGCGCGGTTTGGGCACCGCGGCGGCGGCGGCTGTGGCTTCGGAAACGGCGGCGGGAGTGGTGGTGCCTGTTGTTGGAGCGGTTGTGGGTAGGTTGTTGTTGCTGCTGTTGCTCATCGACATGACACCGAATGCACCGGCTGCTGCTGCTGCTGCAGTTGGCGGAGGCTCGTTTGTACTGGCACCGTCCAGATTCATGATGTTTTGCATGGACATCATGTTAGTGCGCTCGTATGTGGGTGCTTGAGGTTGTGCGGGCGCTGGGGCAATGGCTGGGGCTATGGCTGGGGCTGGGGGGGCTGTGGGTGGTGCAGGCGGTTCCGGCTCCGGCTGGAGAGTTGGGACCACCTGTTGGTACAGAAGCGCATAGGTGTCACCGATTAAATCATCGATGAGGGTGGCCTTCATGAGGTTGTTGTTCAGGCGACGGAGCTCCATAGCCTCGCGCAGGACGTCAAGAACGTTGGACTTGGTTTCGGGGTCGTGGCACCACGCTTCAAGGCGTGCGGCTGCCGAAGTCCACTCCTCGTGGTTGATTGACTTGAAGACGGCGTCTTCGTGGCCTTCTGGAATCTGTCCTGCACGTCGGAGCATTTTGAGGTATGCATGACACAGATTCTGCCACAACTTTGTGTGCTCGAAGAATTCGTGATTCCTACGCCTGACCCTCTTCGCCAGGGCCTCCATGCCAGCTCTATCGTTTGTCTCAAACAGTAGCTGGATGAAGAACTGAGTATAACGCGTTGTATAGACAAAATGCCGACCCAAGCGTTCATACTCGGGCTTCCAAACCTGCAGCTGCATGGTCTTGGTGAAGACCTGCTGCGAGAACTCGCTCTTGGCAGTAAGTGCTGCCATGTACTTGTCTGCGGGTGCCGGATCTCCATAGTGGATATGCGCAGCTCTCGCGGTCATACGATGATGCCAATTAGATTTGTCTGCAGAGCGAAGCGTTTTGAGAACTTTGAGGACATAGTCGTCCCACTCGTCAGGGTTCTCGGAGTCATCTGTCGTCAAGACGGGAACCTGCCTGGCATAGTGAGTGGCTTGGAGCTTGGAGCTTGCTTCTCTAGACTCAAGCTCCCTTCGTTGCACCAGCTTGTAGAGAATGGACAACAGCTTGTAGTGGGGCTCGAGGATGGGTTCTCCACGACTTCCCTTCTTGCCCGGAAGTTCTTCGATTGCTCTTGTGAAGCAAGCCACAACCTCTTCGACGCTTGGGCGGTTTCGCGGTTGGATGGTGCCTTCTTCCGCCTCATGCAGCTTCCACAGACACTTGCCGAGCATGAAGTGGGACAGCCAGTTGTCGGGCCTCCTCGCGATGGCTCGTCTGAATAGACCACTGGCAAACTTCCACGCAGCCACCGGTGTCATGGGCGAAAAAGGAACCGACCTCAACACCTGATGGGTGCTGTAAAACCGCTCCTCGGTATCTTTGAGTGCGAAAGCCTGCATAGAGAGCGGATCACGAGAGGACGAATAGATGCGCATGCCGAAATCTGCGTAGAGCTGCGCCATTTTATTGGCGGTATCCTCTGAAGCGTCGGCGTTCCTGATAGCTGTCGCGACTGCCATAGAGTAGCAGTGGATGGCTGTTCTTTGGTGCTGAACGAGCTCCGGATCGCCTTTGTTGACCTTTTCAGCAGACCATGCCACCATCTCATCGATCTGGTAGTCGTATGCTTGTGCCTGTGAGTACCACGTCTCCCATCTTTCCGAGTCATACTCTAGGTCCTGACCGAAGAAGGCTGACGCGATGTTGATGTCTTCTGTTGGCACGGGAGCTTGTCGCTTCTGATTCTGAGACCTGAATCTGTTCAGTGCAATACTTCCCATCAGGAAGTACCAGCCTCGCGCCGCAATGCGTGCATTTTTCACAGGTATCGGTTTAGTCGATAAGTCGCCGACGCCATTGACACACCTGTAAAGGTCCAAAGGATTGACCGCGGACTTGATGAAAGAGAGGTACTTCATCTTGTTCAAAAGTAAGTCCTCGGCGCCTGAAGGTTTAGTACGCGCCAGATACCCGTGAACAACATCAATTGTCGATCCAAGCTGGGTCCTGTGCAGATCCTTAACGTTCATCTTTCGCGCTTGGTACATGACGAAGTCGATGATTTTGAGAGCCGTCTTCTGATCCATCATGTCGTGATCGCTCGGATACTCCGTCAGGTCCTCAGCATTGGTAAAGCAGAAAAGACCGTAAAGATCATAGAGCACCTGACAAATCACCGTGTCTCGGGTCTCGATGTCAGCAATGTCGTCCGTCTTGAACCACTTCAAAAGCTCGTCCTTCATCAAGCGTAGCAGTGCTTTGGTGGAGGCTGAACAGAAGCCACGAATACCGAAAGCGTAATGGACATGGCGGAGGTATTCAAACTTGTCCTCGGTTGGCTTTGGGAAGAGCTGGCTGTCTTGTGCCATAGCGTCGCTGAGAAGACGCCATTGCAGCAACCAGCCACGTACCATGGTGTCGTGCAATTTGCCCATGAACGCAGTAAATGCTGAGTTGAAACGCCCCTCGAACGTTGGCTGCGGAATCTGGCCAACGCGGATCAAGTCCTCAAAGACGGTGACGGTACTCAAAAGCCAAAGGAGCTCTCCAATCGCATTCAGAGACGACCGCATGTGGCTTTCATCGATGCATTCGAAAACGTTTTCAACCGTTGCAACCTTGAGGATTCTGTCGAATATTTCATCGATAACTTTGATCGACTTGAGTAACTCGGCTGATCGCTGCTCGAAGCCAGCCTCACTGTAGGCCTCGCTCTTGATGTCTCTGACAAGGATTTCGATACTCCGGAGGTAGCATGAGACAGCTTTAGGAGGGTAATCAATTGCCTCATACGCTTGCCGGAGACGCTGCCATAGAGACAAACGCAATGACACGTCAGCGCTCGAGACAAAATGTACCATTGCTTTCAGCGGCGAAGGTCGGGCATCTTGATTTGCACCGAAAGTTGTACCGTCTCCTTCAGGCTCTGGGGTCATAGCAGCATCCGTTTCTTGGCTGTCGCCAACTTCAGTGCGTGATGGAGGTTGTGATGCGTCCTGTTCGGAAGACTCCAGTATCGGTTCGAGACTCTCAATGACAGACACCGGATCTTGTTCATCATGCTGGAAGACCCTCATAAAACAATCTTTCATGTTGATCTTTGTCAACTCCCGCTCGGCTGCCTCAGCGGAGAGCTCAGGCATAACAGCGTTGTTGGGTACGTAGATGGCAGGGCCGGGCAGCAGACTTGCAATGGTCTTCAGCTCCTCAATGCAGGTTACAACGTATTCCTGAGATACATCATCGGACACGCTCAGATGAAAAGTTGATGTCCACAGGTGTCTGAAATCCAGTTCATCGATGATCGAAGTTCGCCCGTCCGTAGCTCGGTATGCCATGGCATCTCGGGCTAATCTTGACCACCTTTCCAGCCTCTCTCTTTGTAAAATCTGAGTGGACACATCAACACTGCTGGTCGGATGCTTGATCAGTGAGTAGACGTCGAGGTGAAGTTCGAAGATCGTCTGAGCCATCTCAATCAAATGAGTGTCTTCTTGGTTCACTGCTGCCAATCTGCCTGCCGCTTGCTGGTGCAAGATCCGTGCGTCAAGGGCCGACACCTCGTCGTGCATACGTTCGAAGAGAAAATCGTCCACATTGACGAGTGCCTGTACAATGATTCGCTTGAGGTCATCAGACCACAGATGTCTCATGTAGCTTGACTGAGTGTCTTCAGGATCGGGAAAAGCCCCGGGCCTGAGCATGCTCTGGAGCCATGACCACATGAGTTCTTTTATCGGCATACCTTCGGTATCTGCAAGTGGCGGCCATTTGAGTAAGCAATCTGAATCGAGGATGGGTCGATTTGCTCTCTCAGAGCCTGATGATTTTGTGTAGCCCAGGAAAGCGTTAAGCCCGGCTTCGCGAGAAGCGCTTCCTAACATGTCGATCGAGTCGGGGCCCGTCAGGATTGGGACTGCCTGTGGAATGAGCTGTTGAAGGATTTTGTAAAGATCTTCGGCGGCTGTTTTGAACCCCGATTCTTCCATTTTGGTCGAATTTGTTCTCTTATTGCGCAGCATGTCCCTCACGACCTTGGGAGACTTCAATCCCTTGACCTCCAGCTTTGCCAGCATATCTCCGACGACCTCATACAACCAGTCGTCAGCTTCATGGAATTGGCGCAACTCGTCCTCCACATGCTGTTGGGACGTGTCTGCTGCAGTGACAACACTACCCAGATTAGCATCGCCAATCGATTCACGCGCTCGGATCCGTTTGCTTCGTCCACGGCCACCCTCTCCAGACTCGGGGAGACCAGCTGATTCTGTCGACCTTTTTCGCGACGATGCAGGTGGTCGGTCAGAGGCTTCTACAGACGCTCTTTCGTCAATTTTTGCTCCTTCTTGGTCTGCTTTATCATCGCCAGCCTCTTTCATCTCCGTGTCTTCTGTCTTCTCGCCAGGAGCCTTTCCATCCTTCTCTTCCACGTTTGCCTGCGCTTCGGAGGGCTGCCCTGCTTGGTCCGCTAGCGGTTCTGACGCCGCGGTATTCGTCGGTACTTGCTGAGTCTCGACGGTGTTGTTTGGTAAATCAGAAAGGGTCAGAGTCACGAGTATCCCTGGGCCCGGATCAACCAGGCGTTGTTGCTCTTGAAGGTATTCGTTCAAGATGGCGTCGCCCAAATGTGTCCAGTCGGATTTGATGGGGCTCAGAGGAATATGTGGCGAAGGACGACTTAGAGCTTTCTCCAGAGCATCACGTCGCTTCACATCTCCTGGTAGGGGAGCGAAGGAGAATGGAGCTAGTCGTCTCTTCAGAGCGGCGGATAGCTTCCTTCGCCTCAGGGCGGAAAGTGGTTGTTGTAGCAGTGATAATGTGTCCTGCAATTTTTCCACAAGCTCCCGCAACTGTTGGCCGGCGAATCCTTCTTCGAGGCCAGGAAGACGCATGATGCTGTCCAGCCCCTCATCGTCGCCGTCCAATACGGCCTCTAAGCAAAATCTCGTGATCCTGCTGCTTCCAGTAAGCGCTGCAACTGAAGCAGTGCGCGCCCACAGGTCCAGATCCGAGTCGTCTTTATCCAGAGCTTCAGCAAAGTAGCGAAGTGGGACGTCTACAGCCGCTGTGGACGCAGCAGCATCCAGTACAAGGAGAGCTTGCTGTCGCTCCCGTAGACTGTGCTCGACCACTTCCAGCATGAATTGGCCATGGTTTTTGTAAGACAGGTGTAATATCTGAGGCAGAGTATTAGGTGCACTGTCTGCAGAACCGCCCAGCTGAGTCGGACCAGCCTCATGGTCCTCCTGGAATATGAAATCATAGTCGGGGTCTCCGTGAAGCTCAGAGCGACGGTATTCGGAAAGCGATTCCGGGTATTTGAAGATGTCGGAGTCAAAGAGAGCTTTGTAAGCTTCGATAGCGTCGCGGTACGACTTGGGGCCCTCGGAGTGGTATTTGAGGGCGGTCTGGTACAGCTTCAAAGCTTCCTCGATTTGGATTTCCTTGGTATCATCGACCTCCTCGTCCGACTCGACGTCCGACTCGATGTTGATAGCTTTGAACAGGGACTAGCATCGGCGCGTTAGCTTGCGGACCGCCTAGTCTAGTGCGCACGCTGACCATGGTGGGGGGATGCGTGCAACGCAACCAATTTGTGAATGAGAGCTTCGGGTCGGCGCAAGCTGCCAGGGAAGGCAGTAATTGCGGGCGCGGTCTGTGACGGAAGCGTTTCGGCGGCAGCCTACGCCATCAGAGAGACCGGGGTGACAGTGAGCGAAAGCGCGATAGTGAGGGTAGCGAGCGGGCGTGGGATAGCGGCGGCGGGCGTGGGTGAAGTGTGGTGGGCGGGTGCGACGCGGCGGCGGATACTGCGGTGATGCAGCGCGACAGGTACCGGCACGAGTCGCACGAATCGCGCGGGCTGGCTGCACGAGTCAGGCGGGTGGACGCGCTGGCAGGGCTGGGTAGAGCGGTGCGTGCGCTGGTGCTGCGGTGCGCTGCTGCCGTCAACGACCGGCCGGAAGCTCAGGTGCGGTCGACGACGATCACCACCTCCCACCAAATCCGTTCTCTCTCCGACCCGCACGCCGCAATCTCCTCCTCACCGGCTGCCGTCGTTGCCACCACAATTGATGCTGTTGCGCTAATTCAGCATCTTTTCGCATCGGCCTCCACCATGGTTCCCCAGCCCGCAGTCCCGGAGTATGTCCCGCATTTATTTGTCTCTGCATTTGTCCCCTTGTGGACCTGATGCATGTCCTCTACACACACATGCGCTGTCCTGCCTCGGTTCAATTCCTCGTCGCATACCAGCCTCCCTCCGCTATCTTCTCGTACGCGTGCCCTGGCCGAGGTGCTGACGTGTCTTCTCTTGCCCAGAATCTTCGAGGATGAGATTCAATCCGTCGTCGACGCCCGCACAGAAACGCTCCAGTCGCTGCGGGAACTAGGCCCCCCGGATCTCGTCCACCTGGTCAAGCAACCCAAAGGCACTGCGAACAAGGTGAGGACGGACACAGCTTCCTTGGCCCTCAAATGCCTGGTCTGGCGGACGACTCTAAATGATGGATTAGGTCGGCGTGTACCACCACGTAACCGGCGTCGACGCCTCCTCTTCCGCAAGCTTGGCTGCCTACATCAACACACTTACCTACAATCCCAACGACAAGACGAACAAGGTTGTTTCGGGCTTATACTGGTAAGGCTGGACAGGGACACTGGCTGTTTGAAGGCTTGACTGACGTCTCCAGCTGCTACAATGCCTTCTCGAGGTTGGACATGCGTGTCCAAGTAGCCATACCCGGCACAGTCGAGAGCTACTGCATCGACGAGCGCGGCGAGAAGCGTGTTGCTTCGGATGAACTCTGGCTTGAGACGTACCTCTGCAGCGTCTTGCGCGCCTACTCGTACGCCGATGACGGTACGGGCGATACTATCAAGAGAATAGTTGGCGTCAGGAGATTCAACCCCATCACCACCACCGAGTCAGAGCACAAATTTCTGGATGCTGCAGAGCGCCTGTTCTTCAATGGCTGGCAACTAGGCTCCGACCCGGAGATTCAGGTCCCGAACCTGGTCTCCAACCATTTGACTACAGGTCTTTTGAACTACATCCACACCACCGGTCGCTACGCATCTGGAATCAATCTATTCGAAAAGCTGCGCACCCGGGACCCAGAAATCGCCTCGCTGCTTTCCCACGTGTACATCTCCGCGGATGAAGAGGTCAAAGCAGTAAGACTGCTCCATGATGCCATCCAAGAGCTTCCCATGGACTACTCTCTGCTCGACTGTCAGGCTGAATTCCTCAACCGAAAGAACCATCCGGAACTGGCGCTTGAAATTGCCAAGCGAAGCGTCATCTCCGCCCCCAGCGAGTTTGGCACGTGGGCAAGGTTAGCGGAGATTTACGTCAGCCTCGAGCAATGGGATATGGCACTGTTGACGCTCAATTCTTGCCCTATGTTCACCTACCAGGACAAGGACGCACCACGCATGCCGGAGCCACTTCGCGTTTCTCTCCCCGTAATGGTTGAGAGTGTATGCGACGAGATTGATGACAGTTCAGGCGTCCCGGACGTTGACATGGTGCACCCTACATTGCGCAAGCTGCACGCTGCGGGATTCAAGGGCACGTTCCTGAAGGCGTACATGCTCCTCACCAAGATCACCAAGAAGATAGGGTGGGACCAGCTGCTGAGAATACGGAGCCAAGTCTTCGTTATGGAAGAGGAGTACAGGCACGAGAGGCAGACGGTATCAGCGCAACCGCCTAGCCGCAATGCCAGTACAAGTGCCATTCGCTCGCCAAGCCCGCGCCCGAACGGTCATGGAGAAGTTGAAGTGGCCGGTGAAAATGGCGAGACGTCGAAGCCGGATGGAGAGGCGTCTAAGCCAGATGAAGAAGCGTCCAAGCCGGATGGACAAGCCAACAACGAAGCGGATGGTGCAGGCGACTCTTTGGAGAGACCCGCAACTACCGTGGCTTCGGAAGAGGTCAAAGCCGGAAGTGATGAGCCGGATCCCTCGCACCAGTCGTACACGCAATTCCAAAACAAGCGCCTGTGCGAGCGCTGGCTGGACAACCTTTTCATGGTTCTCTACGAGGACCTCCGTGTCTACACCATTTGGCGGACGGAGATGGCGCAATATCGCCAACAACAATTAGTTTACAAGAAGACGGCCGAGGAGTGGGAGATTCTTGGAGAGCTCGCAGAACGCCTGCATCATTTTGATGAGGGCATTGAGGCGTATCAAGCTTGTCTGAACATTCGCTTCTCACCGAAGGCGATGCGTGGCTGTCTCAAGATGTTCGAGCAGGTGGCAGACGTGAGGGCTATGCTCGGAGCACTCATCCGTCTTGTCTGTTGGCAATACAGGTGGTACTCTGAGGTGAGTTCATCGTATCAATTAACATATGATTGCGTCGCTAACGAACCAAAACAGTTCTCTCCCCCGCTGCTCTTCACCATCCGCAGGCTCATTGAAGAAGAGGGCACTCTCAAAGTCCGCAGCATAATCCAGGGCACAAGCCTTCCCCAGCATGTTCTGGAACTCACACATCAATACACGGCCCTGGTGGCTTCCTTCCGCAACCCTGGATCGGAGTAATGGGCATTTTCGATGACGGCGCGGAGGCTGAGGGCGACGATGCAATGGGCGGGATGTTGAATTTCTAGCATGATTTTGCGCGGCTGGGCACTTGGACTTGGACGTGTTCACGAAAAGAAGATACCTTTGCATGGAGAATATGCGGTCATCACAGGTGCTATCATATGTTATCGCGTGTCGCACACAGCAGTTGGCATCATGGAATTTGGGGATGTCAGCCAGGCTCTAGAGTAATTGAAAGATCGAACAAGCATCCTCAAGTATAATTGCCTTCTTCAGTCATTTGCGTGCCATGGTCGCCCGTGGCTCCAGTAGTGTCAAAAGTGGTGATGCGGTGGCATTGGGCAAAATCCGGGGGAGCTCTTGCCGAAGGGAGCTCCGACCCGCAGCTTCTGAACACCAAGGTGGCTTCATCAACTCGCACCTGCCCACGCCAAACACAGCAAACAAAACAACCTTGCGTCAGCGCTCCACAACGCCAGACACCGACACCATCGGCATTGCCGCCATTCGACTACGCAGCATTCCACCAGCCAACTTCGACAGTCGATATTTTATCAACCCCCGTGGTGCGCCAGACCCTTCCGTCTCCGCCCACCGCGTCCCACGCAACCCCCGCGCCGTGCAGTTGCTGCCTGACGAACACCCGCACCTTCTAGCCGGGACCAAGCCGCCCGACCGCCATTCACCACAACCATGGACTCGTTGCTGGGGCCCCTTGCCGGCATGCAGCCGCGACAGGTCGCGCTGCAGGTCCTGAACTTCGCGCTGGTGCTGAGCACGGCGTTCATGCTCTGGAAGGGCCTCTCGGTGGTGACCGACTCGCAGAGCCCCATCGTCGTCGTGCTCTCGGGATCCATGGAGCCGGCGTTTCAGCGAGGCGATCTGCTGTTCCTGTGGAACCGGGCGAAGGAGACGAAGATTGGGGAGGTGGTGGTGTATAGCGTGAAGGGCAAGGACATTCCGATCGTGCACAGGGTTGTGAGGAGGTTTGGTGGCGGGTGAGTGTTGCTCTCTCCCTCGGCGGCGCTTGTGCTGCTTGACAAGGCACAGAGTCTTGGCCATATGTGGAACGGGGTTTGCTAACGCTGTTGGAATTTCCCGTGCCAGGCCGAACCCTCTCCATCTTCTCACCAAGGGCGACAACAATGTCGCGGACGATACGGAGCTCTACGCGCGGGGCCAGTCATTCTTGAACCGCGAGAACGATGTCATCGGCAGTGTCTTCGCCTACATCCCCTTCGTGGGCTATGTGACGATCTTGCTGAGTGAATATCCGTGGCTCAAGACAGTCATGCTTGGCTTGATGGGACTGACTGTTGTGCTGCAAAGGGAATAAGCGAGATGGTTCTTTAATTCCCTACCGGCCAACTCTCCACTGGACATCGGGACCGAGAAACTTGTACTCGCTTATAGCCCTCGATGATCTCGAAAATTCAATCTCGCTTCAAGCGTTATGTTTGTTTCCTACGTTCATAGCTTGTCTTGTATGCTATCGATGGATCCGTGATTTCTTCACCCGGCCCCGGCATCGACCGAGCATGTCTGAACGTTCTCAGCTGCAGCTTCACAAAGCTCAATAGGATAATGGACCGTTGAGACGTGCCTTGAACGATCTCTATGTGCAATGTTTCCAGGGCTATGTCAGCTGGTTCCATCGATGGGAACCTAACAGGATGCTTTTCAGATGACACCTCAAGCGCGCAAACGCTCCTCCTGATTCGCCCACGTTTGGTCACTTCTCAGACTTAATGGGACATGTGCATCGGCCATGTCTTCGCGCGGCCCAGTTTCTAGAGTAGTGGGACAACTAAGGAAAGGACGGAGGGTAAGGTTTAGAATAGACAGCCTTTGTTTGATAACTACTGGTACTTTAACATTCATTTTCTTACTCTTAAACCCATCACCTGGCGTTATAGAAGTATGGGCGGTCATTATATCGGTAGGGAAGCCGGGGCAGATGTTGTCTCAGCGCACACACTACTAGACACCAATTGATAACTATCAATATCCCCACACTCTTCCATATGATCGTGTTACTACTAAGTAGGGAACGAACCGGTCATATCACGGGCGGTGTGCCATACGTGCCAATGATCAGTAGGCAAAAAAAAAAAAAAGCAAAAGAGAAACACCACCTGGCCACGAGGTTGCGGCTTCAGCTGACACTCACAACAACAGCGAGGAAGACAAAAAAAGAAGCTGTATCCATGCGGAAGGCAAGGTTCGAACTGTTTGCATCTTGTCAGCAGGCCGTATGCATGGGGGGGGCGGGTTCTCCATTCAATCATACCTCGCGATTTCTGCTTTGGGAAAGCAGCGCCTTAACCACTGCAGGCAGGTGTCAAGTTAGCATCTTGATGATTGTAGAGAGAAGAGAGTGCGAATCGTGAACCGACATACCTAGGCCACTCCCGCTAGATGGATGCAAGAACCGGTTGTTTGTAGTGCTGATAAAGGGAAAGCGGGTGACGGCTCATTTTCCTCTTGCATATTATGTGATGTGTTACAGCTGCATGTGCGTGATGTCAAGACTGAACGTGATGAGTGTGGCATGCAGCGTGCCGTGCCTTGCCGCGCCGCAGGTTTCTGCTTGCATGCCGGGTTGAAATAGTGGCGGTGAGTGTGAGGTAGATGGTAGCGAATGATACACACTCTCTCTCTCTCGTATTTGGCTCGTGGTTAAGGTCTGGCTAGCGGCTAGCTTTGGGTATGATGCAGCCATGTTGCAGCGGAAGAAGCTATGGTGTAATGAATGCGATCTTGACAAGAGTAATGCCGAAATAAAATAATGCTAGGCGCCATCTATGTTGTGCATGCATGTCCTGAAACGAACTTGTGCTGTTCAGCTATTTACGCCATTCGTTGCCCTGGTTAAGTCATAACTCATCTCCACAGACGGCCCCTGATCCAACATGGAGCGCCTGCTTTCTTTTTCCACACGGGGTCAATGCCAACCAATCTCAGCACAGGTACCTAACATCAAGACGGTCACCACCCCTCGATCTGGAAGTCGAACCGCCGGTCTTCCTTCCCGCCCTTGACCGGCTTCCCATCATCGTCATACAGGGTCCTCTCCACGAACGTGACCTTCCCCTCCCGGTCCACCAGGATCACCGTCTGCTTCTGCGTGCCGTAGATGCCACTCGTCGCGCTGACCGACTCCACGCCGGTGGCCGCAGCCACGGCATCGGCCGGCTTCTCCGTCATCTCGGCGTCGTGGCCGATGCCGGGGATGAAGATGCTGTTCCGCAACTGGCGCAGGTACGTCTCCCAGCCCTCGCCGTTGCGCTGGCGGGGCATGGTGTCGGCGCTCAGCACGGCAAAGAGGCGCTCCAGCAGCGCATCCTGCGGCTCGCCGGCGTTGGCGTGGTCGTCGACGGCGGCGCGCAGGCCGGCCTCGCCCTGCACGATCTTCGGCCACGAGTTATCGCCGTAGTGCGAGTTGCTCAGGGCGTGGGTCGCGCCGGGCTCGCCGGCCAGCCAGACCAGGCCCTTGACGTCGGGCGTGCGGTTGGACACGACGGCGAGGCCGGCCTGGTCGTGGCTGGGGCCGTCCCCGTTTGTCGTCGCGGCGGGATCGCGCCGGTGCTTCTTGACCACGTCCTGCAGGCGGCCGTACAGCATGCTGAAGCCGCCGACGTGCTTGAGCGTGCCCTCGTCGACGAGGCGCTGGGCGAAGTCGGCGGTGCTCTCGTCGGCGGCGGGCGGCGACTTGAGCCAGGCGAGGGGGATGGCGCCGCGGCTGCGCTCGTCCTGGATGATGGCGGCGCCCTCCTCGCGGAAGTTGGTCAGCACGGCGATGCGGCCCTGGCGCGTGATGCCCAGCCAGGTGCCGTGGACTGGCCGGTGCAGGTCGTAGCCGCCCAGGACGTGTGAGTGCGGCTCTGCCCACCACTGCGCGGGGGCGGTGGGGCGGTGGAGATATTCCTGGGGGAGAAACGGTCAGCTGTGGGCCCCGCGAGGGAGCTGGGGAAACGACGCACATCGCGGTTGTTGAGGAGGATGAAGGGGTACTGCGGGTGCGCGGTGGTAATGACGGCGATGCACATGATGCGGAACGGGCTACTGTGTACAGGCAAATGAGACGGGCAGCTGATGATGCAATGCAAAAGCGCTTGCCGGATGCAGCAGGTTTCGTCGGGGCGCAGAAAGCGCACTGGTATATATGCGGACACAAGCACGCGGAAAACGACAGCGGGATCGATCTACACGGGATAAGGACGCTGATGTGGACAGACCTCAGACGCGTCGCGGCGGTTGTTGAGGCTGGGCCGTTGACGTGGAGGCCGGGCAGTCCAGGAATCGGTCTGCTGTGGCGCAGTCGTTGCATTAGCCACGCAGCCCTACCACTGCCTGAACCGCGTCGGAGTCCCGACGCTGCTGCTCTGCTGCTCTGCCGCTCTGCTGCTCTGCTGCTCTGACAGGCCAGGTGCGGGTCGCCTTGGAGGCGCCCATGCCCAGCACCGTGGCACGGAGCAGCAATGACGAGACGCCTGGCAACGTCCCTGCACCCCCGGCGCTCAAGACGGCGGCAGGCCTGAGACAGCCAGACCCGTGCGGGCCACACAATCGCTTTCCGTCGGCTTGCAACGTCAAAGGACTCAGCGCCACCAGCGCACACACGGCCTTGTGACGAGGTAACGTGAGGGCCGGGCTGCTCATCAGGCGCCGGACTCCGTGAGCCGCAGACCATGGAAGCCCATGGTACCGCGCCTTTCCTGGAGCCTGCCGGCAAAAATAGCAGACGAGAGCGGAGTTCCGGGCGCGGCTAGCCGGCATGCCCAAGCCCCTCCCGCGCCGATTCGCAGGGCCGATAGAGCGAGCTAGGGTAGCTCGCCGCGGCGCAGTGCGGGGCGCGCGCTCCACCCGCCGCCGCCGCCTGCGAGAGTCGCATTGCTTTCTTTCACCTCCGTCCCAAGCTTCCTCTCGACACACCTCCGTCTCCCAGCCTGCCCAACCCACTGCGCCTGGGGACCGCCGCCGCCATGTTCTTCGGAATCTTCGACATCTTCCCCAATCTCCTCACGTACGTGCCTGCCCGTCCGGCCTGCTTCCGCAGCTTCGTCCAGCTCCCGCGCCCCGCCTGGAGCTCAGGCTCCAGCTTCGGAAACCAGCACAGCACCGCACTGCGCGGAATTTTCTCTTCTTCGCCGTCGTCCACGCCTCGCTGACAAGCTGCGCACAGTACCGGGCTCACCACCCTCTTCCCCATCTTTGCCTCGTACAAGGCGCTGCGCACCGGCGACCCCCAGCAGCTGACGCCATGGCTGATGTTCTGGGTGTGCTTCACCATCGCCCAGACGGCCGAATACTGGTTCTCTTGGGCGGTTGACTGGCTGCCCTTCTACGCGTGGATACGCTTCGGTGCCTACCTGTACCTGGTCCAGGGGGCCCCATATCTCTATCAGACGCACGTGCACCCCTTCCTGGCGCAGCACGAGCACGAAATCGAGCGCTTCATCAGCGACGCGCACGAAAACGGCAAGCGCGTGGGTCTGCAGTACCTCAACCAGGCCATCGAATACGTCAAGGTCAACGTCCTGGGCATGGCGCCCTCGCCGCAGCCCCCGCCCACCCGCCCCGGCCAGCAGGGCGGCACCTACGCCCAAACCCTCCTCTCGCGCTTCAACCTGCCCTCGGCCACGCAGGGGCTCGCCGCCCCGGCCGGCGACTTCTACGGCCTGGTGTCGGGCGCGCTGCAGGGCGCCGCGCAGTGGCAGCGGCAGGGCACCGCCTCGCGCGCCGACGCCGCCACCGCCCTCTCCGCCAGCGGCGCCATCATCCCCGACGAAATCGCCCGCGGCCGCCCCGAGGACCGCGCCAATTACATCGCCTCGCAGCGCACCCGCCTGCAGACGCTCCTCAGCGCCTTTGAGCAAGAAGCCGCCACCGCCGGCAACGTCTCGAGAGACCCGTCCAGGGAGCGCAGCGGCGCCGGCAGCCTGTCCAAGAGCAAGAGCGAGCTGGAGTTCGACCGCGTCGAGTACGACGAGGCCTTTGAGGGGAGCAGCAGCGGCGGTAGCGGACGCGGCCGTCCGGGCGGCAGCCGGACAACCAGCGGCGGGTGGATGCCGTGGCAGTGGGGCGCGGGCGCGCAGCCGCAGGAGAAGGGGAGGCTGTCGCCGCAGCCGCCGCCGTCGAGGTCGCGCACGCCGTCTCGTGAGAGCAGGGGAAGGGCGACGGGCAGCGATCTGGCGTACTAAGAGAGGGGGGGAGGATTCACATTTAGGCCTTGTTTCCTTATTTGCATAGATCTCTTCAGGAACTTTTTCTGGTGTTTGGGATTTTCTCGATTTTGCTTCTTTTAGCTCTCCACAAAGCCGTTTATACTAACATTGATGCCGGTAGTTCCACTGATTATACATTGATGCGGTGGTGGCTTCCTTTCCTCCATGGTAAACTCAAAAAAGCAAGGGTCCTGGGAAAGAATACCAAGTTCGGGTCTCGCGACCGCGTAGCTAACCCCAATAAAAAGGCATCTGAAATCATACACGAAGCGGCCAATGCGGGAGGAAATCAATAGTATGCTTAAGCGAGTATGAGGAACACTCGGTCTCCAGCTGTTTCCGGCTATGATAGTCATTAGGCAAACGCCGATCCTGCAAATCGTGAGGTGGAGATGTCTTATATTCTTGGTCTTTCCAACAGTTTATAAGCGCCTTCTGTGTGATCTACATGACCATGCGTTTTTCCCATTTTGGATTGTCATATCCCCTCAACCCATATCTCCCACGGCAACGCCATGCGCACTGATCACGGAGCCACAACGTCTCCCATCCGTGAAGTGCCTTTTGTTCTTGAAGAGGGAAAAAAAAGAAAGAAAGCGATACCTATACAGTCGAGTCTTCTCTCGATTTTGATCCCGGGTATCCGTATTAACGGGGGCGCCATACACAAGTGGAAGAAATGCTGGAAGAAAAAAAGCGTCGTAGCCGTCCCTCTCTCTCTCTCTCTCTCTCTCTCTCGCTCGCTCTCTCGCTCTCTCTCTCGCTCTCATACACCAGCCCCCGCTGCCTTGAACTTTTTCCCGCCGTCCCCGTCTAAAACTTGCTCTCCTTCCACGGATACGGGATCTCGTCGTCCTTGCGGATGGTGATCTGCTTCTTCTTCTTCGTCACCACATGCTCGACCCACACCTTCTTCGCATACTCCTTCATGAAGCGACGGATGAAGCGCGGATCCCACAGCTCGCTCGCGACGCCCAGGTCCTTGCAGCAGCGCATGAGGGCGTTGCTCTTGCAGCCCTCGGTGGCGGTGGGGATGCCCTCGGGCTCAAAGTACTGCTGCTCGCCGCGGGCGATGCTGACGAGGCGGCCGCCGGCCACGAGGCCGTACTCGCGCGTCACCGTCTTGCCGGTGACGATGGTCTCGCCGCGGGGGGCGAGCCCCCAGCCGCCCGGGCCGAAGGCGCGGTTGAGGATGCGCCGGTACTTGATCTCGGGCAGGTAGATGATGCCGTCGGGCTTGACCTCGATGTCGTCGGCCTGGATGGGCTCGAGCAGCGCCGCCGCCGCCGCGTCGCTGAAGCGCTCCGACGACAGCCCGTGGAAGCTGCGCGACCAGTCGCGCGTGGATGCGTCTGCCGAGGACGGGGGGGGGGAGGTCAGGTCGGCGATCTCGGGCGGGCTGTCCTCGAGCCCGTCTTCGAGGTCGCGGAGCGTGCCTGGCGTCGTCGACGGGGAGGAGGGGGTGCGGGTGGTGGTGGTGGCGGCGGCGGCGTTGCGCACCGTGGTCGGCGGCGCGTCGTCTGGGGAGTTGGTCGTGCTGCGGGTGGGCGGGGCGCTGGTGGTGGTGCGGGGGGCCGCGCTGGGGGATGTGCTGTTGCTGGCGGTGCGGTAGGCGGGCCTGGGTGCTGGTGGTGCGGCGGTGGCGTAGGCGTGCCAGCTGATCTGCGGCCGGAGCAGGCGCGGGGCATTGAGGCATCGGCGGAGGCACGCGCCGGCCTGTCGGGTGTGTATCGCACTCATTGTGTGTTGCGGATGTGTGGGGGGAGGGTGCTGAGGTGGTGGGATGGCTTTTCCTCCGCGGCGCGTGGACGACGCGAGAAAGTCGTGGTCGGGATTTGCTTCGCCGCACGGCCCGATGACGGCGACGAAAATGCACGGCCGTCGTTCTCGGTGGCGCTTATCGATTGCTGCTATTTCGTCATCTGTCGCACTCGGACAGCTCCCGAGAGACCCACAGGGGTCCTCCATCATTGAGCGGGTCGGTTAACGAAATGCTGATTCATGCTTTCATCACTAGCTGGAGATCATCATCAGAAGGTAAGATATCTCCTGGGAACAGAGGCACCAAAGGCACCAAAGGGAAAGGAAGCACCTTGAAGTCTGCAATCATGTGACAGCATGTCAGTTCCGAACAACTTGGAATGTTGATTGCAAAGAAGCTTCACACGTATAATCTAGCCATGTTCACAGACTTGATGAGTAATTGGGACACACTGATCAGAGGCTCTCAATGTCACATTTTGAACCATAGCCATCATTCGCGAAAGCAATTATCATTTGGACTCTATCGCTCTAGCCCTGTATGTTCAACTACGTAGTAATAAGAAACTTTTGAGGAAGTCATGTCGTAATCCTGTCTTGCACATGTTGATGTACAGACCCGTCAAAGTATCGTAAATCAGGCCTTGTCGCCGGCCACCGTCTCATCGACCATCTTCCTGTAGCGGACCTGGTTGTCGATCTGCTCGAGGAACACCTTGTACTTGGTCGCCAGCAGCTTCTTCTCGCCCTCGTTCTTGGTCGGCTTGATGGCCTTACCAGGCTTGCTGTAGCGGTCCATGATCTCCCACAGCGGAGTGCTCTTGCCCTCCTTGTCGGTCGAGGCGGCCTTGGCACCAAGCATGGCCGCACCGTGGACCACGGCGGCGTGGACATAGCGGGGGATGAGGACCGGCATGTCGCAAGCCGCGGCGATGAGGTGCATCAGGATGTCATTCTGGCACTGCGAGCCAGACATGAAGATGGACGAGATTGAGTGGCCCGACTCGTTCATCGCAGTGATGATCTGGTGGGTCTGCAGAGCAATGAACTCCATGGTTCCCAGGTACGTCAGCGCCAGAGCGTCCAGCGACTTGTCGCTGCTGAGACCGATGAAGGAGCCCTTCATGTTCGGGTCGGCAATTGGGGAGCGGTTGCCGAACAGGTCACCGTAGTAGAACATGTGCCTGCCAAGCCAGCTGATGTAGGGCGCGTTTTGCTTCTCGGCCAACTCGCGGAGGTGCTCGTTCAGGTATTCATAGATGTTCGTGTTGAACGTCTCGGCCACGGACATGGCCTCGTTGAATGCCGGGTGAGTCTCAATAGTGTGCTTGAGCAGCTCGCCGGTGGCACTCTGCCCGCCTTCTGCCATCCAGTAGTCGGGAAGCAAGACATCACGGTACGGGCCCCAGACACCGTTGACGAAAACGGGCTCACGAGACATTGCCAAGTGACAGGTTGAAGTGCCGGCAACGGCGGCCAGACGAGTGAAGGCCTGGGAGACATCGTTCTTGGGCATGTCCGAGTTGAGCTCCTCATCGGACAGCTTGACCTTGGCGCCGACCGTGCCGATCCAGCCAGCGTACGCATCGATGACGCCGCTACCAACGGCAATGCCAGCGGGAAGACCCATGTCCTGGGCAGCCTTCTCACTCAATGGGCCGACAAGCTCACCAGCAGTGGAGTAGTGGTTGTTCTGCAACTATCGTTAGCAATGAGCTGAACATCTGTGGAAAAGGTAGAGGCTAACCACCCCGTTGACGCCACCCATGCGCTTGAAGTTGTCTTCGACCAGCTCCTCCAAACCGATTTCCTTGAGGAAGTCATCCTGCCAGCCCTTGACACTGCCGTCCACGCCAACAGGGACGAAACCCTGCTTGCAGACGACACTGCAGAAGCTGCGGCTCTCGTTGCCGGTAGCCATGTGGGTCAGAGCATCAGTCAAGTCGTAGAACTTGCACTTGTCGAACAGTTCCTTGGGCATGTTGTTCTTCAGCCAGAGAACCTTGGGGATTTCCATCTCAATGGACATCTTGCCACCGACATAGCGGAGCAGGTTGTGGTTGGTGTTGTTAATCTTGACCGTCTCATCGACGGGGCGGTGGTCAAGCCACAAGATGACGTTGCGGTCATGGCCCTCGCGGTTGTCGAAGTTGGGGCCAGTAATGCACACCGGCTCGTCCGTCTCGGCGTTGAAGACGGTGAGCGAGCAGGTGGCATCGAAGCCAATGCCGCGGACGGTGTCGGCATCAATGTTGTGCTGGTCCAGAGCGCGGCGGACGGACGAGCAGATGCACCGCCAGATGTCGGTGGTGGATTGCTCCTGCATCAGCACGTCAGCGGCTGGGCAGCTGAAAGGGTAAGACGGGCGGGCTCACGTAGTAGCCGGTCTGCGGCTGCCAAAGGCCAATGTTCTCAGAGGCGAGGCCGACGATGTCGCCCTGGCTGTTCATGATGCAGGCACGCGCGCTGCCCGTGCCGACGTCGACACCAATGAAGTGGTCGACGTGGGGGTGAAGCTCGTTGCGCGGGTCAGTCGACATCTGACGCGACTGCTTCCGCGTGGGAGGAGCTCTGTAGGGAAGGGAAGTCATGATGGGCGACAATTGAAGCCTGAGCCGTTCTCACGATCGATGTGCGGTGAGCTGGACGGCAGAGACGACGGGTGCTTGTGCCTGAGGCGTGCGGTGCCTGAGGTGTGGGAATCGAGGGTGCAGCTGGAAAGAGGCGAGTGTTCTGAGGCAAATGGGGCAATTGGAGGCAGATTTGCTTGAGGGGTGAGAGATGCAGGAGAAGAGAGGTTCTGGCGGGGGAGGGGCGCGGGAAAAGCTGTTGAGACGCAGCCTCCTAGCTCCCTCAGAATCTCACGATCGTCGAGAGCTTCCGCAGATGACTTCATACCCTGGCTAGCTCGAAGGGTCCTCCGCAACCGAATTGTGGGCCGCGCGCCCCGGACAAGCTGCGATTTGCCCAGCCAGCTCTTGGCCGGTGTTCTCGCCCGCCGTCGTCATTGGCCGCCATCTCACGATGGCCGGTTTTCCTGCGCTTCCGAGGGGCGCCGGCGGACCACGTTGACGTTGCACGGTGGTGCCTGCGCCCGCGATTCGAGGCACGGAGGCAGCATCTGCAGCCGCCATCCCACGGATCCCGTCGCCAGTCTTGCCCCGTGCTTTCGCCGCCCTAGCCCCCAGTTCTCGGCGGACTTGCCCCCGCCCAGCCGACCAGCCCGGCCTGACGTTCGGCCGCCCCCGACGCGCCATGGGCTGACTGAGCAGCGAACGCGCCGGAGCTCCAGCACAGCACTCCTGCAACTCTCCTGCACCCTGCACAACGCGCGCAGCGGCCGCACACCGCTCAACCCCCCTCCCTCCCCCGCAGCTCGAGTCGACGTCGCTGCCGCCCGCCATGGCGTCCCTCGCCCCCCGCCTCCTCGCCATCGTCCTCGCCCTCCTGCTCACCACCGCCCTCGCCGCCGCCGACAAGACGCTCAACATCCACGTCTGGCCGCTCGACGCCTCCGCCCCGCAGCACCTGGCCCAGCTCTCGTACAACGCCGCCAATGCCAGCGCCACCGTCGTGTCCTGGAAGCCTCCGAAAGGCATCTTCACCGCCGCCGGCAGCGACCCCAACGGCCTCGTCCGCATCGGCCTGCAGAAGCCCGACTGGACCGGCATTCTGACGGCGGCCGCGGCGCTCGGCCCGGAGTACAAGAAGACGCTCGTCCTGCACGCTGACGCGCAGGGCGTCGTCTACGGCGTCGGCTTTGGCGCCGAGCCTCGTGCTGCGGAGACCGGCGAGGATGTCGTGGAAGTGAAGGTCGAGAAAGTGCAGGCGGGGCCGGCGCCGTTTTTGAACAAGCCCGTGGTGTTGGATGAGAAGGGGAAGCTTGCGGGGCAGGAAGAGCCGGAAAAGACGTTTTTGCAGAAGTGAGTGTGGTCGGGTCGCGGTCGTGTTTTGTCGGAATTTGTGCTAACTTCAAGTCATAGGTATTGGTGGGCCATTGGACTGTTCGTGCTGCTCCAGCTCTTTGCTGGTGGAAAGGAATAAGACGACATGATGCAGAGAAACGATGTTTATCAATGACTGATGATGCAAGAGGAGATGCGCGATATGAGTGAGCGCCTTCTCTGTTATCACGGTATAGGCATGCAGCCTGAGTTCCTTAACATTTGGGAGGCCTTTACTCAGGGCTGTTGGTCTTCTACCAATTTCTGGTACAGTCAATCCACCACCGGCTTCTTGAGCAGGTCGAGACCAATGACCTTGAGCCGAGGAACAGAGAACAGCATGGGGACAGTGCCGGAACCATGAAGCTGTAGTAATTCCGACTTATCCATTAGAGTAGGAGTGCCCTAGAGCATGTGCCATGCGAGCACATACGATCCAATTAGAACGGAAGATTTAGGTTTGAGAGCTGCCAATTGGTGTGCCAATACACAAACGTGCTGACGTGAAGAGAATCATTTTTATTACTCACTCTTTTGCTCGCCTACATCATCTTGACGCACCTGGCTGGCTGTAATGTCCGTGCACAGAGCATTCAGGGCCACATTGCATCATTCTTTTGGAGAAGTCAATCGGGTATCTCTATTCTGATGTAACTTTCGTGATTAAGCAAACCCCGCGTGGGCGACGTTATTTCTTTAGTCTCTTTCGAAATCAAGACGAACGCCATATGCCTGCATCACATGTCTGCCTTTGCTGCCAAAACAGAAGGGAGAAAAGAAGAAAGCAAAGAGAGGAGAGAAGACAAGAAGGAAAGAGGTACGCAAGAGCATGAAATACCCAATGCATACACACTGTTACTATGCAAAGCTATGCCACCAAAAGAAAAAAGAGAAAAGACAATCGTTATGGGAACAGCAGATCAAACCAGAAACGCAAGAAAAGTGAAATCGAGCATTGATAAACAGCGGTGAACCATGAAACCCTGTCCCTGCCAAGAAAAAATATACCAAAAAGGGAAAACTTTGAGTAACTCTAAACCGGTGCCGACTGGTATAAAACGGTGTTCATCGCGTGTCTCGCAATGGTGCCTTACGACCAGGATTCATCCCTCATCGTTGTGTGGCCAGCCTGATTATCAAGCCGCGTAGATCTTCCCAAAACAAAGTTGATCCTAGGCTTGGGCTGTCTTGGTAGCGGTGAGCCGACGCTCAGCAACACCTACTGCCTTTCTTTTCAGTCCTCTCGATCTCAGCATTCCACTCTTCGCCACCAGGGGTCTGCATGGGCCCGCCAAGTCCTGGTGAAGGAGTCGGGAAGCCTAGCCAACTCCGGCGCTTATCGCCCAAGCCGACTCTGAAGCTGCCGCTCCCACTCCCCGAAGAGTAGTCGAAATAGCCTCCTTGGCCGGCCCCACCGTTGAGCGCAGGAGTCACGCCGCCTGAGCTGAGAAAGTCCTGCTCCATGATCTTGTTCCGCTGCTCGACCAGTTTGCGAGTGATGACTCGGAACACTTCCTCAACGCCCTCACCATCCTTGGCGCTGATCTCGTGGCAACAGTCCCATCCCACGTCCTGGCCCCAGAAGCCGCTGCTCCTGTTGCTTTGCGGGCTCGCCATGCCGCTGTCGTCCTTGCCTCCGCCGGTGACGCCCCAAAGGCTCTTTGGCACGGACGTGGTCTGTTTGTCCTGCTGTGTCTGCTGCGGAAACAGGTTCTCGGCGACGTAGGCGATGCATCTTTCGAAAGGAACCTTCCGTGCCGAAGGGTCCTCTGCAACCCTATCGACTTTGGTGCCAACGACGTGCAGGATGATGTCGTCTCCCAGATTGTTCTTCAGCTCGATGAGCCAGCGGCCCATTTCCTCAAAGGACTTCGGATCGGTGATGTCGTAGCAGAGAACAGCTGCATTAGCGCCTGCATGTGTATGCTGTCAGCATTCCGGTCGCCCGCATCCGGCAATTCTCCGCTCTTTTGTCTCTGCTCACGGAGATTCGAGCCAAGGCGGCAAGCCTTTCCATAGTGCCTTTGGCGCAAGCGTACAGGGCACGGGGGTGTATCTCGCGTGGACGGGTGTGAAGGGGCGGCACGATATGCAGGGACCATGACTTACCCCGGTAGTACAGCTTTGAAATGCTGCGGTATCTCTCTTGGCCAGCAGTGTCCCATATCTGGAGGCGAACCACGGTGGAAGTGTCGATATCGACGACCTTCTTGGTCAAGAACGAGGCTCCGACAGTGGAGGTGGTGTTTGCGAAGGCGTTCTTGACGTAGCGGTGGACCAGACTGGTTTTGCCGACGCCCTGGGTTGGGTCAGCGGTCTGCGGAAGAGGCGGTGTTTGGGTGGAAAATGGTGGGTACCTGCGAGCCTAGCACGACAACCTTTGCCTCGACGTCTGAACCGGCCATCTCGAGGTTTACGGCGTCCTGGTGGCGCAGGTGGAACGGAAGAGCAGGCGTGTTGAGACAGGCGCGTGGGGAGATTAGCAGACGTTGATGGTCGGAGGCCCGTGTGCCAAAGGTCAAGGATTGTGCTGAATGCTGCGGTTTGCGGTGCAGCTACGGCGCTGGGCTGACGTGCGAAACGCGCGAGGGCTAGGATCGGCGCTGGGCAACTGCCGGCGTGCTTAAGGAGGCTTGCCGCGACGCAGCCATGGGAGAGCGGAGAGCGAGCGAGGCGGACCTTGGCGAAGCTCGCGCAGGAGACAGGCGAGGTACGGCGTTTGGATTGGATGCTGGCGCTGGCGCGTGGTGGTGAGCAGCGATGACGAGAGGCGGCGCGCGATCGGCCTGGATTGGCAGCCGCATGACAATCATCGAAAGTGGATCGTGGACGTCCGCGTGCGCAGCGCCGCTCGGGGCGTCTGCTGTGCTCGGCCCGGCTGCCGCGCTGCCTGAGGCACGCGCCGGCCAGATCGGCGAGACCAAGCGGGGACCATCGCAGGAGCAGAGCACGGCAGCTGTGTAGTTGTTATCCGTAGCTCGCGGGCGGGCACCGCTGGAAACCCGCCAGCAGCAGGCCCGAGGTCGGTGCTGACATCTGGCATGCGGACCAGCCGGACCAGCGAGCGGCGCCGGCTCCAGCGCGCGCGCAACAGGCGACCGGCCCCTGCTTAGCAAGCGATGCCGTGTCATTGGCCTGTGGCTGGCGCACTGCGCACCCAGCCCTCGTTGCCAGAGCTTACCCCACAGTCACTCGGATTCCTTTGAGCCGACGCCCCAGGGCTCGAGCCGCTGCGATAACCGCTCCGGAAATCCCAGGAAGGGCCGGGCTAATCGGTACCAAAACTGCAATATCTTCCTGGTGCTCGACAACTCATACATAATTCTCTCCCCGCCGCTCAACTCTCGCTCTTTCCCCGCCCAGCCCTCGCTCCTGCCCTCGCTCCTGCCCGCCGCACCACTCCCGCCCCAGCCGAGCGCACGCCCTCCCCGCAATGAACCGCAAGAGCAACGACACGCAGCCGGTGAAGCTCACCGGCGCCGAGATCGCCAAGCACAACTCCCGCGAGAGCTGCTGGGTCATTGTCCACGGCCGCGCATACGATGTCACCGAATTCCTGCCCGAGCACCCCGGTGGCCCCAAGATCATCCTCAAGTACGCCGGCAAGGATGCTACCGAGGAATACGAGCCCATCCACCCGCCCGACACCCTCGACAAGTACCTCGACAAGTCAAAGCACCTGGGCGAGGTTGACATGAACACGGTCGAGCAGGAGGAGAAGACCGAGGACCCCGACGAGCAGGCGCGTCAGGAGAGACTCGCGAGAAAGCCCATCCTGGAGCAATGCTACAACCTAATGGACTTCGAGGCGGTGGCGAGGAATGTTATGAAGAAGACGGCATGGGCATATTACTCGAGTGGTGCAGACGACGAGATTGTAAGCCCTCCTATCCGGCAGTGGACTGTGATTTCCCGGATGTGGCCGAGTTCCACCGTTGGGTCTGACCAGCCACGTGGAATTGACTACAAGCGCCACACCTAATCGTAAACCGACCACTGGCTGACCTTGGCCTGCAGACTATGCGGGAGAACCATTCCGCCTTCCACAAAATCTGGTTCCGCCCCCGGATCCTCGTTGACGTGGAGAAGGTCGACTACTCGACAACGATGCTTGGCACCAAAGTTGATATTCCTCTCTACGTCACTGCCACTGCTCTCGGCAAGCTTGGCCACCCTGAGGGTGAGGTCGTCCTCACACGTGGTGCGAAGAAGCACAACGTCATTCAGATGATCCCTACTCTTGCATCTTGCTCTTTTGACGAGATTGTCGACGCAAAGGAGGATGATCAGGTGCAATGGCTCCAGCTCTACGTAAGTGCAATGACTCCATCCGAGCCCTGATCCCGCTAACATTCCCCTCAGGTCAACAAGAACCGCGAAATCACCAAGGGAATCGTGGAGCACGCCGAAAAGCGCGGCTGCAAGGGCCTCTTCATTACTGTTGACGCACCTCAGCTGGGCCGCCGCGAAAAGGACATGCGCAGCAAATTCGACGACGTCGGCTCCAACGTCCAGAGCAGCTCTAGCGAGAGTGTAGACCGCTCTCAAGGCGCTGCACGTGCCATCTCATCTTTCATTGATCCCTCGCTCAGCTGGAAAGACATCCCCTGGTTCCAGTCCATCACCAAGATGCCAATCATCCTCAAGGGCGTGCAATGTGTCGAAGACGTCCTAAAGGCCGTCGAGGCTGGCGTTCAGGGCGTTGTCCTATCCAACCACGGTGGTCGTCAGCTCGATTTCGCCCGCTCCGGCGTTGAGGTTCTCGCAGAGGTCATGCCGATCCTGCGCGAGCGGGGATGGGAGAACAAGATCGAAGTCTACATTGACGGAGGTGTCCGACGTGCAACCGACATCATTAAGGCGCTCTGCCTAGGTGCCAAGGGTGTCGGCATTGGCCGCCCGTTCCTGTACGCCATGTCTGCCTATGGTTTGCCTGGCGTGGACCGGGCCTTGCAGCTACTCAAGGACGAGATGGAGATGAACATGCGTCTCATCGGTTGCTCCAGCATCGACCAACTCAATCCGAGCTTGATCGACACTAGGGGTCTCAGCTTGCACAGTGCAGGTGTTCCTTCGGACACGCTGGGCTTGAACGTGTACGACCCATTGATTGGGCCTAAAGAGAGCGCGATCAAGGAGAAGGCGAAGTTGTAAGAACTGTAAAAAACTTTGAGGAAAGCTTCACATCAGTTTGATGGCGAACGTCACAAGGCAGTTTCTCGGGCTTTTCATGTGTATATATGGTAATATAGGAAGAGGTGTGTCGCGAGGTAGACGTTTGGATACGAAAGAGGTAGCTTCCAGGCTCCTAGACAAGATCTTTGTAAGTTTGGCGTTGTCACTCTCATGCAGATTTGGTTGATTATGCGATGCAGAATGGCATATCGCGTGCGATTTGGCCGCCACCAACAATGAAAACTCTTCATATCAAGTCTGCCGTCCACTAAGCCATGAGTTCTGAAATAGTCAACCCGATTCACTCGTAAATACTTGCGCCTTATTCTTCACGAGCAGGATCAACATCGCACCAGCTGTATCCACACCGGGAAATTGACTGGGAAAAAAAGGAAAAAAGAAAACGAATCACAGCTATGGCTTTGACGTAGTTTGTTCTGGGCCCACGCGAGCTCGTGACCTTTTCAAGCTGCACACCATTCCGGCAGTGCATTATACGTCGGGAAGGTGAAGAATTGTGCCAGTTCATCCTCATCGTCACCACCATCATCGAACTCGCCTGCCGTGAGGCTATCTAACGCTGCGTCGCTCTGCTGCGGGTATTGAGATTGGTTCTCCTCGAACGTCGGAAAGACTAGCACGTCAACAGTAAGAACATCGTCATCATCGAGTGCATTAGATGAAAGCAACCTACTTTCCGGTCCGTTGCTTGACACGACGGCCTCCTTGCGATTTTCGCCCCGTTGTCGAACCTGCAACTTTTGTGGGACCTCGTAAGCATCTTGAACAGTTGACAGTTCTTCAAATCCTCGACAGCCAGGCACCTCGGCGGAAGGACTTGAAGAGCCGGTCGTGTCCAGAAGCACATCAGTCAAATCCTGAGGGCTCTGGCACTTGCTCCAGGAATCATCCCGGATTGATGGAGTCCTGGGTCCTGTCTGGGCCGGAACGGCATCCTGAAGTGGAAAAGGAAAGGAGCTATGGAGAGGCTGATGTTCTGCGAGAACATCTTCACAGTCTCCCGGAGCCTTGGATAAGGTCCAGGAAGGAGAATGGTACGGAGTGTACGAGGTAAATGAGTCAAGGAAAAAATGATGTTCAGTAGGAACATCATCACAGGTTGCTTCAGCCATGGATACAGTCCGGGAAGTAACATCATCATAGGTTTCTTCAGCCATGGATACAGTCCGGGGAGTAACATCATAAAAGGAGTATCCGTGGACTATAGTGGCATTTGGTACCACACCAGAATGGATGTCCTGAGGTTGGGAAGGAAACGAGTCCTGCGGGATGTGTTCTCCTAGGGACAAAGCCTTGAGGGGTACTTGAGTGCTGGGCATCATCCGGGCAGAGGAGTCCTGGATGTATGAAGGCAATGGATCATGGAGCCTCTGGCGTTTGGTAGAGATGTCGTCACAGGCTTTCGACCCTGCTCTTTTTGTCCCGCACTTTGCCTTGTTCTTTCGCACGTTCCACGCTCGGAGTTTGTTGTGGTATTGCCGTTTTCTGCATAATCATTAGCTGCGTGTCTGCGGCTGGGTTGTATTGTAGCGCAGCGTGGCACTGACGACGCACGAAACCCCAAAGCCAACATCACTACCATCATCTGCTCAATCGTCATTCGTTCGTACAGTCCGATGATGATGTACTTGTGGGCATCCCACGCAAGCCTATTCTTGCACTCGCGTCCATTAGCGCCATGGGGTTGACCTGTGGACATGGCGTAGTGTGACTCGACATAGGTTTTCGAAGAGCAATGTGCTGGTAACAGGAGGCTAAAGAAGTCATAAACTGCAACAAGCCCAGAGCTGGTTGTGTTTTTAAGTGCGGGGAAACTAGAGAAATGCAATCCATGCTGACACAGGGGTCGACCTGCACGTAAGCAAATGCAGCCTTGATCCTGAAAGTGCAATTCAGCCTCGGCGCCTAATCACGCCCCCATTTCCAGCCCAAATCCGATCCTTTGGCCACAGATGACAATATCAGAAAGGTGGACGATCCACAACCTCTGGCTTTCCTGTCGCTAGATGTCGGAAGGGCACACTGGGTTGTAGGAAACCTGAGCCCCCTTACGTAACTCGTTGTTATGATGGAATTGCACTCAACAGCCCGAAGCGGAGGTATAATTAACTATATCTGGCCACCGCACTACGACATCAAGAAAAGGCTTTACATTATAAAAGAGCTGTAGGTTTGTTGATCGAGCGTTTTCCCGTTTGAATTCATTCCAAATATAGGCCATAGCCCCCTAAGGAAATGTCACCCGTTGGGAACGACGTATCGTTCAATAAGCCATCGACAGAGCCTCCCAGCCCCAAACCCTCGGCATCGTCTCCCTCTGATTCAGATATCCTCGGGATACAAGAATGGTCTTTCTCCCACCAAGACACGTCTGAATCGAGCATACGCGTGGTGCTCTCGTTCGGATCACTCAAGGCAAGTCCAGGAAGATAGAGGTCAGGCATGTTGACTGCACATATCTGCGGCGAGAAGCCTACCGGGGCGGAAGTCCCTGCGGACTGTTCGCATACGAGTGAGACTATGAGTTTGTCCTGACCAAAACATTAGTTTGATGGTGGAACACACACAAGGAAGCGTGCACTCACCTCCACGCCATCAATCAGCCCCCACAACCGGTCCCGCTCAACGACTTTCTCCCCAACTGCCTGCTCCATGATGCGCATCATCCAGAGCAAGACGCACAAGCTGAGGACGTAGGTCTCTCTGCTGTCCCTGGAGCTGAACGGCGAGAGGAACAGCGACAGGGTTTCAAAAACCCCCACGAGCGTATCCAAAGCCTGCTTAATGTTTTGGATGTTTTCCCCACCGAGGAGCAGCCCCGGCCTGCGGGCTCCAGCCGCAAGAAAAGCCTCCCAGATGGGCAAGAGGGCTTTCGCGAACACCACCATCTCGGCCGGCATGCACTGCGCAAGCGTCCGCCGCTCCGTCGGCCTGGCAGAGGTTCTGCCCGGATCGCGTCGCGGGTGGCCGGGAAGAGAAAAATAACCGGCCTCCTCGCCCCATTCGTCGTACCACTGGAACGATGCATCGGCTGATCCTGAGACCACGCGAGGGTCGTCGAGGTCGAGCTTGCTGAGGTCGAAGACCATTTTTGCCTCGAGCTTTCGGGCCTGGCACAGCAGCTCGTGATGTTGGCTCGGGCCGGGGATCGGGCTGCGACGCAAAGCGGTTGATATGCCTTGGTGGCGGAGCATGCCGGTGCGAGTGTCGTTCCGCCAAAGTTGCCATCGTCCGCAGGGAGCAGCGCGGCATGTAAAGAATATCCTTTCCGAAGGTCTTGGTGAACGGCGGTTGGTGGTCAGGCTGGCCCATTTTGTTAGCATCGTGCATTATGACCAATATACTTGGTGGTCCTAACCTGGTTTGAGCATCGAGGGAACGCATCTCACGGGCCAAGTCCGACTGGCGTGGAGAAAGGGCTGGTTTGCGCGAGTACTTCCGCACGCCCCACTGTTGAAGTTTGTTGAAATACTGTCTCCGCCTGGTGAGAAGAGGAACAAGTCAGTGGCTGAACGCAACAGAAACCTCGTCCATGCTGCACGGCAGGAAGGCGACTACTCACGACGCGTCGAAACCTCTGGCCTTCATCTCGGACATCATCTTGGCCATCGTCTTCTCCTGATACAGTTGGATGATGGCGTCCTTGTGGGTCCCCCAATCAAGCCGAGGCTTGCTCACCCCAGCCATCTTGGAAGGTTGGACGGGTGGCGAGGCTGAAGGCATTTGAGAGACGCGAATAGTCGACGACATATGCAAGAGATGGGATGAAGACGTGAGTTCCGAGAGACACCAAAGCTGGGGAGGCCGAGCGCGCGGTCAAATATGCCTTCGAAAGTGCAATCCAAGTGCAAGCAAGGCTGTGAGACACGAAAGTGCAATCCAGCCTTGTGGCGCAGTGCTGATAAGTCACATCACACGCATGAAGTGACAAGGGTGTGATTGGCTCCTCCACGCCCTTGAGTTGGCAAGGCGCAGCAATTTCTCTATTGCACCAGATATCTTGTGCACTTACGTCCAGATGCAAAAATCAAGCAACCAGACGGTGCGGGGGATCATCCAACCAAATACACACTGAATAAAGAACCACCCAACCAGCCTTCACCACCAACACCATACAGATGCAAGTCAGCAACTCACCCGCTTGAACCCCACATGACGCCCATCTCCCATGTCCCAATACATGACATCCCCAGAAAACCAAGAGAGAGAGAAAAAAAAAAGGAAAATCCTGAGGGAATGTGCAAGGTCGTCATAAACAAAAAAAAAGAAACCGCCCACTTTTCTCTTCCAAAGAAAAAGCAAAGAACGTGCCAAGATCGGATCTCATCCATCCCGTCCAATCCCAATCCCAATCCCATCCCAACCCCAATCCCCATCCCCCCAATCAGAAGAAATCCGCAACCTCAATCAACCTCACCCTCGCCCTCGACCGATGCCACCTCCCCGCCGCCGGGCCCCCCGCACACGCATCCCTCACCCTGAACCCAGTACCACCGCCACCACCTCCCGATCCTGATCCCGATCCTGATCCTCCCATATTCATCAACCCCCTCACCGGCGCCCCGAGCATCAGGTCCCCGACGCCGATGACGGCGTCCAGGCTGCCGCCCACGTCCGGCTCGAGCGCGTACTCGACGCCGCTGCCCATGGTGCCGACGTAGTCGAACGAGAAGCGCTCCGTCACCACGTTGTCTTCGTTTTCGACCACGATCTGGATGATGCCGTTGCCGGTGCCCAGGCTCGTCGCGCTGTGGGATGACGAGGAGTAGATGGACGACGAGGACGAGTCGGAGCCGGAGCCGGAGCCGGAGCCGGAGCCGGAGCCGGAGCCGGAGCCGGAGCCGGAGCCAGGGCCCGAGACGTTGCGCGTGCGGTTGTGCGTAGTTGCGGGTAGCGGAGACGGCGCCGGTGCTGACGGGCGTGTTGCTGTTGTCGGCGAGTAGCACTCGACGCGGGCGTCGATGCGGGATTGGGCTCTGCGGCGCGCCTTGGCCAGGTTGCGCGTGTATTCGATGCGGTCGGATGGCGACAGCGACGACGAGGAAGACGAATCCGGCCGAATGGGCCCGCCGAGGACGACGGGGCCGCCGTCGTGCGGGCTCATCGAGTCTCGCATGTCCGGATGGCCGATGCCGCTGGTGGTCTTGACGTCGCTCCGCCTGCCGCTGTTCTTGACGTAAAAGTAGTACTCGTCGTCGGGCAGCGTCACGCAGGCGCGCGGGCGGCACAGGTCCTGCAGCGCGCCGTCGTAGTCGCAGGGCGCGCGCAGGCGCTCGAGCGAGGGGAAGGCGCCGCCGGCGACGCTGACGGCCAGCTCGTCCGTCGCCGGCGCCGGCATCAGTATGTCCCAGTGCAGCGAGCGCAGCGTCGGGGACGCGAACACGGGCCGGAACAGCGGCACGCCGCTGCTGACGCCGGGCGAGCCGTCCTGCACGATGGCGAAGCGCTCGAGCTTCGTGCAGGCGCGCAGCAGGACGATGACGATGAGGAGGTCGACGATCTCCTGGTGCACCAGCGCGAGCGACGTGAGCGCCGCCGCCGCCGGCGACTGCACGAAGCGGAGGAGCCCCCTGTCGGTGACGCCGTCGAGGGCCTCGAGGCGGAGCGCGGTCAGGGTCGGCGGCAGGGCGGCGAGCGTGCGGTCGTTGAAGTCGGTGTCGGAGAAGTTGGAGATGTGGAGGCGCCGGAGGCGCGGCAGCTTGCGGAAGGTGGCGACGAAGGCGCGGAAGTCCATCGCCCCTGAGTCCTGGCCGTGGAGGAAGAGCGTCTCCAGGTTGGTGGCGACGTCGTGGTGGTGCAAGAACAGTTCTGTCGGCCCCGGATAGAGCTCGAATGCTTGTCGCTGCGTTAGTTTCCCCGCGCCATAGTTGATTGGCTTTCCTATGATCCACGCCCGCTCCTTCAGGTTCCGTCGCGTGGATAATGCGTGGTTGAGGCGGTCGAATTCGTGGTTGTAGATCCTGTAGAAGCCGGCGAGTCTCTCCAGGTTCGGGCAGGCCATGACTATCGACGCCAAATCATTCAGGATTTCTTGCCCTTCGTTGTAGTTCGCCCGCAGCATGACCTGTTGCATCTCCGCCGCCTTGATCTCGACCACCGTCTTCGCCAGGGCGCTCCTTTCTCGAAGTGTTTTCCGAAGCAATTTCAAGCGGCTAGGGGTTTTTGACTTGGCCTGCCTGGGGTCCGCGACGTCTGGCGGAGGCAACCACAGCTTGGAATATCTGAAGAAGGCTGGGTTAGCACACGGGCCGGACAGCAGAAGCAGTCGGGCGTGCTTACAGCTTGTTCCTCGCGGCCTTGTCCCACGCGCGACTCGTCAAGGCAAGACTGTACAAATCTCGCAAGTAGCAAGTCGTGCAGCTCTGGGTGCCCCTTCCGAAGTGGAGCACCTCGAGCTGCTGCAGGATACAGGCGTACACCTCACGCGGCAGTTTCTGGAAGATGCGCGGCTGCGGGACATGTTGGGGTTTCGAGTGGGAGCGAAGGCTGCCGGAAGGGGTGAACATGGAAAGAGGGCGCTCGGGGTGGCCGTGGCCGTGGGCGCCGTGCATTTCCCACGACGGCTTCGACTCGAATGCGGGCGCGCTCTCGAATTGGGTGCGCAACTGCAGGCCGGCGGGGAGCTTGCTGACGGCGGCGCGCTGCGAGATGATGGAGTTGGCGGTGCGATATATGGAGGTGGTCGCGCTGGTGAGGGCCGGGGGGAGGGAGGAGCGCTTTCTCGCACGGTCTGTCGCATCCTTATTGCTAAATCGCGGGATGTTCACCGAGGGCGCGGCGTCGTCGGTGTCGTAGCTGTAGGACTCGTCTTCCTCGTCGATCACGTAGGGCCGGGCGGCGTCGTATATGCTGTGCTCACGACATCACGTCAGTCCTTGGGCTGCAGAAATTCATGATGTTCACGCACTCGTAGGATTGGCTGTAGGGCGTGACGCGGTTGATGACTTGCTGGGTGAGCAGAAGGTCCCCGGGGAAGTAGGAGCTCGGCATGGTCGGTTGGTGGGCTCGAGGCAGCATTCAGAGCACAAGAGGGCAGAAAACGGGGAGACGGGCGGAGGATATGGGGCCCTGACTACGGGCTGGGCTGGCTCGTGGGCGCACTATGTGGAGGGACTGGCAGGCAGAACCATGCCGTTCGTCGCGCGGCGGGCCAGGGATGGCAGGGCGCGGCGGGCGACGATAGCGCCATCAGCAGCGACTCAGCAGCCAATGGTGGGCAGATCGGAATTTTTGGGCATGCTGCTAGTCGGCCCCAGTCGCGTGGGTGGGACCGTGGGACCCAGCATGAGGGAACGTGAGATTGAGTTGCAGATCCGGGTGGGCAGCGGGCTCGTGGGCTCGCGGGCTCGATCGCAGCAGGATCCGCGGGCTCGGCGGGCTGCGGGCTCGCACTTCTTCCCCAGCTGCCGATCCGGCTGGCGTGCTTTCTGTGCTCGTGGCTCCCTGGCTCCCTGGCTCCCTGGCTCCCTGGCTCCCAATGCAATCCAGCTGCAGCCCTCGGGGCCACGGCACGCCACCACGCTGTGACGCCGCCCTCTACTAAGCCCGTTCCTGCCGGACCACACCACCCTCTCCTGAAGGGACGCCCAGCACAACGCCCGCCCATATCAGGTATTCTTCTGCGAAACGTCGGCTTCAGCCAATGCACGTGGCACCGCCCTCGGCCCTGTCGCCTCCGGCACCGCTGACGCCGCCCTATCGCAATCTTGTTTGCGCCCGTGACGTTCTCGCATGCAGATTGACGCTGCTGCAGATCGTCTTGTAGCTGAATGAAAGCCGCGCACCCCGCCCTCGCGGCGTCGCATCAGCTCGTCAATTGCGATCCTGCAGGGCGGACGCACGAGAGAGTACACGCGCCGAGACGTTCCGAATTTAGCAGTCCACAAGCGCGGTTGCCCCAAAACGGGTTTCACCACGAACTCTGTGCTCGCCCTGTGGCCCCTGGTTCCCCGAGCGCCCGTAGCTGAGAGGCCACCACGTCACCGCTCGCATTCTCCAACAATGGCTGTTTTCCTCATGGCGATTTTCACTTTACCATCGGCCGTGCGTCGTGCTTGGCGAACCCTAGCCGCACGGCAGCACAGAGAGCATGCTCTTCCCGAGAGCGCGAACAATGTCGCCGTGAACAAATGCATTTTGGTCTCGCGAGAAACCGCTTTTTTGTGTCCAACCAACCGAAATAATCGCGCTGGAACTAGATGTTTGCCCCCACCGAGATCCCCCAGCGCCGACCCCCGTGCGGGCCCCCTCGTCCGTGTTGGATGGCGACGGCCCAAATGGCACGAAACGCCGTCGCCGAATGCCCATGAAAGAACTCCCGGTTTGCCGTGCATCTATTGAGTCTAATCACGTTGGCCGTTACTTTTGCCTGGTTGCCAGCTTGTCCAAGCTGCTCCCGCCTTCGACGCCTGACGCTGTCCTTCAGTCAGGCGGAGCGGAGTCGACCGTCAAACGTAGTGTTTGCACCGGTTCAATTAGCACCTGCCGCAACGTTAGCCTGATCTTCACAAACGCTCCGCATCGCCGTCGGGCTCACATCTTGTAGCTGCCCGATCCCTGCGACTGCCTGTGCATGTCCTCGGACTCGAGCTTGTACTCGATGTCGATGTCCAGGTCACGCGGGTTCTTCTCGTTGGGCTTGTTGGTCAGCGTCCCGACAATCTTCTCGCCCGCCTCCACCGTGAGCACATCGTCGATGTAGAAGACCGTCTGCTTCCAGTGAGTGTACTTGGTGTGCGGGCCCGTCGAGAAGCGGATGGGCTTGTGGCACGCGCTGAACTCAATGTCGAACCACGCGATGACCGCATGGACGAAGTCGCTACGGCGGACGTTGAGGCTGAAAGGGACCTTGAACGCAAGGTCCTCCGCCTTCACCGTGTAGAGGTCGATGTTGAAGATGGCCGAAGGGTCCGTGACCACCGCCTTCATGTCGACCGTGTCAACCAGAGGCTCCGTCATGGCAGTGTACTTGAGCGGCGTGTAGTCGAAGCCCCAGACATTGTCCCAGACTGCGAAAAAAAAAAAATTAGGACAGTGCCACCACACACGATGCGAAACACTCACAGCCAATCTTCTCCTCCTTGTACTCGCCGTCCTCGATACCAGCCAAGAAGATGGTGGCCTTGTCGGGGAAGATGAGGCCGCCGGGGGCCAAGTACTTGTCGCGAGCGTAGAGCACCGTGTCAAGCATGCTCTCGTACAGGAGGAAGTAGCCCATCCACTCGGAGATGATGATGTCGACCTTGGGGAAGGGCAGGACGACCTCCTCCATCTTGCCCTGCAGGAGGGTGATCTTGTCCGACATGCCGTTGGCCTCGACAATCTCCTTGGCCTTGTCGATGATGGTCGACATGTCGACACCGATGACATGCTTTGCGCCAGCCTTCACGGCGAACCTGTGTTTTCCGGCGCATTAGGACCGGCTAGCCGTAAGGGCTGGTGGGATGTGCGGGGAGGGTTGCAAACATGCTGAGGATGGATGTACCGCATCCGACGTCCAGGACGACCTTGTCCTTGAAGAGGTGGCCATTCTGATAGATGGCGTCCCTGTACGAGCGCGTGCGGACCTCATCTTTCTGCGAAGGCGGTTAGCTGCTGCTTGTCTCGCATGGCGCAGGGCGATTGCGCCGCGGGGTACGGCGGGCAGAAGAGGCGGCAACTCACCAGCATTTCCTCGTGGATGCCTGGGCAAACAGTCAGCTCGAGCCCGTACGCGCAAACCTGCCGGGCGTGGGCGACTCACCATGGTGGTTGTAGCTGCGGAGAGAAAGCGTCAGTGCTGGGTTCGGACAGAGCTTTTGGGGCAGCAAATGCGCGCGCACCTGTTGAAGTAGTGGGCCTCGGAGTGGGCCAGGTTGGCCATGCGGTCGTCAGCCATGGTGTGAGGGAGGAGGGAAAAATTGTCGAAATAGCAAGGAAGGACTTGGTGGTTAGGAAAGTGCAGACCGGCGGGTAGACTTTTCTTGTCGCTGGACAACTTTCGCGTCGCGCCCGACGTCCGTGCGCGGCGTTGGCTTTTCATGTCATGCCTATCGCCCGCCCTGCCCGCCTGCCCGCCCAAGCTGGCACCCGCCACTCACCCGGCGCCCATGGCTTTGCCCCGCCCACATGGCCGCCACTGCCACTGCGCACCGCCTGAATCTCGGGCCGTCGGCGGGCGCGCTCCGTTGATTTCCCGCTCTGCTGCTGATGAGGCCAAGTCCGTCCTCAATTTTCCCAAATGGCGCTTGGGTCGGGCGGTGCATGGCTGCGCCACAAGCGGAAAAAAAAGGGAAAACCATTGCAGTTGCGGCAAGGCGTGGGAGATAAACATGTCATTGGTCATGATGCTAAGAATGCTAAGAAAGCCACCCGACGGAGCTTGCGGTCACGATGAAATAGCCAGCGCTGATCCCTTTGAGATTGTTGCATATGTCATGCCTGAAGGATGAATATTGGAGTTAGTCAGCTGTCTCCGAAAGTGACCCTGTGAGTAGCATCTAGAAAACCGCCTTTGTAAAGTCCGCCAGATGGCAACCCTCCATCTCGAATGAACGCTTGCCGCCCTATCATGCCGTAGGGTATATATAACCGTGATTTTCGTCAGTCATGAATCGTAGTTCGTAAGTAAGCCGTAAACGTGCCGGATCGTATTGTCGCGCACCAGATGTACTGGTGGCGGTCGTCACGGAACCCTGATAGTCGGGAAAACAGCAAGGAAGTCATCGCAGTCTGACGGGTTGTCGAGTCAGCAGCTGGTCAAACATACGAGCATATTGAATATACCTTTTCGTGACGTGAAGCGAAGCTCGAATTGGCCATCTCTGCCCCTCGGTGGCGAGTAGTTGTCGCAGAAGATGTACGGGTGTAAGGCGCTCATGGACAGAATCCTCGATCCCACTCGACGCATCCAGCCTTTGCGGCCGATGTATTGCGTGACGAATGCGGTCCAGATTGGCGTCTTGTGCATCGGCCCGCGGCGTGCGGTAGCCTCGAAACGGACAGCACCGGTATTCCGATCCTTGAACACCCGGAAAGCATGAAGATAGTGGTCATCTTGGATTTGGCCCGAGAACTCCATATCCTCACCGTTCTGGAAAAAGTCCTCGGCTCGAAGTGGGCTATCAACCGCATCTTGGCGCTTGAGGGCTGCGGCGGTGCAAAAGAACAGCACCATCCTCTCGTAACAGGTAAACCGGAGATTTGCCCAGAGATCCAGGCGACCGTCATACTGGTTTCCTCGGGACAGCTGTAGACAAGTGCCGACCCGTCGAATGTTCAGCGAGGTGAGCGGTATGCAATGCCGATAACGCCGGCCAAGGGGATCCTTAGTAAGAAAAAGGAGTCTGGAGCGGTGATCGGTCGGTCTCCAATACAATCTCACAAAAGAATCGGCTGCGTCAAATGGTCTTGCCTGATCAGTGAGGACAAAGTGACAACACTGAAGACGTACTTACTGCTCGACGACCTTCTGGAAGCCTTCTGCAAAAAGTCTGTTGACAGCCTCAGGATAATCCCGACCAAGGCACCTGGTCCTGCAACGTTATCAGCACAACTGGGAATGGCTGAGCCGCACCGGAACAGTCTTACGGTTGGCCCAGATGTCCAAGGAATTGGGTTACGGGATGCAGTCCGTCAAATATCTTTTGGGCCCAATGGATAGGACTGTACGAGCCAGCGGAATCCAGACTCGGCGACGTCGGAAAAGACGCGAACGTATCAAACGATGAATTCGAAAAAGCGGGTGACAATGGCGCTTGAGGTGCCGCTGGATACATGCCATCGCTATCCCAGTCGTCCGAGCTGATGACTGGTGACTGAGGGGCGTATTGCGGGGCCGTCCACAACGGGGGTCTCACTGGGGATGGCCTGAGGGGTGCTGGTGGAGATTCTGGTAGTGCGTTAGCAGTCTACCGACAATACCTCCCCCCAGGTTTCTTAGATAGATAAACAGGCCATCGAATTAGGTACCACTCGGCCTCAAACTAAGCCAGGGTAGTCGTTCACACGGAGACTCACCGATGCGTTCGGTATCGAAGAAGGCTTGGCGGGCTCTCAGACGTCTGACGACTGACACTACGACATCCAAATCTTCGATCTCCTTGTCACTTGGCGGGCGTGAGCACGCTTGTCACACGAATGGAAAAGGCGGGCCATACCCTTGCAGAACGTCAGAAAGGCCCATGGTCAAGTCATGGTATGCTACGAGGCGGCCGCTGAATGAACGGCCTTCCTGTTCGAAATGGAGGCGCAGGCGTTCGTAGGCCCGGCGAGGGTTTGCTGAAACTTTCACGCCGAAAAGATCAGACTTGACCGTCTCCAGTGTCGACTCTAGGCTTGGACACAGGAGATCAAGCTCGGCCGTGATCTGGGCGGCGGCGCGACGGAAGGATCGATGGGTGACGAGCTCGTCCAGCCGCCTCAGCTCGGCGCTGACGGCGAAGAGGGCGCTGATGTGGGCCAGAAAGTCGCGCTCGCAGCCGGGAAGAGCGTCGATGAAGGCCTGCAGGCCAGACGCCACATCCTCGGCTTCCTTGGCCAGGTCAAGCAGCGACCAGTCCATTGCGCATGGCGTGACGGGCAGGCGAGGGCGAGGGCGGAGTCTGTGTAGCGGGGGAGGCCAAAACGACGACGGTTGTGCACCGTACTGGGGCGCCGGCTCTGGCAGAGATCCGGGGCAACCCCGACGGCGGCACGAAAGGTGAGCGCTGCTGAGGCTCTACCGCCGTTGATGAGCTGTCAATGGCAGGGCAGGCCAATCGAATGCGCATCCTGCTCGCATGCCGCTGATCCCGCGAACGTGACCAGCGGCGCCGACAACCCACAGAGGCCCTCTGCATGACAATGCATCTCTTGCGCCGGCCATTGGCGGCATCGCCGACGGCCGGGGTTACGCAGTGCGTCCCTAAGCCGACTCTGTCGGCTGCCGCTACCGGGATGATCGCCGCTGCAGTGGTGCCTAGAGAGCGCTGCATCTATTTCGCCGAGGCCTCGTCGAGCGCACGTCGACGATGCGACCGTTGCCGCGGCGCGCATGTGTACGGCTGCTCTAGTCGCGGAGTGGCGCAGACACGCATGCTGCCCGGCGAGTGTGCTGGCGAGTCCTGATAAGACGAGACGAATCGAGTGAGCCTGGACGCGGCTCGGCCCAAAAACGGCCAAGTCGTAGGTAGCAGCGAGTACTTGGGCGGCCGTATAACTTGTAGGATAGTGGAGAGCAGACGTCTAGCAGCTTTATATACGTTATGGGAGCCTACATTGTGACTGCAGGCCCGCCTTGCGCTTCGCCTCACTCCCACGAGGCCGGGCTGCGCCACCGCGGCAGGGCCTTCGTGCAATCACCGTCCAAGCGTCCTCCTTCACGAGTACACTTCCGCCCCAGCGACGACTGTAAGCGCTGCTTGATGTGGGTGGAGCTGACAGTGATTGGGCCCTTCCGCCGATGCACGTGGTGTGTCTCGGATCACTTGCCAATAGCCTTCAGCCGCTCATCCACCAGCCTGGTGACCATCTTCTCCAGCACCGCAATGTCACCGCTGGCCTTGTCCTCAAAGTAGCCGTTCACGCTCTTCTCGACGTATTTGCCCACCTGGTCCACCTCGACGTTGACCTCCTCGCCCGGCTGCTTGCCCGCGGTGACGACCTTCTCCTGCGTGTACGCGATGAGCATAACCTCCCACCAGCCATCTGGCCCATCCTGAACCTTGGTCACCGTCAAGCTGGCGCCGTCTATCGTGATGAATCCCTTTTCCACAATATACCTGAGGATCGACTTGTCGCGCGGCTGGAAGCGGAACGTCTTAGCGTTGCCGTCAGGGGTCACGGACAGGATGGTCGCAACGGTGTCGACATGGCCTTGGACAAAGTGGCCGCCCATGCGAGTCGAGGCAGACACGGCGCGCTCCAAGTTGACATTGGAGCCCTGCTTCAGAGCCCCCAGGTTCGTACGGCGGAGTGTCTCGGGGGCTACGCCGATCTTGAACGAGGACTTGTCGAACTCGGTGACGGTCAGGCAGGTGCCTGGGAAGCGTCAACATGGTGTCGCCAGAGGGATGCGTGTATCGCAGGCTGACCGTTGACCGCAATGCTGTCGCCCAGGTGGCAGTCGCCCAGAATCTCTTCAGCACCGGAGATGGTTAAGGAGGTCCCGCCGCCGCCGCTGGCGGTGTCATCCTGCTTCTCCAACACGGAGACAGCTGGGAGGATTAGCACAACGCACGCCGGGCTCTGCTGTGCTGCTTACTGCCGATAATCTCAACGATGCCGGTGAACATGGTGTGAAGGGTGGTGGCTTGAGCAAAAGAGGGTAAGTGACGCCGACAGTGGCGGGGTGACGCGTTGCAGGCTGCCTCGGCTTAAGCTTCCCTGGCGGTCGGCTGCCGCGGGGCGCCTGGCTACTGAACCACCATCTCTACCACTTAAAAGCCCGGGCTCCTGGGAAAGGCAGAATGGCCTGCAGAGCTGGAAAAACGTCGACTATGATCGCCCGTGCATCACTCACCCGCCAGCTCTGTCGGACTCGCCGTCCAGTCGGCTGCAATGGCTTGACCAGAAGGTCCCTTGCGACAGCTGCCGGAGCAGCAGAGGCCGCGACTCTGCCCTTGGCGGGCATCCGTGTGCTGGACATGACCAGAGTTCTCGCTGGGGTAAGTCGGCCGTCGGATGCCCAATGCAACAACACAGACTGATTGTTTCATGAAGCCGTACTGTACACAAATTCTGGGCGACTTAGGGTACGCCAGCATTGGGCACCCAGTATGGGCCACCTCCTTCGAGGTCGTCAACTCTGCATCTGCGCCTGCTGATCCCGAACAACCGCAGGGCCGAAGTGATCAAGATTGAGCACCCTATCCGGGGTGATGATACAAGAGCATGGGGCCCTCCCTACGCTAAATATACCTCCGATGATGCGCAAGGGCCGGGCGAGTCCGCGTACTTCCTCTCCGTACGGGCTAGTTCACTTCTGATGACGCCTACCTGGCTAACTTGGACTAGGTCAACCGCAACAAGAAATCCCTAGGCCTCTCATTTGCCCACCCTGCAGGTGTTGAGATCCTCCACAGGCTGGCCAAGAACTGCGATGTGCTGGTGGAGAATTATCTTCCCGGCGGACTGAAGAAATACGGAATGGACTACGAGACTGTGTCCAAGATCAACCCCGGCTTGATTTACGCAAGTATTACTGGCTACGGCCAAACAGGGCCCTACAGTAACCGCGCCGGCTACGATGTCATGGTGGAAGCGTGAGTGATACCTGCCAGCCTTTCTCGCTTAGCGACTGACTTCCGGCAGGGAGATGGGCCTGATGCACATCACCGGATCCAGAGATGGGCCTCCGGTCAAAGTCGGTGTGGCTGTTACGGACCTAACCACGGGACTCTACACGTCGAACTCGGTGATGGCGGCTCTCATTGGGCGCGGGAGGACTGGCAAGGGCCAGCACATCGACGTGGCACTCAGTGATTGTCAGGTCGCAACACTAACAAACATTGCCAGCTCTGCCCTGATTAGCGGAAAGAAAGACTCTGGTCGGTGGGGTACCGCACACCGTAAGTCAAAGCCACCCAAGGAAAGGGTTACTGAAACCTGACAATGCGTAGCTTCAATCGTCCCATACAAGGCTTTCAAGACCGCCGACGGGGACATTCTCCTCGGCGGAGGAAATGACCGCTTGTACGGCGTTCTAGTCGAAAGGATCGGCAAGCCGGAGTGGGCAAAGGATGAGCGATTCGTGACAAATGCGCTCCGGGTGAGGAACAGGGAGTTGCTGGAAGACATGATTGAGGCGGAGACGAAGAGGAAGACGACGCAAGAATGGCTCGAAGTCTTGGAAGGATGTGGGATGCCATATGCGGCCATCAACGACATCCAAGGAACCCTAAGCCACGACCATGGTAAGCACGCCCGAAACGCGACAGAGAAGCAGCTGACGGGTTCAAAGTTCTTGCGCGCAACATGGTTGCTGAGGTGGAGCATCCGCAATGCGGGCCGATCAAACTGGTCAACACGCCGGTCAAGTACTCTTCCGCCGAGCCGGGTATCCGGACACCTCCGCCAACACTAGGTGAGTTGCAACCCAAAAAGGCAGCCGGGCTCGCGCTAACGAAGGGGGGAAAAGGCCAACACACGGACGAGGTTTTGATGGAAATGGTCGGTCTGAGCGAGGCGGACATTGCAAGCCTGCGGAGTGAGGGAGTGGTTGCCTGAGCCAAGGTGGACTCGAGAAGCTTGGGCAGCGGAAGCCAAGAGCCGACCGTTGTCGGCATGCAATGGATCCCTGCAGCATGTGTTGGGGTGCGGTGACGCGGGGCAAGAAGTCGATGGTGGGTCGTTTAGCGTTAGAAACAAATGCAAAGATCCAACGCAGAGATGGTGCCAAGCGCAGGGAGCGGGCGTCTGAGCGGAAAGATGACGGCTAGGCGGAGATCATGGCCCCTGCGCGGTGGTTGGTTCAACGGGCAGCTCGCTCGAGTCTGCGCGTTTCCCGCGAGCATCCAAGCCTCCGCCGCAGACACCAGCCGCGTGCAAGCCCGTCGCACGCTTCTCACGGGCCCAAATGTCTCTCGAACCGCCTCCCGGCGCCCCTGCGCCTGCCAATGCCCCTGCGCACCCGAACAACGGCCAGACCGCGTCTGCCAGCTCGCGCCCATGGCCCGCCGCAACGAGCCCGGCTTCCTCGACCACGCTGCACTCCCTCAAGCCCACCGCTGTCCCCTCCGCGACCTCGACCGCTGCTTCGTCCGCCTCGCCAGGCGGCCTTCCCCGAATACCCTCCGGCTTCTCCGCCTCTACCGAGGAGATCCTGCGGCGCGTCAGCGCGAATGCCTCGGCGCATGTCGGCACGCCGGGCTACGAGGCTGCGCGCGAGCAGGTGCTGAAGAGCATGGTCACCAGTGACAAGATCCCCACCCCGCCGCCAATGGCCGCTACCAAGAGAGGAGCCCGCGGCGCTTCCAAGACCGCATTGGCGAGCTCGTCCACGCCGCGGCCAGAGAGCGCTGCCGGCGCGGGGGAGAGCAGCGCGACGCCCGCGTCCGTTGCGAGTGCGACATCTGCGAGAGGGCGAGGCAGTGGCCGAGGCCGTGGGCGCGGGGGGTCGAGAGGAGGCAAGAGAAAACGGGCAGACACGCCGGACAGTGAGGTGAGCTTGCTGTCACGCTGGGCCATGGCGGAATCTAACCGTCCACCCACACTTAGGACGACTCGGACATTTCTTCTTCATATACTCCGCTACCTACAAAAACGAAGTCAGGCCGCAACGTCACGAAGCCCACGCAGTTCATGCCTGTACTCCCCTCCCCTTCGACCGCTACCAGAAAGAAGCGCCCAAATCGTCGCCCGACCGAGATGAGCGTCTGCAGGGTGTGCCAACGAGGCCACAGCCCCATAAGCAATATGATAGTTTTCTGCGACGGGTGCAACTCGGGCTACCATCAATATTGCCATCAGCCCGAGATTGACCGGGAGGTCGTGCAGGTGACCGAAAAGGAATGGTTTTGCGGAGCTTGCGTCGCGCTGAGGAGAAAGCAAGACGAGGCAATACCCAATGTGAATGAGTTGGTTTCGGGCCAGAGTCTGACGAGAGAAGAAGTTGGTCTCATTGCTCTTATTTCAAACGAGAACATGCTAACAGAGACGATAGAAGCGGGCTTACTTCTCAACACTATCAACCGCAAAGCTTACGGAGCTATTACTCCACGCCACCGATATATATCACGACCTTCCGGTCTTCGCGCCAAATTCTAGGAGCCTTGCCGGCGCCACGGGAGCAGCAGCAAGACAATTTGGCGCTACTATGACGAATCACGCCATGACCGACAGTGCTGCCATTCAAACGAACCACAGTGCTGCCCTCAATAACGCCAATTTCGCCACCAGCCACAACCAGACCCAAACCATCAACCCCGCAACAACGACATCAGTACCGCCGCCTTCCGCGCTAGCAATCTCAAGCACTTCGTCCATCACCCCGGCTGCCACCACGCTGAATCAAACACATTCCCCGTCCACTCTCCTCGATCCAGAGCCGGAAGATGCAGGCGTAGATGAGGCGGACGATCCGTATGGCGATGGTGACGGGTATGACTCGGATCCGCCCGCTCATTATCCAAAGCCAGGGCATGGCTTGGCACGCACATTACGACCCGAGAGCGAGGATCTGCAATGGCTCGTTGACGACAACCTCGAGGTCTTTAGCCACGTCTACACCAATGACGGGCAAAGCGGGCTCAATGGATTCGGGCCGGACGGCGCGATTGACTTAGCGGGCGCCGAGGCGGCTGCGGCGCCTTGACTGTCCTTGCTCGGCATGGTAGCAGCGAATGAGTCCGAAAAACGCATTTAGATTATGGTTCATTCTGGGCGCCTTCTTTCCACAGGCCGGACATGGGTACGAAGGCGTTTACGAAACAAGTTGTATTATTCCTCTGCTACTTCTCTTTCCGTTTCTCGGCTGTCGTTATCCATGGAGGCGAGTCTATGAAAGGTTTGGGTATGATGCGGAAGCATTTACTGGGAGCTTGTCAGTGTGATTGCGAGCATCAGCAATGCTGCTGGTGCTGGGTCAGGTGCTACGTATGCTGTAATTATTCGGTCTAACTGGTCCTTCTGGGGGTCTCACTATTAAATGAGGAGAGACTGTCTTGTGGCCCTTCTACCGAGACAACGATAATAGTTAACCATCACCAAGACGGTCTCCATTCAACCGGCTAAAATTCTCCTCCCCCTTGTTTTTAAGCCACAAGCTCCTACGCATGGATTGTAAGGTCAAGACTGATGGCGACCAACCACAAAGATTAGTTGACCACCCAAAGGATCCAGTGTCCGCAAGGCCGATTGGCTAGGAGGACACTGGTCTGCAGGATTTAACCGGCAGTCGCCATTCGTCCATCGTTCAAGTGATGCGACGACGAGCACAAGCGAGCTGCAGTCAACCACGTGGCTTAAGCATCGCGGATGAGCATCCATGCCATGTCACGACTAGTTTGGAAATTGTCACGAAATGGAACAACTGCGTTTCGCGAGTTCAAAAATTTCTGGAACTTGTTGGCTGATCTGATGTATCTATGGAAATGATGTATCGTCAAGTCGTAGACTGCATATGTTGTACATACATACGCTTGGGTTTCCCTCCTCCTCTACTTTAATTGGACTCATGTTTCTTGATGAGCACCTCAGCCATGGGGTTGGGGTTGATCTGTGTGCCGAAAACGAAGTTCTTCGGCCGGCCGGCCTCCTTGTCGGCAAGCTGGAAGTCGTAGCTGAGCAGGAGCTTAGAGAGGATGGTCTTGATCTCGTTGCTGGCGAAGAAGCGGCCGGGGCACGCGTGGCGGCCCTGGCCCCAGTGCAGGTAGTCGCCGTTGGAGGTGGCGAACTGGTGCGAGTTCTTGTCGCCCTCAGAGCGCAGGCGGAGAAAGCGGGTGGGGTCGAAGGTGTCCGGGTTCGGGAAGTGCTCCGGATCGAAGTACAGCTGCGAGCTGTCGACCTCGATGACGGTGCCCTTGGGCAGGAAGGTGCCGTCCGAGAGCGTGATATCGTGTTTGCAGTAGCGCTTGAAGGACGTGAGACCGGGGGGGTTGAAGCGCTGAGACTCTTTCATGAAGCTGTCGAGCTTCTTGAGCTTGGCCATGGTTTCCCTCTGGTACCCGCCCGTCTCGGCAAGAACCTGCTTGAGTTCCTCGCGCAGCGGCTCCACAAACTCGGGGTGCTGCGCCAGATCATAGATCATGTGGGTCGCGCTCATGGTGGTCGTGTGGATGGCGGCCAATGCCAACTGGATCTGGACGTAGGCCTGCTCTCCATATGCCTTGGAGAACTCCGGGCTTGACTTCTGCTTCATCCACTCGGTGAAGTCGTCGCGCTTGGTCTCGGCCTCGTGACGGCCCTGGGTCACGGGCTTCATGAAATCGATGGCTTCGGCCTTGACCTTGTAGAGCTCCCGCATCTCGGGAAGAAATCTGTGGATCAGGGGCCTCATCCACGGCTTCCATTGCTTGATGGCGTTGGAGGCCTGGAATGCCTTGAGAGTGTAATCCTTGGAGAGTTGCAGCCAGCGCGGGTTGCGGCAGAGTGGCTCGCCGACGAAAACGCGCGCAGAGACTTGAGCCACGACATCCACCAGCATCGAGTACGCGACAACGGGGGTCCAATCCTCGCAGGGCTTCATGACTCTCTCGAGCGCCAGGTCGATCTCCTCGGAGATGATGGGCATGAGGCGGGGGAGGCCGGGAGTGAGGTCCGCTTTGATGACATGGATGGCGACAGGGACATCTTTGTCGCCGATGCCACAGTACCTACCGGCCAAAGCCTTTTCCACGGCAGTGTTGAAGCTAAGGGCATCGTCGCCGAGGTTTTTGAGCTCGGCCATGTATTTGGGGCTGAGGATGACCGTCTCGCTCCCATCTGATGTGGTCATGCGGTACATGTCGAGACCATTCTTGAACTTTGCGTAGCCATCCTTGACGAGCGACATGGCGTCGCCGAGGAACTTCTTCTCGCGTTCCTTTTGATTGAGATGTGCAGCGGCCAGAGGCGCCTGAAGCTTTCCGCGCTGGACCGAGATCAAGATGAAGTAAGAAACGGCAAGTACAATGGCGGCCAACGAGACCATCGGTATATTCTGGAGATCCCTGTAGCCAGCCATCTTTGCCTGCAGGTTGCCGGGCAAGACAGTAGGGATGTTGCGTATGCTCTCCATGGTGCCGAGCGAGCAGAGAGACTGGTTTGGAGGCTGGAGGACGAAACGGAGAGAGGAAGACACGGCTTGAGAGAGTCTGGCGAAGAGTAGGGAATGCGACAAGATAAAGACGCTCACAGAAGCCTAGGAAGCTCGGACTGGGCGTCTCACTGGAGCTAACAGGTGCCAGGACGAGGATCGGCGCAGCCACAGCTGTTTTAGGTCAGGAGCAGGTGCAAAGCTCAGGCGAGTAGGATCTCGGGCTCGCAATTGCGGGACTCTGATTGGCAAATCCTACGACGCAGAGGCAGGGAGCAACCGGGAAGTCCAGAGCCGAAAGCGAGTGCGGCGTGTGCAGTGTCAGAGCGGCGACCTCTGGAGGCACCGACAGCGCCAGCGCCGCCGCCGGTGAAGACACAGGCTGGTGTTGCTGGTTGCCGGCTGCGTGTCTGCGGCGTCGTGTGTGAAGAGCAAGGCTGTCGCATGGCAGAGCTGGCGGAGACAAATGACTGCAGCCTGCAGTAGCCGTGGCGCAGTTGGGGGCGCCGTTGGAGGCGTAAAGGAATGATCCTGTGCCCCGCGTATGTAAGACGCCACGCTCTCTCTACCGGTGGAGCAAAATATCAACGGGCCAATAATCCCACCATCCACGGAAGTGCAATCTCTGCGTGAGAGGGGCGTGGGCGGGCTCGACAAGTTTGCCGTCGGCTGCAATGGTACACGCCTCTCGCGTCGCGCTTCGCTTTCGCTTCCAACTGGCCAGGGGGCGTGCATCCCGAAACCAGCGCAAATGAAGGCGCTTGGGCGGGCCTGGCGGACATGTTGCAGCCGCAGGGTTGCACAGCCCAGGGCGTCGAGGGTGCGCAGGTGCGAGCGCAGAGGCACGGAGGAAGCGAGAGGGAAAGGCGTGGGGAGGGCGCCCACCGCGCGATTCGAACTGGGGAGGCTGCTGGATTAAGCGACGCGAGCGACTCCCTAACGCGGCGCTTCACCACAGCGCCAACCTCGCCGCCAAGACGCTCCGCCCGCAACCTTTGACCGCTTCACTCCACCTCGCGTTTTCGACCGCGTAGCCCAACCCCCAAGACCCTGCACCCCGCCTATCACCTTATCGCCGCCAAAAAAAAGTTGCCCACCATGTCGCTGCTCCTCCGCGTCACTTCCCGCCAGCTGTAGGCTCTGTCAGACAAGATGGCGCTCTCAGATCGCAATTCGAGTTTTTGCCAGTCCTCTAGACGCTCACGGAAAACTTTCGCCCTGCGCGCTCCCGAAGCCATTGCATATCACCCCGCACAACCACGAACATCCACCTGCGCTCCAACATGAGCGCCATTCCGCGTCCGAGGCCTCCGCGGGAGCGCCTGTCCTCGCTCAAAGATGCCGGAAAGACTCGACCCGTGGGCACGCTCCCCCCACGCTCAAAGCCGAAGCGCCAGACCTGTTGCGCGAATCCTACGCCCGAAGACATGGATGGTGTGATGGTTTGTACCAGCTGCGGTAACGTCATCAACGAGTCCCACATCGTTTCCGAGGTCTCCTTCGGCGAGACTTCCTCCGGCGCTGCCATGGTCCAGGGTGGCTTCGTTGGCGACGAGCAGAGGCATGCGAACACCATGGGTTCTTCTGCCCGCCGCTTGGGCCTGGGCGGCAGCGATGGCAGGAGCACCGCTGAGTCGAATGGCCAAGACGCAATCAGAGGCCTGATGACTGCACTTCGCATGACGGGCGAGGGCCTTGAGGGACAAGCTATGAACATCTACAGGTTGGCTGCGAAGGAAAGGTTCACCCACGGGCGTCGACCAATCGTCATTGCCGCCTGCTGCCTCTACTATGTGTGCAGGACCAAGAGGGACAACAAGTATCTATTGATAGACTTCGCCGAAAAGATCAAGGTAGGCTTTTGCGATGTCCACTCAGTATGTTTGTGGTTGCTGACCAGCCTCAGCTCAACGTCTTCAAGCTTGGAGAGACCTACAAGGAACTTCTCAGCAAACTATTCATCTCAGACCCTTCCAAGAAGGATCAATACGCAGCACTCGAACCGGAACCGCTTATCAAGAAGTACGTGGACAAATTGGAGTTTGGAGAGGTCGGCGGCAGGAAGGTGGCAGAGGACGCGGTGAAGATCCTCAAGAGGATGAAGCGAGACTGGATGGTGGAAGGCAGGCAGCCAGCCGGGATTTGCGGCGCATGTATCATTCTTGCTGCCCGCATGAACAACTTCCGGCGGACTGTTCGCGAGGTTGTATACGTAGTCAAGGTTGCCGACATGACTATCGCCAAGCGTCTGGTTGAATTCAAGCGGACTCAGAGTGGCCAGCTTACCGTCAACGAGTTTCGGACCAATTTCGATGCTCTTCCGGACGAAAGCGAGCCTCCATCAGTCTACCAAGCGCGTGAGCGGGCGAAAAAACGGCGCAAGCTGACGAGTGCCGAGGCGGAAGCAGAGAACCTCTCGGAATCCGGTTCTCGACAAGCCTCTGTTGCACCCGATCCTTCTCAAGAGCCTCGTCGCGATGCCGACGGCTTCCTTATTCCAACTGTTCCAGCATCAATGCCTATCGACCCAAGTCTCCTTGCCGCCACAAATCTCGCAGTGGAGGAGTTGCAAGCTGGCGAAGGCACTCCTGAGAAGAGGAGGCCGGGGCGGCCGAGGAAAAGTAAAGACCCGCCGCCGCCAGTGGCCGACGAAGACTTGGCGGTGGAGCAGGAGATTGAGGAGGAAATTGAGAACATCCTCCACGACCCGGAGGTAAACAACGTGGAAGATGTCAATTTCGCCCTCGTGGAAGCACGCTCGAAAGCATTAGCCAACCAGATGAGGGGAGAACAAAGGGCGCCAGAGACCGAGATTGTTGAGGACCACGAGTTTGACGATGACCCAGAAGTCGCCAATTGCTTGCTCAGTCCGGCAGAGATCGCCATCAAAGAGCGCATCTGGGTCACCCATAACCACGACTGGTTGCGCGAGCAGCAGGCCAAAATGCTCAAGAAGGCATTAGAAGAGGCCAATGGCGGACCGAAAAAGAAGAAGCCGCGAAAGAAGGTGCCTCAACTTGGCGACATGAGTGAATACACGCGCGATTCACCCATCCACAGCGCGGCAGACGGCATGCAGAGAATGGTGCAGAGGCGTGGCAAGGGGTTCAGTAGGAACATCAACTATGAGAAGCTCAACGCTCTCATGGGAAAGAACGAGCCGGAGGCTAGCCAGACTTCGAGCAGCAGGCCTAGCAACAGCGGGAGCCCTGATCCAAGCGAAGCATCGCTTGAGTATGAAGAGGAGCCATTGGATGGCCCGGTTGATCCTCAGCAAAGTTTGGTCACTCCTCCCGTCACTCAGCAATCGCAAGGCGGGCAGCAGCAGCAGCAAGCCACCGTTATCAATGACGAAGAAAATGATGAAAGCGAGGTAGAAGAAGACCAGGATGTTGATGACACTGCGGCCGGTATTGGGTTGGCGGGTCTGACCGGAGAGGGCGAGTTCGACGAGGCTGACGATTGGTACGAGTAACCTTCAACAACTCCAACAGCCCTTTGGTTTGGTGTGCGATCGGTCTCGATGCATTTCACGGCGTTTTTGCGGAGATACAATACCAATGAGCATTTCAAGGTGTGGTCCGGAAGACTACTTGCACACGGAGCTCGATATTTGGTTTTTTGGCGACACTAGGGCTTACATTCTCAGCGCGAGGTAAGATAGCTCGCCTCATTAGCCAACTTAGCATAAAATAAAGAGTCACATTGAATAATACAGCGTGCACATGACGGTTTGAGGAGAACAGACTATGGGTTGGTTTGTCATGTCCAAGTGCTAGCAAATACTATTTGAAGCACATGGCTGGCAGGGCACCCGCTGGCCGTGGTTGCTGAGAGGAGTTCTGGCTTCGGACGTAAAAGTAAAACTGCTTGGATATCCGCAAGTGCCCGAAGGCCTAGCGACCTTGGGCGCAAATTGGCGCGGAGAATTTTCAAGGAATATTCACGAACAAAGGGCAGAGGCCAATTGACGGGTGCGGCATTGTCAGCAAAGGGAGATCGGGGTGGGGAACGGCCAAAGAAGCTGCGCAAGCCAGCAGGCTGGATTTTGGCGACGCGCCAAAACAGGGTAACAACGTACGAGTGGCACACAAGATGCGGCAACATGAGGGCCGGCTGGGCCAATGAGGATTCGGCTGATTAGGTCGGATTGACGAGGAACCTTGCAACGGGTGCCCGTGCAGTGGAGTGCCGTGAGGTCGGATGTCATCGAACGGCCGCATCACCCCCCGCTTATTATGGAGCGCTCCTGATTGGCTGGATTGGTGCCTACCATATCAGATGGCAGCATCAGATATTCGTCCTCCAGGATGCATAAAAGGACTCCCTTTGCTGCCTGTCTCCTCCTCATCTGCACCACCAGACTCAACTCAGCAAAACCGACGACCCCTCAGTCACCCACACAATCCCTCCTGCATTAATTAATTACTTCGTCTCACCACATCAACCCCACCAACCGCAACCATGTCTGCTCCCGTTGGCGCCGTTCCCTCGAGCTGCTGCAAGCGTGACGGTACCGGCTGCGTCTGCGCCAAGGAAGCCACTTGCTCGTGCGGCAAGCAGAAGGCCCTCCACTGCACCTGCGAGAAGGCCTCAACCGAGAACAAGGTCACTGGTGCCACCTGCTCCTGCGGTATGTCTCAGGCCCTGCCCCTCGGATCTCGGAGTGTCCTCCACGCCCCGCATCCAGCCCTAATATACCATGCCGTCCATGCCCCGCCGATATTGTGCTTTGATGCTGATTGTGCCGTCTACAGGCCAGCGTTCTGCCGGTGCATGCACCTGCAACCGCTCATCTGAGGAGAATACCGTGTCCGGCGACAAGTGCGCCTGCGGCAAGAGGTCTAGCAGTATGTGTGCCGCGCTCTGCTCATGCTTTCCACCACGCTGACAATTTCCCACAGCCTCCTGCACCTGCGCTGGCACTGAGGCCGGCCAGTCGGAGCTGGAGACCGATTTCACCACCAAGAAATAAGCACTCCATGCTTTGCTAGGTGTACTCGGTGTACTCGGTGTTTATGGCGGAGGCGGCCGGTGGTTTCGGAGCATGGGTACGGAGTTGGGTGGCGTTAAATGAGGTGCCGTTCTGGCATATATTTGGGCGCGGGTTTCAGGGTAGCCGGCGGCGGGCTGCCAGTCGGGGAATTTCCAATACATAGGCTTCAGACCAAGCAATGATACCAGTGCAAAAGCAACAAAGCGCGCAGGAGTCGGTGACGTGCTGAAGATGGCGGCGGCGGCGGCGGCGGCGGAGATCACTGGGGCCCACCCTCGATGATGATCGCCCCCGTCCGGGTCAACCTGGCTCCGGCTAAGCTCCATGGCAGGCAGCTCATGCTGCGACAGAGCCTCCTTGCGCCAGCCTGACGAAAATAATTCCGCGTCCATCGGCCTCGCGTCGCCCAGCCGCCTGCGCGTCGACCGCTCCCCATCTCGAGAGCACGCGCCTGTGCCCCACAGTCTCAGCGACTCGCCGGCCAGCTCATCCGCCCCTCACGCTCCTTACCTCCGCATACCTCCGCCGCAGCCCCCCTAGACGCTCCGCACGACGCGAATTTGCGACCGCCCGCGACCCTCTCGAGCCCACGAGCTGCAACCCCCTTGCCCTTCCGGCGGACCTCCGCCGCCCGCGAGGCGAAGTAGAGCGCGCCGAATTGGTCGGAGCCGAGACGATCCCATCCGCCCATTGCCCGCGGCACCCAACACCCCACCACATCCACCATGGCGTCCAACTCGAGCGGCGGCGGCGGCCTCTTCAGCCGCGGCAACTCCGGCCAGGCCAACTCGATGCGTGGCCTGGTCTCCTTCATTGCCGACCTGCGCAACGCCCGCGCGCGCGAGCTCGAGGAGAAGCGCATCAACAAGGAGCTGGCCAACATCCGCCAGAAGTTCAAGGACGGCGGCCTCAACGGCTACTCCAAGAAAAAATACGTCTGCAAGCTGTTGTACATCTACATCCTGGGCTGGAACGTCGACTTCGGCCACCTGGAGGCCGTCAACCTGATCAGCGCGAACAAGTACTCGGAGAAGCAGATCGGCTACCTGGCCGTCACGCTGTTCCTGCACGAGGAGCACGAGCTGCTGCATCTGGTCGTCAACAGCATACGCAAGGATCTTTTGGACCACAATGAGCTTTTCAACTGCCTCGCGCTGCACGCCATCGCCAACGTCGGCGGCAAGGAGATGGGTGAGGCCCTGAGCGCTGACGTCCACCGGCTGCTGATTTCCCCGGCGTCCAAGTCCTTCGTCAAGAAGAAGGCCGCTCTCACGCTCCTGCGCCTGTACCGGAAGTTCCCTGGAATCGTACAACAGGAATGGGCCGAGCGCATAATAGCATTAATGGATGATCCGGACATGGGTGTTGCTCTCTCGGTGACGTCTCTGGTGATGGCGCTGCTCCAGGACAACCCCCAACAGTACCGCGGAAGCTACATCAAGGCCGCCCACCGCCTGAAGAAGATTGTGGTCGACGCCGAGTGCGCAGTTGACTATCTTTACTACAAGGTCCCTTGTCCGTGGATCCAGGTCAAACTGCTCCGATTGCTCCAATATTACCCGCCCTCGGAGGACACGCACGTCCGTAATCTGATCCGTGAATCTCTGCAGCGTATCATGGACTCGGCCATGGAAATGCCAAAGAACGTACAGCAGAACAACGCTCAGAACGCCGTTCTTTTCGAGGCCATCAACCTCGTCATCCACCTGGACACGGAGCAGGATCTCATGGTGCAGATTTCCTCACGGCTGGGGAAATTCATCCAATCGCGAGAAACGAACGTGCGCTATCTGGGTCTGGAGGCCATGACCCATCTTGCAGCACGGGCAGAAACCTTGGATCCTATCAAGAAGCACCAAAGCATAATCATCGGGTCGTTGCGGGATAGGGACATTAGCGTTCGCCGGCAGGGCCTGGACCTGCTCTACAGCATGTGCGATTCCACTAACGCAGCCCCGATTGTTTCGGAGCTCTTGAAATACCTTCAAACGGCCGACTTCGCGATCAGAGAGGAGATGGTTCTCAAGATTGCCATCCTGACAGAGAAATACGCAACAGATGTCCAATGGTACGTGGACATCTCGCTGCGGCTAATCGCCATGGCCGGTGATCATGTCAGCGACGAGGTGTGGCAGCGTGTTATTCAAATCGTTACGAACAACGAGGAGCTCCAAGTCTACGCGGCGCAAAACATTCTTCAGTACGTCAAGGCCGAACACTGTCACGAGACGTTGGTCAAGATCGGTGGATACCTGCTTGGCGAATTCGGCCATTTGATCGCCGACAATAAGGGCTGCAGCCCGATTGAGCAATTCTACGCTCTGCGTGGAAAGATGATGGGCTGCTCGTCCAGCACCCGCGCCCTCATCCTCTCTTGCTTCGTCAAATTCATTAATCTGTTCCCCGAAATTAAACCGCAGCTTTTGCAGGTCTTCCAAGACTTCAGTCACACGTTGGATTCCGAACTTCAGCAAAGAGCGTGCGAGTACCTCGCTCTGGCAACTCTTCCGACAGATGACCTTCTCCGTACAGTCTGCGATGAGATGCCGCCATTCCCAGAACGTGCCTCGGCCCTTTTATCCCGCCTTCACCAGAAGCACGCCAATTCCAGCGACAAGAGAACTTGGGTTGTCGGTGGTAGGGACGCCAACACCGATCCCAAGGAGTTTATGTTGGTCCAAAACACGGGCCTCAAGCGGTCGTTTACCAATGCCTTGTCCAGCAACGGCACCCCCACAACACCGACCACGAACGGTGCAAACGGTTCGTCGAACGGAGCATCCGACCTTCTGGGTCTTGACATGCACCCCGATAGCGGCAAGGGTGCAAACCTTGCCAGTGCTGCGCATCTGAGTCCAGGCTGGGAGGTCGGGTACAACAAACTACTAATGAAGCCCGAAGGCGTGCTCTACGAAGATGTGCAACTCCAAATCGGCCTGCGTTCCGAGTACCGCGGCGAGCTGGGCTGCATCATTCTGTATTTCAGCAACAAGTCGTCATCTACGATGACGTCTTTCACAACAACATTAGACAACCGCTCAGCCGAAACCCTCAAATCGGACACGAAGTCGTTACCCGATACCACCATCCATCCAGAGGGCCAGACGCAGCAAATGATCATGTTCGAAGCAAAGCACGTGTTCGTGCATCCGCCAACAATTCGCATTTCCTACCTGTCGGGATCCTTGCAGGGGTTGACTCTGCAGCTCCCGGTCACGCTGCACAAGTACATGGAAGGCGCTCAGCTATCAGCCGATGACTTCTTCAAGCGCTGGAAGCAGATCGGTGGCGCGCCACGTGAGGCACAGAAAGTCTTTGGGCTTACCAGCAAGAACCGCATAACGAATGCGACCTACACCCGCAGGATCGTCGAAGGCTTCAAGTGGGGTGTCCTGGACGGCGTCGATCCCAACCAAAAGAACCTTGTTGGGGCGACGGTACTCCACACACACGACGGTGGCAGATTTGGTTGTTTGATGCGGTTGGAGCCGAACTTTGATACTCACGCAAGTAGAGTCGTTCCAAATTTGTTGATTATCGCTAACGATCTTATCACAGATGTACCGCCTTACCATCCGTGCTACTGATGAATCCGTTCCGGCAGTCTTGCTGAGCGCCATGGTCGAGCGACTTTCGCAGGGAATGGCCATGCACTGATCGGCGGTTAGGTCGGTACTTTTTTGTTTCTTCCTTCCACTTCCGCCTCGAGTTTTCTTCTTGACGAACACGTTTGCATTGCAAGGCGGGAAGCAACTACATTGTCGGTGGTAAGATTGGGAGGTGTCGGAGGGCTGGCCGGGAGCATCAAGGCCTGTAATCCTTCCATGTTCTTTTCTTCTCCAGGCAAATTACCCTATAGCTACGCGAGGAGCAGTAGGTCGCGCACCTCTGTTATACGTCTTCCTAGTTTCTGCTTCTATACGTGATATCACCTTTTTACTGCCGAGGGCGCTGTGGGCATTACGTGGTGAATCGATATACTCATACAGAAGCCGGTTCTTGTTTCAAAATTCCATAATTCTCTGTCTTTGTAGGTCTGTGAAGCAAAACGGGGAATAAACGGTTCCCCCCTGCAGTTCATCCATGACCGTTTACCTTGGAGGATTCTGTTGCACTGGACAAAAGTTGGATGTGGCGAGCGGCGGCTTTCCGGGCCTGCTTCTTACACGAAAGTCAGAGTGCCATGATACAGCATGCTGAAAGTGATGGTGACAGAGGCTTTGACGGCGGGCGTTCCAAGTTCCTAGGCGTGATGTGATGCTAAATTCATCGTCGTAGGAAGCATCCATGCTTTGGGGCACTAGACACAACAAGTTGCAGGCGGCTAGCATGGGGCTTCCGAACTTGGAAGCTGGTTGAAGCTCGCTTGAGCCGTCATCTGATCGGTGGTGCAAACGATTTCAATAAGTAGCGTGGCAACAATGCAAAACGATGAGTCAATGTAGCAGGGTCCCGAGCGGCGCAGCAACAAGCTGGGTGCGCGTTTGCCAGGCGCCTCGCAGCGCGAGCCAAATGGAGACGGCCTTGTGCGTGCGCGGTGGGCGCTGGCGGCACGGGGGGCGCGCGACGGCTGGTGGAGCAGCAGACCCCTGGACGGGCCGGCTGGAGGTGCATGGCGGCTGTGCACAACATGCGCGCAGCCAGGCTGGAGCGGCCAAGTAGGCGCGCTGAGGTGGGACGGCGGACTTGGATGCGGCGCGCTGGCCTGACGCTTGCGGTGCGCGGGCGGGCGATCGTTACCGGCTGACTGCGCACGTTACGGCGCGTTACGGCGCGTTACGGCGCGTTCTGGGGCGGGCACGCAATACAGCACCGTTCTCCGCGCGCGCCGCGTGTCGGACCGCGGCGTGAATTTTGGCCAGTGTGGGATGCGGTGGAGAACCAATGGAGATCGGCGCTGGCGTGCAAATTGGGGCGACGGCAGGCGCAGTCGTCGTGTGATGGCGTATTGGCCTTCGTTACGGGCGAGGGCTGAGGTTTACCGCCGGTTGTGGGCGTGCGCGGCGGATAAACCTTGCCTGTTCCAGCAGCTTTGGCTCTTGGGCGCTGCTCTCTCAAACTCCAGCGCAAACCACTGCATCACCTGCCTTCTTCAACGCTCCCACCGCTCCATGCTCCCCTTGCAGAGCCGCCCGGCCCACGCTTGATCCTCACTCTGCCTCCCTCCCCGAGCAGGCCTGACTCGGCTTGCACCTCCTCACCCCCGCCGCTGAAGGCACGCTCCAAACCTCGTCCGTCGTCATCGCGTCGACCGACCCAGCCCTTGCGGCTCCGACCATCCATCGACCTCCAGCCCCCCACTGCGTCCTGTGCAGCGCCCCGCTCACACCCATCCATAATGTCTGAAGTGCAATCACGGCCCTCAGCTCCTCGCGGCCGGAGCTCTGCCCGCGGCGCCCGCGGTGGCTACAGCTCCCGCGGCCCCAGGTCCCAGAAGCAGACCAACGGCGACCACCAAGGCGCAGGCCCATTCGACGCGTCCGCCGAGGAGGGCGAGCTCGCTCAGCTGAGGCAACAGTATGCCACCCAATTGGCGACCATCAGGGAGACTTTCCCCGACTGGACCGACCTCGACCTGCTGCTGGCTCTGCACGACAGCGACGGCGACCTTAACGTGGCCAGCGAGAGGATCCTAGAAGGTTGCTCTCACCTCTTCACCTAAGCCTTGCCGCTGCGCCATACTGACTACACTGGCGCCAATAGGACAAGTTTCTCAGTTCGCCGAAGTCAAGAAGAACGACCGCTCGCGCTCCAAGGTGAAGGACACCTCTGCAGTCGGCTCCGACGCAACTGCGACATCGATCTCCACACGCGGCAGAGGCCGTTTTGAGGGCACCCGCGGCGGCCGTGGCCGCGGAACTGAGCGTGGCAGAGGCGGCTTTCGGGGTGGTCGCGGCGGAGCGCATGCGGCGAACGGCTCGCGCTCTGGTGCTGGCGTTTCTGTCCCCACGACCGAGTCCTCTGCTTGGGACACCACTGCCGCAACCGCGGATGCAAACAATGCATGGGACACCGGCGCGCCTCCCAATTCAGGAGACGCGGGTGCAGATGGTGCGGAGGCCAAGCCTGCCGCCACGCCCGAGGCCGTGAAGAAGCCTGCTGCCCCACAAGAGCCCCCGAAGAAGACATGGGCCTCGATGTTTGCGAAGCCGAAGCCCGCACCTGCACCTCCCAAGCCTGCTGCCGTCGCCCCGCCGCCCGAACCCGCCGCTCCTGAACCCGCCGCCGAACCTGAGCCTACGAAGGAAATTGAGAAGGCCGTCGAGGCGGAAGAACTCCCGATACCTCCTGTCGCCGATGAAGCGCCTGCCGCAGAGACGTCCGCCGCTCCCGCAGAGCCTCCCGTTGTCACTCCTGAAGTTCCTGAACTTCCTTCCGCCCAGATTACCCCGTCGAAGGACGAGCTCACGAAAGAGAATGTCGAGAACCTGCCTGATCTTGCCGAACCTGCCCCTACCGGCACTGCTGCGAGCACCGTTGCTAGCGGCAGCGTTGTTGGCGTCGCGACGCCTTTGACTGGTGCTCAGCGCACACAGGCGGCGCGTCCCGGTCCCGCTATTGGAGGATTTGCTACTGTGGCGCAGAAGGCCACTGCTCCTCAGGGCCGCAGCTCCAGCTATCAGAGGAAGGTTCTGGACCAGCAAGAGGCGGTTGTCATGCCTGGTAACCATGCTGTGGACCGCGCTGCTGTGCAGTTTGGAAGCCTTGGCTTGAACGGCGATGCTGCACTTGACGTAGACGAGGACCGTGAGGAGGCCGAGACGCGTACGCAGCCCCCTCAGCACTCTCCCACCCAGCAGCCCAGGACCTCCCTTCCTCCTGCTCCTCGTCAGCCTACTGTTCCCAGCGAGTCGCAGGTTCAGGAATCCGTTCCAACCCCGAAGCCGGCTCCGGGTCTGCCTCCTGTGAACCAACAGCCTCAGCAACAATCGCCTGCCATTGGAGGCCAGGCTGCTCAGCCCTACAGCCAGTTCGGCCGCTATGGCCAGACTAACATCCAACCTGAGCCGGCCGGTCAAGCTCAGAAGCAGTACGATCCGTTTGGCGCGCCCGTTTCGCAGCCAAACCAGTTCGACAGCTTCCCGAGCCACACTCAACCCCAAAACGTTCAACAGCCTCAGGTTCCCTCTACTCTCGGAGGATTCTCCTCTGCCCCCAACGACTACAGCTCTTACTACACTTCTGATCAACAGAGAAACGCGTACCAGAATTACTACGGCGCTGGATATGGACAGCAAGCTGGTGGGAACCAACAGCAGGAAGTCAATGCACAGGAACAGAGGACCAGCAGTGGATTTGGTCCCGCAGGCGCAGACTCCGGTTTCCCCACCAGCCAATCGCAACAGGTAGGCAAAGACCCTTCAATTGATTTCAATACATCTCGAACGCGACGTTCTGGGGCGCGCACCAGCCTTGGATACTCTGGGTCCTCAGAGTATCCAGCTAGTCCGTGGAACCGGCACGCGCGTTTGAAGAGCGATGCCTCGGCTTTGTCGGGCTCGTTCAAACGATTGGAAGATCTATTATTGCCATCTAGCTCTCAATTAGTAGTACCTAACTTAGCATCGCAGAACCAGAGCCGCTACGGTGACGCTCAGAACAGCGGTCACAACACTCCCGTTCCTGCAATGGCTGCTCAGCACCATCCCGCAGCTCAGTCTCAGCACATGCACCAGCCCCATGGTCAGACTGGTCACACCGGCTACCCATACAGCCAGCACCCCTACTACAACACTCCGTACTATAACGCGTACATGAACCACTACGGCGGTGCTTATGGCGGCCAGGGCTACGGTGCTCCCTTCGGTAAGGGCATGTACGGCCAGCCCAACCACGGCTACGGTATGTCTCCTCAGACTACCTACGATGCTCACAGCTCCTCCCCCGCAAACGTGGGCGCGTTTGGCGCTTCCTCGATGCACGCTCGTGACAGTGCTCTCGGCGGTGGACTCGGCGACTATCGCGCCAGCTCGACCCAGCCCTCGCAGACTCAGCAACACACTGCTAGCAGTGGCGCATTCGGCGGCATGCCTGATGTTTTCGGCCGCAATCAGGGTGTCTTCCCCGGTCAGGCTCAGCCTTATGGCCAGCAGCAGTCGGCCTCTCAAGCTGGTGCTGAGGATGCACTCAAGCCTTTCGGTGACAAGGTGGGCTCCGGGCCGTCGCCGTCGTCGATCGGACAGCCTGGCCGTCCCGGGTCTGCCACGAACTCGGTTGGTCAGGGTGCTCAGTCTGGTCTGCCGCCGCCTCAGTCGCATCAGCAGGGCTTCGGCGCCTACCCCGGGTCTCAGTACGGACTGGGTGGGCTTGGGGGACACCAAGGCGGACAGGGCCACAGCGGTGGTTACGGTGGATACGGCGCAGGGTTCGGAAGCTATGGCAGCTACGGCCGCGGAGGCGGCTGGAGCGGCAACTATGGTGGTCATTAATTCAATGGCGTTCAAGGTTCACCCGGTTTCGAAAAAGCTTATCGCTCATGAGCACCTCAAGTGTGGATAACTGGAACAGACTGGGTCGCTCAAAGGGGGATCGGGTTGCTACATCGGGTTTCTCTTTTTCCTTTTCTCCAAATGGACACGAAAGCTGCGTTTTGAGATGATGAGTTCTTTGCCTGCGAGGGGGGGGAAAGCATGGTTTACACAATCTTATGGCGGGAGGGTTCTGTATTATCTAAAACTCGGCTCTCTTCAAAAGGTTCAATTCTTTCTCCGCTGTGTTTTCAAGTTTCCGTCATTTCTACTTTTCTTGTTTGGTGTTCAAACCTTATTTCTCTCATTCAAAAGGGGGTTAAGGGGCTCACTCACGATGGGAAGGTCTTCGACTTGAACGTGTGTTTTTGTTGCGTCGCAATGGTCGGTCAAAGCTCAGGATAAGCCGCTCCATCTAGGAGAGCGGGATCTGGATCTGAATGCATGGTGTTGAATGCAGTTGCGAGTGCGATTGAGTGTTGATCAACAATGAAAAAGGTGAATGTATGGGTGACACAGGCACAGGAACCGACAGCCGTTCGTCATGAGTCCTGACAAGGAGCTGCATCCATGGGACGATCGGAGGTGGGTCCCGTCGGAGAACAGCCAGCTTAACGCCGAACCCAAGGACAAGTTTCCCACGCGTCCAGCTCCCCCCCCTCCTTCCTGCTCCTTCCCTGCTCCCTGACACACCCAAAACAAAACACAAAAAGCAACGCCTCCTCGGTCTGTCCGGCCTGTTCCGCCTCAACCACACATCACATCTCGCGGTCCAAACCGCAACGCAATGGTGCGCAAACCCGCCAAACAAGGCGGCGGCGGCGCCAAAGCCAAAGCCGCTGCCGCTGCCACAGCCTCTCCTTCTCCGCCGGCCATCCCCCCTCCGCCCTTTTCCCGCGCCCCCGAACTCGAGCCCTTCCTGTCGACCCTCGACCGCGAGAAGGTGTACCTCACGCACGTCGACACGCACCCGATCGAGTTCAAGCAGCGCATCTTCACGATCCCGGCGGCGCTCAACGCGGCCATCGTGGCGCTGCTGGCGTGGCGGGCGTACGCGGCGCTGCCGACGTACTGGGCGCTGCTGCTGGCCGCGCTCGGCAACCACACGGAATACGCGGTGCGGCGCGACGCGGCGACGTGGGGCGAGCTGGCGCGCATCGCGCTGCGGCGCGGCGCCCTGTTCCTCGGCGACTACGCGCTCGTCTTCGTGCTGGGCAGCTGGCCGTGGAACTTCTTCGTCGGCAACGGGCCCCAGGGCGACACGGGCAACCCGTGCGCGTGGCGGTGGGCGATTGGCGGGTTCCGCGAGCGCGAGATCTACATCAGGGAGAGCAGGGGGTGGGGCGTCAAGGAGCTGCTGGGCGAGGAGGGGGAGATGGCGGCGAGCGAGGAGAGCCCGTTGTTCAAGATGCGGATCCTGCCGGCCATCGATCGGCGCTTCATCCGCGAGAAGACGGGGTCGCTGATGGTGGATGCCAACTGGGACCTCGACTACGAGGCCATGGCCAGGGCGCACCGGGCGGTGGACAAGGGGGAGATCGCGGAGCAGAAGTTCGAGAAGAGCGTGTGGGTGTATGGCGGGGAGCCGGTGGGCTGGTGCGTGTGGGAGGTGTACCGCCTGGATGGCGACGGCGCCGAGGCCGAGGGCAGGAAGAAGATCGTCGCGTTCAAGGACCGGCTCACGGCGCTGGGCAAGGAGAGCCTGTTCTTCCGCTGGATCGAGCTCATCCAGTACGAGAGCAGCCAGCCCGGCGGCTTCACGCCCGCGCGCCAGCAGGACGCTGTCAACAAGGCAAAGGAGCTCTTCGAGATGCAGGGCGTGGATTTTGAGCGGTTCATCGACGACGTCGGCGGGCTGGATGGAATCCCTGGCTTGGGCCGGTGAGTCGAGAGCTACAGGGACGATTGCACCGGAAACATACAAGGTCCGCCTCTGAACGGGAGGTCTGTTCGAAAAGCTCAATTATGGATGGAGGCCAAGAGCCAGCCAAGTGCCGAGACTAAGACCGGACTCCCCGAATTCCTGAAAGGGAAAGGTGCGCAGCAGTACCATTGAGCAGTCGACTTAGTGCGAACGGACGAAGGGGGGGATACTGGTTGGATGCGTGGACACATGTTCTGCGTCGGACGCGTCAAAAAGAAACGAAATCAGCGCCATACATTCGAAATCCTATAGCGAAACGCCCAATGTCATGTTCAGCTAAAGGTAGCAAGGGCTATCACTAAGGATGCTTGTGCTGAGGTAATGGGCGGTGCAAAGAAAGGCGCGCCACGGCAGGCGCCATGCCGGAAATGGTAACTCATCATATGACTTTCATTGATCTACCGGACCCTGTCCCCGCTACTTCGCAACGTCGGCCGCCCCTTGCATGCCAGACACTCGTTATAGGTAGAAGCACCTCAGCCAAGCGGAACCCGAGCATGTGGATACGGTTGTTCTAGGACGCCAGAAATCGACCGACCAACCACATTGGAACAAACTCGTTGCCGCAATGGATTCCTCCACCACCCAAGCCGCCGACTCGTTCACCGACAACCTTCCGCCCCAGCCCTCGCCGTTCTTCCGGCTTCCGCGCGAGCTGCGCGACTGGGTCTACGCCTATGTCTTCACGGACAAGGCCGGGCTGCGGTACGAGTACGGCACGGCGCGGCTGCTGGGCAGCAGCCCGCACTTTTGGGCGCTGCGCTCCACGTGCCGGCAGGCGCGCCAGGAGACGGTCGACTTCGCCTTCCGCCACAACGACATCGTCTTCGACAACCTGGGCGGCCGCCGCATCGCCCGGCCCAACTACCGCAAGTACTTCAACCGCTGGGACACCGAGTACAGCGAGGAGGACCCCAGCGACCCGGCCCGCGACGCCATCGCCAAGCCCGTCGTCGACCGCGTGCAGAGCTTCCTGTCGCGCGTGCCCAGCGCGCCCCAGCGCGCTCTGCTGCGCGGCTTCACTGTCGTCGAGCTGCGCCCGCTCGAGCACATCTCGGCCCTGCTCGACGCCTTCGACGCCCACGCCCTGCCCGACGTCACGCTGACCGTCACGCTCGTCCCCAGCGTCCTCGGCACCTACCAGTTCGACGACAAGTTCCCGCGCGCCCTCGAGCGCCTCTTCGTCAAGCGCTGGTTCCGCGCCAGCCGCCACACGGTGCGCGTCCGCCTCGACCCGGGCTTCGACGGCCTCGAGGACTGGATCCGCACCGAGTTCCCCACGGCGAGCAACGCCCCCGTCCAGCTGGCCTTGCTGCGGCAGCTCAGGGACCTGCAGAGGCTGACGGCCGCTCTGAACGCCTTGAAGAAGGTCGACGGCGATGGAGACGATCTGACGCTGGAGTATCTGCCGACCAGCTTCCTGCTGCTGAGTTGAAGTCGTCGTGCACGAGGTTGGGGTGAGTACGGAATCTTTACTTTTTTTTCTTGCGCCATGTTTGTTTGTTAGACGCTCTTGCCTTGCCCTTTTCCAAGTCTTTTTTTTTTTTTTGGACGCAGGCTCCGGACGTTCAGATCTCAATCTCGCTGCGGTCAGCGGATCCTGTCAACTGCGCGCGCAAGAAGTCAATACATTCAAATTTTCCGTACCTCGTCGAGATTCTCCCTCTAGACAACTTGGGCCTGCCCCGCGACATCATCTCTCCCTTCAATTTCAACCAAGACGCTCCGCGCGGCGATGCAATTTAAGCGGGCCAGCATGGATCATCCATCCCTCTTGGTCTTCTGGGGGCCGTCACGGCGTTTTTGGCACTCCCGCGTCACCACCAATGCACATGTTTGCTTTTTCAAAAAGGTCTTCCGGCTGGCTGGCGCCGCTTGGATCCCCAACGCTCTTGCCCCTGCTTCGATTCAGTGGCTGTGGGCGATCGCTCGTTGAGGAACGGTCCTGTCAGAGGCTAAGAGACGCTGGGTAGATACAGCCTCCCGTCTCACATGCAGATGATGGCGGAAAATACGGGGTTGTTAATGCGTCAGACTGAGGACATGACGTCTGAGCCTTGCGTCTACAGGACGCAGCGATCAGGGGTTGATTGGCGGGGGAATGAGACAGACAGGCAGGTCATGAAGAAGATCAAGAAGTCAGGATTGCACTTTTGAGATGGAAAAGAGATGAAAAGCATGGGGCGTTCTGATGCATAGACCTTGAGATTTCTACGTGTAGAATTGAGAATCTGGCATATTGCACCATGGATGTGCTCTTCGATATTACGAAAGTTTCTCTATAAAAAGGGAAAAAAACAAATTCACTATAGGCCCTGGATCATAACAAAGCCCCGTTCGCATACGTTCCTTAGCTTTGGGACAGCATGCAGTTGCACGGAAAGAAAAGGTCAAACTCTGGCGCGATGCCTGGCAACGCGGTCGTCTAGCCAACGATGTGCGTGGACCTCGCCACTGTACCTTGTGAGGCGAGTCCATTGTCAAATAATGTTCCAGATTCGCAGCTCCTGTTGAACAATGTGCGTTTGTACTCGTGCTGTGAATCCTCATAGCTTTTCCATTATTCAATTATTGGGAACACAGTGGGTTGCAAAACGGTCGAGCCTTCGGTGCTCCGCAAAGGAAGCTACACGGGCAATTGAGCAGACATCCGGACGTGGATGAGAATTTAGAAGCGGTACGAGATCGTCTAGACACAGAATTCCGCCACTCACGTAAGTCGGGAACAGCATCGCGACGAAGGAGATATAAGTGAGTTCAATTCTTTCGCAAGCCAATGTGGGGATATCGTGAGAGCGGTTCATGATGATCTTTGCGATAGAGGCAAAAAGGGTCTGCTCACCATCGAGTTTCGGGTCTTCGGCTTGTTGAGCAAAGATGGAAATTATGACTTTTCTGGAATAACGCCGTCCTATCTATCTGTGCCGTTCCCTTCATGCAAATGCAAGTTCCTACCTAAATGGGGTCATGTGTGGAGTAAAACCATCCAGAGAAAAAAAAAAGAGCAATACTTAATACATGTGCGCCGAAATGATATCGTTCGTGTGTCGTTAGAGCTTATAGCCAGTAGCTGACGAGGTCTGTCCGGTGAATGCTACCCTCGTTTTCATAGACCCACGATGTGCGCGGTTGTTGCCGTAGGATATTGCATGGCTGCACGTGCTTGTGTTGATGCTGTACGATTATAGAATCAAACGGGCAAAGCCAGCGCCTTGATGTTCACGGAGGTTGGTTTGCCGCACATCAACTCCGTCATGACTAAGCCGGTGCCGAGGGATTGGGAGATTCCTGGATTCTGGTCAACAGATTGGCCTCAGGGGAGGGGCAAGCAGAAAGTCCATACCCCATGCGCCATGGCCAGCAGCGACGAAGACGCCACCTTTGCTGCCACCTAGAGTCTGGATGCCAAGCTTCATATCCGGGACTCGAGAAATGATAGGTCTGCCACTGGAGGTAACAGGGCGGTAACACTAGGCAAAAGTAAGAAACAGACTCTGACAGGCAGATTGGGATTCTCCTCACCAGTCCTTCTCTCAGAATCTCAAGGTCGTCTTTGTCCGGTAAGCCGCACATAGTGGCCGCAACATCTTTCAGCTGCTTCATGGCCTCATCCTTGGCCTTCACCTCCGAGGCAAGCTCAGGCAGAGGGATCTGGGTTGTGTTGAGTCCGGCGATGTAGATCTCTCCAGTAAGTCTGCTGAAAAGCTCAGGCGAGAAGCCGAGGGTATCGGTGGCGAAGATGGCGTGGCAGCCCAGATCCTCCTGTTCCTTGGTCCATCGGGGCGAGCGGAGGAGGAGTGAGTGGCCGGCGAGGGGCGAAATTGGTATCCGAACGTTGGTTTTGGGGAACAAGGTGTTGAAAACCCTCGGGGTCCAGGCGCCGGCAGTAACGACAAGACGGGCACAGGGGACTTCTCGCGGTTAGTGAGGTGCAAAGACGAACGAATGGGGTTCCTTACTCTCCACCTCCATGCCAGTCTCAATGGCAACGCGAACTGCGCTCATCAGCCCCTTCTCGTCTCTCGAGACGCCGACTGCCTTTGCCGGGTGGTGGAGATGGACGCCCCGCTCGCGGCACGCATCCAGAAGGAAGGCACACATGCGCTTGGGATCGCTGCCGGGGATCAGCTTCAGGCCGCGCCAGCAAGGCAGCGACAAAAACTCACATCTGAGCAGTGCTCGCGTCCTGGCTGATGACCTCGAGGCTGCTGTTGGGCTCAAGATTCAACCACGCGGGGCCCTGGCCTTTTTCGAAGTGGTCCTGGCCGCCGGCAGCTTTGGCGCGGCTGGTGCCATTGCTCAGCCAGTCCTCTCCGCTGCCAAGCACCGCCTCTTCGCTGTTGTCGGGGTCCTGGCTGAGGGAGGTGCCAATGCTCAGGCAGTAGCCCCATTTGCTGCGGCCGTCGTGCTGCTCGGCGAGCTCCTTGTGCAGGCGGAACGAAAGGGCGCCCAGCGGCGCAACAGAGGGCGCAAACCCTGGCGCAGCGTCAGCTCGAGCTCGCGCGGAACGTGTGGGGAGAGCGCACAGTCTTCGGCGAGGAAGCCGCCGGCGAGGCCCGAGGCAGAGCAGAACAGCTCGGCGGCGGACTCGACGATGTGGATGGAGGCGGGGTCGACATCGGCGGCGTGGGCGAGATAGTAGGCGGTCGAGAGGCCGATGATGCCGGCGCCGAGGATGACGGTCTGGGTCGGGGGGCTGGCCATGCTGGGGCAGGGAATGCGACGGCGGGTCGGCGGAGGAGTGGTGTCGTTGGGCGCGGGTTCGGCCTGCCTGCCTGGGATTTATGTACGCAGGCAGGCGGCATCGTCGTGTGCGGCTGCTTCAGTCAAGCAAAATATCATACGATCCGTCCCGGCGGCGGGCGTTGTGAAAGGCGCGCCAAACCCCACATCGCCATGACGTCCGCCTGCACCCCTCGCACACTTACCGCAGATCCACTCCAGCGCCACCGGCAGGAAAAAAAAAGGCGGGTCGCCTCGGGACGAGGCTTCTTTCTCGGGCCTGTGGTTGTTGCCGTCTTCTCGTCCTCGCGTGCCCCGCCGTGCCGCCGTCCTGCGCCCGCCGTCCTGTCCTGACCTTGTGTCCTCCCAACCCCGAACACCAGTCGAACCACCCAATGGCCGCCGCGGGGAAAGTCATTATTGTCACCGGCGCCTCCCGGGGTACGCCGCCGGCCCTCTCCCCGTGCATGTGCCCGCGGCCTACTGACGCATCTCGGCCCGCGCTTGACAGGCATCGGGCTCGCCGTTAGCCACTTCCTGCTGCAGCGCCAATGCAGGCTCGTCGTTGTCGCCCGAAGCAAGGAGCCCCTCGAGCGTTTGCGCGCTGAGCACCCGGAACAGGTGCAGCTCCTGTCAGGAGACCTCTCCGACTTTTCCATCGGCAAACAGGCTGCCGATCTCGCTCTCAAGCACTGGAACCGCCTGGACGGGCTCGTCGTGAACCACGGTGTGCTCGAGCCCGTGAAGAAGATCTGTGACACGGAGCCCGACGAGTGGAGGGCTGCCTTTGATGTCAACGTCTTCTCCGCCATTGCCCTGGTACTGTGTCGCCGTGCCCGCCGCCACCGCCCGTTCTGACTGCTGCTGTAGATCAAGGCCGCCCTGCCAGCCCTGCGCGCCTCCAACGGCCGCATTGTCCTGGTCTCCTCTGGCGCTGCTGCACACTCGTACACGGCCTGGGGTGCCTATGGTGCATCAAAAGCCGTGCTCAATCACTTGGCCGAGACATTGGCTGCCGAAGAGCCTGACGTTACTACCGTCTCCATCCGTCCCGGTACGGTTGATACGGCTATGCAGGACAACATCCGGGCCACTCATCACAAACACATGGACCCGAAGGACGCAGAGAAATTTCTTGGTTTGCCAGCTAACGGTAAATTGCTCCGTCCTGACCAGCCGGGCAACGTCATGGCCCGACTGGTTCTCGACGCCCCCAAGGAGCTGAACGGCCAATTCCTCAAGTAGGTGCTCCCATGCATTACCTCCCCCACCCACTTCGTACTGACGACATCCCGGCAGCTGGAACGACAAGGAGCTGTCTGCATTCCAGGACGCGTGAAGGTCCTATCAAGAGCCTGAAGCTGGCCAGGGCGTTAGCCAAACTGTCTTGTTCCTACGTTGATACGATAGAAAAATAGAAATTGGTTTATCTCAGGCGAAAGATGAAAAGGCTCGACACGTTCTCGACATAGGGATTTTACCCCCTCCGTCTTAGCATGGAATGTGATCTTGTGTCATCACAGGAAGGGGATAGAACAACGAAAAGGGCACACCAACGTACCAGTGCTGAACATGTCGTTCAAATAAGCTCCTGCCAACATACTAGGTCCGTGGGTCAGTCACCATCGCATGCACTGCGCCGGTTGGGCCACGGCAACGACGACTCGTTCAGGTCATCAGTCAAGATTAGATCCTCATGCAAAGTCGGAAACTGATAGTACTCTATGAATTCCGATCATCATTTGGAGTGGCGTGACGTGGCTGATGTGAGAGATCGGGGTTGCCTACCTGCAGCGCGTCCGATAGTCAGGGATAAACGGCGCTGTGCACCCGAATTTGGAGAATGCGGGTCGCTGTGCAGCTGATCATACGATCAAGCGGGGTGGCGCCATGCTTGATGATCCCGTCGGAGAATCATGCGGGAGCGGCCTGACCGTCGCCCGCTCTGGGGTCCCGCAATGGGGGGAAGCTCCCGTGCGCTCGCTCTGGCCCGGCTCACATGTTCTGCCGCATCTGAGACAGACGCCCTGTGTACCCCTGCATGAGTCGCTTCGCTCTCCTATAGACGAGACGCGAGCTAGCGTGTGCATACGCCGCCCGTAAGGCAGCTATTAAGCCGTCCGACGCGTCACTTGCGTCGGGACGCGGCTCGCTCGCTCTGACGGTGCCATGATGGAGAAACTCAGTGGAGTCTGGCCTACAAAGTCTTTGGAGCGTTAGCAGGCGTTCGCAAGCCAGCGAGACGGAAAGGAAGCTGTGTTTGGATTTTCTCAGATAGTCCGTTTGGCTAGGACAGGTAATCACCACAATGTTGGTCTGATAGGGGCGACACGAATGTTCATCTTCGAAAAGGGCGGGTGTTAGAAAAGAGCAGTCGACTTACCATGGTGCAAAGCGCCGCGCCGAAACGGTGTGCGGCTCTTGTTGTTGGCGGTGGAAGCGAAGAAAGAAAAAAGTTTCCCAAGGTATTTGAGCAGCGCTCGGAAGCAGAGCTTCGCCGAGGCCGGCGCGGTCCGTGCGGCGGCCGAGCTAGGATGAAGCGTCAGCTCTGCTCTAACATTTAAAGAATGCCAAACGACCGCGACCATGTTTTGTGAGGGCAGCATTGGCCGCGAACCCCAGCCTCCTCTCCCGCCTTTTGCCCCGACGCCACCCTGATATCCTGCGCAAACGAGCCATGTCGGACCGCGAGTTTGGAGGTGCGTCGCAACCACCCAGGCTGCCGTGTCGCAATGTGAAGCCGCCGACCACGCGCTGACTCCGCCCGCAGGCAACGATGAGCTTTCGCTTCCGAAAGGTATGCGGACCTTCTCCCTGATCCCATGCGACCTGCGCCCGTACACCGCCCCAGCCCGCCGTATTCGCCGGCTCGGGCAGCCCCGAGGAGGGGATGCCCAAGCACCCCGCGTCAAGCTCGTTTTGGGACCGCGCTGACCGCGAACAAAGCCACCGTCCAGAAGATTATCAACGAGATCCTTGCAAATGACCCGGGCGTCAGCTTCGCCAAGGAAACGCGCGATCTCTTGATCGAGTGCTGCGTTGAGTTCATCACCATGATTTCCTCCGAGGCCAACGACATCGCCGAGAAGGAAGCGAAGAAGACGATCGCATGTGAACACGTCAAGGCTGCGCTGGAGGACTTCGGCTTTGGGAACTACGTCGAGGACATCATGCAGGTCGCGGCGGACCAGCGCAAGCAGCAGATGGTGGGTACCCCGAGCAAGCCCGACGGCAAGGCGAGGCGCGCTAACGCCGCGTTTCCAGAACCGCGAGAAGAAGCAGAGCAAGATCGAGCAGAGCGGCCTGAGCGAGGAGGAGCTGATCAGGCAGCAGCAAGAGCTCTTCCGGTCGGCCACGGACAAGTTCAACTCGGGACCGCACGAGGCGTAAGGTGTCTCTGAGCTTTGACTATGGCGTTGTGGAAAGGCGTTTTGGCGTTGCAGGCTGCGGAATGGGTGGGATTGCATGGAAGGACTGGGACAGCGGGCAGACGACGAGCTTGGGCACGATGTCATGGCTGTGAAAACGTTACTTTGAGCACAATGAAGAGCGAGAGCTATGGAGCAGCATGCAAGCGCGAGCGGCTGGCTAGGTGCTGGTGCGTGGCTCCGGGCCGCACGCGCGCAGGTAGTATGACGTTTCGCGAAGCGAGCAACCTAGAGGGCGGCGGTGCCGAGGCGCTGCCCTCCGGCGCCGCTCTATCAGCCAGCAAGTCTTCCACACCACTGCTCCCACCACAAACCTCGTGAATCCACCTCACCTCCCTTTCGCCGTCTTCCGCGATTTACCGCAACCATGTCTGGCCTCGAGAAAGCGCTGTTCAACCTCAAGGCGTGTCACACTCGTCCCCGCATTCGCGCCCCGCGCTAACAGTGCCCGCGCACGCAGTTCACCACGAAGCAGCTCAATAGACAAGCCGCGAAGGCCGGTAAAGATGAGACCGCCGAGAAAGCGAAGCTCGAAAAAGTGCGTTCCCCGCGTTGCACGATCCACCGGCGCAGGACCGTCTGCCCGCAGTCCTCCTCCAGAAACACCGACGACTGACACACGGATTCGGGTGCAAACAGGCGATGAAGGCGGGCCATAACGACATCGCCAAGATATACGCGCAAAACGCTATAAGGAAGCAGAACGAAAAGCTCAACCTGCTGCGCCTGGCCTCGCGCATCGATGCCGTCAGCAGCAGAGTACAAACGGCGGTGACGATGCGCCAGGTAACGGGCAGCATGGCGAACGTGGTCAAGGGCATGGACTCGGCCATGAAGACTATGGACCTCGATAAGGTATATACTTACCCAAACACTACCGAGTCGTTGCTGGGGCACGGCCATCTGACAAAAGCATTTCCGCCACGAATTAGATATCCGCAGTCATGGACAAGTTCGAGACGCAGTTCGAGGATCTCGACGTCGCGACCGCATACTACGAGAACGCCACCTCCTCGGCCACGGCCGTCGGCACGCCGCAGGAGGATGTCGACCGCCTGATGGCGCAGGCCGCGGACAAGGCGGGAGTCGAGCTTAACCAGGAGCTCGAGGGCGCGACGCCTGCCAAGACGAAGGTTGGACCTTCCGAGGAGATGGAGGACGGCCTGAACGAGCGTCTCCGGGCTCTCAGGAACTGAAGACAGGCGGCGATGCCGTGCGATACCTACACGAGCGAAGGGATGGGCACTGACCGGAGTTCAAGGCGTTTTTTTTGGGCTTCAATGTTGCGGGTCATCGGGTGATGGACACGAACGAGTAGATATACTCCAGTGGGATTCGATGGGTGGCAAAGGCTCACAAATTGCCAATCTTGCACGCTAGAATGTTGCTGCTCCGCTCAGGGTTGATCTTTTGTGCTGAGTGCATGCAAGGATGAGGGCAAGATTCATCCCAAGCAGTGACATGCATTTCTTCCCGAGCCTTAGTCTGGTTCAAAGACAATTCAACCCTATCACACTGTATAACCCCCCCTCTCGCATCCTTTGTCCCATTTCTTTGTTGTTCAACAAATTCGCCTCACTTCTCAATATGGAGCTTGAAGAGCAATGTCAACCTTGTATTGCTAGCCCTTCTGCATTGCAAAAGCTGTTGCTGATAGACATGCTCCCCCTAGTGTACCTGAAGGATATCAAGCGCCCGATGGGCTAACTTTGCTTCGTAAAAGATGGCGGACTGGAAAAGAGCCACTTGTGTTTTTATGGGCATCTTCACGTTAAAGAAATAGTGGGGTACAAGAAATTCATTCTCCTTTGTCCCGTGGAGGATGTTACAGTCTTGCTGCGTTCACAGCGGAATTGAAGATCAAATTGAAGACACGGATTTTGAAGTTGTATAGGAATATCTAGGTACAGCCTACCTGCTTATATATGCGGTGCTACATCCGTCTTTGGGCAGGTTTAGGGAGATCGGCTTTGTATACCATTTAACGTGAGGAAATACTACAATATCGCACCTCTCGATGTTGCTCCTTGAGCTATGGATTAGCTGTTTAAGGATACTAGGTTTGTTCCGTGGTACATTAATGGTGAACTTGAAAGTTTGAACAACCCGTCTAGTCAATCTGCTATAGAGGATAGGAAGTTACTGCTTGTTGTTGACATGTTACATCCTAAATGCTCGGCGCATATATCACGCGTATAGATCCTGACCATTAATCGGACACTAATTAACAAGCTTACTACTCTAAGTAGCAGCGTAAAGTAGCCAGCGCACCAAAAACGCGTCTAAATGTTAAGTTTAGAGTCGGGAGACCCGGAGATGGAAGCATACATTAGTGATACAGCAATGGAGATGTTAGAGCACACGCGAGCATATTCCTCTCTTATAGATTTCAATTACGTGAGTGAGAAATGGGGAGTTTATGCTAAATATATAAAGGCATGGAAACATTAATCATCAATGATATATTGACTCTGAAGGTAGTCACTATTTACAAAGATAGAGAGAATATGGCGCCGATTCCGTCCTAATGGTGTAGCCGGAGCCGCTCTCTTTGTTCTACAAAGATAACATCCGCCTTTACGCGTATAAATAAAACCTCGACAAAATGCATTGTACGAGACCACCTTTGTTTCGGTATGAAAGCGCCATCTGGTACAGCGTCCTATAAGATGGCACGTAGGTTGTAGATATCAGGAACTCATTTCATCCAGTCTCCAGTTTCATCCAGTCTCCGATCACTTCGAACATGGCCGGGAAGCAGCCCCCAACACCTGAGAATTTCTTCCGTGTATGGACCCAGGAGGTGAAACCGGAAAAAATCCCCAAGGAAAAGCAGGATGTCTGCAGCATTTGTATGGAGGGGTTCGGCATGCCAAATGCAGACGGCAAGATTGAGAAGCCACTAATCCAGCTCCGCAAATGCGGACATATCGTGGGACGCGATTGCCTTTTAATCTGGCTTTCGTCAACCCCAAAGAAGGAATGCCCGGTCTGCCGGACCAGCCTGTACTCGATTAAAAAAACGAAAATGGCTTACGTCACGCTCGACGACGAGGAGAGTGATTTCATGCGGAAAAAGACTCTCAAGTTCAATTCCGACGCAGCCGCTAAGTACCAATCCCTAGCGATCAAGCTCTGCGAGGAGAAGCAGTGGCCGGAGAGTTTGCAGATGCCACAAGAAGCGTATGAAGGCATGCAACTCGGCATTGCTGCGGTCGGGTGCTGGTTAGGCCATAACAATCACAAGCCCTATCAGTTTGCCGAGCTCGAGCACTTGCTAATGATTGCCGCAGCAACAATCCAAAGGGCTGGCCAAGTATCCTCTCAAGAGGAAATGTGGACCAGACTGTCGCACATCAAGTCTGCTGATGCCTCTTCTGTCGCAGAAGCCTGGGCGAAGATTCCAGGCGAGCAGACTGGCCTTCTGACCCAGCGCTATACTCTGATCTTCGTGCAGACGGCTCTGTTGCACTTTGCTCTCCCTACTCGCCACATCAGTAACCTTATGTCTCTCGCGTAAAGCAATTTGTAGAAGTTAAGCAGACGCGTACAGGAACAATGAAGATATGGAATATAAGATTGCATGCCCATTAGCTATTTGAATAACAAGCCTGGGCAATACAGGCTTGCTGCTAAACGCACTTTACGATGCGCTGAAGAAGGCCCGAGTTGTCCGGAGGCCTTAAGCATCGGATAAGCTGTGCAGCTCGTAAGGCGCAATATGGATCAACGGTTAGTATTGACTCCAACTTCGTCGGTCTGTGCTCTAGCCCACGTGTTCAATGAAGAAATCGCGCAGAAAGAGCCCGACAGACCCTCCGTGTCGGCACTGAGGGCGAGCTCTGTTTGCTCATGGCTGGGGGCGACGATGGAAGCATAGTCGAAGCCTCGGTAAGGGCGTGGCTGTACGACCCTAGTGCCGTCAACAACGTCTCAGTGAGAGCCCATGCTCTCTCAACACGTTTCAGTGATTAGACGGCGCGTCATTGAGGTTGATGGCCACTTCGACTCTACGCCGAGAAGATATTCCAGTCTTTCCGGGCCAGGTAAGCTTTCTCGTTGCCACAGCAGGGATGGATGGCACGGAAGCGGCGACGCTTGAAGGAGCGGCGGCGCAACAATAGTGTGCGCTGATCACACTGTCGAGGCATCTGGCCGGCTCGGAAGGATGGCATAGGGAGTGTGATGATGCGCAGGGATTCGGACGCTTCGTCCTGATGGGAGGAAGGGAGGGTTATCGACGCCTCTGTGCCTCGCTTACTCTGGCTGGGCAGATGCTTGGACATTTGGATGCGCTTGCTTATCCCAAGTATGAGCCCATGACGATCAAGCATTAGCCCAGCGCGCGCGGGCTCGGAATGGTGATAGACGCAGGCTGCATGCGGTGAGGGCTCCTGATGCCATCTGCTCGACGACTGGGCCGTATCTAGCCCCTGAAACGGGCGACAGTGAGAGTACTGTGTAGTACGGACTGCAGCAGGTGTTCGTCGGAAGTCGGCACGCGCAGAACGAGTGCGCCAAGTCGAGACGGCATTTGGAACTTGCACACACAGGGCGCAAGCGCCGGGCAGACGAGCGTGTCATTGGAAGCCTTGGAAGAAAGTCACCGGGCTGGTCCAAGCATGCATCCAGGCGCGTTCTGGGTCGGCCGCCAAGCACGAGTGGAGTTTGGCTTCGCTGCCCGTGCGAGGCGAGTGAGGCTGACAAGGCGGCGTCCGTGTCGCGCGTCAACAACTCGTCATGGCGAGCGGGCCCGGGGCGGTGCTGGCGGGCGTCGGTGGCTGCAGGCAGGGGTCGGTCGGAGTCACAGTCAGTTCGGTCGGGGGGGGTCGCGTACGCGGTGCTCAGTCGCTGCGTCGCTGCGTCGCTGCGTAGCTGCGTCGTTGCGTGCTGGGGCGAGAAGACGGAAGGTGGCACCGTGGCACGGCGGCGGTGGGTCGCGTTCCGGATTTTCACGGGTGCCGTGATTGGCTGGGCGGGCACCAGCCACAGCGTGCGCCACCGCCAGCGAACTTGGCAGGCGTCAGCGCCCTGGGCCCTGGCACGCGGTGTGCGGCGCAAAGGGGGTTAGCTGTGTTGCCCAACTGCCATGGCAGGCGCACGGCAAACGGCAAACGGCAGCGGCGAGCAGGAACGCTCAAGAGAGGCCGCGCCTGCAGCTTCCCGCCGTTTTGTGCCAGCTCCATCCGTCCCGCGCGCGCTGTTTTGCCCGGCTGCCTCACTCCCTCGCAAGTTCGGTCGACGACGTGCGCCATCGCTCATCGCTCGGCACCACACTGCCCTCTGAGTGGCCAGCCCTCGGAGATGCGTAAGTGTACCCTACCCGTACCCCAGCGCGCCAAACGTGGAGCAAGCCCTCTTGGCCACGCTGCCATCCGCGCTTGGCGGCTCGCCCGGAGGCTCCTGGCTGCGGCCCTGGTCCCGCGCCTTATCGTGCTTATTTAGCACCCTCCTCGTCCCAGCATTCCGTCCCACACTCGTCACTCTCGCTCTCTGCGAACCATACCTCGATGGGAGATCCCTCTAATCGCTTCATAGACCGTATAAACTCGTGGGCGAAAGCACATGCCTCGAACCGCCAACCCGCAGACGCCCGCCGCTCTATTCTTCCACTGAGCACCCAGCCCGGCAATGGGACTGTCGCGTCCTCTGCCTCAACCACGTCCGAGAAGCCCGAGCACTCGCACCCGCGCCGCCCGAGCACTGGCAGCCAGCCCACCGTGAGCAATGTCGCCGACTCGCACTCTTCGCCTGCCCCCGCCGCCGGCAATACCCAGCATGATGGAGCTGCGTCTTCCGCCCTAGCCACCGGCGAGAAACCCTCCCTCCCTACTCGCACAAAGAATGCCACTATCCGCTTCTTTCAGCACTCCAAAGATGCTCTTTGCTACAGCTGGGTCAACGTGTTGCTGGTCTTCGTCCCCATAGGCATTGCCAGTAAGCCGGCCGGCATGTCCCAGGAGCTCGTCTTCTCCATGAACGCCGTAGCCATCATCCCGCTTGCCGGTCTCCTCAGCCACGCCACCGAGAGCGTCGCTTCGAGGCTCGGAGACACGCTAGGAGCTTTGCTCAACGTCTCCTTCGGCAACGCTGTCGAGTTGATCCTGTTCATAATTCTGCTTGCCAAGGACGAGATCCGCGTCGTCCAGGCTTCGCTGCTTGGCTCGATCCTTGCCAACTTGCTTCTTATTCTTGGCATGGCTTTCCTCCTCGGTGGCTTGCGCTTCCAAGAACAGGTAAGCTGTGACGCCAGTGACATATCTTGCATGGAGCTAATGCACGCTCCAGGTGTACAACAGCACCGTCACCCAGATGAGTGCTTGTTTGCTCAGCTTGGCTGTCATGAGTCTGTTGTTGCCCGTAAGTCTCCCCGGAACCACGCTGGGAACCTTTGCTGATGCCCGAGCAGACTGCCTTCCATGCTTCGTTCTCCAGCAACAGCACGGCCGACTACAAGACGCTTCAGGTCAGCCGTGGAACTAGCGTCGTAAGTTTGATAGCCATTCTGCTTCCCTGGGTTGGTCTAATGCATGACTCAGGTTCTACTTCTCGTATACGTGCTGTACCTTCTGTTCCAACTCAAGTCTCATGCCTACCTCTACGAGAGCACTCCCCAGCATATCATCGACGAAGAGTCGCACCCAGGTGTCTTGGCCGACATGCTCAACTCTTCCAGCTCGTCAGACTCGTCCAGCTCCTCCAGCAGTTCGGACACTGACAGTTCATCGGGGTCGAATACCACGGCGAAGAAGATTAAGCGAGCTTTCAGGAACCGTAGGCGTCGCAAGTCTAGCACAAGCTCCACCAAGGAGACCCCGTCCCTTCCCTCGGTCCTGAGCACTCCGTCAGTCGAGAACCACCGGGCCTATCTCGGTAACCAGGCCAACGGCCAAGAAGGTAGCTCTTCCAGGCGTGAATCGGTCCTGGGTGCTATCCTGAGCGGAGACGAAGCCGACACGGACGAGTTCGCAGTGCACACTGGTGGCTCCCGAGTTCGCGATTTTGAAACCGGATCTTCCGCCTCTCCATTAGCCGAGAAACCCCGGAAGAAGCACAAGAGGAAGCACAGGAAGCAGGCCAATGCCACCGAGCCTGAAGGGGAAATGAACGAAAAGGACAGACCCGAGCCGTCCAAGGCAGCCCCAGCTGAAAAGAGTTCTCGTCGTGTTGGGTTTGCCGAAGAACCGGTGCCAGAACCTGCTGATGGACCTACGTCACCGAACTCTGCCAGACGTCCCTTTAACCTCCGCCAACTTTCCACCCGTCCCGCAGTGCTCCCGTCCATGCCAGGTTTCCTTCAGAACAATGTCTTCGTTACCCCGCCGCCTACTGCCGCACCTGGCATGAACACTGGCCGTGGCCAGGGTTTGCGTCGTACCGCGTCTTTGCCGGACCGCCTTAACAGGACTTCGAATAGCTCAGCACGCCGTTCCTTGCCCCCTATGGCAGCCTACCCTGGACAGGCGAATCCTGAGGACCCGGTCGAAGAGGGCGAAAAGCCCGAGATGTCTCGTACTTCGGCTGTCATGATGTTGATTATCAGTACCGGTTTGGTAGCTGTATGTGCCGACTTCATGAGTGACGCCATCGAGCCATTGGTCGAAAGCACCGGTATCAGCCAGGCCTTCATTGGTCTCATCATCCTTCCTATTGTCGGCAATGCTGCAGAGCACGTCACTGCAGTGACGGTCGCTGCGAAGAACAAGATGGATCTTGCCATTGGCGTCGCTGTTGGCAGCAGTATTCAGATCGCCATCTTTGTCACTCCCTTCATTGTCATTCTCGGCTGGATCATGGGCAAAGACATGTCTCTCTACTTCAATATCTTTGAGACTGTCTCCCTGTTTGTCACGGCGTTCGTCATCAACTTCTTGATCCTCGACGGACGAAGCAATTACCTCGAGGGTTCTTTGCTCATCGCCGCCTACGTAATCATTGCGTAAGTCTTTCTTGCTCGCTTCATGTTGCAGAGTCGCGTACTGACATGACTGTAGTCTTGCTTCTTTCTTCTATCCGGATGGCTGCGAAGCCAGTCAGATCGGTGGTTCGGAGGGGTCATGCTAGGTGCATGACCAGTTTTGCTGGAGTTATGATGCTATGCCAAAGGGAGGTACTCCCCACATACCCCGGAATGGTGAATGACGTCGGACTTCGGTGCGGTTTTGGATCTACTTTTTTTCTTGGTCGCACTCTTACTCTGCGACTCTTCTTTGATGAGTCGCTCTTTACGGATATAGTGTTATCTTCACGCAAGGTCTTTGGATCTTCGCATCTAAATTTTAGTCCTACTGCTCTGGTGTGTGAAAATTTGTCAGTCGGTGATCACAGCCGGGTGAATGAAGAGAAACTGATAGCTGGATGATCTATTAAACGCTGCTACATGGTGTTTATATAGGTGAATGAAGAAAGGGATTCAACAAGGGTGTTGTTCATGATAACACGTTGCTGAATGAGACCCTTGTTGGGTGATGACGATTATCATCTACAACGTGTTCGTGATGGTGTCGACCAACAAAATTTATCTATACTACGAACAAATGTTTCATCGAAGCGTTTCGTGGAGAATCTTTGTCGTGATTCTACCCTTAATCCGCAGCACGAATACATGATGGGCCAATAAGAGACCGTTCCCTGATGTTGATATTTTATATCTCGACCATTATTATTACCCCTGTGCCTTATCCCTATCCGATCACTGCCGTGCCACCATCTGGGGCCTGTTATCGACACAAGCTTCCGTGGCCTCTGTCTTACCGTTTTGGTAGGGACGTTGCCGAAATGAGCTAGAATCCGTGCTCAGTCGGCTATGCTTAAGTAGACGGCGTCAAGGGCGGGGGGGATGAAGACACGCGAGTGGTGCCTCTTGCGCAACTGTTGAACACGTTTCGCTGCTTGTCATGTTTTCAGGTTCCTGCGACCATTAATGCTATGAAGCTATAGGCTGATAGCTGCTACCATTGTGCATTTGCGCAGTGTGGCATGTAGTACATTACAATAATAGCAGGCACTAAGCACACGCCAATGCGAGCGGAGAGAAACAACGCAGGAAAAACGGACAATAGCTGTGACATACGTATGTACAACACGCTGATATACTGCATCGATATACGTACAAATCTAGGTAATCTATACTTTTGCTCTATCTCCGAAAAAATCCCTTCTAAATGCACGACGTACACGGCGTACGTCCCTGACTTTACATTCTCTCAACCTTCAAGGTGTATTGTTTGATATACATCTACGAGTGCTGGTTCTCAACCATGGTCATGACTACGTTATCAGTCATCGTCTCTAACGATCGACTAAGAAAAAGAAAAGAAGATGAAGCCACGGGATATTTTGCCCCCCGTTGACTATTCTTCCCAAACGCCAAAAGATCGCTGGAATCGAAATCGGAAGCGCCTGGCAATCTGATAAGCTCTGTCGATCGAATCTGGTAACGAAGAAAGGGAAGCAACAATTTATGAGGTCGAGATTGGTTTTAACCCGCCAACGGCGCGACGCGGGCACCCATACGCTGCAACGGCACGTCGTCGGGGATGTTCAGGCTGTCGACGGAGGGCTCGACGGGGGAGATACGGCTTGCCATACTCTCGAGGACGGGTTCGGGGGTGACGCTGCGGCTGATGCTCTGGGGGTTGGGATTGGGGGCCAGCATCGGTACTTGGAAGGTCGGGGGTTTGACAGCCTTGGGTGAGAGCGGGCTGTTGAGGCCCTCGCGGATGGTGCTGCGCTTGGCTGAGATGCGGGCCTCCGAGGGCAGCATCTGCTCGAAGCCGAGGCGGCGGGCGACCTTCTCGATAGACTTGAAGTAGCGCACCGTCTTGACCTTGAGCTCGAGCGTGGCGTCCTCATCGACGACGAGCATGGGGTGCTGGTGCTGCTGCAGGGCAGACAGGGTCCACATGTGATTGACGCCCTCCTCGACGCACTTCTGCAGGGCCAGCGCCTTGTGGGCCCCGGTGATGATGACGACGACCTCGCGGGCATCCAGCACGGTGCCCACACCGACAGTCAGGGCCATGGCGGGAACCTGCGAGACGTCGTTGTCGAAGAAGCGCGAGTTGGCCAGGATGGTGTCGTAGGCCAGCGTCTTGACGCGGGTGCGCGACTGCAGGCTGGAGCCAGGCTCGTTGAAGGCGATGTGACCGTCGGCGCCGATGCCGCCCAGGAAGAGCTCGATGCCGCCGACGGCCTTGATCTTCTCCTCGTACGCCAGGCACTCGGCCTCCAGGTCTGGAGCGTTGCCGTTCAGGATGTTGATGTTGGCCGGGTCCAGGTCGACGTGCGAGAAGAAGTGCTTGTACATGAAGCTGTGGTACGACTCGGGATGCTCACGCGGGATGCCCACATACTCGTCCTGTGAAACGCGTCAGTGTTGGCGGTCATGGTGTCGCTATGATTGGTGATGGCCGAGGCTTCGTCTTGCTCGTGCACCACGCCATCCCTTGGTTCCAAGAGGATGCTGAAGTGCGTCGTGCAAAGCATGCGCGACTTTGCTTGAAGCGTGTAGCGGCTTGGGCAACCCATGGCTGCAGCCAGCTCAATCATTGGCTCGTGGGCGGGGCGCTAGCATCTTGTGCTAGGCGGTCGGGGAATACGAAGAAAAGGCGTATTTATAGACCTGCAGGAAGGAGCAGGGACAGGGTCATACCATGTTGAAGGTGACAACGTTCCGGAACGAGACGTCGCCATTCTTGTACTTCTGCACGAGCAGTTTATAGATGATCTCAGGGCTGCTGCCAGTGGGCAGACCCAGCACGAACGGCTTCTCGGGCGTCGGCTCAAAGGCCTTGATGCGCTCTGTTGGATTGCGCGAGTGACATGTCAGAGGACCTTTTCCAATCTTGGACACGGCAATACGACGAGACGCTCGGTGGAGAGACACGGACGTACCGACAACGTAGTCTGCTATATACTTGGACGCAGCCTGGGGGTCTTCACGGACGATCAACCTCCTAGACAGGGTTGGGTCAGCGCTAAGCCACACTGCCTCGATGCAGAGGGCCTTACATGGCGGCGAAGGATCAAAAGGCGTGGAAGCTGTCCGAAAAGGGTAGTTGGTGTAGTGGTTTGTCTAGGTGGGGGTCGCCGGGCGGGAGCAGCGGTTGTGGTTCTTGCTCTTCTCACGCGGTCCGGGGCAGCCAGAGGCTTTTTACGTCGTCTGGTAGCATCTGTGTCTGACAGCGTTGCCACTGGAAGTCAGCGGCAGCTTGGCCGTCTCCGGCGAAAGTGTGCCGGAATGGCGAGGCCTCATTGGGCACGATGGGCACGATGGCCGGCGTTGTCGGGGATTCGGTGCAGCGTCATAGTGCTACCACGCTGCGTTGCCGCAGCGTCCGGCGGTGTTCGAACCGTGGTGATGTTGCGCCCCAAGGCGGGGAGGACGGACGGTTCCACTGGCACGCCGTCATACTACCACGACGGCGGGCAACGCAAACCGGGGGCCGCACGGCGCAGGGCAGCGCAGGGCAGCGCAGGGCAGCGCAGGGCGGGCCAGACCGGGGCAGTGCAGCAAGTGCCCGTGGGCGGCAGCCGGGTGACAGCCGGGCGACAGCAAACGATGGCAGACGATGGCAGGGCGAGTCAGGCAGGGTCGCAGCTGTCGCGATAGTCGGGGTGGCGCTCTGCGACAGTGTTATCTGTTATCTCTGGCGGCAGCTTTTGGCGGAGGTTACATTCTGGCTGTGGCTTGCCCGACCGTTGCAGCAGGCGTTGGCGGGCGCAAGAGGCAGCGGCGAGTGGGCGCGAGTGGGCGCCGGCCGGGGCGGGCAGCAGCCGACTATCTGGGCAGTAGCTAGCAGCATCGGGCTGGCCAGGGCGTCAGGGCGTCAGGGCGTCAGGGCGCCAGGGTGGTCAGCCGCGACAGCTCGTGGCGCCGTGCTGGTAGCGCGAGCCTCGCCAAGTCTGGAAGTCTGGCTGATGTGCTGATGTGCGCCGTGTCTGCAGCAGCCCGGCTGCCCGTGTGCTCCTGCAGCGCGACCCTGGCGGCGGAGCTATCGCGAACTTGCGGCTGCCAGCCGCCTTCCGCCTTATCGCGCGCTGCCGTGCTGCGTTAGCTGAGCGTGTTATCTCGCGGCAACGGGCTGCTCCTTGCGGCGCCCCCATGCACCGGTGCGGAGGAGGGGACCGCTAGCGCTGCGCCGGAGCACGACCACGCCACAGGCACTGCAATATATAGAACGCGCCCTGCTCGCGTGCCCCAGCCAAGCGCAGTGCTTCCTCGCGTCTATCCCCGGTGTCACCCCGTCCTACACCACCCACCGTGCCACTCCGCCAGCCTGGGTCGTGCCTGAAGAGCGAGCTCCTGCCGCTGCTCCGCCCCTATCTCCGCCCCGTCTCCACACGGCCCCAGCGCCCCAGCGCCCCAGCGTCCGACGCTCGACAACATCATGGCCGACAACGAGAAGCAGTCCCACGCCGAGGAGCGCCCTGCCGCCAGCACCCCGCCGCCCTACCCCGACGAGGCCGGCGTCGCCGACTCGCGCAAGAAGTCATGGAAGCACCGCGAGTTCAACGTCCTGGGCCACCGCTTCTACTACGCCTCGCCCGCCGCACAGCTGGGCATCGTGTCGTTTGTGTGCTTCCTGTGCCCGGGCATGTTCAATGCGCTGTCCGGCATGGGCGGTGGAGGCCAGGTCGACCCTGAGGCCGCCAACAAGGCCAATGTCGCCCTGAACTCGACCTTCGCCGTCGTCGGCTTCTTCGCCGGCACCATCGCCAACACCCTCGGCGTCAAGTTCGCCCTGGGCTTCGGCGGCTTGGGCTACAGCATCTATGTCGCCTCTTTCCTCAACTTCTCGCACAACCAGAACTTCGGCTTCAGCATCTTCGCCGGCGCTTTTCTTGGTGTGTGCGCCGGCCTGCTTTGGTGCGCCCAAGGCGCCATCATGATGTCCTACCCGCCCGAGGCCTCCAAGGGCCGCTACATCTCGTGGTTCTGGATGATCTTCAACCTGGGAGCTGTCATTGGAAGTCTGGTAAGCCTCACCCGCACTCTCGGGTCCCAAGTGTTTTCGAGCTGGTCTTCGAGAAGTCTTCTGGCTCTCCCTTGCTAACCACTTCTCGTCCCGTCTCGCAGATTCCCCTGGGCCAGAACATCCATAACACCGAGGCCGCTACGGTCAGCGACGGAACCTACATTGGCTTCCTCGTGCTGACCCTGCTTGGTGCCGCCCTTGCATTCACCCTGACCTCCGCCAAGAACGTCGTGCGCGAAGATGGCTCGCACATCATCTTGATGAAGAACCCCAGCTGGAAGACGGAGCTCATCGGCCTGGGCCAGACTTTCGTCTCAGATCCTTACATCATCGCCCTTTTCCCCATGTTCTTCGCTTCCAACTGGTTCTATACCTACCAGTTCAACGATGTCAATGCCGCCTACTTCAGTCTCCGCACCCGCGCCCTCAACAACACCTTGTACTACATCATGCAGATCGTCGGCGCCTTCATCTTCGGTTATGCTCTTGACCAGCAGCGCTTCCGCCGCACCACCCGCGCCAAGGCTGTCTGGGTTGTGCTCATGGTCATTACCATGGCCATCTGGGGCGGTGGCTATGCCTTCCAAAAGACCTACACACGCGCCTCGGCTGGAGCCGATGATTTCCACGTGAAGGACTGGTCTGATGGTGGCTACATCGGCCCCATGTTCCTGTACATGTTCTACGGCTTCTACGACGCTGCTTGGCAAACCTCCGTTTACTGGTACGCTTGGCCCTTCCCGTCCTCCTTTTCTCACTCCCATCCCTTTCCCCGTACACAATTGGAAATCTTCGCTAACATGTTGTCAACCAACAACAGGCTCATGGGCGCTATGACCAACAACGGGCGCAAGCTCGCCAACTTTGCCGGCTTCTACAAGGGCATCCAGTCGGCCGGTGCCGCCGTCGTTTGGGCGCTCGACCTGGACAAGGTCCCGTTCATGAACATTTTCGCGTCGTGCTGGGCGCTGCTGGCCGGCTCGCTGATCATCGCCCTGCCTGTCATCCTCATCAAGATCCAGGACCACGTCTCCATCGAAGAGGACCTCAAATTCACCGACAACAGCCTGACCGACGTCGCCCCTGTCGGAACCGTCGCCTTCGAGGAGGCCAAGCATGAAGAGGCTAAACAGTGAACGCGGGGCAGAGAGTGTGATAATGCTTTCCTCTTCCTTTTCTCTTCTTTTCACACTCCTGCTTTTAGCCATTGCTTTTAGTAACTTTTTTTTTGTAATTTTTTTTTGCGTTTGAGATGGAGCGGATAGCAATCCCCACAATGCACGGATAGATCCGAAGACTTCGGAAATTCGGGGCTGGTACGGGAAGATGCGATGGCAGGGGAATATACCCGTGGTATGAGAAGCGCACCGAGCGCTCAATATTTTCAAACAGATGCTAGCATAGCATCTCTGGTTGAGAAATTGAGCATGAGGTAGCATGGCGATGGTTTCTCCAGTGCTTCTTTCGAGGGTTTGTGACGACTGATGCGCAATGCGAGGGGGGTTTTCTTTTCTTTTTCAAAGTACGATACCATGATCGGCTGGGTTTGGCTGTGCGTTAGGGAGGTCGGGAAAAGCAGTCGTTGAATGAGAAGAAGCGGGGGGGCACTCCGTCTCCAATATCTCACCTTTTTTGATGATACCAATGGATGATCATCTGATTCGGCAACCCATAGGATGGGAGTGTGACACCCAATACTTGCTTCTCGTCTTGCGGAACCCTTCTCGAGTGTTCGCGCGAGCTTCTAGAACCGCAGGCTGCGCATTGATCGTGTGTCCCTTACCTCACGCCGTACCGTTGACAACAATATCACCGGAGCTATCTCCTAACCTTCACCGCTCCTGTTGCTAAGTCCTACGTGCAGGGTTCACTACGGTGCTGGGGGCAATGTAATCTACATGGCTAGGGAAAGTCATTTATGTTGATCTACGTTGGGATCTAACGGGCGAGGGTGCATGATGTGCATGCCTCCTTCTACTAAAAGCTACTGCGGTTTAACCTGTCTTCTATATGTCCTGCCGTTGAGCATTGACCTCTCCCACATGACATTGTCGTCAACCAGGAGGAGTTTCGGCCTCATGCGAAAAACTTGGCGAACACGGGAGACATGCGGACTGGCCTTACTCAGCACTATTCTCCACATTCGCCAAGGCCATGATGGAGTTGCAATGCCGACAGCGTCGCAAGCGACAAGCCGGGGGCCCCACAAAGCGATTTGGCGCTACTCGGCTAAAAGCAGCACGATCGAGATCACAGCGTTCGGTAGGAGGGGCGAGAGGCTGAGAAGAGAAATGCTGCGACGTTGCTTACGTAGTAGCTCGGGATCAGGGTGGTCATTTGACCTTTTCCGTCTGCGCCGCAGTTCGCCGCATCTCGGAGGATGCTACCGTGGCTGGCAGCGGGAGTGAGAAACGTAAGATGCATGACCCTTGCTTGCTCGTGTGGAGAGGTGTCGGGATAGTTATCGCGACCAGGACGTTCTCCGCCACCTACCTTCAAGGTGGCGTTGCGTTCGTGGGATGAGATGGTACGCTGGGTCGTGTGCGGCGGCAAGAATCGAAGCAGAAGGTGTTCCTAAGAAGGGTCTTCCGAAAGCTAGCAGGTTAGCACTACGGGGCCAGGCCGCGTCGTTGATCGGCATACGAGACGGCACCTTGCAATCTGCACTGACATCGGATTGTGGGGGGGTTGGACGAAGAGGTAGTAAGTATATGAAGGGCAACGAGTTTTCTGCCGTTTTACACACCGTTACCACAATCTCTACTGCTACCCTAGCCAAAGCATGTAGCATTTTCGTCAGGGAAAAAGCAATGGGGATAACGAACAGGGGGGTGTCGTCGGCATTCGATTTACTGTGGCGATAGGTGGACACGCAAGAGTAACATGTGGTAAGAAATAGCGTTCGCTTACAAACACACTAGTTCTTATCTTACCGTAATATAGTCACTTTGGCCGTCGAATGTGGCATTGTAGCCTTGCCGCCCGATGTCGGCCGTTTTGCAGTCTCAGATACGCAGTCGGGCTCAATTCCTGTCGAGAGCATCGTGGTAACAGGGAGCTTTGCATGAGAGTTACCGGAAGGACAAAGACCACAAGATATGAGCCGTCTCATTTCTAGCAGCGTGCCTCAGCTCAGCTCCCACAGTAAAGGGGCGAAGGGCGCTGCGGCGCCATCATTAGCCCGCATATGGCGGAGCCTCGTTGCGGAATTTGCCAGTTGGTGTACGGTGTTGGTGACCACTCGACGTCGAACAGAGGAGGCGGTGAGAAAGCGCATGAACTTGAACAACAGCCTGATGCATTCCTAGGGAACTCGACGCCCTTCACTCCCTCTGCATTGGACTGGTGGCCTCGTGGTATGTGAGGGAGACGGGCCGGTGAGAGCAAAATTGCGCCGGTGACGCCGAAGATTGTCAACTGTGAGAAGGGCTAGCAAACGCGGAGTTTTCCGCGGTTCATGCGAGCACAAAGCTATGGGGATGCGCGTTGCCGACCAAGGGAGAGCGTGGTGTAGCGACAGGTATATGACGAAAGAAAGCCATCCACGTCGTTTCCAGACGTTTTAGAATGCCTCGGCTTCTGTGAGGGATAGGGCGTCTGGCATCCAATCACAGAACGGCTGAAACAGCACTATGACGGCGCGGACGTACGAGGGGCGGCAAAGCCGACAGAAGGTTTCCAGTCCCGTGCTTTTGGAAGCACTTGCGGCATCTTGCCCTGGCACCCTGTACTGTGAGGGGATGCGGACGTGGTGGCAAGCCGCAGCAAACGGAACAGCAAGCCAGCTTTCTTCAACATTTGACTGCTTCACAGCTGCGAGGGGGGGCACATTGGCAGCAGTGCGTGGTTGGGTGAGGGTCCCGTCGAGCGCGGGCTCTGCGTGGATGAACAATGCCCTGCGCGTTAGAGCGGCGGTACACGGCAGAGGGTCGAGCATCTCCAGGTTCGGTGGGATGGTTCCACGGCCGAGGCATGGTAATTTGCTACTGGAGGCTGTGGTCACGCCAGGACGGGCCGTGTTTGAATTCTCTCGTCAGCAGCCGAGATCCAAGCCATGTAACACGAGGCGGGACACTCTGTGATCGGGCGGGCGAGAGCCGCGAGGGAAGCGGCAAGTGGATTCGAGTACGTTTTGTGGTGACTGCACGGGGAAAAAGGGCGAGCTCGCGCCGACGAGATTGCGATGGGGCCGGTGTGCCTGAGCTGGCGGAGAATTGTTACTCGCCGGTGGGGTTGCACCTGTCGACACGGCGGCGGATTGCCTGGAGTGTAACGCCGGTAGGCAACTTCTCCGCAGTCACGGCCTGATAAGGCGGGCCACGGATACCAAGCTTTCTCGCTGTAGTCGCACGCTTTTCCGCCTGGCCGAGTCGGCGTTGCAACGGCGGCGGTTCGCGAGTGGGTGCGTGACAGGGACAATAGCCGGCGGCGACACCGGAAGCTGCTCCGCTAGGCTTGTTCGGTGCATCCTACGTTGACGCCAGACGGACGACAGCTGCTCGTTTGGTGTAGAGGTGCGCGGGCGACGGGGCGGAAGAGCAGCCCGGCGTGCAGATTGCAGGAGGTTACACGCACCGAGGGACGCAGGCCGGACGCAGGCGGGACGCAGGCTGGCGGCAGGCTTGGGCGCAGGCTTGGACGCAGGCTGGGACGCAGGCGGCGCCGGTGATGCAGCGCGCAGGGCGGGGGTGTTTTGTGCGGACGATAGGCGCGGTGGTTCGGCGGAGGCTTGGGATGCTGAAACGGGCTGTGGCTTGGCGGCCGGGGCGGGCTTCGAGCCGCAGCGGTGGTGACGGCTGCAGGCCGGCGGGTCGCGCAGCAGTAGCGCCGGGAGGCGCACGTGGATCGCGGCTGGGGGCCAGCGGCGAGCGAGGATTGCGAGCGGGAATGACGCGGCGGGAACAGGCTGGGCCTGGGACTCGCCTGGGACGAGGCAGGCGGGGCTGCGGGCGGCGATTGGGCGGCGGTTGATGGTGGGCGCTGGTGGGCGCTCGGCTCTCCGTTGCGGCATAGCCATGTTGCAACGTCTGGTATCATCCATCCTCAGCAAAAGCTGTCTTGCGACAAGCAGAGCGCGCGCGCCGTGCTCTGCGCTCGCCGCCGTAGCTCCACCGCGCCCGGCAGCCACCCTTGCGTGGCTCCGGAGCCTCTGGGCCTCGCCTTCACGCCGATGACACCTTCCTCCCCTACCACGCTGCCCCAGGCCCCAGGCCCCAGGCTCGCAACCGCTCCGTACCAGCGCCATGCATAAGCGTCGTCTGCGACATCGGGCCATCTGAGCCAGTGCCTGAACTCTTGTCCTTGCTGCCAACACGAGCGTTGCGCGGCACTCCCTACGCGCACACTACATAGGGCGCCGCCTAGCACAGTCTGGCTTCGCTGCGCCGCCCTGTTTCCCCGTCTGTCCTCCTCCACCAGCAGCGCCGCCTGCACCGCCACCGCTGGCCGTTGCTTTCCCCATTCGATGTTTGCCGCCTGGACCTCTCTCCTGGCCGCCCTCGACAGACTCGTCATGCTTCCCTCTCTGGTCCACACCGTCTGCCCGCCCCAGCTGCCGCCCTCCAAGCATGGCCTGCACAATGTGATCCGCGCCTGCGACCTGACCATGGACGACTTCCTGCGCGACGTCCAGCGCCAGTTCGAGGCCCCGCTGCACCCCGACCGCCTGCTGGCCATGTCCGCCAGGCTGCAGGCCGACTTCCACCAGAAGCTGCAGCACAGCGACATGTGCATGCTGCCCTCCTACAACCACACGCTCCCCACCGGCCTCGAGCGCGGCACCTACCTGGCCCTGGACGTGGGCGGCTCGACCTTCCGCGCCGCCCTGGTTGAGTTGAGCGGCAAGCAGGGCGCCAGCAGCATGGACATCGCCAAGATGCGCAGCTTCCCCATCAACGACGCCGTGCGCGCCCTGGAGGGCAGTGCCTTCTTCGACTGGATGGCCGCGCGCATTGCAGAGACGCTGGCCGAGCCGCAGGTGCGCGCCCGCCTGGGCGGCGACACGCTGCCCATGGGCCTGTCGTGGTCTTTCCCCGTCGAGTAAGTCGGGCCTCCTCTTGGGCCTCTTGGGCCTCTTGGGCCTCCCCGCGCGCAGCTCGCTGACTGGGCCCTCCAGGCAAACTTCAATCCGCGGCGGCGTGCTGCTGGACATGGGCAAGGGCTTCCGTGCAACCAATGGGGTGCACAGGCAAGACCTCGGCCATCTTATCATGCAGGCTTGCCAGCGAAGGGTATGCAGCCTGTGCCGCCTCGTCCGCCCGACACTAATCCTGGCCAGGGTCTCAACGTCCGCATGGATGCCATCGTGAACGACTCGTCGGCCACGCTGCTGTCGCGCGCCTACCAGGACGACACCACCCGCCTGGCCCTGATTCTGGGCACCGGCTTCAACGCAGCTGTGCACTTGCCCGTCACTGCCCTGTCACGTCACAAGTTCGGCACCAGGCCGCAGGAGTGGCACGACCAGGCTGAGCGCGTGCTTGTCAACACCGAACTCAGCATGTTCGGCAAGAACATCCTCCCCACCACCCGCTGGGACGACTCTCTCAACAAGAACCACGACCGACCCGACTTCCAGCCCTTCGAGCACCTGATCAGCGGCCGCTATCTTGGAGAGATTGTCCGCCTTGTCCTGCTTGAAGCAGTCCAAACCGCCGGCCTGTTTGGCGGCGAGGTCCCTGAGCGCTTCATGGAGCGCTACAGCTTCGACACCGGCATCATGGCCGTCATTGAGGCGTAAGTTGACCCCTAGCAACCCCTTATCATCGGTTCGTTGCTCATCTCCTCTCAGCGATGACACGCCGACCTTGTCCAAAGCCTGCACCATTCTCCAGTCGAAGCACCCCCTCACTGTGCCGCCCACCTACACCGACTTGTACTACGTCCGTCGAATCTGTCAACTGGTCTCCCGTCGCGCTGCGGCATACCTCGCCACCGGAATCCATGCATTGTGGGCGCTGCGCAACGACTCGGAGGGCCTTTCTGCTGCCGAGGCTGGCCACATCACCATCAGCTGCAACGGCTCCGTGATTGAGAAATACCCCTCGTTTAGGACTGTCTCCCAACAATTCATCGACGAGCTTACGAGACTTTCTGGTGCACCATCCCGCGCTGTGGACCTGGAAATGGCCATTGAATCATCCATCTTCGGTGCTGCCGTTGCTGTGTGCTGCTTGGAAGACCACCACTCATAATTGAGCCCTCAATGTCCTATCGCCACAGGCGAACACTCGATGAAGTCAAGATTTGCATCGACCCGGCACCTCGGTACGCGCCTAAGACAAGAGTAGATCCGCAGAACAGCATGCCAGGAGACACAAACTTGCGGGTGGACGTCATTGTGTCCGCTTGGCTGCTTGGCTGGCGTGGGGCATGCATCCACAGACCGGGGTTTAGGGCGACACCGTTCTGCAGGACCAGCCCTCCCCCTCCCGCTGTGCCACTTCACGAAACGGATCCGCGTCGCACAGGATAGCTTCACCCGCCCGCGGCCCGACCGGACGTGTGAAGCTCCTTTGAGGCAATAATGAGCAGCAAGGAGATTATGCATCGACAGGAGGCCTTCCGCGTTCTCGTGTTCTGGGCACCTGAGGCCATGTACTCGACCATTCTTGGAATCCCTGGATTTTCACTTTCGCCACATCCTCGAACACGACTTCGGCTATTTGCATGCACGTTTCCGTAGTGGCGCCTCTACATGCAATGCTACAATTGCGTTTCCGTGCCAATGGCGTATCGTATTATCGGCAATAGCATTAGGTCCTTGGTCCTGGCTGGGATATAATAGACTGGCTGCGCTGGTGCAGCTGCAGCTGCTTCAGGCGGGAATGGCCATGGTGGACCTGTCAGCGAGAGAAGATCGTCTCGCGTTTCGTCTGGTCTCGTCGCCGACGACGTTGCATTGCGTGGGTGCATCGGGCGCATATACCGTCGTCTCATCCCCGAACACTGGCATGTGTCAAGCTTCCTTTTTCTTTCCTTTTCCGAACCCTGTCATTGTGAAAGATGATTTTGGGCACCTAAGTCCGGATAATTGTCCCCTCTTCCCTTCACTCCTAGTTATCTCTTTTTTCATACCCTAAGGGAATGGGACATTTCATTTTCTGTTGCATATTTTCCATGGCATATAAAAGTACATAGACGGGAATAATCAAGCATCTGGGATGTATCGCATGCGCGCTTCTCGTCATTTCACCTTTTCTAGCTGTCTTTGCGGGACAGCAGCATCGACTTGGCGACTTTTTAGTGTGCAAACATTGAGCTCCGTATGTTGCCATCTTCACATGAACATGCAAACGACATCTTCTGCTAATTCGCATGTAGCACGGCAACTAGTTCTCGGCCAATGAGAGTCGAACAGCAACCATGGGAGTCGTAGCTCAAGCCACGCAAACGGAAAGTGCACGCACACGCCTCACACATGCACGCACACCAAAACCTCCACATCACCCCACGCTCTTGCCCCTCGTTCCTCCGAACGCCCCTTCCGCAGACTGGACATTGCGGGACGCCGGAGAAATAAAACCATAGCGGGGGAAGCGCGGCGGACCCACACACCCGACGACAATACATGCCTCGACCTTCTCCATCACACCATTATTCCCGCCTCACGCACAAAAAGCCGCTGGCGAAAAGGGGTCGCAACATTAAGCTCACGCTACCATCGATCCATGCGCTGGTAAGGAGAGGCTAGCCAATGATCGGCATGGAGACCGAACCGCAAAGGATACGATCTGCCTGCATTCAATAGCGCATATCATTGCTTACCGGCTTTCCGCTATCCGGTAATATCGATAAAATCTCGTGCCTGCATAAGATCGATTCCCATCACTACTAAACAAAGCGCGAGAAAGTCTTGGGTACCTGCATTATTACAAACAACACCTGCATAACTACGCACAATACGTCATCATTCTAGCCCCTCTTTCCTCTCTTCCCCTTGTCGCTCGATCTTGCCTTGTGAGGTTACGGTAAGGTGTGTGTGTGTGTGTGTGTGTGTGTGTGTGTGTGTGTGTGTGGGGGGGGGGGGGGGGGG